ATGGAGACTGCTCTTCGCCACTGCCATCCTCGTTCCCTTCCTTACGGTCGCCTGCTTCTTCGACTTTGTCCGCGAGCAAGCCACTTTGTTCCTTGGCGGTGTTTCGGGCGTAGAAGCTGTCACTGGGGCCAACATCTTTTTCTTCGTGATGACGCTACCGGCGATGTGGGCTGTACTGGTGGTATGGGATCTAATGGTGGCGGCATGGTCGGCTGTGTGGGCGCGCATCAAGTGGTGAAACCTTGTGGGAAGCGGCCGGTGGCGTGCGGTGAGAGGTACGTGGCGCCACTTTCATATCTGCCACAAGGTGTACGTAATTGACGCGTTTCAGAATTGCTATTTGGTTCCGGCTACGGGAGTGGGTGAACGCGTCGGGTCGGCGAGAGGAAGGATAAGTTCTAGAAGATGTCTTGTATATGTACGCTATAGACAGATGTCCGCTATGATGGACGTGACCGTCGGCTTGAACGTCGGAAGATGGCCGCTCCAGCGAAGGTAGAATCATCCTGAAGCTGCAGCTGCTCGACTCAGCGCACGAAACTAAGGTTTGGCAGAAAGGAGGGGCTCACCCCTGCGCTGATCACAGACCCCTTCGCTGTTTCAGATCTGACGATAAACTTCTTGATCCATTGACACCCCAGCATACCATCAACATCTACCCATACCCACGATCCTCAGTGCCGGATCTCCACGTCCTCACCGTGGCTTCCAATATCAACCGCTTACTTCCCAAGCGATCTCCATATCACCCCGAACTCGGCCAGACAAGCAAGACGCCCTCCCCCAATCACAACAGCACGGGCCATGATATGGCAGCGGCAGAAGTAGGCGCAGTCGATGCGGCGTCCCTATGTATCATCTTAGCGGATGGGTTGACTCTGGAGCTCGAGGCAATACACGACGAGACGGCGGATGGCTTGTTACGCAGGATCTTGGATGAGGCCGAGCTCGGTGGCGAGTCGGAAGGGCATGGCCAATGGGAGCTTAGAACAGGTGGGACGGAGCTTGCCCGAGGATACGCCTTATGGCCGGTCCCGAGATGCAGAGGATCTGGCTGGTGGACCGAGGAAGAGATCAAGGCGTTTTCCCCATGTAAGTTTCGGCCTCGTCGACTGAGCTCCGCTGACCCGCTTCAGGTCCCATCGACGCAAACTTCGTCGCGGACCCAAGGGGAGCTCCCATATACCGACTGCTCCCTCCTCTCGCCCGCCTCACTCCCATCGCTGTCGAGCTCCCGAACACCACCTCCAGCGAGCCACTTCGCTTCAAATACCCCACCTACCCCGACCAAACTCTGTCCTCCGTCCTAGCTAACGTCATATCGGACCTCGGCCTACCGGTACGCGAGACCGATCTGATCGGACCCGGCAGGTCTCGCGCGGCCAGTGTGACCAGCGCGAGCGAGCGGGAAGACGAAGGGACTTTGAAGGGTCGGAGCGAGGTGAGGTGGAGGATCCGGTCCAGTGACCCAGGAAGAGGAGAGCAGGATGTGGTATCCAGAGACGGAGAGATGAAGCTGGAGATATCGGTGGATACAGACTGGCTGCTGGAGAAGGATGACACACGCGGAAGGCGAGGGTTTCTCGCTGGCAGCAAGACCTCCGTATCGGGGGACATCATCGAGATGGATGACGCTTCCGACGCGGGAACGCCTTGGCTTCGGCAGTACTCCGGTGGCACGTCCTCGCATCAGGTCAGCGGCTCATCTCGCCTATCGGGCTTATTCCACCAGCACGAGGACGCAAACCGACATCCGGCGCCTCCGCCCTCTCGCGAGAATTCGCACCATCCGCACGACGCGGATGGAGGTCCGGCCATTTCCCGCGCAAGACGCACCTCCCGGGGCACGAGTCTTGGCAGCTCGCTCGAAGCGCTCTTCATGAGTCCCCCACCGCCCCAAGATCCTTCATCTCCGGTCCCTCCACCTCTCACTCCCCGTCGCGCTGAGCCGATACAATCTCCTCCAATGGTAACATCCCCCATCTTCACCTCGCTCTCGGCCAGCGCCGGTCTCGCTCGACTCATACCTCAGATGACGGGGGCGTCGGTGGAGTCGTCTAGTGCGACGACCTCGAAGAATACAGGGGGTTGGGGAAAGAAGCTCTCTATAGCCAGTCTGGGCAGCTGGGTCGTTGGTGGGGGATCTCAGGAGACGGCGGTCGATCAGCTGAGCTACACGGTTCGCTCGCCTACCCGAAGTGTGTCCAGTCTCTCGGAAGTCAGCGAAGTCCCGCTAGAGAAGCAGGTCACGGGCGGGCTGTGGGGCTGGTGGGCGGGAGAGGCTGGAGATGATGGTTCGCCTCAAGCTCTGCTCAAGCCGATCAGGCAAGCGTAAGTCTACCTTTCTGCTGTTTGACCTACATCGAACGAGCTGACGCGCCGCAGCAAGGCAATCAGTCCCGCTGTGGTCAAAGCACTACTTGCACTTCGGATCGCTCTCGCCACAGCCAGCACATCTTGGGTCGATCAGCTGCTCGACCTACAGGGCCCCGATGCTCTTGCCCTTCACCTTCGCCAGGCCAGTCTGAAGGCCAGAGATGGAGGAGACATCAACGAGCAGGCTATTGCCGAGATCATCAAATCTCTTCGTGCTGTCATGAACACCAACGTGAGTACGTCCCGCAGCTCGAAGAGGTATATACTGACGTGCTAGCGCGGCTTCAGCGAAGTGCTCGACCGGCCTCCTCTCATCGACTCTATCGCCCTGGCCATTCACACCCCAAATCTCAAGCTCCGACTACAGGTCATCGATCTCCTTTCGGCGCTTTGCGTACTATCAGCCGAGGAAGGCCAGCCGCTCGTCGTCGATGCCCTTTCGGAGTCGGCGCTGCTCACGGAGGAGGCTTATCGCTTCGAGTGGCTCATACGAAGTTTGATACCGGTTGCCGGGGAGGAAGCGGACAGCGGGGTATGGGATTGGCGAACGGGTGCTCTAGCATTTGTGAACGCGCTAGTGGGAGCGGCGGATCTACTGGAGGAGCGGTGTAGTTTGCGCGGAGAGCTGCGCCGCCGAGGGCTAAATGAGGTCTTGGATGTGAGTAGGCCTGCATCGAGCTACGGAGAGCAACGCTGATCTGCTAGTCGCTCCACGATCGGTCATGTCCCGATAGCTTCAAGCGTCAAATGAGCGTCTACCTTGACGAGACCGAGGAGGACTTCCAGGCGATGAGGGGCGTCCATCTCCAGGAAGCTTTGACGCCTCTCCAAGCATCATCAAATGAGCTTGTTCGGGCGTGCGACCAACACCCAGAGGTATCGCCTCAGCTGCAGGAGCTGGTGGAGCAGTGTCGGATGATTCTGCAGATTGCAGCCGAAGAGTGAGCTCGTCGCCTTGCTTAGAAGCCCTGGCTAATATTGACAGCGACCTACCTGCGCATTCGATCAGTCTGCTTGCCAGATTGGCGGAGGATCTCGCTAGAGCGATTGACCTGTAAGTGCGCGTCGAGCTATATTGCCGTATCATCAGCTGAGGTAACAGGAGTGACATAGGATTAATACTGGTGCAATTCCTGGCTGTCACCCGAGACAATCTTCCAGATGCCTTTAGCGATCCGGATATCGGCGTGCAAGAAAGCCAGAAGGATCGGGAGCAGCTCAGGGCGGGGAACCTGCTCGAGGAGATCCACGTTGCACGAGAAGTGGTACGTCAACCTTGTTGATTTGAGCTGGTGTGCGACGCGCATGGGGGACGCTGACATATACAGATATCGGAGAGAGAGGCTCAGCTGTCCGAGCAGAGCAAGACTATCTCGTACCTCGAGCGCGCCCTCGAGATCGTTCGAAGCCGTTTGATTGCCGTCGTAGCCGACGACATGCCGACCAACGACCCCAACGCAAAGGAGCCGAAGCCTGACGCTCAGGCGGTAGCCAGCTTGGCAGTCGCCCATTTCGTCAAGCAGGCCGAAGCCATCACGACTCTGCAGGAGGAGGTGGCGGAGTTGAAGTTGCGACTGCAGAAGTCTCAGGCCACGGCGGTTCTGGGAAGAAGAGAGGAGCCGGTCGAGAGCGCGGCTGTCTCGACCGAGGCTGCTGTTCACGCGGGACAAGACGGGCTCTCGGCCTCCTCATACTCCTCGTACAGTCCAGGCAATACAGGCACGGAGTCTCCCGTTTCGCTACGGGTCGGGCCAGCACCCGCGTCGGACATCGCAGCTTCTCATTCAGCTCCAGCGGCGCCCGTTCCCCCAGCTCCAGCTCCATCCCCACCACCTCCTCCGCCTTCCATGCCGGACTCTTTCTCAAGCTCTACCTCATCGCCCACCTCCATTGTACCTATACCACCTCCTCCCCCGCCGCCGCCGCCGCCGCCACCACCCCCGTCAGCCGCTTCTCCCTCCAGCCATCAACCTATCTCACTGGCTCCTCATGTCCGACCAGCTCCCTCACCCCCTCCGCCGCCACCACCACCACCGCCTCCGCCCCCTCCTCTTTCAATACCGCCAGGAAAGAGTCCTCAGTCTAGTTCGACTAGGGTGCCTCCTACTCCGCCGCCAGCTCCAGCAGCTCCGCCCCCGCAGCTTGTACTACCGCTCAGCATCCAGACCCAGGGTGTTCTGCCGCCACCACCGCCCCCGGCCCCTCCACCTCCACATTTGGCTCAGATCCTTGCCAAGGCTAATGGTCTTATGGGCCCACCGCCTCCACCCCCTCCACCAGCCCTAGCGCCTCCAGCGGCTCGGCCCGGGCTCAGCCGTCAGACCACGCTCAAGCCTACGCCGCCTCCCGGTCCGAAACTGAAAGTGAGTCAAGACACATCCGTAGATATCATAAGGGTATTTGCTGATGGATACAGCCCTTCTTCTGGTCCAAGATGACGCCCATGAACAGCCAGGGCACAGTCTGGCAGACACTAGCCACAGAAGACGAGGGCGACTACTTTGAGGATGTCATCGAGGTGTTCCGCATGGATGCGCCAGCCAAAGCTAGCCGAACACCTGCAGCGAGCCGTGTTCCGACGGTGATCTCTGTGCTGGATATCAGTAAGCTGCTTCCTGACCCGCATGCGGGCTGAAACTGACATCTCAGCTCGATCAAACAACGTCGGAATCATGCTCGCTCGCCTTCGACTCTCCCCTCTCCGCATCAAGACGGCCATACTCGAATGTGACGAGGAGACACTTTCAGTCGACGACCTCGCCATGCTCGTCCGCATGCTTCCTTCACCAGAAGAAGCAGAGCGCCTCCGCACTTTCGATGGGGGCATTACTAAGCTTGCCAAGCCGGACTCATTCCTACGAGAGATCAGCACCATTCCGCGCATCAAGGACAGGATCGAGGCGATGGTTTTCAAGCAGCGGTTCGAGTTGCATATCGCGGAGCTGGTACCGGATCTGGCGATCTTGAGGTCGGCGATGATGGAGGTGCGGGAGAGTGAGCGGTTTCGAGAGGTGCTGGCGCTCGTTCTGAGGTTGGGGAATAGGTTGAATGGGGGAACGTTCAGGGGAAACGCGATGGGTTTCAGAATGGGTGATCTGCTCAAGGTGAGGCTTTCCCCGGCTGTAGATCACATCTGCTAGCGGACGTCGCTTAGGGTGCAGATGAAAGAGACGCGGACGAGTCAGCCAAAGTGTCCGACCCTGCTGCACTACCTCGCTTCGACGCTGTTGAAGGTCAATGCGCAGTTGATTCTATTCTCGGAGGAGATGTCAAGTCTCGAAGCTGCAGCTAGGTGTGAGTTGACCCCGTCCAGTGCCACCCCTTTGTAGCTGACAATCGTAGTGGATCTTTCCGAGCTCGTCACCTCTATCGATACCCTCCAGCGCGGTCTCAAACATGCGCAATCTGAGCTCGAAGTCCACCGCTCAGCTCCTCTCACCGATGTCGACGCCTTAACATCCACCCTCTCTCCCTTCGTCCGCATCGCTGAGCCGCAAATCGACATGCTTCTCCGAATGCGCGCCGAGCTTCAGACCGACGCGACTTCCCTCCTTGGCTTCTTTGGCGAAGGCAAAGATGGCAAGATCGAGGATCTCTTCGGTATCATTGCGGGATTCTCGGCGGGACTGCAGAAGGCTGCAGCGGAGATGAGTCGCCACCTCCTCCAGGCATCATCCTCGGCGAAACAGGTCAAAGGCCGCCCGAATCCCGGGGAGCGCGTCAACGGGCAGGCGAGACTTCTCGCGGCTGCAGCGGCCAAAATTACGGGGGATGAGGCGGATGCAGAGGAGAAGGACAAGCCAGCGGGGCACAAGATACAGGGGTCGGACACTTCGCAGGCCAGCACGCTCAAGGCGTTACCGACCCCTTCGTTGCTCTTGCCGCCCGGCGAGAAGGGGCAGGCGGGCACATCACGCTTCGGTCGAATGGGGACCATGGCGCGTGCAAAAGGCACGGTACGCGGGACGTTGTCCAAAGGAGAGCTGGACGAGGCGATTCGATCTATACATGGTGGTGTGACAAGGAGGGAGCGGACGATGCGGGAAGGGACGATGAGTCGGGGTGGAGGGGTACGGCTGAGCAAGATGTTTTTGGATGGGAAGGGGAGCGTTAAGGTGCCGGATATCAGCAGGGGAAGCGGGTTTGTAGGATCTTGATGGTGATCATATGCGGAATAACGATCTTGCGTCTTGCCAAGCGGAAGAGGCACTGCACTGGCTTGTCGGCTTCGTGAGCAGATCGGGCCTGGCCAGACCCCAAACCAACTGACCCTTGCATATGCTCTACCGCAGACAACGCTCGTTCATCTCCAATGACCTAGCAGCGCCACCGATGGCCTGACCTAGTCCTACTGATATCGCTAACCTTCGCTGAATACAGTGTCCGCGCCACAACACCGCCTGATCATACACCCCACCCTATCAAAACCTAATACCGATACTTTCCTCGCAAAGTCATATACTGCCGGCCGGAGGGTCCGTGCCAGGTGCGATGCGCAGGCTGAACACGGTACCACCTCCTCGATGGTGTCTTGCACGCTTACGAGCGGCGCCGAGTATCCGCCAGTGGCAAGGAGGTCCAGAACAGTCTTAGCCGCCGCATCTCGGCGGACGCTGGATAGGGACGGATGCTGCTGACAGCGCCGAGCGGGTGGTTCGAGGCCGTGTCCCGTGTTGACGAGCATATTGAGCGCATGGCGAAGTTCCGCCGCTGCTCGATTCCACCCGAGCTGGATCTGCTCCAGATGGAAGAGGGCACGGGGCACGTATTGCTCGACTATGGTCCGCGCGGAGGCCGGGATGGGATGCCTGACCAGGTCAAACGAGTTGCGCAATAGACGCGTATATGGGGTTTGGTCCATCCGCGCAAGACCGCATACCGCCCAAGCGAGCAAGGGTCGCTCGATGAGGTGTTTGATAGCCGACTCGACGAGCAGACCCGGGACCGCCGGCATCTCATACACCTCGGCGAGGTCCAGGGCATTGATGACGTCCGGTAGGTCCTTGATGTCTAGGTCGCGCCAAGGGGAGTCCGATTGGAGGAGGACGTGGTCGCTGTAGTCCTCGGTCTGGAGGAGGTCGATGAGGAGTTGGAGACCACCCGAGGTGGCCGTGGGTATGGTGAATGAGATGACGTCGACGTCCCCCGTCGCGTCGGCCTCTGCGTCCGAGCTGAGAAAGGGGGGCAGCTCGGCGATGAAGCGAGAGTACTTGGCCAGAAGTGCACGAGAAATGCAGAGGATGGTGTCGTCGGCGGTTTCGATCTGAAGGATGACATTGTCGATGTTGGACTCCTGGATGAGGGGAGTTCCCGGCAGGTGGTCCGAGTCATCTAGCTCCTCAAAGCTGAACTGGTATGTCAGACAGCGTTCTATAGCGAAAGGAGCTGTGCTTACCCTGTCATCCGAGCTGGAAGCAGGACCCTGCCACCTGACATCCCGCGAAATGGTAGTGGCTGACGAGATCCCTCCTCCACACTCTCCTTCGGCGACACGCACACCGCCGTCATCGTCCAGTATGTTCATCCCTAGTCTTCTGATCGACGTTGAGGGCGAACTTGCGATACCGGATGGGTGCACAACTCAGTGATGATGAGAAGGAGAACGCGAGAAGCTGTAGTAGCCCAGGCAGCTTGTCAGCCAGGCACAGCCAGCGTGTGTCGCTTGTGTGTATCACCGTGCCTGGATTTAGCTGTAAGCCTAGGTCCATGTTTGAGTGAGCGCTTATATATCTGCATACGTCGACATGATCGAGCATCTAACAAGGCTTGGCCCAGGTCGAGGTATTCTCCTGTCTTATCAGCCACACGCTCACCCATATCTTTCGCTCCCAAACTCACCTTGATATCCCCCCTCGCCAGATCCCCGTGCTTCTCATCCGACTTCTTATCCTGGTTCGCTGTCTTGGCAGCCATCATCATGCTCAAACTGGGTCCGCCCGACTCGAGAAGCGTCTCGGTCACTTGCAGAATGTCGGTGATGAGTTTCCGGACCAAGTCGCCCGAGAGGGATTCGCGGATAACGACTCGGAGGATCTCGATATTCTCCGCAGCGGGCGGGAGGGGGTAGCTACCTGGTCAGCTCTGTGTTTATCAACCTGGAGAGGACGAAGAACTGAAGCTCACTTGGGGACGATCCAGCCAATAGCGCGAAGCTGCTCCTGCACCCATGCCTGCTTGACTTCTGGGTACTGCGCCTTGATCTCGTCTGTGAATCGGAAGGAGACGACGGGGAGTCCCTCGTTGTAGAATGCCGCGTCCTCCTCGTCCAGCGGGTTATGGCCTTTGATGACCTGCCCCGCCATCTCCGAGAGGGGTGGGGTGGGCTTGGCGCGGTGTACATTGGAGAGGATCGAGTAGTAGCCCGAGTTCTCGAGAGCGTGGGAGACGAGTCGCGCTTTGGACAGGTTGTTGAGCATGATACGGCGATAGCCCGAAAAGCCGAGGTTGATGACTGGACGTCAGCTACTGGCTGGCATTATCACGGCTCGGACCGACTTACAGTTGAACATCTGGGCAAGGATGGGGTGCGCAGGGCGCGAGAAGTTCAGGTTGTACGAGTAGTCGGTCTGGCCGAGGTAGTGCAGCTCAAAGATGAGGTCCTGGGGCAGGAACTCAGGGCTGCGCCAGATGATCCATCCGACACCGACGGCACCTACAGGTCAGTTTCGTGACCCGGTGGATGGAAATCCTGGTGTGCTCACTCATCCCGTACTTGTGGCCAGAGGCATTGATACTGGATTCATCAGCTATACCCCTAGGAGAATCGCAGAGGATTAGCTCACCTTTGCACACGCGGGAGCTTAAAGTCCCACTTGTACTCCGGATACGCAAACGGCGCGACGAATCCGCCGGAAGCAGCATCTACGTGGATGGGAATATGGATGCCCGTCTTCTCCTCGTATCTGTCGAGCTCGGCCGACATCTCGGTGACCGACTCAAAGACACCGGTGTAAGTCGAGCCAAGGATGCTGTGCGATCAGCTTGCGGTTACGGGGGGATTCAACCGGCCATCTGTACGCACACAAAGACACCGATAGTATTCTCATCCACGAATTTCATCGCGTCCTTGGCGTCCATAACGAAGTTACTCTACCTTATCAGCTTGACAATCAAAATGCGGCGCGTTTTAGCTCACTTCGGGAGTAACAGGGACCAGCCTGCACTCGACCTCAAAGTACCTCGCAAACTTCTCGAGCGCGACCTGGGCCTCTGCGCCCATCACGATGTTCGGACCGGGGTGGTGGATGTCTTTGCCGGCAGCCTTCATCTTCTCCTGCCATCTCCGCTTGAGGGAGAGACCGCCGAGCATGATGGCTTCAGATGAGCCGGTGGTGGCTGTTCCGATGGCTGCGGATGAGTCGCCGGGCGCGTGCCAAAGGTTGGCGATCATGGACTGGGGATCAGCTGGGTGAAAGGGAGTGAGAGGGAAAGAGAGAGGGGAGGAGACGTACGACGCAGCGCTCATGAATCTGCTGTGCGGCAGGGTACTCGTCCTGGTCAACCAAATTCTAATCAATCAGCTTTGCGCTCCTCAAATCTGGTGTTGCGGGTAGCTCACCTTGTTGAGGTTCTCCTCCATGAGCTTCTGGCACTCATCCGGGACCCATGTGTGGACAAAGCTGCATCGTAAGCTACATGCACACCTCGCGTTGGCGAGTGTAGGGTCAAGCTCACGATGCAAGGTTCATGTTGGGGTTACCGTCTGCCTCGTCAGTTTACCCCTCCGGTGCTTCCGACACGTCTGGTAAACTCACCGAGAAGCAGCTCATCGTGCAAAAGCTGATAAGCAGCCTTCGGGTCTACCCCCGAATCAGGCATCTTGAACCTCGGGAGCTCCTGATCGATCTCATAGCGGGAGGCATAGGGTATGCCGTGCAAGTCCGACCTGCGCCTCCATCAGCATGATCCATTCCTGGCTGCTCGTCGCCAAGGATGGAGGAAGGGACGTACCGCTTCCCGGTGTGCTTGTGGATCCGGTGGTCCCGCGCTTCAGCTATCAGCTTATCAGCGTCGACGTGTCGTGCGAGCGACATCTTGGCACGAGGAGTATGATGGGTGGTTGAGAGAAGCGAGAGGTGGACGACGATGAGGTGGATGTCAGCCGCAGCGTCATTCGGGCTTCGGCGTTCCTGTGCTGTGCCTGGTCGATCTATTTCTGATACACCGGCTGCTGATTGGGCCGGTATTTCCAAAAGAGGCTATTCCGGGCCGTTTCAGAATAGCCGCGCACGTGGCTCCCACTTAGTGACGACGGTGGCTAGGAGGAGCAGAATCCTTTCACGAAGTCCGCCTTGATCTCCGCGATACACCTTACACGTCCACCTCCTACATGGGTACCGCAGCTCATACACCTGAACCTCCAGATAGAGAAATAGCTATACTGACCTGCTGATACCCGTCGCCTGTACTGGAGTTACACCGCACAATTTGATTCTTCCTACAGCCAGTGAACATTCCGGTGATTCGCAGGACACCCACTCAGCCTCTCGAGCAGCCCAAGGACTTACCCTTGATATCTCATCAAGCGCCCCCGACGGTCCCGGGTCCATCCCCGCAATGACAGCCGCCGCAGACTCGGCAGTCGCCACCAATGGCAAGGCCGCCGACCGCCCGAAGATCTCCAAACCAATCGCTCGACTCGGCTATGGCATAGTATATCACGTATTCGCTCATATCTTGAGCTTCGTCACCCTTCTCCTACTCATTTTCGCGTACGCCTCCTCCGCAACCTCCGCGCCTATCACACCTGGCGGGTTGCTCTCCAACAAGCCCTGGCTGGTGCACATCAACCAGACATCCACGTCCACTATCGCCCTACCAGGCGACGCAGCTTCGTTCACGCTCAGGAAGTGGGGACTGGGAACATTTGGGTGGTGTGAGTGGAATTTCAATCCGGTCGACATGCAGCAGCCGGGCAAATGTACCAAGAAGATCGGGTGGCAGCTACCGGGAAGTGCGGAGCCGGGGGACGATATCTTGAAGATTGAGATGCCTGCGTGAGTCATTATTCTGCACATCAGCAATGATCAGATAGCTGATGAGTAAGCGCCCTCGGCAAAGTCCTACCTATCGTTTCTCACTTCCTGATACTCGGTAAGTCCCGACTCCCGCATTATATCAACGCCCCGGAACCTACCCTTAGGCGGCGTTACGAGATCCTCGATCCTCCGCGACGCAGGACCCCTTGGCTGCTGCGTTTAGCTAATCCCCAGCGATACTGTGTATCTTTGCTTACTTTATTCTCCTCGCCTTCGCCTACAAATACTGCCCCGAGACAGACGAAAAGCACGGCGATGGAGCCCATGCCCTGCCCTGGGCGAGGAATGCCGAGACCCGCAGGCTCTACGATATCATCCGTAGTTATAAGGGCGGCCGGTCCATGTTATTACTCTCCGAGGGCATCACAGGCGTCATCGTCATCGTCATGGCTATCGGCGTGGCGCAGTTGCCCAAAGCGCAGAAATTGGAAGCGAGCTTTGGGAGCGGAGGGTACATGTAAGTCTTGGCGCTTCTGTAATCATCAGACTTGTTGCCGATACACCGGTTAAAGAGAGACTAGAGGCGCGGAAACTGACATGCAGGGTCCTCGCTTCAGCAGTCATGATCTCGACCATCGACCTACTGGCATTCTTTGGCGGACTCAAAGTCAAGGTGCCCAAGAAACGACATGGCCGGTAAAAGTCTGTATTCCGTTTTGATGGCGATGTATCGATATGTACCAGTAGCTTCAAAGAGTAGATCAGTAGACGCCTGAGTGGACGGGCCCATACATGTCAACAAGATCAGCATCTGCATCCACTCCGCCCCGCAGATCACAACGTCCATCTTGAACGCCTATGATAACCCACTCCACACTGGCAGATACTAACCCCTCCCAAACCATCCTCCCAACCACCCCTTCTTCCCCTGCCCCGCGATCTGCTCCTTCTCCTCCATATCTTCATCCTCATCCTCCTCTTCCTCCTCCTCATCTTCCCCTCCCTCCCTATCCCCGCCCCAAGTCCTAACTTGGACATTCCCACCCATCGGCGTACTCTCCCTCGTACTCCTAACCAACCCCCTCACCCGCTCTGGCACACCGCCGGCCGTCTGCACAAGCTCTTGTGCCTTTTTACCAGCCACTTGCCCCACTACTTCCGCAACCGCCGCCACCCCACCTGTGCCTTCCGATGGCGCAGCAGGCTTAGGACCCTTCCCTGCCCGATAAACCAGCTCTTCCATCGGCATCTCCACATAGTTGAAGGCATTGTCGAAGAAGACAGGCTTGTCCACTCGTTCCGCAAACAAAGCTCGTTTGGCCGCTTTCTCCAGTGCAGAGATATCCGATTCGAGAGCTGATAGGTCGGTTTCTGTTGCGGAAGTGATGGGTTCGGCGATAGGTCCGGTCTCGAAGAGGGATGAGCGGGCTTGTTGAGTGAGTGAGGACGAGCGGGCGAGAAGTCGGATGGCGGAGGAGTAGGAAGGTGTGGGGTGGATGGTATGTAGGCGTGCGAGGAGGAGATTTCTGCTCATCAGCCTTACTCTAAAAACCCCACCCAGTATAGCAGGAAAACCCCATACCTTGTTGCCTGATAATAACTCTCCAGGCCCTCAACTCCCACCCTCACCTCCTCCCTCTCCTGAACCAGCCCCAGCCCCTTGACCTGCCCCAGACTTTGCAGAACCTGATCATACAGCTTAATCAGCCCCGCGAGGGTCTTGACTGCCTCTTCCAGCTTGGCTCTGCCGCCCGGGACCTTGAATCGCGTGATGTCGCTAGGGAGGGTCTTGGAGGTTGAGCGGAGAGTCTCAGCGAGGAGGAGGTCCCGCCTGATCCGGTGGGTAAGGAGGAGGTGGATAATGTATTGATGTGTCTGAGCGAGGGAGCGAGAGGTCTCCGCAGATCTAAGGGGGTTGGACGCGCCGGATGCCTATGCCGTAAGCTATATGACCCGCGACAATGGGGCAACTGGTAGCTCACCTCGTGATCATCTACCAGTCTTCTCGCTACCGCCTCCGCCTCGCCGAGGACACCCAACACCTTATCCCACCCCCTCATCCCCCTCCCTTTCCCCTCCATAGCCTCCATCGCGGCCTGTACCTTAGTCATCACACCCACCATCTCCGCCGACCGCATCTCTATCGCCTCACCCGCAAACTTGACATCCTCCAACTTCCGCCTTCCCTCTTCAACCTCTTGACTCCCCAACTCCGCCCTCAGCCCTTCGACGAGCTTCTCCACGCCCGGCAACGCCTCCTCCTGCATCTCCCCATCGATATCCGCAACGACCGCGGGGATATCGTGCGACTCGGCCCGGCCCAGCTTGTACGCCGCGAACCGGATGAGCGGGTCGTAGGCGTCCATAAACTCCAGAGCTAGGGCTTGGTCATATGAGTCCCGGGCGGCCTCTGCGAATGTCGAGAGGAGACGACGACGGACCGCGAGGGACGTGATGGCATCGGCCCAGTTGGAGCGCTCGAAGGAGAGCTCGGAGGAGAGCGAGAGGTGGTAGATTGTTATTTCGGCGAGGGTCTGTTGAGTCATCCGGGAGGATGAGGCGAGGGCGGAGGAAATGGAGTGCAGGGAAGAAGAGTATTTGTGCGCTCGGCGAAGCCAAGAGAGCTGGTCCTTCTTGGACACGCCGACCGGGGGGTTGGGGCGGGTCAGGGCGGATTTGAGCTCGTGCGAGTGCGCGAGAGCACGTTCGGCCGAGAAGAGCAGAAGCTGCAGGTGCCTATATATCAGCTGATGGCCTCAGAGCACCGCAGCTCTACCCCGCCAGCTGCAAGAACTCACTTGACATCCTTGACAGTCGCCAGAGTCACCTCCGCAGGCTTCTTGTACCCCTTCTTTCCGGACGTAAGCCCTGTCCCATGCCTCAGCCGCTGCAGCTTGTTCCCGCAGTGTTTCCTGCCCTGTCAGCCCTCCTCCTGACCGACCCGTAGAGGTGGTCCCACCTGTATCGCTCATGGTCGCCATTCCGGAGCCCATAGACTCCCCGCTCCTTACTGAGCAAGCTGAGGACTGAGGGGTCAGCTAAGCGAGCGGTGGATGTCGACGGTCCTGCCCGGTCCAGCTCACCTTTGAATGATAGGTCTTGTGGCTGGTCTGACATGCTGCACAATGGAGCTGCCGGTATGATATAGTGTAGCTTGAAGATACCCCCACTCTGGCTGGCTGATCGTCCACCCAAGTGGAATTGTTGGGGGGAGGTTTCTCGATATTATCCCGGAGCATCGCCCACTGCACCATTCCTCCACTAGCTGCTGAGCTCTGGACAGCTCTCTGGACCATCAATCTCTCTTGCTTCTACGTGTGTCATCACCAATCAACGACAGTCTAGGTCTACCTCACACATCACTGCCGGAAACCCATATCTGCCCAACCGACGATCGAAATGGCATCCAGAGTGAGCCAACCTAGACCCTTGTTATCGGCCTGAAGCAAGCTCACACCACAGGGCGGCAGAGGTGGACCCCCCACACGAGGCGGCGGCGGACCATCCCGCGGCGGAGGCTATGGCGGAGCAGGAGGCGGGAGGGACGGAGGAGAGAAGAAGAAGAGGGAAAGTATATTGAGTCTGGCGCAGTATGTGGATAAGCGGTTGAAGGTCAAGTTCATGGGTGGACGGGAGGGTGAGTCTTGCTTTGGACCTTGATGTGGGACGGGAGAGGGAGAGCTGATATGGGCAGTCACGGGTATATTGAAGGGGTACGACCAGTTGATGAACCTGGTCATGGACGAAGTGGTAGAGGAGTATGAGAGTGAATTCATATGGTCCCCCAAGAGTTCGGGACATCGAGCTGACATAGCAGACGGAGCGATGCAGCCTAGAAATTTAGGGCTGGTAGTGCTCAGAGGTCCAAATGTGGTGCTTATAAGCCCAACGGATGGATCAGCAGGTATGTTCTCCAAGTACGGTGAGACAGACTGGGGCTGATGCTGCAGAAATCGAGAACCCGTTCCAATAGCGAAGAAACGACGACCAATCCCGGGCAAGAGGGCGCGCCTATGCCAATGTATACAGTATGGGGGCAGTATGATCTCGGAGTGGCAGGCCTGAGCAGACCTACTCACATCTGACGCCTGAGATGACTGATGCGGAAAGAAGTCGACTACTCCACCGGCGCCGTTCATACTGATCAGCTGGTATAACTGCCCCTGCGGGCCGGCTCGTCGCTCCCTCTTCAATGAGCATGTTCGAAAGGCTTGCATGGCATGGTACTTCTTCTATCCTACATTTTCTTACTGATCTGTATACAAACGCGTTATGTGGTTTCCTTTGTTTCCTGCTACCTGTACTTCTGACCTCCTGACTTCCCGAACTAGTACCAACCTCGACTGGACGGTCAAACCTCCACGCTGAGTTTTGTAACACAAACTCCTGTTCCCTGCATATCAGCTCAGCTTCGCGAATATCCGAGCAGAGAAGATAAAGACTTACATTCAAGCGGCAGACTTGTACTTGGTGGGCGAGGTCCCGGCCATCCCAGCAAACCCATTCCCGTTCGGGGGCGACGCGACGCCGAAGGAAGTCCGGGCGATGTTGGCGAGGTTGACGGGACCTGATAGTCAGCACGGACGTTCTCTGCAGAGTGGGGCATCAGGAGTAGAAGCGAAAGCGGGAAAGCTAGCAAGGGAAAGAACGGATCACAGGGACTTACCACCACCAGCCATGACGCCCTCCCTGTAGGCCCTGGCCCTCTCCCTCTCCTCATCGCTCACATTGCTCATCCTTCTGCCCTTGGCGCCAGCCCCGCCCGGTCCGCCATCCTTGGGGGAGACCGAGTCGAGGCTGGCCATCGAGTCCGTCGGACTGGTACTGATCGCATCCTTCATAAGGTCCTTGTTGGCTCCCGCACCCATGGCCATGTCCAGGTTGTCCCTGCCGGCGCCGCGCTGCTTGGGCGTGGCCGGGAGCTCTCCGACCGCATCATTGTCTCTGTCCATGTCGAACATGCCCTCGCCGGCGTCCGCTTCCGCCTGGCTCTCCATGTCCCCGACCTGGCGGATGGAGCCCCAGTTGTGCGCGCCGGCGCCTTGCTTGTGCTGCATGTCGGATTTGGTGAGCCCGGAGCGGGAGTGCTTGTCCTTGAGCAGGGCGGCGGGGTATTGGTTGCGCTGTTGGGGGAAGCGGAGCGGGACGAGGTGAGGATGTGGCCGAGAGGGCGAGGAAAGTCGGGTGGATGGGCGTAAATCAAGGATGATAGTGATAGGAGGGTCGAAGGACACGGTGATATCAGGTCGATCAGTGGGTACGGAATCATTACGTGGTTGAGGCGAGGAATCGTGAGGTGCCAGGGGGAGACCGAGCACAGGAATATAGCGGAGACAGCCAACGCGGGATACGAGGAGCACGGAGGGATGACGGGATGATGGTGCAGTCGGTCAAGGTCAGAAGGGAGCGAGCGCCAGCGAGCAAGACGATGAGGCGAGTATGGCGATACAGATGAGCATAGGTGTGGGATCAACGAGAGAGATATGCGCGTCAGCGGGATCCCCTTCCGATGCAGACAAGCGGGAAGGGCGGATGGAGACATACCTCAGTCCTAGTCATCTTGCTGGATGTTCGTTTGGGTGCTTGGTAGGTAGTATGGCGGTGCAAGGGGTGGTGTAGAGTAAGGATCAAGCAGGTCCTGTAATGAGACAGTAGGCAGGTCAAAGGGATGTACGAGGTAGATGTACGAAGCGTGAATGGCATCCGGGGGTCTAGGCCTCTTATACCCCACCACGCCCGCCCGCACTCGGCTCGGTTCGCCGAGTCAAAGGGGGAAGCTGACCACCCCAGATCCTAGATCCCATGACCTAGCTACGACCGGTCATGACCCCCCTTTTACCTCCGCCCACGGGATGCGCTAAGCTTAGGCTAAGCACAGAGATAGTGCTGCGAGACAGGCCGGTGGTCACGAGATCAGCTGCACTTATCGCGCGCGGACCGGAGATAGGCGTGATCTGTGGGGCACCGAGTATACCGTAAGAACAGGCACGGTGGCGTTCTCGTAAGCGGGAGGAATGTGGCGAACAGTAGTGGCAAAGTGGCGAAGTTGCGAACGACCATGGGAGGAAGTCTGCACCGCCGAGGGCAGATAGGGGACCTTTCTGCGTTGCGCAAGAGGACTTGCAGCTTCTGGTGGCAATATATGCGGCTGTACGCCTTCACGAAGCTGCGTCCCAGAAGTTCCTCGCTCCTGAGGCCTGAGTTGCACAGGGTCCCCGGGATGCCTAGTCAGATCTCAGATCTACCCCGCCCGGTCCGCCGCCCGCTTTGCAACGCATTTGCATTGCTCGCTCCGACGTAAAGGAGAATGTCAGGCCTAGGTCTGAGCCAGGTACCTTGTGTCTCAGAGAAGAAGGGCAGGCAGACCAACATGGTCTGGCCAGCCAAGTGAACCAGGCGGATCACCACCTCGTGCACTGCGTCCAGCTTGAGTTGGTCTTCCGCCTCTCCCATCGTGACAAGAGGGCGACTTCTGCTTCATCAGCGGCATACTTTCCTGAACTCAGCGGGGTGATTCATGCTCACCTCCCACCCAATCCCATGGCTAGACCCCCGCCCCGTGGCTGGTTTCTAACAGGAGGTGAAGTCAGGACAAGCGCGTGGGGCTCCTCATGTTGACGCTTTCGGATGGCCATGTTCGGGACACCTAGCCAGGGGATTTAGTTCCATGCTCATCTCCCCGGCGTCCCTTATTCGATGCTCGCCACAGAGTTGTCATCGTGTCATACAGATCAATCGACACAGCCTGCCTGAGATCGAGACGGAATCAAGCTCAAGAGATATCAACTGCTCCTGCGGCTTCATATAGCATCGGCGGCCCGGTTTGCGGCACAATAGTGCTCTCCGACTCGATGCATAAGATTGATATGAGGCCGCGTCTGCAGAGCACCTCATAGTCCAATACACATCCAAGGTACATTCCTGACGAGAGGTCCTGCCTAACGCGCGACCGAGATACGTCTATATACGGTATGACTACAGTAACTATGTCATACCAGTACTGAGTATCTCCCGATTAGATCTGAGGCCCATGACTATCCGACAGAGTAGTTCGCCACCGATATAATGTCGTCGGTTCCTACACCTACAAGAAATCGCCTCCGGCTGTGAACGTCTGGTCATTCTTCCGCGCCGTAGCGTCACCGCTGACAACCTCACTTGTATTTTTGGGTTGCTCGCCCCACAGAGACGACATAAAGCCCGAAGCCGCCTGGAAGCCCGAGTTGGAGAAGCTCGTAGCCGCCGCTAAGCTCGATTGGGCGTATGAGGAGACGCCGGCAGAGATCTCCGGATAGCTCATACCACCAGCGCTCATCACAGTCTGCAGCCCCTCCGTCACATAGCCGCCCGCCTTGGCATATAGACTCTGAACTCCTTCCGGCTGGCGCACGGTGGAGTGGCTTTCAGCGGCTGTGCTGTTGGAGCCAGACGCCGCCCCCGTGTAAGTGAAACCTCCATCCGACGGCGGAGGTGACTGGCCAGTCAGAGAGGGCAGGATAATACCTGTTCCGCAAGTTTGACTGGGGCCTTGGCCGCAGTTGGTGGTGTCTTGGTCCTCTTCGGAGCCCTCTTCCTTGATGTCTCCGAGTGAAGTGGTATTGTAGCCGGACTTGGATTGTCTGGTGTGTATACTGCTACACATGCTACTGGCAGTCCTTTCCACCATACGCTTCACGTTCTCACTGTATCGCCGAATCGTATCGGTAGAAGTAGGATCGGTGGAGCAAAGCGCGTGGGAGGATGGCGGCGAAGTCGACTGGCCGTTAGTCACAGTGACACTACCACGTGCGGTGGCGGATGAGGCGTCGGATCGACTTGTCCACCGCTTGAAGCGTGAGAGTGATCGTCTCAAGCGACTGGGAGGCGCGGAAGGTGTGTATGTAAGTGAGCTTTGAGGGACCGAGGATGGATTTTGGGAAGTCTGGGGGCTGAACGACACGAGGGAGGCCGACGCCACGAAGGACTGTGCAAATTCACTGATCGACTGTACAATCGACGATTGTTGGTTGGATGAATCTTGAACGAGCACTTTGTTGAGGAAGCGCAAGCCTTCACGGCTGGCGATGACACCAGTCTCCCTGCCAACGCGATCAGTGTAGATGCTGCTGAAAGGCATGATGCGGAATGGCGTTGTGGTGGGGCGCAAGGGGGTGAGGGTACGTGTGCGTAGTGAGGTGATTTGGCGGTGATGTAGTGAGGATTGCGGTGGATTGTGGAGGTGGTGGAAGAGTGTGAAGTTGTGTTGCGTGGTGTAGGTGATGTGGGTGTGGTAAGAGCAGAGGGGGATGATTGGTATGGGGAAACAGGGCGCATGATGACCCGTTTATATAGACGCCTCGGGATCCCCCATGAGACTGCACATCGTGGCCAAGGGGTACGGGTCAGCTCAATCTATCCCTAATGCTGCACGTACGACTTGAGGGATCCGCTCAGCCTTTTAATCATCCCTTTTGGAAACGCTCCCTTTGCCCCTGTATCCCTGTGTCCGGTACGCAGGGTGAAGACCTGGCGCAAATCAGAGTGGCGGGATCCTGTCATTGGGCACCCTGGCCGACTTGTAACACGTCAGAGTACCAGGGTGACCTCCGTGTGGACCGTTTCAGGGGACTAAATATGCCCCAACTCTGGTACGAAAGGAAGGGGTCAAACAGTGGATGATTTTCTCCCGTCTGCTTGCTGTTTCAGCTCCGCCGGCCGCTTCACGCGCCCAGGTTTCAGCCCTCATGACATCACCATGAAAAAGTACGAGCTGGATCGCGTCGGCCATTGCATCGGCCCACTCTTATCGCTGGAGACTACTCATGACTATTATCAAAGGATTGTCAGGGTCAGCTTAGAATGCGCGACGCAGAATGCCAAGCTCCGCGACGGTGGATACTGGTGGGGCAACCGTGTCGGTAAATGGTGCGATTCATGACTGACATGGTCGCATACTGACTCTTCGAGCTCCCTCCTCTTCCTCCTGCCTTTTGATCGAAACCAAGTCTCTCTCGCCGACCGCCGCCTCGCGTCCTACCAAAACCTGAGATCCTGCAACATCGAAGTCAGTCTGCCAAGGACGGGGTGTGTCGCCACTGTCGTCTTCCCATGCACCTTCAGCTCGCACTTCCTCGCAGCGGCCCTGCACTCGTCATCCTTGTCGAAGACCTCTGTGACGATGGTGCTGCCTGGCATCGTAACACGGCCCACATCCTCCGCCCAGCGCGAGAGACGGTCTTGCAATTCGTCCCTGTCCAGAAGTCTCGTCAGGCCGACATTGTCCTCGAGCAGGGTCTTCAGTTGGGCGATGAAGGTGTCGAGCTCGGGATCGTTCTCGCTGCGCGCACTGGTAGCCATCATGCACGCGTCCCATTTGCCGTCAGGATGGGTGGTGGCGAAGAGATAGGCGGTGTTGTTGCCTTCGGATGCGTCATCTGAGATGCTGCCAAGCGCCGACTGACTCTCCGACGCGGCCGCACAGGATCGCCGAGGAACGACTCTCATGATGCTTTGTGGACAACTGAGTGCCTGGTGATGTGGGATGTGTGATGTTTGAAAGCTATGGTACGTGATGAGGGGAGGTTGAAGCAGATGATGTGAGATGGGTGAGAGAGCGTGGATGACAGCACTACTTATATGGAGGCAGCATAGTGATATCCAGCCTTTGCACGAGCGGCAAAATGCAAGCAGCCTCAGGGGTCCAAAGGAGCGTCAGTTTCACACGCGCAAGGACAGGAAGGCGCGGCGGCTAGCTGTGCAGCTGCTGTGCCCGTATGAAACGGAATCACTGTTAAGAGTGTAAGGAGGGTCAGTGTCACACAGTCTCACACGTGTAAGAGCAGGAAAGCGCGGTAAATAGCTGTGCTGACCATGGGGTTCCAGCCGCCACACTCATCCTTTCATACACCTCACACAAAGCTTTCCAGGTCCATCCCGTCATCCTCCACCCTGTGCGCGTTGACCGGCGCCAGCGGGCTCTTGAGTAGTCGATGTCGTCTCTCCCCAGCCGCGACGGATGGAAAGGAAGCAAAGAGGTCGGGATGTTTCGGTAAAGGTGTTTCCCTTCCTGATCAGCTGAGTCGCGGGATAGGTTTAGTCAACTCACTCGAAGTAGGGGTGTTTGCCTGCTTCGTCCGCGGAGAGCCTGCGTGCGGGGTCGTACATGAGCAGACCGGCCAGGAGATTGTGTCCGGATGAGGTGAGCTGCTTGAAGCGCTGGCGAAGGACAGAGAAGCTGTAGAAGTTGGCTCAATGATGGCAGGTCACAAGGACTCAGAAGAGCTGAGGGACTTACGGTGGGCCGATAGGGTTTAGATTCTTTACGAGCGGAAGTGAATTGTAGCCTGGCCAGACGTCCTCGTTGGGTTGACCGAGAAGCATGAAGATCTAAAAGTAAGCAGTAGCTCTCTGGGGTGGAAAGCAGACATCGACCCACTTTGCCGATCTGATCGATCTCCCCTCGACCCTGCATCATCGCCTCCCCGCCCAACAATTCCCCAAAGATACACCCCACTGACCAGAGGTCCACCGCCGTGGAGTACTCTTTCGCGCCCAGTAGCAGCTCCGGCGCTCTATACCACAGCGTGACGACGAGCTGGGTCATCGGGGGTAACGGGTCGCCAAATTTACGAGCGAGACCAAAGTCGGCTATGCGGAGCTGGCCGCGATTGGTGAGGAGGAGATTGGAGGTTTTGAGATCACGGTGGAGCTGCAGCGTCAGCTAATGGGGCTCAATAGAGAAGAACGACGACCTACGATCCAATTGGCATGGCAATATGCTACTCCAGAGAGAAGTTGGATCATGAGGGTCTTGATTTCGGATTGGAGGAAAGGGTGGGGCATGTCGGTGAGGAGCGTCTTGAGATCGTGCTCGATGAATGGCATGACTATGAAGATTCTGCATCGTCAGCACACCATCTCACACATCACTCGGCTGTACTGATGCCTTTCTGAACGCGATATCACTATTTCGAGCCTGCTCCCAACCAGATCATATCCTAGTCCGTGCGTACTTAGCCGGTCAAACTCACTGATTCAGCGTTTCACCGACCACAATCTCCCTGATCCCCACCACATTCGGATGTTCCCCCGCTACCATGAGCGCCATGATCTCCCTCAAACTAGTAATCGGAAATCCCTGCTTTTCCTCTTCCAGCTTGAGCTTTTTCAGCGCAAAGATTTGGTTGGTATCGTTACACCTGGCGCGGAAGACGACGCCGTATGTGCCCTCTTCGATGTGATTGAGGCGCGTGTAAGAGTAGACGGAACGACATGGGAGGAGTGGAGGATGGGAGCTGCGGGATGGAGCAAGGTGGGATCGACGGGCGAAGCGGGGCGGAGGAGCGGGTGGTCGCGTCCGCTCAGCCGGTTCCGCTATCCTCTTGTCGGGCTTCTCTGGAGAAGCGGATCGGCGGACGGCTGGCGATATTGGGCGAGTAGGGACTGACCGGCGCGATGGTGATGCTGACCGAGACCGAGAAGGTCCAGCCGCACCCCCGTTCCGTTGAGGCGCCACGTCCCCCTGAGATGGCTCTTCTGCGTCCACACCTAGGGAGACATCGTCCGGGCGCCTAATTTTCCGCGACTTCACAGCCCTCCGCTTGATGACGGAGCTCCCCTCTTCTGCCAATTGAGGCGAAGACGGACCTGCCACGGAATTCCGCTGCGCTGGTGAACGCGCCGAGGGACCAGCTTCCGGCTGGATATGCGGCGGTGTGGAGCCTGAAGTTGCCATTTTTGGGCCGCAGCGAAGATGTATATCACCTCTTCAGCGAGCCGGGTACGTCTAGACAATGTCACGCTGACTCTGTCGTAAAGATACAAAGATGAGCTGAAAGAGATAGCACAAACTCCAAGCTTTTGAGCTGAAATTGAAAGGCACCTCCCGGATAAACCCCGGCTGAATCTCATTTACGGCATTATTGACGAAAGTTAGTTCGGTCACCGATGACATCGGCACCGCAGCTCTTCTGACCTCGATCTCTTGGTCCTCTTGGACACTCGTACCACATCTATCTCTCGGTCTGTATCTGTAGGGGATCATCTCATGCCACTGTATCGATAGTTCTGGACATCATGCCCGCCATGGCTAAGACAGGCACCTTCTGGCGGCAGACAGCGGCGTTAGTGCGTAAGAATATGTCAGTCGCTTCGCTCCTCATCTTGGCCAACTGCTCCAGTTGCTGATACTCGTACAGGATCGTTCTCTGGCACTATAGAATCATCAATATCTTTCGAGCTCTCCTGCTGCCTATAGCATACGCCGCCTTTTTCGGTAAGGGTCCCAGCATGGACATTATCCGCAAGCGGAGCTGATATCTCAACAGCCAACGCGCAAAACTTCTTCTCGTTCATTGGAGTCGTAAGCCGTATCTCAAGGTTGATTCTGACCCAGTAGCTCGGGCCAGGATATATAGCTCCCCTCCAGACACTCTCGCCAAATCTTGGGGGCTTCAAGCTAGTCTACACTGTCCCCACTAATAATAATACCGCCGCCGCGCTTGCTGAAGATCTGCTCTCGCGAGCGCTCTCGGGGATCAATCGCGGGGACGCGAATATCGTACGAGTGCAGACAAATGCTCAACTCGAAAGGCAATGCCCAACGAACTTCAACGGGCGGAGCGAGTGCTATGCGGGTGTACTGTTTTCCGGAATCGACCCGAACAATCAGCAGCTGGTGCGCCAGCTTGACACCGATATCGAGAGCACGAAACTGACTAGAGTAGAACTATACGATCCGAGCGGACGTCGGACTGTCAAATATTGACGTTTGGGACCACTCGAAGGATGACGTGCAGAGTCGGCTGCTGCCTCTGCAATGGGCAATCGAGAGCGTATGTTGCCACCGGTGACCCTTCGGAATCAGCTGCTGATGGTCAGAACTTCATCAGCATGTCTACCGGTGTCTTGCCTCCGTCGCCATTGTCATGGGAGTACACAAATCAGTCCGCCGAGGAATTGGCAGAGACTAACCGGATCAGTGAGCCATGCTGCCATTCTACCAGTGGCGAAGCTAATGGCCAGACTATTTGGGAGGTATCCGGGATCTGCTCGTACTCGCTTTCTTCCTAGATTTCCTGGGTATCGTGTATCAGGTAAGCTCATATCTCTTCTCCAGGCGTACATAGCTGATGTAGTAAAAGCTACCTGGAAGTATCGCCTCCGAGCGGTCCAGCCTGCTCACATCTCATCTGGAAGCTATGGGTTGCAGAAGATCGGCTCGATTCATGTACGTTCGCCCAGTACATCATACAGCATATCTGACGCGTCAGATCTTGGCATCTCTCCCTCTCGGCCGCCTACCTACCTGCTTGGATCGGCATCGCCATTATTTTCCAGGTCTTTGTGTTCAAGGGGACCAGTCTCGGTCTTCTGATTGGGTTGTACATCGTCACTGGACTGGGGCTGGCTAGCTGGACACAACTGGTGGTTGTGTGGTTCAAGGACGCGAGTACACTTGCCGCCATCTTCAGTAAGTCCTGCCGAGTCCCAACTGGTAGCCGAAATCCAAAAGCTGAGACCGACCAGCCACGTTCCTCGCCATCGTCTTCAGTCTCATTGCGCTCTTCCTTCGGGTATCATCCGCCGGTCTCCAGATGCTCCTGACATTCCTCTTCCCGCCCATGTTTTTCACTTTCTTCACGAAGGCCCTGGTCGCATGGGAACGGAGCAATCCAAGGGAGTCCATCCGGCTCACCCGGGTCAGCCCGGAGGGAGACGCACCCGTCGCATGGCTGCTAGTCATCGCTATCGTAAGCTCGAACTGGCTCCGTCTTTCAACCCAGAGCTGACAAGTTAGGTCGACATTTTCCTCTTCCCCCTCATCGCTGCATACTTTGAATCCAGGATCTATGGCGTCCGACCCCCAGACTACGTCTCTTTTTGGCGCAGATTATTTGGCCGAAAGTCGGCAGATGTAGGGGATGAGCTGCCCGCGGGTACGGCTGTCCAGCTCGAGCACATCAGGAAGGTCTACAAGGGCGGTTTCATGGGCTTGATCGGAAGGAAGAAGGATGTTGTCGCGATTGAGGATCTCTCTTTCTCTGTGCCAAAGGTCAGCTGAAGCTCACGTTGGTAATCCCCACAAGGCGTTCGAAGCTGACGTTCTAGGGTGAGATCTTCTGCCTCCTTGGACGCAACGGAGCGGCCAAGTCGACCACCCTGCATACTATCGCTCGGCTCATCAGTGCCACTGGCGGGAGAATACGATATGCGGATGATCTGTGCTTAGGGATTGCGAGTCAGAAGGATGTGCTCTGGGACGAGTTGACGTGTGAACAAGTGAGCCTGGATCACTCAATCAGGAGGCAATTCAAGCTAATGATATAGCACATCTCGCTCTGGCGCCAGATCAAATCCTCATCGGCACACCACCAAACCGAATCCGACCTCGAGCTGCTCCAGCGGTCGGACCTCGGCCCAAAGGTCAAGTTTTACAGTAAGAACCTGTCGGGCGGGCAAAAGCGGAAACTACAGCTGGCGTGCGCCTTGGCAGGCGGTAGCAATCTGCTGCTTCTGGACGAGATCACGAGTGGTCTAGATCCGCTCAGTCGGAGGGCGATCTGGAAGTTGATCAGCTCGAATCGAGGGAACGCTACTATTGTTCTGACGACGCATTGTGAGTGTGTGCTTTTACTGAGCGGAGTGCGTGTTGCTGATCATCAGTCCTGGACGAAGCGGATTATCTCGGAGACCATGTTGCTATTCTACAGCAACCTGGTCGACTTCTCGCCCTTAACAATCCCGTCGCCCTCAAGACGCAGATCGGGAAGGGCTTCGTCCTGTCTGTCGATGTGCCCGAGAATGGTCCCGAAGTCCACCTCGGAGACCTCGGCGCAGGCCTTATCGAGCGGGAAACCAAAGGCAAGAAGCTGTACTTTACGGGTACGACCGACTATGCGCCCATCCGTCGGCTCGTCGGTCAGCTTGAACGCCAGCGCGCATCGGGCCGGGACGTGCGGTATCAGGTCAACTCGGCGACGATGGAGCAGGTCTTCCTTGACTTGAATGCGGAGAAAGAGGAGGGCGTTCTAGCTGTACCGGCGCTGGATCCTGCCGGGCATGACACGATCGAGATGGTGCCTCTGGACAGCACCACCGGGTCCGACTCGGATGACCTGGACAAGTCCACCCCACCAAATGGATTAGAGAAGGATCTGGAAGCGTCGCACGCCTACCCGGGGACCAACACACCCGTCCTTCTCGCCCTCTCACCGGGGCGGAAACGGAATGTCTTCCTCGCTACCCCAATCGACGCGTTCACCATCTTTGTCAAGCGGTGGATGGTCTTCCGCCGAGCTTGGGTCCTCCCCGTCATCGGCCTCATCGTCACTATCGCCGCGGCAACCATCCCGCTCGGATACATGTACGGCCGGGTCCAGACGTGCGCTTTGGTGCTCACCAACCGGCGGCTCCAGCGGCTCAGCTACCCTTACTCCATCTACCCCGCGGTCTTCTCTCCGCCCGTCATCTCCCCCTCTTCCCTCTTTTCGGCGTATCCCGCTGTCCTCCCCCTCGTTCAGCGAGTGGACAATAACGCGACCTTCATCTCGACATTTGCGGACACCACTGCCAACATCTCGTACGGTGGTATCTCGCTGCCAAGCAATGTTGCCACTTCGCCCGCGCTGTTCGCATACGAGGGACAGGCGTTCACGCAGAAGGGACAGTCGGTGCTCAATCTCCTGAGCAACCAGCTGCTGAACTCCATCTCGACTCCCAACATCACTGGGCTGGGGATCGGGCAGATCGGAAGGCTTTTCCGCATTGACTTGTCTTTCAGGTTCATGGCGGCCCCGGATTTTAGCTCGACCGTTCTTGCTATCAAGTGGCTCGGATTCTTGTAAGTTTCGATTGCACTGCTTGACGGACCACAGAAGCTGACTCCTCAGTGGTCTGGGTATGGCCGTCTGGCCTGCATTTGCCGTTATTTATCCCACTCAAGAAAAGGCCAGCAATGTCCGAGCGAATCAGTACAGGTGAGCTGCCCCTCGACACCTTCTGCGGAGCTCAGCTGATCATGCAGTAACGGTGCCTCGCCCGTCGCTCTCTGGCTCGGCCACCTTCTCTGGGAGCTACCCCCCATCATCACCATCTCTACCCTCATCACCATCATCTTTGCCACTGTCTCGTCTCAATTCAACGCGATCGGTTACGTCTGGTTCTGCTTGTTGTTGTACGGGATCAGCGCGACGCTGTACAGCTTCATGTTTGCGCTGTTCTTGACGAGTCCGCTGGCGAGTTGGGCGTTGGTCGCCGGGAGTAACGTCATATTGTTTATGTTATACTTGTGAGTCCGGCTGCCCGATAGAAGGATCAAGCGAGACCGGACGCTGATAATATAGGGCGTCGTACCTCCTCATCTTGACCTATGATCGGAGTGCTAGTGCTGCGTACCACATGACCATCGCCCACTTCACGATCTCCCTCATCAACCCTGTACCCAGTATTGGTGAGCTTGTCATTCTCCAAACTTTAACCGTGGCTGACAAGCAGTCCGCGCCATTCTCGTCTCCATCAATATGTTCAACCTCCTCTGCGACGGTCTCGGCGACTACTCGGACGACCCCTACTCCAACATCATGCAATTCGGCGGTCCCATCCTGTACATGATCCTCCAGTCCTTCTTCGCATTCGCCGTCCTCGTGTATGTCGACTCGGGCTCTCCACTCCCTGCCTTCCTCTACCGCTCGCGTCTCAAGGGTATCGCGCATGATCCGGACGACGCGCGATCCGCCGACGTCATCGAGGAGAAGCAACGCTTGATTCAGGGAGCGCCGGATATGCTTCAGGTCCTGGGGTTGAAGAAGCGCTTTGGGATGAGCAAGACATTGGCGGTCAATGATGTTTCGTTTGGAGTGCAGACGGGGGTGAACTTTGCGCTTATTGGACCGAATGGAGCGGGGAAGACGACGACCCTTGCGGTGATTAGGGGTGTGGTGAGTCTGCGATCGCCTGATGATCCAGGACTTATACTGATATCGGGCAGGAATTGCCAACTGCTGGAGACGTCCACGTCGCCGGACACTCGATCGTAAATTCGAGGAACGGTGCGCGGGCGCAACTTGGTGTCTGCCCGCAGCATAACACAATAGATCAGCATTTGACCGGTAAGCTGGCTTCTCATGTGCTTTCCTATCATGTCTGCAGAGCTGACAGATCACAGTCAGCCAGCACCTTTGGGTATACGGCCGACTCAAAGGCGTACCTCGCAAACTTCTCAAGCACGACATCTACGCTCTTCTGTCAGCGGCTGGACTGCTCGTCAAGGCAGACCAGCTCGCTACCAGTCTTTCAGGCGGAAATCAGCGCAAGCTGGGTCTGGCTATTGCTTTGATTGGCGATCGGCCGGTCGTGCTCATTGACGAGTTCTCAAGTGGTGTCGACCCATTCTCAAAACGCGAGGCTTGGACAACGGTACGTCCCGCCTGACCCATAGTGGAAAGTCAGCTGACATACAGCTCGCTGCTTTGACCAAAGACCGCGCCGTCGTCATGACCACCCACTCGATGGAAGAAGTCGACGCCCTTTCTTCCCGAGTCGGCATCGTCGCTTCCAAAATGCTCGCGGTCGGAACCCCTTCCAGCCTGAAATCTCGGTTTGCGACATACGAGATCCACCTGCCTGCGACGCAAGTGGGCGAGGTGCTAGATTATCTGCACGAAAGGGGCTTTGGGGAGGCAGAACGGAGTCTGGACACGTTGACGAGGATCAGTGTGCCGGGAGTGAGGGAGGAAGAGGTGGGGCGGTTATTGGCTGTTCTGGAGGGGGTCAAGGGGGAGCTTGGGTTGGATGTGACGCTGCATGAGTGAGTTGAAGTCCATTATCTTTTGTGTGAAGTGTCAGCTAGCTAATGCGCTTAGGGCGTCGACTGAAACTGCGTTTTTGAGTATCGTCCGGGCGCATAATGTCCGGGAAGAGGAGAGTAGGCAGGCATCAGGTTCATCCTGGTTTACCAAGCTCTTCAGGCGGCATAAGCAGTAGACTGGCGGTCTTGCTTAACTTATCTCACTTGTAGACTCTCTCTTTTGTCATCTATAGGTATCCGCATGTCAGCTATCTTGTAGAGACCCGTATGGGAAGCAGCTCCTGTACTTAACGCCGTGACCGCGTTCCTCGACCGGAGTTACGGCGCCGAGCGGAGTTCAGGTGAATGTCCGAAGATGATGGATGTAAATCGGTGCCAAGCCGAAGCGGGAGATCGACGCTGAGACATGCTGCCGGATCGAGCGTGTGAAGTCCATCCAGCCCCACCTCCACCAGCTGCCAGCCTCCACCGGCGTATGGCCTCCTTGAACGTGGTCCACCCTCTGAAATCGTATATAGTCAGACTGAACTGAACGGATGCACCCTCTTCTCCCACCTCTACTCACCCATCTCAAAATGAAGCTCACCTCCACCCTCATCGCCTTCTTCTCCCTCGCGGCCCCCGCCGTGCAGGTCCTCGCCCAAAATGCCACCGGCCTCGGCTACGGCAACATCACCTCGTCCATCCCCAGCAACAACACCTCGCTCTCCTTCGGGCGCAACTATGCCGTGCTCAACCTGGACATGATCAACGGGATCTACGGGTCATTCAATACCACCTCCCAAGGCCAGCAGCTCATCAACTCTACGGTGACGTGGATCAATGCCGTTCAGGCGCAGAACCCTCCGCCATTGACGATATGGACAAGGATCTACTTTTCGAACGTGCTGAGGCCGGAGTTAGGTGTGGGGGTGCCGTTCCAGAAGGTCATTGGGGGGTTGGGGAATATTACGGAGAGTAGCCCGGCGGGGCAGATTTATGGCGCGTTCAAGCCGCTGCAGAATCGGGATGTGATCATGCCCAAGACGAGGCTCTATGCTGGTGAGTCATCTCAGTTTTCTTGATGAGAATGATGGTGCGTGAAGAACGAGGCTGATCAAGCAGGAGCCGGTAATGCCATGGAGGAGATCCTGTCGAGCTATAAGATCGACACTGTCATCCTGGTATGTCCCTCTGCAAAACCCTGGAGCCATCTCAAGTGCTGGAGCTAATGATCAGAGCGGTACCCGTGCCTCCGCCGTCATCCTCTCAACCGCCCTCCGGCTCTTTGACCTCGTAAGCTCTACGAGTATCTCTAACTCTATCGAGGGGTCCTCGCTAAGATAGCAGAACTACAACGTCTATGTCATCGCCGACAACGTTATCGAGACTCCCCCCGATAACGGGATCTACAAGACGATCTTGCAGTACATCCTCCCCAAGGATCAGTTGAACGTTATCAGCTTGGACCAGGCTATTGGCGCGCTCAACCGGAGTGGGCCAGTTACTTTCTGATTGACTCAACGATCATCGAGAGCGGGCTATGAGGAGCAGGTGTGAGGGGAAAAGATAAGCAGTATAGTATAATCAGAGGTGTCAATCTGCATCACAACTATGAGTCAATCAGGAGAGTTGATACCAGGTTTTATGTTGCATGTCAGGAAAAGCTCAGGACGGGACCCCCACTTCCTCTCCTCCCCCATTTCCCGGATGATCGTCCGGTTCACCGACTACGCTCTTGAGTAGCTGGCGTGGGGGATATGAGCGCCAAATTCCAGCGCAATCAACCCAAGAACTCAATACATCCCAGAGCTGTGATAACCATACGGATGCCCCTCCTGATCCCTGATCTTAGCTTCATCTACCAAACCTTCTCCTCATTCTTCTTCGCGCCCTCCCCCTCCCCCTCCCTCGGCTCCCTAAAGACGCTCAACCACCCCTCCCACCCATCCTCGTACGTCACCCCCTGCTCCTTCCTCACAATCCCCCACCCTTCCACCTGGCCCCTCCACCGCAACTCCTTCTTCTTGCGCTCATCCCGTAGATCCTCTTCGCTGACGAGCGGCTTGGTGCTCTTCTTTTCCGCATCCGTCAACTCCCTCTCGCCGGCCGCTAGTGCCCGGACGTCCGCGAGGCGGGCAGAGAGATCGGGGTAATAGTCGTCTTTGGCTTTTTGAAGGCGGGCGGGGAGGTCGTCGAAATCGTTTTTGAAGTATCGTTCGGCTTGGCGGTCAAAGTCTAGGTCGGAGCCTAGGCCGGGGCCGAGGGAGCCGGGGGTGGAAGCGGGAGCTTCGGAAGAGGAGAAGGGAGAGGGGGAGGAGGTGTTGGCGGTAGGGAAGGAAGAGGAGGAGGAAGCGAGGAAGGGCCGGGTGTGGCCGCATATGAGAGCATAAGCCAATTTGGCGCCCTCTTCGACTTTACGGTGTTCAGTAAAGAAATCGTAGATCATGTAGGGGATCTGTTGGAAGCCGAGGTGGTTGGTCCAGGGGACGAGGAGCAATGGAGGTTGTGGTGGGAGCGGGTTGGGCGGGAGGTGCATGTGTGTGGGGACCTGGGGTCCGGCCTGCGATGCGGACGCAGAGGAGAGGGATGGTTGAGGTCGGTTAAGGAATGATAAGCCGGTAGGCGACATCCCGGACGATTGTGTCGTGGGCACGTCCGCCGCAAACTCCGCGCCCGAGCTCGCCTCGCCCACTTCGCTTGCAGGCCCCTCAAATACCCCATCCCCCTTCATCCGCGCTTCCACCTCCTTCTCCCATACCCACTCATCTACCGAGCCCGCCCATCCCCGCTTCAGCCCCTCCATATACTCCTTGAGACTCGGCCGACCGATCAGAATCACACCGCCCGCGAGGTCATTCGCTTCGACCGCCGCTGGATCGATGGCGCCGGGTACAGAGAGAGGAACGGGGGTGGGTTCCAGCCCTAGTTTCTGTCGACGGGCGGTGAGGATCGCGGCGTGGGTCTGGCGCGTTATGGCGCCGTATAAAGGTGGGGGGAGGGTGTCGTAGTCTATACCCGCGGCGACTAGGTATGGCTGAGAGTCAGCACTAGGTCATAGGATACCCGCGTAAATATCGACATCTATCCAGGTGTATATTCCACCCCAGGAACCAACTCACCTTGAGGTACTTGCGGAAATATTTAGCCCCTCTATCAGCCTCATCATCCTCCGGCCACCTAGCCGCTAGGACCCTCACCTTCCTAACCAGCCCCAGGCTCCCGCCCTCCAACACCTCCTTCCCCAAATGCTCTACTTTGGCAATATACTCGGCCTTGATCTTCTTGCACCGCCGGCGGTCGTCATAGTACAGGTATGACACGCTGGAAAGGACAGACCAAAAGATGAGCCAGTTGCGCGAGGGTAGGCGGGGCTTGTATGTCAACACAGAGCGCGGGAGGCCAGTATGTTCGAGAGCGGAGCGGAAGCCTGTTAGGGGTTCGAGAGGGGGTTTGGCGCCTGGAGCGCCTGGAGCGACAGGGGCAGGGCCGCCGGGTGGGGGTGCAGGAGGGGTGGCGGAGAAGGGGATAGGAGGGGGTTGTTGTGGTGGGACAGAGGGAGGAGGGGTCGGCGGAGGAGGAGTGGACATGGCGCTGATGACGTGCTTTGCTGTATGGGCTGAGTGTGGATGAACGAAAGAGGAGGATAGGTGGAGAGGCAACTTTTCCGCTTGCTCGCTTGCTCCGAAATTCCACTTCAGAGTCGCTTCCGACGGAAGTGGCGGAGCTTACTGGCTCGCCTGCTGGTCTTTGGTCTCTGATCATGAGAAGTGTTAGACCCTGCTGCAACCCGATACTAGTGACGAATACAGACGGCTGTATAGTGCTGGTATCGCTTGCTTGGGTAGCCTTTCTGAGTCATATATATTCCCTATCCCGTTTAAGCATTATATCGTCTCCAGGTCGTACAGATGATCCCCTCTTTCTTGTGCTTTACCTCCTGTCGTAGGCCATTCAGGCGATTCCGGGCATGGAGTAAGGCAAGTGTTCTCCACCCCCCCGTATCGGTGCCCAACATGTACTGGACCATGCGTGCTCGATGTCGGATTCCACGGCATGTCGGTCGTATTTCGGTAGTTTCGTTGTGTTCCCTCCTTCCCCAAATCGAGCCGGTGTCAGTCCCACATGACCTATCAGGTCAGCTTGCATCACCCTGCGCCCTATCAAAAGCGGCAACGCTTCAAGAGCCAGCTTACCTCAGGGTTCGCCTTGAACGCTTCGTACTCTTTCCGATTGAACAGCGAGAGCTCCGTCTCATTCTCTGCCACTTATCAGCTACTTCCCCTGCCGCTGCTTCCGTGGCTCTGGGCGCGGTAGCTGGTAGCTTGGTCTTCAAGTCCAGAGGTCGACTTACTCGCTCCGATCTCGGCGAGCGTCTTACCCATATCAGTCAAGATCCACTCATCCTTGTCGAGGTTGATGATCAGATTGGTCGTCTGCTACGTCAGCTTCAGGGTTCACCTAGACGATCCAAACGGTGGATCATGGCGGAAAGCTGACCTTGCTTCCGTGCGCAACAGTGTACAGCTTGAGTGTATCTGGCATTGTCAGCTTCTGACCTTCGCCTCGAGGTCAAAGGAGAAGCAGGGGGAAGACAAGCGGAGGACTGACCGAGTTCGAGGTTCCTGTACGCCTTGTAACCCGGCGCAGTCTTGATGTCTATCGCATCAGCCCCGTGTTGATCAACCCATCAGAATAGGCATATCAGTACAGTCAGTCAGTCTGTTCGGCACCAAGGAACAGGACCTCAGCCAATCCAATCCTCTGGAGCTTCAACTTCCTCCAGCCAGTTCCTGCTCAGAACCACCTAGACCCCTGCTTTTCCTTCCACCATATCCACGCAGCCCTTACCCTTACCCTTCGCTAGAAGACGAAAAAGCTCACCTCGCTTACACCTCTCCATCAACTCCCCAACCGTAACCTCCCCCAGGTTCACCCCCTTGAGCACCATCCCCCTAAACGTCCGGTACTCGAACGACTTGATGATCCGGACCGTGATCGTCGCGTTATTGAGCGGGTGGAAGGCCTCGTCTGACCGGAGGGGGTCGTATGTATTCTCTCCATGTGCAGGTGCAGAGGCCGGCGTGGAAGTCGCTAGTGGGGTGGGTTCCGAGGAGGAGGAGGAGGGGTCCATCGTGAGAGCTCTGACTTGGGCGCGAGCGTTGAAGTGACGCTCTCTTCGCTGTTATAGGGCTTGGAAGGCGAAGAAGCGCGAGCAGATAGAGAAGGAGAAGAGGAGCGGTTTGGATCAGACAAGGCTGATGTGTGTTCGATAGAGGGTCGATAGAGGTCACAGCTTTTGGCGGTCCTTGTCTGCTCAGAAATTGCGACTAGACAAACATTCCCATGCCGTCACAGTTCCGGGACCACCAGAACCAGCAACACCGATAGTACGAACAGAATACTATCCGTGTGCGCGTCCAGCCGGCCCTCTAATCAGACATTCCAGTAGCCAAGCTCATGCCCATTCCCCCTAGACCTGAGAGTCGGAAAATTTGTATCATCACTGCAATAACTCGAAGACATCTTATAGACGGGGGAGCGGGGAGCGGGGAGAGCGGGTGGGTCGTGGAATGCGAGAGATACGGATACACATAGCGGATATGTGCGGGAGGAGTGAGGGAGGGAGAGAGAAGGGAGAGGAGAAGGGAAGGGAAGACCGGTAGCCCCTAAACTATGTGGAAAAAAGATTGCCTCGTTATCCTTCTTTCTATGAGTTTAAGCCGCCTCCTCCTTGGGTGCCTCGTCGGCCTCGTCCTTCGGCTTGTCTGTATGATCAGCTTATTCCTCGCCTTGGTTTCAGAGCGGCTAGCTCACCCTCGTTCATGTCGCTGGTCCAGAGCGTCAGGTTGTCCCGCAGGAGCTGCATGATGAGGGTAGAGTCCCTGCTACGTCAGCTTTGTCATTCTCCCCGTGGAGAAAAGCTCACTTGTAAGACTCCTCGGAAAGGGTGTCGAGCTCGGCAATGGCGTCGTCGAACGCCTGCTTGGCGAGGTGGCAAGCGCGGTCTGGGCTGTTGAGGATCTCGTAGCTGAAGATGAGCCCAAGTACAGGGCGTTTGCGCCGGTGCACTCACTAGAAGACCGAGAAGTTAAGCGCAAGACCAAGACGGATGGGGTGTGTAGGAGGGAGCTCAGTGACGGCAACGTCGGACGCGGCCTTGTAGGCCTCGAGGGACTTGTCGGCCGAGTCCTTGCGCTTGTCGCCAGTGGCGAACTCGGCGAGGTATCGGTGGTAGTCTCCCATCCTACGGAATTAGCACACTCCTAGTCAGTCTTTCCGCACGCTTGACCTACATCTTGTGGTAGAACACCTTGGACTCGCCCGAGGCGGCCGAGGGGATGAGGTGTTTGTCGAGAACCTCGAGAATGTCCTCGCAGATCTTGGCGAGCTCGGCCTCAATCTTCTCCCGGTAGTCGCGGATCATCTTGACCTGGGCCTCGTTGCCCTTGGACTCCTCCTTCTGCTCGATCGACGACACGATCCGCCACGACGCACGGCGCGCACCAATGACATTCTTGTAGGCGACCGAAAGGAGATTGCGCTCCTCGACGGTGAGCTCCTGGTCGGACGACGCGACGTGCTTCATGTTCTCGACCATTTCTAAAGTCAGCGCTGAACACGATAAACGACTCACCCTCATACCGCTCGGCCTGCTCGGCGAGCTTGGCGAGGTAGACGGAATCTTCGCGGCTGGTCATCTGTTTGGGCAAGGACGATTTGGCGATTGCGAATGGGGAGGTGGTAGCGATCGGCATGTTGAGGTATGGACGATGGAGAGTATGGGCGATGTGGCAAGTAGAAGGAAGGGCGAGATGATACGCGTTCGAGTATGGTAAGGGGCGGAATGAAGAGAAGAAAGAAGCTCAGTCAGCTTATCTCCTTTATCTATTGTTTGGGTCTCGGGCTTCATTGTCCAGCCACCGGGCCGCGCGCCGAATCGTTATCCCTCAACGTGACTCTCTCTTCTGGCAAGACCCGCCCTCAAAGCGAGAAGCAGATAGGGAGGAATGCCAAGAGGCGGAATGAGGAAATGGCGCGTCGACGCGTGTGATGAGGGATTATGCGACTCAACTCACGGTTGCTATTGTCTGTTGATGCAATCAAGTTGGCGGGAAGTAGCGGTGGTTGAGAGGTCGTAGAGGACGAGCGAAAGTTGAGGTATAGTAGATCGATGAATGAGATGAAGGTATGTGATGCGACGATAGGATGACGGGACGGTCCAAGCGGGGAAGGAACTAGATCAGCAGTGTTCCTTCTTTGTTGTCAATGCTCGTGTGCCACTTCTGCTGGCTCATCACTCCGGCAGTTGACGCCCGCCCTCCCCGTGACCCTTTGTTGGACAAAGGAACCCTCCTCGCCCAACACCCCAACGGTCGATCAAGTCACACCCCTATCACGCTCCACTAATGCCTTCCTCCTGATTGCACCGCCTTCCCAGCCCGTCCCTCCATCTCTTGTTCGATAGAGCCGTGTCCTGTGTATCCTGTATCAGCACGACGCTCACCTTTGTTTGTATTGTATAAAGTAAGGTAGATGGATAGGTAGCTTTGTAGCTATAGATGTATAGAGAGTGGTAAGGAATGAATGGAGTGGGTTGGCTGAGCGTCACACCCAGAGCCAGTGGGCCGTAGTCAATGACCCTGAAATCTCAATCGCCCGGAGGGGCAACAAAGGGAGAGAAGGGCGGCGGCGAATCCGGAGTTACGGGAATGTGGCATTACAGGCGCGTCGTGCGCGTGATCGAATTAGGCGCGTCAGTGCCGGCGCGTGCCTTATCGCACGTGCCTGGCAGATCTGCAATCCATTAGGCGTGCTAGATCCCCAGCCTTGACTCAGCCGAAGGAATCCAGCCGATCCTCCGAGTGACTTGTTCTGCTGCCTTCTATTTGTGTCTTCTCCAACTCTCGCCTTCATAGCTTCATCAAGCATCAAGGCTACCATCTCCAACAAAGACACGTAGCTACAGCTCTCGAATAGCCGGCAGGGAAATAACCGCATTCGCAAATCACAAGTCAAAGCTATCGCAAGCATAATCCATTCAAGGACAATCAGGAACCTTCCCCACTTTCCTGCCTATATCCCAACCACCGCTCGACTGCGATGATGGTCCCTCAAGTCAGTTTCGAAGAGTTCCAGTACAGAGCAGCAGCTGACGTCCCGCAGGAGGAGCTGCCTATTCTCGAAGCGCTCATTACGATTCGAAACCGCCTCACTGCGCTCAAGAAGGTGAACCATAGAGTTCTCCTTGTTGCATAAGGCTCGGGACTAGAAGCTGATCTATAGGACACGACCAAGTTCATCCGCGCGCAAGATGTCATGTCCATCTACAACTCGGTAGTGAAGCAGGGTAAGCCCTCTCGCCTAGTAGATTCTACCTTTGTCATCCCAGCTGAACGTTGCGCTGACGTTCAGTAACCCGCCTGAACGGTATCCGGGAAGACAACGCCCCCGCCTCTTCCTCGTCCACACCCAACCCCTCTTCCAACGGCGGGCCAAGTACAGGCCCTACCGGCACGTCCACCCAGTCCGAGCCAAACCGGGTGGATACGGTCCTCGCGGACGTCTTTGCCCTTCTCAGTCTGTTCTTCTTGACTATTGGGAAGAGCAGGGAGACGCCGGCTATCTACTGCCAGATCGCTTCTATGCGGGTGAGCTTTTCGTCCTGAAGTTGACCATTCCTGGCGCAGGGCTCAGCTAACGAGACAGCAAATCCTCCTCCACATGAATGAGACCGGAGCATACACCGACCAGCTCATCATACCTTTCCGGGAACGCCTGGACGCGCTCAAAGAGATCCTCAAGAAGGATATGGAGTCGGACAAGCATCCGGAGCCGATCGTGCGGTTGATGATGAAGAAGCTGGACGGTGTGGGTGAGTACTGGCCATTGAATATTTGGGAAGATAGGCTGATGGGCAGAACGACAACTCAATGAGTTGTTCGATGCGCTATCGTTCCTCTCGGTCGAGCTTGTACCCATACATCAGCGGCTCGTGACGATCCGGAAAGAGCTGGCGATGCTCTCGGCCGAACCAAAAGCGAACAAGACGCAGCTCAAGGCGTTATTGGAGGAGTTGCGGAAGATTGACGCGTAAGCTATGTAGGCTTCATCGTGAAGGGAGGACATAGCTGATTAGTAGAAAACGGGTAGATGGCAAGTTTCTCGGTCCGGGCGGATCCTCCGTACCCGAGGGTCAAGCCTTACTTTCCGGTCTGCTCGATACAGGCTTTGAGATGGCGCAGGATATCAAAGCGAGAGAGGCGGAGGATGAGATTGCGGTGGGGTTGAGACCGATATATGATCGATTGAGCGAGATGAAGGCTCAACTGGATCAGCTATGTAAGCTACAGACTGTTCATCATGGAGGTAAAGCTGACGAGTATAGTATTGACACATCGATGGACGTTGAGGGAAACGGATCTGTACAAGTACGTATCAGCGTCTTGTGCAAAGATGTGTGGTCCCGTCTTGCAAAAGCTGATCCCACAGCTATTCGATGTCATTACGCGAGATTGACCAGATGCGGGTGGATGGGAAATTTGTTGATGCGGACGGTCACAAGGCCGAGGGGCAATATGTGAGCTTGATCTTGCAGACATTTCTGGTCCAAGCTGACATCTAGGCTCTCCTCTTCCTCCTCCGGAGGTGTTTCGGTCTGATATATCGGCTCATGTCGGAATCAGAACCCATATCCGAGGAACTCATGCCTATTGTGAGCTGCTTTGAACTTTCCCTTGTCGCACCCAGCTGATTGACATCCCAGGCCAACAAGTTGTCGACAATAAAGAAGTGCCTAAACGAAGTCCTGAAATACGGCGGACCCTACTCGCCCCGCGATCTCTATCCCTACCATCTCGCCCTGCACCAAGTCGATTCACTGAGAAAAGACGGCAAGTTCTGCGCGGACGACGGGAGTATACCAGAGGGCCAGGCGATTCTTGTCGCGCAGTTGAGTGAGGCGCATGAGTTGTTGGAGATGCTCAAAGAGAGTATGAGCGATGATGAGGATGAGGAGAGCTCATAGCCCCTTATTCGAGGGAGGAAGGGGTAGGAGGAGGGGCCTAGGGAGGGGAACTGAAGCGTCGGGTTGAGGACCGCCGCCGGCCGCCCCAGCAATTAATCGGAGCGCCCAGGGACATGTGGTCGGGGACGATGCGGTGGATATGGGGGATATGTTCAGGGTATCTAGGGGTTGTAGGTATGCAGCTCACTCACTACTTTTCGCGCGGGTAGGGCGCAGCTCCTCGCCCCGGCCGAGATATGATCAGCGCAGGTGAACGACGATACGCAGACACGGACTGACGCACCCCTTACAACACTAAATGACTGTCTGGATCGAAAATGTGTTTCCGACGGAAATGATCTATACGGGTATCCAAAATGCCCAAAACTACTAATAAAAGAAGTTCCCAAAAGGTACTACAGCTGAACAAGCCCTTCAAGCTCCAATCTCCCTTTATACCGCTCACACCTCCGATATCCCCAATGTGAGTTGACCACCGGACGCATTTGACCCTCCCGTACCCACCGAGCTAAGCACAACAAACCCTGACGAGCGCAAGGCGATCGCGATCTAGGGTCCGACTAGTGGCTACATGTGTGCTGTATTGACAATTCGGACTAGAGCTACAATGTATACTGACAGATGATCGAGCTAGCTACAGAGTAAATGAGATAGCAAATGTAAAATGTACAAGTCTGAGAACCTGAGTGGTGATGTCGTTGTTCTACATATAAGAACCGCGATGTTGAGTTGTGGAGTGTTGAGTGGTGTGTGTGTGTGTGGTGAGTTATGGTCTGGGTAGTAAATCAAGAGACTAAGCTGCCAGCGATAGAGGTGGCGATGTCGGTACTAGGCTTATCAGCACACATGGATAAGTCCCAATAGACAGAGGAGGAGCAGCAATTAGGGTTTAGGTGACTAACTTTGCGTTGGTGGAATAGGCTGCGCAAGTGCTCTGCTCATGACTACTCCCACCCCTACAGAGCCGGTGAGCATGGGACCACTAACAGCTGACAGTGGAGATACGAGAGGTGCGTACCCTGGAACACCCCCCATCAAGATCGCACAGCTTACTGCAGACCCCATCATCGCTCGTGGTCCGCCTGAGATATCAGCGATTTGGGCCTCTTCACGTGTGTCCAGATATCCTTACCTCTGATTGCCAAACTACCTCCTGTCAGCGCTCCCGAAGCCACAGAATTCCACGGATCCTCCTTTTGTCTGTACCCCTTCACTGCGCACGTACTCAAAGGTAGATAGCAGTCCGCCAAAGATGGCGAGATTACCGCCTACGACGGGCGCTCGGGCCTTGATGGCTGAAAGTGAGCCTATCAACCGGTTCCCCTACATGATCAGAAAGATCTCGTCAAGCTAGCGTGTAGGAATAAGAGTAGGAAGAAGGCACAACACAGCGAGCTGAACGATGGAGTGACAGTCTCGCAAATGAATAAGAAAGGGAGCGACATCGATGACTCACCTTGGGACTGCTCCGTGCTCCCTTAATACCATGCCAGATTCCGCCTCCTATCGCCCCCATAGCGAAGCCAGCGCCAAAGTCGGACAGGTGAACATACGGACTGATAAGACGTCAGCGTTTACAAAACGCCGCGTCAAGTTGCCAGAGCTGTGCGTCCGCGGGTGAGCAATGAAGAGAGTTTAGAATCTGATGGTGCTCACCATGGGTCGCGAGAGTGATCTCCGTCCATTGCGTCACCAGCTGAGGTTTCCAAGAAGTAAATACAAAGACCGAAAGAGAGCGCTGTCCAGACGCCCGGATGCACTGGAACGTTCCAGCGCAAGCGGGGGTACATCCGCTCGGAAAGAAGGAGAACAAGGTTTTGAGCTGTGTTTCAGGCACGGCATGTGTTTCAGATAAGACTATCCATCAGCTCGTAGGTCTATGGGGAGGCTGGCGAGACGGTAGGTCAGTAGGCGACGTGTTGTTGGTGATTGGTGATTGGAAGAGCGGAAGAGCATACGCCTCTTCTAGGCATAACAAGGCAGCTGGCTAGCCAGGAAGAGCGAGCGCCATGGGTCCCCAAGACGTTGTCTCGCTGAGTTACTAGCTACCTTCACCTCTACTGCCAGGCTGAGCACCGACCTGGATATGTCACGCATCTGTGCCCCGATGCCCACAGTGAAAGTGATACGAGATCTGTTGACAGCGCCGCTTCCATCTCCTCCATAGGGATATAGCTGCTCCCAGCTGTCATACTGATTAGTTTGTGCACTCAGAGTGACAAGCTGCGAGAGCACCAGAATTGTACTATAGCTCAATCCCTCAAGTCGATCGCGATTGACATTTTGCTTCATCATATCACATTATATACAGATACAGATTAGTCTTGCTTGCCTCCTATATTAGTTGACCATATCTCGCCGCCAGACCGCCATCGTCTTCGTTCCTCGCAATTAGAGCTGAGACATCGAACTGATCATCCCCGCATTCAACGCCATGTTGTTACCCTCCTGTCCCTGCTGGCCTCGCTGCTGGACCTGGTAGCCCGAGCTGGAGCCCTCGGCGTGGTTCCCGTCGGCCGCGATCTGGTTCATGACCGGGTCGAGACCGCTCGAGCCGCCCATCGTTCCGAGGTTCATGGGCACTGGTGTTTGTCAGTATGGGGTATCTCCAGGGGTGCGAGAGCGAGCAAGACCTACCGAAGATGACTTTGCTGGCCGCCGATCTCGACATGTTCTGAAGCGCGTCGAGCTGACGGATCTGCATCGCGGCAGGAGAGGCGAGGATCTGAGGTCGTCAGCATGGGCGCGGGGGAGGGAGCGTCGGCATCAAGTATGTTTAATGAAGACCGAGGAAAGGTCTTTAACATTGGGAGGCTTGGTCACGAGGGAGGGAATAGTAGGAGAAAAGGTCGTAGGGAAGGGGTGAGGGAAGGCAAATGGAGGTGGAAGGAATAAACTCACATCAGCAGCTAAGATGCGTCAGCTAAATCCCGTGCTTGACCAAGATCACGGAAGGAAAGACTCACCCTGTCTCATCAACTTCGCAGCATCCACCTCCGCCCTCGCAGCGATGACCTTGGACTCTCCGATCCGCTTCTGGGTAGCAGCAGACGAGAGGGACTGCTGGAGCTCGATCGAGAAGTTGATGTCCTTGAGGAGGATCGACTCGATGGCGACACCCCACTTCTCAGCGGTGGCTTCGATCTGCAGAGTCAGAATCTATCACCCAGCTGAACGGGCCAGAGAATGGGGAGAGGGTACTCACAATCTCGGCGACTTCCTGTGCGAGCCCCTCACGGTCCGAGATGACGGACTGGAGAACACGACCACCGACGACCTGGCGAAGCGTAGTCTCTGTTGGAGATCAGCGAAGACCCCTTACCAATTGAAGGGCGTGTTGGGACTTACGAGCACGCTCGACCAGGGCAAGACGGACATCGTTGATACCGAAAGCAGCTCGGTAAGGGGAGATGACTAGCTGGTCAGCTATGGCAGGACGACACATTCTCGACAAAAGAAGCTCACCATGCCAGCAGATCACGCTATCGACGTCGACCGAGACGTTATCCTTGGTCTGGACAGTCTGGCGAGGGACGGGCGAAAGCTGGATCTTGACGTCTAGCAGGAGTCAGCGTCGAGCTCAGGCCGGATAGAAGATGGACGTACCGACGATCTTAATCTCCTCGGAACAGACGTTGACCTGCACGAGTCCCGGGTCGACCGACTTGTAGAATTGACCGAATCGACTGATGAGACCTTCCAGATTAGCGCATGAAGTTTGGCGCCCGTCACGCCGGTCGGGAGAGACTGAACTGACCGACAGAACCTTGTTGTACCGAGCGGAAAGGACTAGGAAGAGGACAGCAGGGAATGGCGCCAATAGCACCTATGCAGGCTCCGAGACTGTTCATCATCGTCCCGTATACACCGTGCTGAGTGGTCAGCGGAAGTTTCGGCAGCGAGCGGTCATACCAACTTACCTCGATGGTGTTGGAGCCGAGGTCCTGAGCGTACGACGGCTGCATACTGCTCAGATCAGCTTCAGTAACTCCATGGAGTGGCTTAGCGCGCGCAGGGGATAATAGAAGCAGATAGAAGCTAAGAAGGGGGAGAAGGAATGTTGAGGAATGTGGAGTTGCAAAGGGGGTTCGTGCCATCGAGCTTGGACTCACTCGTTCTTCTTGAGAGGCTGCACGATCTACACCATAGTCAGCTCCATCGATGACTATGCCAGGAGCTAGAAGACGGATGAACTCACCAAAATCCCGTCACCCCTTGCCTGCCTAGGCGGAGCACCGGCGCCATCGGCGATCCCCATCTTGGCCTTCCGCGGCACATCATCCGTGACGTATCGGTGCAGGTCGTCGTCGTTCGAGCCAGAGCCAGAGCCGTGCCCGTCATTAGTGGCGGCAAAGCCAGACTTGTTGGGGACGATCGTGTCGTCGTTAGACGCTTGGTAGTTGGGTGCTGACATCTTGTTGGTTGATCGAAGTTGAGTGATTTGTTATCGCTGGGATTGCGTCGCTGGGTGATTGCTGGGGGTATGCGTGAGATACCCGTGAGATGCCAGGTACTTATAGATAGATGAGAAGCGGTGAAGGAGTACTGCTGACTCGTGATGTTGTAGAGTGGCGATGCATCGGAAGCTTGGGGCTTGCAAAGGCGGATCTTGGCGTTATTCCCGCATGCCGGATCCGGCCGGTCATCTCCGCCGAAGCAACGCCGACGTGCCGAGCTTCGGCGCCGATAAGGTTTCTCGTCATCATAGCTGCGTAATGACTTGGCATTCCGCCGCCATTCCTGGCTTGGTACAACGGCGCGGAGCTTGCGGCCGAAAAGGAGAAGTCAGCGGAGAGGAAGTAGCAGCACAGGAAAGATGAGGAGCAAGCACAGCTTCTCAGCCGGATCCACCAGCGCTCGTGGTACCGCACGTGACTGATCCAGCTGATCATGAGATGGACCGGACGAGATCCTCCCGCTTCGGCCGTGGCCAGCTTCATGCGCATACCGCACATGTTGCATGGATTCATGATGATGATGATATATACGTGCACAAAGATAGTACTCTGACTAGCCCCTCCTGTCCTACTCAAAATCTCATAATAATCCGTTCCGATGATTACGCCCAGATCCCGCCTATGTCCCGCCCCGACATATCCTTCGAAAGCTCAGAGGTCCGCATGCGGGTTCATCTGAGCACCCCCCTCCATCGCCAACCTCTCCATCTCCATATCGCGCGCGTTGTCCGCACGGAGGTTGTGATTCCGTCCGCCGATGGGGGCGCCGCATTCTGGGCATTCTGATTCGACCATGGTCTGACCGCACTGCAGACATCAGCGTCCCGTCTAGCTCAAGGTGGATGATAAACTCACGTCGGCGACAGTGTATGAATGACCATTGGGACACTGTTCAGTCAGCAGTGGTTTCTCGGCGACTATATCCTTCTGCAGAGCAACATACCTGATAGAACCGACCAGCAGTCCCCCCTTGTATATCAGCGCATGTACTACAGGAGTGAGGAGTGAGTATCCAAACTTACCATGCGAGGCGTCCACTACAGCCTTCGCCACCTCCATCTTCTCCCTGGCCGTGACGGGAAGGTATACTGTCCCCGTCCGAACCGCCTGGGAAAGGTCCGCCCAGTCTTGCAGGTACCCCTCCGCCACCGGGATGATCTCCTCCAACGCCCATTTCCGGAAGGTAGGGTTATTGACGGTCTTGTCCGAGATCTCCGAGAACTGTTGGGTGATCCGCTGGGCCGCCAGGTCCCGCTCAACATCGAGCATGCCCGCGATGTCCGCCCGTGGGTGTTGGAAGGCGACCCGAACGGTTGCGATTTGTCGGCCGAATGCAAAGTTGGCTGCGAGGCTCTTGAGCTCTGAACGCAGAGCCAAACGATGAGCCTCAGCGTCGGCGGATAGACTGCAAGCCACGTCTGCGTCGCGCCGGCAGCTTTTGAGAAGGAAGGTGCCGAGGATAGTAAAGCGATCTGCCATCCACACCTTTTGTCGGGCGAGGGTATGTCCCTTGTAGTCGACTTCGGGAGGTGGGATGGTGACCCGCAACGCAGTGGAGAAGGCATTTGCGACCTCGGCGAGCCTGAGCCGGAGGTCGAGGGTGATGAGGAGAGCCTCGATCTTGAAACGTGCCTCCCCGCGTGGAAATGGCGCTCCCACACGACGACGCGCGCATATCATTGCGATGTCGACCGAAGAGTAGGCGGCATTGGCTGACCCTCGCCGGTCCAGCTCTTCTCGGTAGAGTGTTGCGACCGCAGACTCGTACGCAGCAACGTGCGGAGAGCGCGCGACGTTTACGACCATACCGAGGTTCCGATAGACCTGGAATACCGAGGATGTGGCCGATTTCCAGATGGACGCAACGTGACCATCGATATGGAAGTGATTGCTGAGGTCCACGACGAAGGTATCGCTCGGCAGACACCGTTTGTCCCGCTCGTCTATCCGCAAGAGAGCGTCGAGGTGCTGCTGCAGCGGGATACGGTGATGCTTGGAAGCAGTTGCCGACCGCAACAGTTCGGGGACGGAGGCAATGATCTGATCAAAGTTGATCTGCGCCGCGGTGCTGCGGTACCGATCGAGGTTCTGCGTCATGTTGTGGATAGCATGCTGCTCCTGGATGTCGATGAGCGCCCGCTTGGTGATGCGGCTGTACCGAGGCGAGTCGACCCGACCGCGGCAGGCTGGGCAAGTCGGCCGAGACTTGAAATCAGGCGCCAGATCCTTGAGACCCGTTCAGCGCTCGTTCCCGTCCTGCTCGTAGTAGTCGGCGAGATGAATCGACCCGTCGAGCGACTCGAGCGTGAAGATATGTCCGCATTCGAGGGTGATGAAGCGAGTAGAGGGGTCTTCGGCAATGACGTCGGCCAGGGTGGACTGCATGATGTAATCGACGATATCGCCGAGCTTGTTTTCCGGGGCGCAGAGGGGGCAGAGCTGCTTGTCGCATGGCTCGCCGCAGACTGATAGTCAGCTCAATCCTGCAGCTGGAAGGCGTGGACGTACCTGATGGACAGGGATGACCGCAGCGCAAGATCGTGGGGCAGACGACATCGCAAGGTAGGCGGTCGCAAGGCTGGTCGTCAGCTTCACTCCTATTACTGCTCAAATGAGGGACTTACCATTGCGCAAGGAAGAGCACACGCTTGATGCTCACAACGCCAAGAACAAGGCTCTTGACCTGAACCATCAGCTACTGTGCGTCTGCACGAGACAGACGACTTACAAGGCTTGCAGGGAGTTCTGCACTCCTTCCTGCACTTGTTGTGCGCACATTGTTGAAGACAAGGAGCCGTGCACGGCGGGTGGACGTGGCCGGGCTCGCACTTGCCGCTGCAGTCGTGACTGCAGATCTGAAGAACCTTGCCGCATGGGTGAGCGGTATGACGGGTCCGGTTGATCTTGGCGACGGCGGAGTGGACCTGGACGATGTTGCCGTTCGCGTCCATCTGCGTGAGAGGTGCAGCGGTCCTCTTGGTGTCGTTGAGATGCTGGCATTCCGAGCAGGTGGAGGTGCAGGTACGGCCGCAGCAGTTGCGATACTGCCCGCATGGAGCTTGACACGAGCTGAGGTCGACGTTCTCGCCCTAGAGATCAGCTTGGGTCATCTTGCGCATGATGGCGGACTCACACATGCAACCTCGATGGTATGCTCGCCTGCAGATCGTCAGCTACCGTTCTTTCTTCGGAGACAGAAAAGTCCACTCACATCTGGAGAAGTGCTTGATGACCTTTTCGGCGCAGCGGACCTCGTCCAGAGCTCGAGTCTGGTGACTATTCACGTCAGCCCAGTGTCGCTCCCAATACACAGCTGCACTCACCATAGCAGATCCGTTCGATGACCACATGGAAGCAAGACCGCCGCGCAGGGCATCTCGCAGACCCCGCAATCCTTCGAGCAGGCCTTTGTGCATGGGTGGTCGCAGACCGGCAGGAGCCTGCTGCAGAGCTGACGGCACTCGACCAGCTTGTGGTCCCGGTCGTCAGGGTGACACTGTACGTCAGCTCAACTCCAACTAAGTCCGGAACGAACGAGAAACGCACCTTCTGCCGACAAAGATGACCGCACGGCATCGGCTCGTTGCTGTACTCGTCAGCCGACTCCGAATAGACCTTCGCAGGATGCCCACCATTGCAGCAGACATCCACCTGAAAGGTCAGCTTAGTCCCAAAGCGTCACTTTGCCCGACTCACCATCAGGAGAGAATTGAGAGATCTGGCCCGGCTCCTTGGCAGATCGCAGCGTTTCGGGATGACGCGAACATGCGATGGGCCAGCCATCACCGATGGCGTCCGTATCGGTCAACTCGTCAATGACTGTCTCCCACATCCTGCTCTTCGCGGCGAGCTGAGGAGCGTTTCCGAGAATGAAGAGTCCCTCTTTGGCTCGCGAGAGAGCGACGTTGGTGCGGTTTTTGGACTGCATCGTCAGCCTGGATACAAGCCTAGAATTCGCCAATCACGGCTTACGTTGAGGAAACCGATGTTTTGTCCTGCATCTTGACCATCGACGTCGCCAGAGTTGCGGACGAGGGAGAGGATGATGCTATCTTATCAGCTGGATTCTACTGCTTTCGGCCGAGAACGTACATTTTTGCCTCCTCGCCCTGGAAGTTGTCGACGGTCCGGAGCAGTACCTAGAAATCAGCGCGAGCCCCTCGATGACAGCCTTGAGTTAATTCACATGCTTCCCCACCTCGACTCTTCTGGCCGTTCCAGGCGCATCGTCGTCGTCCTCCGGGACAAGCCTGTCGATCTCGCGCTGGTCTCGTTCGTCGATGAGGACCATGACTCGGCCGCGAAGAGCTTCTCGCATCTTGAGCAATCGACTAATTTGGTCAGTACGGGGAGAAGTGAGCGTCGAGGAACATACCCAAGGTATGCGCACTGAACAAACATTAGCATCGTCTCATTCGGCGGAATGGGTTGGCTCACAAGGATAACGATATCTCCCTCGGCGGAGTATGACCCTTGCTTGAGCAGATACAGCGCCAGCTCGCAAGCCATCGCCACCTGGATGTCAGCGAATCCCTCTCGAGTGTTCAGCTTGCAAGCTCACCTCAAAGTCGTTGGACTTGCTGGACCCCTCGTCGGCAGCGTGACTTTCCCGGTGGCGATGATCGCTATGGGTCAGCTCAAACTCGGGGTGCGGCGCATGATCGACCTACAAGAAGAAGACATTCTTGCCCATTCCTCGGACGTCGGGGTAAGAGAGGACGCTCTCATGATCTTGTAACCTCGGATATAAGGTGTTCCTGATCTTCAGCGTCCACATCAGACTGAATGTCAAGCTGAACATACCTTATCAATGATGATATCGCCGGCCGCATCCGACGCTGGACTTGAAGCTGGCTCATCGGTAGACCGCCATCGGCAAGGCGCTCCATGAGACTGATGTCGAAGCGATAGAGTTCTGAGCCTTTTGGGCTATCGGCAGAGAATTCTACATTGTCAGCTGAGCAATTTCTGCAGCTGAGGGGCAAGTCCAACTTACCATAACAGCTGACGTTTGGTCGTAATTGCTGCGGATCTCCGATGGCGATGATGTGCTCGATGCTGGGGAAGAGTGTAGCGAGCACGTGGGCTTCGAGCACTTGGCCGGCTTCCTCGATGACCAGAACTTTGGGCGCAAATCCCTGATCTTCAGCAAATACCCGTGGATAATATGGAGGGAAGAAACATACCTTGAGGACCGAGACAAGTTTGGCAGCACCTGAATATCAGCTATGGCTTTTTCGAAATGTAAAAAGTGGCTCACCTGTAGTTGTGGAGCCAAGAAGCTTGACTTTCTGCATCATAGAGACTCGGCGCTGTCCTGTCAGCTCATTCTGACCAGCCGCTATCGCTATACTCACGTTGGCCACAGCCTCTTCATGCGCCCTCCTCGCCTCGGCATGCTTCCTTGTCAACATCTCAAACAACGCCAGCGACTCCTCATCCACGTCGGCTTTGGCTTGCGCGGTGATGAACTCGGCGACCCGGCGTCGCTCCTCCATCGAGAAGGACCAGATATCCCCGTCGGCGAGCAGGACATCGAGATCTCGGTCGGTCTGCGGGATGGCGGGAAGCGTACCGAAGCCGAAGAAGGAGCAGAAGGACTCTCCGTCCTGCACCGCGTCCGAGATGCTCGTCTGGCGGGTTGTATTCGAGTCATGCTGACCCGGCCGCGTAAAGTTGTCCGAAGCGTCCGTCTCGGTGTCCGAGACCGAACCACGGTCGGTGATGCTCGCCTCCTCCCACGACTCGATATCGGGCTTGACGAACATGAAAGACCACATGTCCGAGGCTGATCCGACGGGGACGGGCGCATCGTCCGCTTCCGCCGAGTCGTTGGAGGACTGATCGTCCTCGATCTGAAGAGCGGCGAACTGGTTGACGGTGGTAGCGACGGGTGCAGGTACCGCCTTCCGAGGTTTGGTGGCGAGGGTGCGAAGGTGCTGAAGGTCGTGCCCATCCTTCCAGAACCGCCACATGCTGGATACTGCTTCTCCGCCTCCGACGTTCTGCCATCCGGAAGTATCGGACGTGTACTCGTACACTACGCTGATCCAAGCCGTTGGTTCGTCCAGGCAGGCTTGGAACTCCGGGAAGTGGATGGTGAGATGGTTGGAGATCTCTGCGTCGGTCGCTTGGCGCCGGGTGATACTGAGCGACAACTTCTGCATTTGCTGGAGGATCAGTGAAACTCGCAGAAAGCTGAGCAGAAGGGGCTTACGGTCGCCAGATCCTTCATCCCCGCCGCGGCCTTGCCAATCTCGTGGGTGAGGTTGGTCTTGGGCTGAACCTTCTCCAGCGCCTCCAGACTGTACTGGCTTACAATCTCGTCTTTACTCCGCGATCCAAGCCGAACCATGTCTTTGGTGACATCGCCATCGTGGACAGCGCGCATGATGTGGTCGAGAGCATGATTGGTGTAAGCGAGTAAGACGACCGGGCTAAGGATCAGCTTGACGACCTAGCGTAATACTTTCCAAGAACTCACCCAACGTTATTGGCAAATAGCAATCTGAGCAGTTCGACGCCAGTAAAAGTCTGGACTGATCAGCTGGGGACTCGATCTTACGCAGAGCGTACTCACCTTTCCGGTACCCGGAGGACCCTGGATCAAGCACAGACTATTCTTCATGCAGTCTACTACCGCGTCGGATTGACTGCGATATCAGCTATGATTCAGATTTACAGGCAGAAGTGGCTTACCTTGGATCGAGCTTGCCGATTTGGCGCAGCCGCTCCCTGGTGGCCTGCACTGAAGTTGACGAGCCCGGCTCCAAGATGCAGACCTCGTCCTTGTGTTCCGGCTTGAGGAGGATCATGAGGTTCCAGGTGAAACCGGGCACGCTCGCATAAGCGGGAAGAGCGATTTCTGTCCCGGCTCGGGAGTCCTCGCTGTGCTTGATGTACTCGCCGAAGGGTATGCGGAGCGGGTCCGTCCGCTGTAGCGCCTCGAGGAAGGGTCGAACGCTTTCGTACAGGACCGGACTTTCGATGAGCAGGCGAACTGCTCCCTTGGATTCGTCCCGATAGCGCAGAGTCTCGGCCGCTCGAAGACCATCGGCGGAGTTGACGAAGCAAAGGCCGAATTCGATGGCGCTGGTACCGGGGCGATCAATGGTCTTGATGTCGGACGGGACTGGAGGTCAGCGATGGATCATTAGAGCTTAAACCTGGACTTGCAATTGGTCAACACGGCTAGGCTGACGGTAGCGGGAACGTGGGCTTCCTTGGTGACGAGAGCGACAAGACCGCCGAGGGGAAGGCGCTTGCCTTGCTCCCAAAATCGGCGTCGTTGAGCGGTGCTGATGCTTCGAGACGGACCGGGAGGGCTGTCGCCGCGAACTTCCAGGACGAGCCCATGCTTGTGGTTCAGCGCGAGACCACGGTACTCGATATTGCTGATGATAGGCAGCATACTGGAGTGTCAGCTTGACATCATCACGCCGGGATCGGACTTACAGGTGATCTCCACCAGTCGGATGACCTTTGAAGCGCCCTCCACCTTTGCGCATGATGTTCGCGACTGTTTCATCAGCTGAAGACTCGATGATGTTGAACGCGCTCCAAGCTCACTTTGAGTGTTTGGATAATCTTCTTGATTGAGATCATCCAGGACAAGCTGGATACCCCCTCGAAGAGCGTTCATTGCGTCAGCGCGAAGCAGGCGGAACTGGATGTCCAGGCTTGTGATCAGCAATAGTTTATGAGCGACTTGGCGGAGTTACTTACATCTTCTCCATGCTATCCGCCGGCAGGTGGTGTGCCGATCCTACCAGATTGGCCGGAACGTACGGCTCGATAGTGCAGGCCAGTTCCTCCGAGGTAGGCGGGATCTGGATGTCGGCGATGTTGGCATGATCTACTATCAGCTACGGTCGCCACTTTCGTCTCACCATTGTCATGCCTTGGTCCATCCTCGCAGAACTCGCCGGGCCCGTTGTACTCCCTAATTGTCAGCTTGACCGATAAGCACTGACTGAAAGAGCTTACCTTCGCAGAGCAGCCAGGATACCCAGGTTTGCCGAGAACGCCTTCGGACCGGTGTAGACCGGCTCATCCTCCTGGCTCGGCAAAGCCCGCTCGACGGTCTGAAGTAGCGTCTTGATCTCCTTGCGAGTTTGGGTGATGAAGAAGATTTTCTCGACCTCGCTCTTGGCGCTGAGGGAGTCGACGAAGCGGTCCCGCATGATGCCGTCCGCCCAGATTTCGAAATGAGCCGAGAAGTCCTGGACGAATGACTGTAGCTCGGGGTGGGTAGTCGGCGCTGACCGATAGATGTCGAGGTATCTGGAATGATCAGCTCAGAAACCCGAGTCCGGCAGAGCACTGAAGACTTACTTCAGAAGCAAAGTAGCGATCGGTTTGAAGATCTGAGCACCGCTGATGACGTCGACCACTTTGATGCGGAGGTACCGCGCACCAGCTGGATCCTTGTACGATCCAGCCTGCTCGCAAAACTGGATGTTGTTGAGTAGATGAGTAAGAATCTGCGCGATGTTGCCTTCTACTGGCGAGTAGAGCGAGCTTGAAGTCAGCCTGGAATGATGACGGCGACAATAAGAGCATACCTGACGGAGGCAAAGACGGCACTCTTCAAGACGGACTCTGAAGTGAGATACTATCTCGTCAGCCTCTCCCACCAGTCACGAAGCTCAGATTTGGACTTACCGCTATCCAGCCCATGTAGCACCCTTGGAAGCTCATGGCTCGCTTGTCGATCGTTGCATCGCCGATGATGGGCCATCGCATGATCTCGCCAAGTCGCAAGAGAGCATCTGCCGGTTCCTATGAGTCAGCTACTTCCAAGCTGCACTACGGTCCGGCCGACTTACTTGAGAAACGAGTTTGAGGACGCTCTGTCGGTCTTCAAAGGTCTATCACGTCAGCCTAGATTACTGCGCGGATCACGTGGACTTACCCAGAGAGTGTTGAGCTTGTTGGCGGCGTTCAGCGCCAGAAGGAATGCCTCAGCAACGGCGGGCGTTGAGATCCTCTTTGCCGGATCCGACGCGTCTTTGAGAGCGGCCTGAACCCGGCTGGGGGCAAGGAACTTGGTAGGTTTGAGGAGACTGTCGCAGGAGTCGGTGGTAACGCTGGCGATGTCAGGGAAAGCAGAGGTTGTCAGGTTGGCATCCTGGCCGAGGTTGGTGGCGAGGGGATGAGCATTGGTCGAGGTCGGTTGGTCGTGCCTGAACCTGCAGCCGAAGGAGTGCGGGCACGTCCCCGTGCTCCAGAACAACCGGCAAGAGCCAGGAGGCGCGTTCCCGGTGTGCTGCGAACCTGATCCCGTTAGCATGTGACTTCCGAGACCGCAAAGGAGGCGTACTGACCGTTGTTTCTGGCGTTTGCAGCGGGGGTGTGGGCCGGCGCAGTATGATTCAAGCCTGCTTCGTCAGCTGATCACGGAGGAGTAGATAAGATGAGCTTACCTGAGCCTCCGTTGTACTTGGAGCCAACCTGGCTGACGTGATCGCCCGGATCGTGGGAATACTGGCAGCCATCGCCGTACCGGCAGCGGCCTTTGGCGAAGTGGTGACACGGTTTCTTGTTTTTGGAAGTCATGTTGAGGATTAATAGCACCTGGGCAATATATCAAGATACTAAGATCAGTGGGACCAAAATCAAGATGAAGAGCAGTACACCAAGTCGGATGATAAGGTTATATACTCGCTGGACGAGCTCACCCGCGCCTCGCTGCGGCTGCGCTCGGACTGTCAGCAAGTCAGTGCCTGACCACCGTGCCGGTAACCATCTCATCAGGTACGAAAGATCGAGCGGACACCCGTTCCTATCGCACACAAGGTGGAGGTCGGTCGCCATCAAATCGCGTCAGTCCCGCAGGGCGGATTCCTGGTATCCCACTCAGAGCTACGTATCGCGCACAAAGAGACCCCAGAGGGCAAGGTTCACTCAGCTGAAGCTACCGATAGTGCGCTGAAGCCGAAGAAGGTATGAGCAGCTGGACACAGCTGGATGTGTGTCATGAGAATTCGTGTGACAACGATCTCCGGCTGGGATCCAGAAGGACAGCCTCATCCCCAGGCTCGCCCGATTTTTTTTACTGCGCAGTGCCGACGACTATTTGAGATCATTCGTGACGGCCTACGTCCAATTGGTAGTGGATATGCAAGTTGTGTAGGGAAGATGTCAACTGAAGAGTGGTGGAACGTTGCGCTCTGGTCGCGGTGAACTCTAAGTCCGGGGATCTGGGGAAATTAAGCCGGACGCGTCGCGATATCCGGGTCCGGGTGAATTCTAGAGCTGGCCGGGCCCTTACCGATACACGTAGAGCTTCTCTATGTAGCCTGACCATATAGCTTTGATATTTTCATGCTCATGACATTACAAATGATCTCTGACGGCTACAAAGGCTCTTCCAGCTTCCCTATCAACCGTCATCCTCATCTCCATGCCGCCTAGCGCCGGCGATATGGGCGGCCTCAAGGGTCCGATGCTGCCCTTCCTGATCGCGGGATAGTTACATTGCGTGCGTGATCGGTGTGGTGGGAATGTCGCCCCTTATTCGCAGAGCAGCCATGTTCGGGGCGGTCTGACTCCTGCCCCATGAGTGATAGCCTAGCCAGAGAAGAAAATGGAGCGCATACTCACCTCTGCGGCCGAGTTAGTATCATCCTTCGAACACTATGGGGTCAGGTTCGCATCGCGATGAAAGTCATTCCAGACGCGACACACCTGATGAATCGGACGGCTTGACCCTTGTAGATATCAGCCTGTCACAGTATGCTACCAAGCCGGAATCGAACATACCATGCGAAGCCTCCGCCGTTGCCTCGGCTATCGCCAGCCTCCCCATTCTAGCCATCGGTCGATGCACCGCCGATTGCCTGACACTCTCCGTAAACTTCTCCCAATCTTGCAGGTAATCCTTGACGACCGGTCCAACCACCCTGATCGCCCACACGCGAAAGTCCTCGCTGTCGCCCACCTTGCCCATGATCTTTTCGAACTTGTCCTCCAATCTCAACTTTGCCTTCTCGTACTCGCCATCCAGCATGCTGGCAACTTCCTTGCGAGTATGGTGATCTGCGAGCCATACAGCAGCTGCATTCCGGAAGTAGTCGAAATTGGCTTCGAGGTACTCGACTTCCGATCGAAGAGCGATGCGAGCTCGATCTGTGGACGGCTTGGGCACCTTTCCGCTACACTTGACTTGGGCGAGCGCTCGAGTCTGGTGACTGGCGGCATCAGCTCTTGCAGCGACTTCATGCCGTTGTAGCTCACCAAGCGACGTCTGCGATGTGACCGCACGGCAGCGAGACTCCCTTGCGGGGCACATCGCACTCCCCGCATTCCTCTCCGCAGCGCTTGGCGCAGGGGTGTCCGCAGATCGCCTGTCTGAGAAGGCAACGTCCGTAGCACTTGACGAGCTTGTGTTCACGGTCGTCTCGGTGACACTGGAGCGTCAGCTGAAAAACACATACGAGTGTCAGTAACCAACCTTTCGGCGACATCGATGACCGCATGGCAAGTCCTCGTCGCTAAATGTCAGCTTTGCTATACCTCAGCTTACCATTGAAGCAAGCAGATCCCTGACTAGTCAGCCAAGCTCCTCGAGCAGATGGCTTCACTCACCATCAGGCGCAAATTGCGATATCTGTCCAGGCTGCCTGGCATGAGCCACGTTATCGTGATGGAGAGCGCATGCGATTGGCCACCCGTCACCGATGGAGTGGCTAGCCTCGAGCTCTTCGACGATCGTCTTCCACATTGAGCTTCCAGCGGCGAATTGGACGGCATTCCCGAGGATGTAGAGGCCATGCTTGGCGCGAGATAAAGCGACATTGGTGCGGTTGTCAGACTGCGCTGTCAGCGGTTCTTCCCGGAAGCATTCCACCGATTGGCATGGCTTACTTTGAGGAAGCCGATGGTCGAGGAGGATGCGAAGCTTTGCGTTCCTTGGCCAGAGTTGCGAACCAGGGAGAGGATGATACTGGAATTGTCAGACAGCACTTATGATAATGGTGGATCAACACACATCTTTGCTTCTTCGCCTTGAAAATTGTCGATGGTCCGAAGCAAGACCTAGGAAATGAGTTGGTGTATTCAGGGGTCAAGTTCAGACTACTCACTTGCTGTGCAAAGTCAGCTTCCTTGAGCACGCCTACATTCTCCCCGCCTCTGGGCGCCAGCTTGTCCAGCTCGCTTTGCTCTCGCTCGTCGACCATGATCGTGACTTGTCCCCTGAAGGCTAGCTTCATCTTGTCTAGTTGTCTGTCCAAGTATCAGCTGGTCCTTCAAAGACGAGATGTTTTGGCAAGGACAGACCCGAGGTATGCACACTGCTGCATCAGCACGAGGTCTCCACGAAAAGCACCAAGGGCTCACCAGGATCACAATATCTCCGGGCTCCGAGTACGGACCTTGCTTCAGCAGGTGAAGCGCCAGATCGCGAGCCATAGCCACCTTGTATGTCAGCAAGATCTTTGTGAAGGTGGCGGATCTCACCTCATGTTCATTGCACTTGCTAGACCCATCATCACCAGCTTGGGATTCTCGATGGCGATGATCACTGCTGGTCAGCCTGATCCTGAACAGCAATACTTGGTACTAACAGGAAGTAGACATTTCTCCCCATCCCCCGTACATCCGGATACGCCAATACCGCTTCGTGATTTTGCAGTTTTGGGTACAAGGTGTTCCTTCCGCTCAGCTTCGATCGTGACTTGGTAGAGAGGGTGAAACGTACTTGATCAAAGAGGATATAGTCGGCCTCATCCGGCGCTGGATCTGCAGCTGGCTCATCGGGAGACCTCCGTCGGTAAGGCGCTCCATCAAGCTGATGTCGAAGCGGTACATCTTGCCGCCTCTGGGATTCTCGGCTGACAGACCTGCCAATCAGCTCTCCGATTCGCTTCATTTGAAGTGTATTGCTCACCATGACTGACGGACGGGCGTAGCTGCTTGGGGTCCCCGATCGCGATGAGGTGCTGGACACTGGGGAAAAGCGTCGCCAGGATGTGGGCCTCGAGCACTTGACCGGCTTCTTCGATGATCAAGATTCTTGGCGCATATCTCTGCACGTCAGATCGGCCTTAGCCTCACTACAGGAGAGCGGATGCGTACTGACCTTGAGAACAGACGCGAGCTTCGCAGCGCCTGCGAGGTTAGCACAGTTCAGAGGGAAGGGACAGGAGTAAGGCTCACCAGCGGTAGTCGATCCTATCAACTTGATGTCTTGCAGAATGAAGACTCGGTGCTGCCATTAGCTCCTGATGTCCTCAAATACTCACATTTGCCTGAGCCTCTTCGTGGCTCTGTCTCGCGTTGTCGTGCCTCCTGACAAGATCCCCGAACCTCGCCAGGAGCTCCGCGGGCACCTCTCCCTTGGCCTTCTCTGTGACGGCAGTTGCGATCCGTTGGCGTTCGTCCATCGAGAATGACCAGATGTCGCCATCGGCAAGCAGTACATCGAGGTTTCGGCTGGTCTGAGGGATCGTTGGCAGCTTCGCGAATCCGAACCGTGAGCAGAAGGACACTGGATCCCGCAGTACATTCGCAAGGCTCGGTTCGGACGTACCGGAGCGCCATAAGCTGTCATGCGCGAGCTCGTCCGAGCTGCGGGAATTGGGAGGATGACCGGTCGAGCCCATAGCATGTGACAGGCGTGACTGTGGCTGAGTAGGCGTAGGGCATAATGGCCGACCGCCCACCACAGCGGAAGAAGTTGGTGAGAGGTATGGTGCGGGGAGCGAGGGAGGGGGAAGTGCGGCGAATCGGTCGGAGAGGTCTGACTTAGGTCTCGCCGGCGGCCCCTCCGGTTGTTTGGCGAGATTGCGGAGATGTTGCAGATCGAGGCCTTGCTTCCAGAAGCGCCAGAAGCTGCCAGCGTCGGCTCGTCGGTCGTGCCTGTCCACGGAGAGCGTCCCGACTTCTTTGATCCATTCGACTGGATTCTCCAGGTCGTCTAGAATCGCAGGATAATCAGCACGGAGCTGGCAGAGGATCTGGCTCTCGGTGGGTTGTCGTTGAATGATCTCAGCAGCGAGTACATCCATTTGCTAATGTATTAGCCAAGTCCAGAAACAAGATGGCCGCGCTGGCGTACCTCTTCGGGAGCGCGCATGATTCCCAAGGCTCTCCCAATCTCGCACCTTAATCTCGATCGCTCTTGCGAGTTCTCCAGCTCACTCAAGTTGTACTCCCTGACAGTTGCATCTTTGCTCCCCGCGCCGAGTCGCACCATGGATTTGGTAACGTCCTTGTCGTGTACCGCTCTCATGGCCTGGTCGACGGTGTTATTGGTCTGGGCGAGGAGAAGTATAGGTCTACTTTGTCAGCACCTCCTTCCATGGTTGTTATGGGGGTTCCGACCTACCCCACATCATTGGTGATGAGCAGCCGAAGTAGCTCGACACCGGTGAAAGTCTAGCTATCAGCATGAACCTCGTCAAAGCTAAGAGTTGACGAACCTTGCCGGTACCCGGGGGGCCTTGGACAGCGACAACCTCACTGGTCAAGGCGTCAATGACCGCGTCGGATTGACTGAGTTATCAGCATGCTTCCAGATAAGCATGAATGGATGGGACTCACCTTGGATCAAGTTTGCCGATCATCCGCATGCGCTCTCGCGCTGCTTGTACCGAAGTAGCCGACCTCGGATCCATAGTGCAGACTTCGCTCTTGTGCTCGTCCTGGAGGAGGGAGTCGAGATTCCAGATAAAGCCGGGATCTCTCGCGTAGGATGGGAGAGCGGTGACCATGCCATCCTGGAGAAAGTCGGTGTGTTTGAGATAATCGGCGAACGGGTAATGATGTGGATTGGCGGTTTGTAGCGCCTCAAGGAAGGGCTGGACGCTCGGATACAGCACTGAGCTGTCGATGAGTACGCGGATTGTCTTCTTATCTCCTATCTGTCTTTGCAGCTTGTGGGCAACTTTCACTCTTGCGGCGAAATCGATGAAAGACAGTGAGAATTCGACGCCGACGATGGGTTTGCGGTCGAGAAACTGTATCTGATCGGGAACTGATAGTCTTGTCAGCCATTTCTGAAAGGGCAGGTGATACCGACACTTACAACTCGTCACCAACGCAAGCTCCACGCTCGCCGGCAGATCCGGCTCCTTGGTCACGACAGCTACAAGACCGCCGCAAGAAAGCTGCTTCCCTCCCCTCCAGTACTGCCGACGCTGCCAGAGATTCCCGCTCCGTGCGTCCCCCGGGGGACTGTTGGTCTGGACCTGTGCAACCAGTCCGTGCCTATAGTGGAGGCGACAGTCGGTGTATTCGAGGTGTGTGAGGATCGATAGCTTGCTGTACTGGTCAGTCTTGTCTTTGCGGGGCATGTATTGTACTCGCACTGAGTCTCCACCAGCCGACTCGCATTCGAAGACACCTCCGCCTATTTTGATGATGCCGCCGGCTGCTTCATCAGCGCAATCCTCAAGTCCGGACGAGGACCACTTACTCTGTGTGTCCTTGAAGTCCTTCCGATTGAGGTCCTCCATGACGTGCCTGACGCAAGCTTGTAAAGGATTCAAGATATCGGCGCGGAGTAAGCGATAGTTGATGTCAAGTCTGCATCGTCAGCATCGAACACTGGACCCTTTCAAGCACGTACATCTTCGCCATGCTATCCGCTGGCAGGTGATGAGCTGAACCGGCGAAATTCATAGGCAAGTATGGGTCTCTGGAGCAGGCGAGCTCATCAGGAGTAGGCGCTATCTGGATGCGTGCGATATCGGCGTGATCTTCGGTCAGCTCTCGGTAAAAGTAAAGCTCACCATTGTCGTGCCTCTGCCCCTCTTGACAGAATTCACCAGGCCCATTGGGGTCCCTGAAGATCAGCCGCTTGCTCATCTTGACCAATCAGGGGAAGCAGCTTACCTCTCGACTGGTGCAGCAGTGTTTTGGACCGGGATGGCTGGCTTTGGTCTGGTCGACGCGGCCTGAACCGGCGCAGCCTGGAGACTGGGTTTGAAAATTCGCAGTAGCGCATGTATCTCCGCCCGCGTCTGACCAATGAAGGATGTCTGCTGGTCCTCGGTGCTGTTGCGTAGGCTGTCATCGAAGCGACCTTGAAGGATACCGCTTGCCCAGAACTCGAAGTACTCCGAGAGGAACGAAGCGAACAACGGCAGCTCAGGATGACTGGTCGGAGCAGATTCAATCCGCGCGAGGTAGCTGCATGATTAGCTACCTCCTCCCTCACTCTTGGCAATGCTAGGGACACTCCAGCTTACTTGCGGAGAAGAATAGCAGTCGACCTGAAGATCTGGACGCCACTCGTAATTTCGACAGCGTTTGTACGAAGCGAATTGCCCTTGTATGACTCGGCCATCTCGCATGAGACGATACCGCTACGGAGTGTCTCGAGGATACGCTCGATGTTCTCGTTCACTAAGCTATAGAGGAAGCTGCACCGTCAGAAGGGGCCAAGACCATGCCAGAGAGACGTACCTGACAGCCTTGAGGTCCGCGCTCTTGACGACGGATTCGGAAGTGAGATACTATCGAGTCAGCGAGATCGAAGAACCGCGATCTTCAAACTCACGCCGATCCATCCCATGTAACACCCTTGGAAGCTCATTGTACCGCTATCGAAAGAGCTCTCGCCGACCTTGTCCCAGCGCATGATATCAACCAGCCTCGAAAAAGCGTTGCCTGATTCCTGATGGTCAGCAGACTACTCAGATCCAAGCATCCAAGCCAGTGATGCGTGATGCACTCACCTCGCTGATGAGACCTAGCACGGACTCGCTGTCTGGCGAAGCCTAGATTGTCAGCTAGTCGTCCTTCGTCCCGACTCACGAGGTGCTTGTTCAGCTTGTTGGAGGCGTTAATAGCCAGTAAGAAGTTGACGGCCCTAGAAACCGTCGCGATCGGGCTGTTCTCGACATTTGCCGCCGCAAGCTCCGCCTGCACCTTGCTCAGACGGAGGAAATGGGTGGGCAGAAGGAGGGCATCGCAGTAGTCGGTGGTAATGCTGGAGACGTCCGGGAATGCTATGATCGCCGCCCGGTCGGTACTTGAACGTCGCTGCTCAGATGGTCTCGAGGTGAGGGTATCAGGTCGGACCCGTTGCTTCCTGTCACTGTAGGGCGTCTGTGGGGGCTTCTCTGTATCCAAGCATGAACTGAAGGGATCTCGTGGTGCGGTGTTGGCTGGTACCGTCAGCTACTGTGGAATCATCGGGTGTGCAGGACGCACCGGCGACGGTTGCAGAAGGCCCGCGCCGATCGTGGTTGGGTCCACTGGACGTGTTGAGGCCTGAGGGTCAGCGAGGTGCTCTCATAGCAAAGCTGGAAGTACTTACTACCGCGTCCATCAAGCTGATCTGCCCTTTGGCTATCGCGACACCACTGATCTTGGGAGAGCATGCGGTCGTCGCTGATCCTTGAGGAGCCATGTCCCATATCGCCGTTGTGCCGCTTGTCGGGAGCCATACCAGAAGACGATGACTATCGTTGTCTATGATGAGTGATCAGGGGATCTTCCAGGAGGACAACGAAAAAGGTGAACTATGTCAAGACCGAGGGACGCAAGAACAATGTGAGGAAAGAACCCAGTCGCTGGAGACTCGCTGTCTGTGCCAAAAGACTAGGGTGTTAGCTGCTCGGACCATCCAGGATTCTCCTAGCCTTCTTCAGTGAGCTTCTCAACCACTCTTACTCAGCTCGGACATTCGTGCCTCTCTCCGCAGTCGCAACTGCGGTGGTTGTGCGTGTTGTTGTCGTGTCAGCTTCTCCATGATAGACTGCCTAACAAGAAGACTCCGAGACCTTCAAGTGAGTGTCGGTAGCCATCAATCCGCTGAAGATGAAGAGAAGCTGAGCAACTTCTGAGAAGGCCCTTTGCGTGGGACCACTGCAGAGCAGTCCGAGCTCGCAGGTCGGAGATCTCACCGCGGGCACATCCTCGACCTTCGGCCCTTCCGGCAGCGTGAGTATGCCTTCTTTCGATGAGCAGCATCCGATGGTATGCTCCGACCAGGGGATATGGACGAGTAAGCTACTGGTCTGACAGCTGTCAACCAATGACTGTGAGATGTAGACGGCTAAGTTGCGGTCGACGGTAAGTGGTGTGCACTGTGGTGCGGTGACCGGTCGAGATCTGTGGGGAAAATCGGCCGGACAGGCGTGGATATCCGGATCCGGCCGGATTATCCAGCTCGACTGCTTGGGTACATGCTTGATCTAGTCCAGCTGGAGCTTCCTTACCACTCGACGGCGCGAAGGTGCGAGGAGGTTAAGTGTCACCACTGCGTCCTACGATTTGTCCGCCTTGACGGCTCCGTAGTTGGATTGTCGACCTATCAGCAGCCTTCACCGAGGGCCGCGCGGGGGTGGCAAATCAAAGAGCAGATAGATGTGTGGCGCATGTGGCTGGACTGAAGGTGTCGCCTGCCGATAATGACTGGATACGCGAGTTACATCACAAAGCTCTAGCACGCTCCATCAGGGTGGTCATCAGAGGCATGAACAGAAGTATTGGTGTCTGAATCATTCGAAGAGCGCCCGGGCGCCGCCCCCTTGCATGTCTGCCCGCCCCCTCACTCTCGCTCATTTTCGCCCATCGCAGCAGCTTTCTTCACCACTGTCTCACACTCGCCTGCGTATACATTTCCCCCACAATGACATCCAGCGCCTCAGCTGTGGAGGGAGCTCGAGCCCCACCGCTCAGTTTCTCGCCTGACCTGCCGGATCTGTCAGGGAACATCTTCCACTGCCCTGCGGAGCTCACTGACGAGACGACGGTTCCCAATAGCGTCTTCGTCCTCGGCTTTTACGACATGGAGGATAAGCACCGGGAAGAACAACTCAAGACGACGAAATCCAACCTCGACAGTCTGGGTATCCGGTCAACCGTGATTTTCTCTGACAGAGTGAGAACGGAGGACCTGGAGAGGACTTTCGCGCACCACTTGAAGGGCGGTAAGGAGGGTGGAGTGACGATCATCTTGTGCGGCGACGGTGACAATGACCCAGACAGTCGCGAGCACTTGCTGTGCACAACGCTACCCAGCAAAGATACCTGGGACGTCAGAACAGGCGATCTGATTGACCATCTCGGTCGGCAGTGGACAGAACACCAAGCCGGAGGAGAGGAAGCCGTTGATCCGGTTGCTAGCTCGCCATACGATGCGGTACTGATCGGCGAGGAGCAGCAGGAGGAGGATCTGGATTTCAACAGCACGAGGGCTCGGATCATCCACTCTGCGACCCCTTCCATCCTACAGAGGTGCAAGGACAGACTCTGGTCATGCTCCTCCTGGGCAATGCGTGTGTTCGGCTTGGTCGAGGATGACGTTCCGGCAGGACAGCGCACACCCAGATTGTCAGTGCTCCTCTCTGGTGAGAATATGCGCGCCGCGCTTGACTGCGTCCGGTGGCTACCCGTGGGAAGCACAATCATCGACCTGGACACCGACACCGGACTGCATGAGCTTCTCAACAAGTTGGCTTCCTCCCCTTCGAAAAAGAACAGCTGCGACTTTTCCGCAGGGTCTCTCTTTTTGTCACTCTTGACGTCGGGCATGCCCATGCCGGATTATTGGAAGCCAGAGTACTCGGTAGCGGCGTTCGAGTCATACGGTGCGCCCGGTACCAGCGAAATGGAGGTGGGCGACTTGGAGATGGACCCAGCCGATTCGACAATTCTGGCTGGCATCGCGGACAGAAAGGTCAGAGCTCGGGGGGTGTCAGGCATTAGCGAAGCCTGGATGGACTACATCGCGTCGCAGATTAGGTCGGGACTGGCTCTGAGTGAGGCGGACAAGGGCGCCGTACTGATTATGGTCAATACGGACAGGTTTGCCACTTCCTGGTGGCCGGTCGTGAAGGCCTGTGAGATGGACCGTGCACATCACTGGGGTAGAGGGGTAAGAAACTCAACAATCAGGTACGGTGAAGATGACTTTTTATCAATAGGTGCAGATAGTCAGTGATGGGATCAGTATTCTCCGGCCTTGTTCGGCTGTCAGCATCAGGCTTGCATCTCATCGATGGATCGCGAGCGTGCGTGTAGACACACCCTCGATAACCGCAATAAATTGCTACCTACACCGTCGAGATCGCCAGCTACCACTTCAGAGCAACCCTGCTCTCCTCGTCTGCTACCCTCGTCCTACCCTAGCAGCGCCTCGAGCTTGCTTGATGACCTTGACCGCTACCCCCTGTGCTTTGCCCCCAGACGCTGAGCTCAGGCATCGGCTAGGCGGTCGAGTCGACCGCGGCGGTTGCCTTCAGTGTCCGGTCAAGCTTGTCTCGCCGGACGGGATCGCGCTCAACAGCGCTCCGCTAACCCCAGGTCGGATACCCGCCGTATCCGCCTTGTCCCTGCTGCCCCAGCCCCGAACCTCCCCACAAGCCCGACCCGCCCTGGCCCTGTGCTTGGCCTTGACTCTGGCCGAGTCCGCTCCCTTGGCCGGCCGCCCATGTCTGCCCATCGACTTGCTTCCCTCCCGCGCCTACATCCCAGGTAGACCCCATCCCCATACCCGCTCCGAATCCAGCACCACCGCCCGGCGGCCCAAAGCCAGAAATACCAGCAAAGAGCTGCGCCGCGTCCATCGGTGCTGGCGCCTGGGCTTGAGGTCCAGCTTGACCAGCCGAGACCCGCCTGTCCGAAACGCCGAAAGGCGAAGCCGCAACCGAAGCCGAGGGCCCTGGCGCCTGAGTGTCCCAGATCGCCTTGACACCTTCAGCCCCGATCCGGGCTTTCGGCCTCTCCGACTGAGGTCTGCTCAGTCCCGAATCTCCCGACGTTGGCATCCCATCCCGCTTGAGCCCTTTCTGCGAATTGGATTCTTCGCGCGTCATACTCCAGATCCCTTCGCCGCCGAACAGAAGTCCGGGCGAGCCGGAACCGGACGGAGGGAGAGGGGCGGAGCGGGGCGAGGGGAGGGCACCGCGGGCGAAAGAGGCAGAGTTGCGCTTGGCCGAAGAGGGTTGTTGGGCGTACGGATTGGCGTAAGGGGGATTGGGGGTGGCTGTGGGGTTGTCCAGGACCAGATTCTGGAGGAGATCGTGCGCGGTCGGAGTCGGGTTGCCGGCATGGGCTTGGGGGTTAGTTTGAGCTTGCACGTTCCCAGCTGGGTAGCTACAGCGGTCAGCTTCCATTCGGGGCTCTGGGAAAGTACTGCACGTACCCTTGATCCCACTCCCCCATCTGGTCGTCTCCATCCCCATCATCGAATCCTGGCGTGCTCGAGCTGCCCAACGAAGCCCGCATCGCCATATTGACCGGGTCGTCCTCTGTTTCGGTGCTGACTGACGCATAGTCCTCATCGCCTTTGAGATCCGTATCGACGTAGTTCGAGTACACCATTTCCGCCTCGGGCTCAGGTATCTGGGTATACCCCGACGTCTGCTTGATCAGCTACATCACCTCGGCTGGAGGGATAAGGAACAGTTCGCTGACCTGAGCCTGAAGAATCAACGTCGCGTCCACCTGGAGATCGGCAATCCGCATCAACTGCTCTTCGTTCGGATGCACCTCCCCATCCGCGGCCAGTCCGCTCGGCTTGCTCCTCAACAGTCCCCTCGCGATAGGCAAGAACCCACGCATATCTTCATCCTCCTCCAGTCCTGCTTCCAGGGAAGGCAACATGCCCAGCGGAAACACCCTCGCCAGATCCTCGATGAGCCGATAGTACGCGCTCCAGAAAGTAGGGACGGACACGTCGAGTGATGTCGGCGTAGGCGAGCCGGAAGGCGGGATTCGGGACAGGTAGTCGAGGTGGAGTTTGGCCCATTTAGAGATGATGCGCAAAGAGGGAAGAATCCGGCGGAGGGCGGCCGATATAGAAGCGTGGAGTGGCGAGCCGCTCTCATCTTCGTCATCCTCTGCGATCGCGGAATCGGCGGGGTTCGACCATCCTGGCGCCTTCATGACTTCCTCGATCTCCGAGGCGGAGATGGTGAGCAGGACGATGAAGGTGCAGAGGAGGAAGTCGAGCGCCGTGTCTTCCGCTTGTTGGGTGCGGGAAGGGGACGTGGTCGTGTGATCGTTTGGGCCAGGTATGACCGAGGCGAGAGAGCGTGTGTGCCAGTGCAGACCGATAGTGACGACCGTGAGGCGGACAATGGTCTCAGACGGAAGTGATCTGGAGCACAAGAGAGTCGAGAGGCCTGGGATGATCGATGACTTGAGTGCGCCGTATTGCGAGAAGCTAGATGTCAGCTAACTCATCTTGCCCCAGGCGTCTAGCAGAAAATTCAGTGCAACTTACCCGTTCTGCCTAAATGTCACCGCTACGACAACGCCCACCTCCCTCGTGAACTCCTCCAACCCGACCGTGGGAACAGCAGCCTCCGTCTCCTGCTTCCGCTCCAGCCACCTCTCGAACGCCTTCTTGAGGTACCTGTCCAGGATGTCCGAGATCCCTTTGAACGGCACCTTGATGGCAAGCGCGCGAACATAGTTATAGATCGTGCTGAAGTCGTCATTGAGATACGTCGAGATGACCGCCAGTTGGTTAAACGCCGATCCTGCATGGTCAGCTTGGGCGCACGCTTTGATGAGCACGGGAACTGACCATCCTCCGGAGTCAACGCTCTCGCAACATCATAATACGCCTTCGCTCTCCCAAATTGTTCCTCCACCTCGTCGCCCTTCCTCTGCCTCGACCCGCCGGCCTTAATCCGCCGATACCCATCCGAGTATTGTTCCTTGTACCGCTCGATATCCCCTAGGCACACCAGCGCCTTGTACACCAATGCGATCTTGTCCTTCTTCTCCTCCTGGCTGAGATCGGGCGAGGACTTCCCATTCCCTCCCTCCCCATCCTCCATCTTTCCACCGGACAATGATAACCCGACGCCGGCCAGTGCACTCTGGCACATCTCCTCCATCCCAAAGAAACGGACGAGCCTGACGACAAGCTGCCGATAGAATCCTTCCTCACTCGCCAGCGCCTGCCTGAAGCGCGTAAGCACCTTGCGTAGCTCTTGTTCCGCTGGCGAGTTTTGCTGGGCGCGTCTGTTGCCGCTACCGGTAGAGGCGGAGAGGGCACCTTCGCCGCGCGCGACGTGGTCTCGGAAGGAAACGATGAGGGAGTAGGTGGTCCGGATCCACATGGGGTCAAGGCTTTGCGCGAGGGGGTGAAGGGGATGGTTGAAGAGGAGGGTCTGATGCAGGTTGCGAGTTCTGCGAGGTCAGCCATGCTTGTGATTGCAGACGGCTAGCTCACTTTTGACGATACAGCTCGACATCCCTCGACCAAGGAGGCTGATTCTTGAGCAGATCGCGCATTGCCTCAAAGCCGGCACGCGCATCCCTAGGATGTCAGCTCGGGTCCACATCGACATGAGATGATTCCGTTGAGCTGTAGCTGGAGACGTACCGATCCAAGTCTGCCGCTGTCTTCTGCCCATTCCCGTTCCCGTTCCTCGCATTCCGCCCAACCCCCTGGGCGGCAGGCTGAGCTGAAGCGGCAGCCGTCGCCGGCTTGCGCGCCCGAGGGGTCCGCGACGATTCGTTGTTCCGTCCAGTAAGAGTATCAGGGCGGCCCTTCATCATATCTGGGAAGCTGCCGTTCAGAGCGTAGTCGTCGCGCCCAGTGCGAGCGGCTTGCGGAGAGTACATCTTCGCGAATGACAACCAGCCCGGCGTTGGCGAGTATGGACAATGTTTGAGAAGAGGTCTGGCAGTCAATTGGGGCGATCTCGCCTCGCTGCTCCAAGTAGATGAGCAGACTCACGATCCGGTAGATAGACAGCAGGCGCTTGTCCTGTGTTCGAGGTCTATGCGGAGAAGAAAGGATCGATCCCGGTTGAGCGGAGAGCGATTTCTGACACCCGTTCTGATCGAGAGGTGGTCGGCTCACTGGCCCATCACTAGTGTGTCTATCCTGTCGACTCCCAGCTGATACTTCAGGGAGGGAAGCCGTTCTGAGGAGGATATGGAGAAAGTCAATCTCACACAGTTGACTGGCTGGCAGCTGCCATGACGGTGGGCTGAGCGGACCCTGTCAGATATCCGGGCCAGATATATCCGGATGCTATCGTCCGACCCGGATTTACCGAGCCGGGTAACCAAAAATAGCCCGGAACCCCTCCACCCCATGCGACCACATGCTGATTGCACCTATCATCACTCGAGCAACTACACCTTGTCTTCACCCTGCAGACCGTCTATCTATCTTGCACGTATCAGGCTATTAACCATACGATCCGCTCAGGATGCGCTTCGCCCTCTTACCTCTCCTACTCTCGTTCGCTCTAGCCCAAGATCCAAGAATAGGGTACGTTCTCATTCCTTATCTCCCCGTGACCGTGTCCCTCCTCGTCTCTCGCCTCACCTTGCACCTCCCCGCTAACCCTCCAGTAACCCTCGAGCAGGCCAGCAACCCCACACTACCGCCGAACTCCCCTTTACCGCCTTCCCAACTCCCACACCCACGCCCACCCCTACCCCCACAGGAGGCCTCGCACCGTACATCCAGCTCGGGAAGAACCTCTTCAACGCTGCGATCCTCGGCAAGGCGCCCGTGGAGGATACAAAGCTCCGAGATGAGCGCGATGCGACTGATGGAGTGGAGAGGCTGATGAAGGAGAACTGGGACCAGGTGACCCAGGGCTCAGAGGAGGATGTATGGGTCATGCACATGTGAGCTAATTCGTTCATGAGAGTGTAAAGGACAAGCTGACACTGCAGCTCCGGTCCACCTAGAGACTTTGTCGACTTTCGATACCTCGACACCCACAGAAACATCACCCGTCTCACCCGAGAACACCAAAAAGCCGGAAAGAAAGGCATGGACCACTTCAGATTCGCCCGGGTTGACTATATGCGCGAGGCGGAGATCTGTACGCGGTGGTTGATCTTCAGGTACGCTGAGAGGAACCCCGGTCTGGGATCACCCAGCTGATCATTGTCCAGCTCGCCGATACTTGTATTCGTCTCGGACCAGGGGAAGACACTACGCTTCGCCCCTAAGAACCTGGTCGGAGCGGGCGGGGACTTCGTTTTTGAGATTATGGAGTCCGGCGAGTGGACGAGGATACCGGTTTGGAAGAGTCGCTATGCGCCAGGAGGGGATCGGTAAGCTACCCCAGCCTTTCCCAAGCGTGCTAGCTGACCATCAGCGCCCACATTGTCGAGTTTTACCTCAAGTCCTCAGATTTCGTCTACGCTCAATCCGCAAAGGTGCCGACGCTGGTCTGGATGGGTATGTTTGCAGCCATCACCCAAGGGTTTGTCAAGTGGATGCACACGCCAAGTGGGGCCGGGCGAGCTCCAGGAGCGGGCGCCGTCCCCAGGGGAGGAGCGGCTGGAGGAGCGGCTGCGATGCCAAGGGCTGCAGCGGGCCCGAAGGGTGCAGCGAAGCCCAAGAAGGCATAGCGGCCATGAGTACTCAGTAGTGGTCAGCAAGGAGAAAAAGCATGCAAAGGTGCCTACTACCGATTAGCAGAGTCGCCGGGTGTCAGCTCCTGATTGACTACAACGCGGAGATACATCAAGCAGCTCCAAGCGGGTCCCACGCCCTACTATCCCCTCCCATCGCAGCTTCCAACTCCCTCTCGCTCTGTTCCGCTGACGCCTGCTTTCCCGCAGGCAGCTTAGGTTCACCGCCTGGCGCTGCTGCCCCGCTTCTCCTCTTCTCTTCCTCGACCAGCTTTAGATCCGCCAATGAATGCCTCAACCCCGCCTTCTCCGCATCCGCCTCTCCGACTGCAATACCGCCCTTCCCGGCCGAGATCGAGTTTGACCGAGGCGTAGACGTTCCCGAGACTGAGGCAGAGACCGAAGCGTCGACCCCAGGCCGAAGAGAGCTAGATGCCGTCGGCTTGGTGTCGTCTCCCCATGGATTGGCATTCCAGCTCGGCTCCCTCCCCTTGGTTCCAGCTCCTGGAACCGCCAAACCCGCAGTCGACCGCGGACCAGGCTGGATAGGCATGTCTCCCTGAAGTGCGGAGGAGGAGGGTCCAGCGCCCGTCCCGCCCCCGCCAGCAGAAGAAGGCAAAGACCAAGGATTCGCCTCACTCGGCATCCTCACCCCTCTCCCTGCTGGCGCCGCCGCACCTCCCGGTCGTCCCTCCCCTATCCCCGTCCCCGCTCCCCCAGTCTCCTGCGTCTCCCCCACTTCCGCCCTAATCTGATTATACGCCCCCTCACCTATCGTCCTTATCTCCCGTGCACCACGCGAGAGCGCCGAGTATGCGCCAGACGAGAACTGGTTCCATCCCCACCCACCTCCGCCTCCGCCGGATCCCCCTGCCGGTCCCGAGGGAGGAGCGGACTGCCTATTCCTCGATGGAAGACCGGCTGACGGGAACTGAGACGAGGACGATAGATCGGGATTCGGAGTGGGGTGTCCAGCGGTCTGAAGCGAGAAGGCAGACGAAGTCGATTCGATGCCGCGATACGTCCCTTTCCCGCTCACTCCGTTCAGAGCAGGATTCACCGCCTTGCGTCCAGGAACAGGAGAGGGTCCTCTACTCCCCTGCACGCCAGGACCGGTGACGAACCCTTCTCCCCGTCCTGCTAGTCCCTCCGCTACCCCTTGTGCCGAAACAGGATCCACCTGTCCCGGGTTCACAAACACCATATCCGCCCCCACCCCCACACCCGACGTTTGCGGCTGTCCTTGAGCCTGAGCCTGAAAAGACGGGGACGGGCCATTCATCTCTTCATCCCCCCGCCTAAAGAGACGGAACCACCACCTCACGTCCCTCGGATCAAACATGAGCACCCCCTGATCCGCCCCTTCTCCCCGATTCTTGGGATCGTCCAGACTCGCATCGTACGTGGAGTTGATATACCCCCTCCGCACTTCGGGTCGGTCATACCATTCCCAGGCCGAGACAGTACGTTCGACATAAGGCAACGACCCCGCCTGACTCGCATCCGGCGCGACCCGCCTCTCCCGCTCATTATTGAATAGGAATGTACCGAATTTGCACGAGTAGAGGTCCGTATAAATATCGAGGAGGTATTGCTCGTTGTACTCGAACCGGTCCGGAAACTGTCGCTGGATTTGGCGGACACAATCGAGGAATTGGTGAAAAACGGGTGATACCTCCTTGAGGTGCGTATCGCCCTTTTTGAACTGGTTTTGCACCGACGCAAAGAAGGCCTGAGCGACCTTCTGCGCTCCTACCCCGCCTCCACCGCCCTCCTCATCCGAGTCCTCGTCCGGCGCATCCGTGACCGTAAACAGCTTTTCCGACGAGAGGTGTCCTGATCGATCGAGAAATTTGTGTCCGAACGCCAGCCAGTCCTTCTCTACTAACACCTTGAATCCGTCCAGGGTCCGATAGTACGGATCCAGGCAGATCTGGGCTACGGCACACAGTTGGGCGGTCCGATCCCACCCGTCCGAGCAGTGGACGAGGACGTGCGACGCGTTCAGGTGGATATTCCGGATGATCAGGAGTGAACCCTCCAAGATCGCCGAGACGTGCTTGAGCCAATTGCTTTTCCGGAGCAACGACCGGTCGAGGGGCGGAGCGCCGGATTGGGTGCTACTACCGATAGACGGCGCCTCGGCGTCGCGCAGTGCTTCACTGATGACTTTGAGCGAGTTGCGCATGACGTGGATATTGTCGATCCCGAGGTACGCCTTCTTGGCGGATTTGTAGTTCTCCATGTTTTCCGTGCCGGCCCCGATGGCCACGTTGGCCATAGCATTGGCGGTTGGACGGGCGTCGACGATAAGGTTGGTGGAGGTGGCGCCGTAGACTGGGGTGGAAGTCGAGGAAGTGAGAGGATTAGGGGTAGGGGTGGAAGAGGATGCAGTGTAGGCTGTATCGAGGAATTGGTGGGAGGAGAAGATGCACTCGACGAGGCGTTCATCTTGCGCCGACCGAGCGTTCTTCAGTCCCACCATAGGCTGGGATGAGCGCGTCATGGAAGCCTATGGGATCAGCTCATGCCGCCACCATGTCGACCAGGGAGCAAAAGCTGAAGGCCAGAGATGGACGTACCTGATTCGCCCAGTGTAGATAAGTCAGAGCCGGTATTCTGCCCTTACTCCTATACTTTCCAGCATACGACAAGGTCGAGTCACTAATCCGACTAGGGACGACCATCTTGGCAGGATACGTAGGCGAAAAGCTGTAATCCTTGTTGATGTCTGTAAACCGCCAGGCTTTTGTGCGGGATCCGACACCTTGTCGCGCGAATTCGAGACGGGGGCTGAAGGTGGACCAGCCTGACGAAGAGGAGGCTGAGGGCGGGTGCGGTATTCCGCCGACATCAAGCGGAGATGTGTGTGAGGAGGTGGATATGGTGCTGCCTGAAGAGACCGCGGGTGTGGGTAGGGTATAGAAGAAAGCATAGAGCTGCTCCACCGATACTACAATGATCAGCTCACTGGCCACCATGAACGGCGCTCTCCAGCTGATACTCACTCGCGACAGCACAATCCTTGACGCTCAACCACACATCTTCCGCCCCGCCCTCCATCGCCCTCTCAAACGTCAGCACGTAGCTATCAAACCCCCTCGTCCGGATCTGCAACGGATACTTCCCGCCGAACGTTTGTGGCAAGCGAGTGAGGAGCGTGATGGCCGGATAAGATATCCATATTTCGCCTGTATCGCCTTCGGCCGAAGATGAAGGCGAGAAGATGAGGTGATGTGGTGTCAGGTGGAGCGTTCCGCTTTGTCGGAGGGATGTAGGGATTGGGGAGGACGAGGAGGAGGGAGATGAAGGTGGGAGGAGCCGGTCGAGCGTTACATTGTCGACTTTGGCGACTCGGAGGTTGTCCATCGCGTCGCTTTCTGGCTTCAGCCTGACTGGCAGACCTGCAGGCTAGCTTGGAGCTGTGAGGGCTAGTGTGGACGATGTTGGGGTACAAAGGGAGAAGGAGCTGAGCTTGGACGCGATTTGATTGAGATTGCGCACGGTCTTGCCCCATTTGGCTCGTGCCTGACCGCGTCATACAGCGCCTACTCAATACCCACCTATCTTCCTATCATACATATACCCGGGGTATACTAGCTCGGAAGGCCTCACAGATCCTAACATCAGCGATATGAACGATACGACTGCTCCAAACGGAGGGATGCACAATCTGGGCACGATCTTGTGGGTCCCGCTTCATAACACCGCATTCCTCGCGGACCTCTGAGCCCTGGAGGTGGAGCTCATGCTGACTGCCTGTAGGAAGCGGCTGGAGGGTACGTACTTTGCCGCAGCTGCACAGAGCTTTCCAAACCTTGCAGGCTCTATAGCTGATCATGTAGCCGTCACTTCCCGTCTCGAAGACGCAGCCATCCACGGCTCGCTCGGATCAGCCGGTGGTGCACAGACCGGCCGGTCGCCCGCCATGTCAACGCATGAGTCCGTCGGCGGAGCTGCTGCTGGAGGTGCCGCTGCTGCCTCTGCACCGCCGCCTGCTGCTTCGGAAGAGCCAGCCGCGCCGCACGTTCAGGCATACCAGGAGCTCATTTCCGGTCCTCTGAAAGAGTTCACGTCCAAGTCTGAGGCTCTCGGCGGGGTCGTGGCGCAGCACGTAAGTACCGATCAGCTATCAGATCCTCTACATCGTATGATGGAGCTCTGGATGATGTAGCTGATGTTCTAGGCCGCCCTCCTTCCTCCTCTCCTCCAGGCTCAACTCGACTTCCTCTCCCTAGCCTCCAAGCACGCCAAACCCGCTACGAAGGACCTCCCCGCTCTGCTCGGCCCGCAAGGTCAAGCTATTTCAGCCATCGTCGAGGCGAAAGATAAGCTTGGGCGAGGCAAGGAGGGACGGGAGTGGGGAGCATGCTTGAGTACCGTTGGGGAGGGTGTTTCCGCTTGGGGTTGGGTTCAGGTGGTACGTCGACGCCCTCGATCGGCTGGCTCACTAGCTCTGGAGCTTTCCCAGAGAAGCCAAAGCTGACAGTGTAGGAGCCAGCACCCGCACCGTTCATTGGCGAGATGAAGAACGCGTCGCAGTTCTGGGCCGATAGAGTAACCAAGCAGTTCAAGGAGACGTCAGTTGTATATTCCCCTCCCTCTATCGAAGAACAATAGCTGACCCCTTTAGTAAGCCCGAAGCTATTGCCTGGGCCAAGTCATTCACTGCGCTCATTGATGCGCTCCAGGCCTATGTCAAGCAGCACCACACCACTGGCGTCACCTGGAACCCACGAGTAAGCTTACCCGCCCGATGTATCCGGGCATGTAGCTGACGTGACAGGGCCCTCCCGCGCCTTCGTCGGTCCCAGCGTCCTCCTCGGCTCCGGCAGCCGCACCGTCCACGGCCCCATCCGCCCCGGCAGCCAAGTCCACTCCATCTGGCGGGCCTTCTGGCCTCCTGGCCTCGCTGAACCAAGGCGGAGCCGTCACGTCAGGTCTCCGCAAAGTCGACCCTTCGCAGATGACGCACAAAAACCCGGAGCTTCGCACCTCCTCGGCTGTCCCCGCCGCAGACGAAAAGAAGGCCGCGCCTGTCGTCAAGCCGAAGCCTGCTTTCGGTGCGGCGGCGGCCAAGAAACCAGCCAAGACTGAGCTGGAGGGTGGGAACAGGTGGTCTGTGGTACGTTTACGCAAGCTGGCTATGACTTGTATGCGGAGTATTGCAGCTTACTATGTAGGAATACCACGAAGACAACCGCGATATCCAAATCACGGACACGGCCATCTCGCACGTTGTCCACATCTTCCAATGCCGAAACTCGACCATCCGAATCACCGGTAAAGTCAACGCGGTCACCATGGTCAATTGCAAAAAGGTCGCTCTCGTCCTCGACTCGGCCGTGTCTGCTTTATCCATCACCTCGTCCCCGTCCTTCGAGGTCCAGATTACGGGCACAGTCCCGACGATCCAGGTGGACAATACCGATGGGGGACAGCTGTACTTGAGTAAAGAGGGGATGGGGGGCGTGGAGATTATCACGAGCAAGACGAGCGCGATCAACATTTCGACGCCGGAGGGGGAGGATGGGGACCTTGTGGAGAGGCCGGTGCCGGAGCAGATGAAGACGGTGGTCAGGGGTGGGAAACTGGTTACGGAGATTGTGGAGCACAAGGGGTAGAGAGGGATAGGGAGTAGGGGGATCTTGTATAGAGTGAGATGGGGACGTACTGGGCGGGATGATTGTAGATGCCTGATGGAGGAAATGTGAACATATCATAGGTACTTACTTCTTACATGGAGAGGGTACGAAACACTGCTTTGCTATCTGATCTGTCCTGATATTCTCCTCATTCCTACTCTATTTACTCCTACTCTATTGAACCTCGCTCAACCCGACTACAGTTCCGAACCCATCCGCCAACTCCTTCAACACGACATCCACCAGCTCCCCCGCCTTCACGCCCGGTATATCCCGATCCCCAATCGCCTCTCTGACAAGCACAACATCGTAACCCCGTTCCGCCGCCTGTCTCGCCGTCGTACTTACACACACATGCGCCATATACCCCACAAGCACGACCTGCTTCTTCCCCGTCTTCTCAATCAACTCCTGCAGGTTCGTGCCCGTGAATGATCCCGGATGGTTCTTGGAAACGACCGACTCGCCGTCTTTGGGAGTGAGGACGGAGAAGATATCAGCGAGGGGCGTGGAGGGCGTAAAGACCGGTGCGCCCGAGGGGGTGATGTGTTGCACGTGGATGATGGGCGCGGAGGCTTTGCGGTATTGCTCCAGAAGGGTTTGAATGGCCGAGCGGGATTCTTCGACGTTGACGATTTTCAAGTGGCCGTCTGCGTACCTGTGTTGTCAACATGAGCTCAAGGGTGGGCGAGCGGGGACATAGGGACATACTCGTTCTGCGCGTCGATGATGATCAAGACGCTGTCGGAGGTGGAGGCTTTACTGGGCTGAACGCCGATGATTTCGCGGAACGACTTGGACATCTTGCTCCGAATAGATGGTAGGTAATACGTTTACACAAAAGTCTGGCTGCTGTCTGGACAGATGAAGAGGAGTGGATCAGGAAGAAACGGAGGTTGCGTCTGCTTATATAGCTGCTGCTCAGCTGCTGCTTGCTAAGCTCGTCCAGCCGGCCGGCTACTCTCGGCCCGGAATCGCTTAACTCGCCTAGCCGCGGGGCTCCCATACCTTAAGCTTCTACCCGTCTCCTTCAAGTCTCCTCCACTCTACAGTAGTCCAGAAATCCGGTCGAGCAGGCAGAATGGCGCCACCGCTACTTCTCATGAGATGCACAGGTAGCTATACGACAAACGCTATAGAACAGCAGAAGCCCGTCGGCGAAGTTTTGAGAGCGGTACAATTTTAGCAGGAAGAGTAGCTGATGGACCGCAAGCCCTCATCAGCTGGATTGCCTCCTGGCCAAACCCTGTCGCACTCGCTGCTGTGTCAGACCCCGCGAGCGTTGCAACAGCCGGACTGGGGTGGGCGGCAGGGGCAGGAGAGTTCAGCGAACGCCTGTCAGAGCAGCTGCACACGACGACGCAGGTGCGGGAGATAATGATGTATGTACAGTGGTGATCACGAGCAGCGTGAGAAGGTACAGGAGATGTGAAGATGACAGAGCCGACGATTGGATATGGTTGCTGGGCAGGATTGAGAGCGGTGCAGACTATTTAGACCCCGGGAACCGCTGGGCCGATCCGGGTGCGAGAAAGTTGTCAACGGCCCCTACGGTCTTCGCAGGCAGACGTCGGGCGGTGCTGGGAAGCCGAGTGGAGAGACTGACTTTGCTTCGCTCATTCGACGGCAGATGCGTCTCGTCCACCGCAGAGGTGATGTCAACGGCGACCGTCTTGTACTCAACCTCCGAGCCAAGGGCGGTAGTCACATCCGTCGTGTACCTTCCGGTGTTGGGATCCTTGGTGGGCAAAGGAGCTTCTGCAATCCTGAGCATCAGTCAGCTCACAGGCTATAGCAAAACGTATAGCGCGGGGTATGAGTAATGATGTATCTCAGCTCATCACTCACCGTCCAAGCACGGCATACTGCATGTCGGACCCCTCCAAACCAGCATCTTTCAGGGCGCTGAAAAGCTGCTCTTTGACCACAGAACTTCGGGGGTCAGACTCGTAGTGCTGCATCCAGCCAATTGGAATATCGAGCGTTTCATTCAGGGCATACTTGGCGACCATCTGGGCTCGCCAACTATCGGGACTCGTCAGCGGGCGCCAGTCTCGCAATTTGTAGGGTGGCGAGCAGCATGCAGGGAATGTCTACTCACGAGTCCATGAGGCTGTCTGTGATGCCCGTGTACCGGATCTTGAAGTCGCTTGCGCTGCTCATTGTATCGTACGTATGCCTGGTGGACTGTGGTTGCGGGAACTGAAGACGATCGATGTCGGGGCAAACGATCGAAAGTGAATGTACAAACGAGGGAGCGGGAGTCCTGTGCCTGCCTCTTATACGCTCTCGTTTGAGCGCCGGGTCCCAGCTCGCTAGATCTCCTTTGACCTGCCTGGCGTTTCGTCCCACCTCCTTGAGCTTACCTTTTCCCCCGCACCCCACCCTGCTTTCAAGTTACGAGTGTGGCGGACAACATTTTGCCACCCGAACCAGACCGCCACTCTCGCCGACAAGCTCGTTCTGTGGTCTCAAGACTGGCTTCTGATCGCTTGTTCGGCGAAGCCCTGCCAGCCGCTGCTCTCTTCAGCCGGACAGGGATGTGATGAACCGTCTTGCATGATAATCTGGCGATGTCTCCTTCCTCACCCGGCCCTGAGAATCGTAACCCCGCTAGACACTCCCCGCCGCTCTGTAAATCATCACCTTCTTCTCATCCCCACCCGTCGCAAACATCTTGCCTACGCCCAACGACCCACTCGTCACGTTCTCAGGCTGCCAGTCGAAGGCCCAGACCGGCGCCGCTGTGGTCGTTGAGAAGACCGAAGTGCGCTGGGCAATGTCCCACAGTCGGACTTGGCGGTCTGCTCCGCTAAGAGTTATCAGCTAGAGGTCCACCCAGGCATGAGTACAGCAGGAAGCTTACGCTGAACCGAGTAATCGCCCATCTGGCCCCGCAGCAACCGACAGTACCCAGCTCTGATGTCCTTGCAGAATCGCCACTGCGCCTTCTCCCTTCCCGCCCGAGCCCGTCTTGCTTCCCGCGCGGATATCGTGCAGGACTATTCGGTGGTCGTCTGAGCCTGAGAAGAGCCACTACATATGAGCTTACCTTTCTTCCTATGACTGCGGTGAGAAGAGGCCAGCTCACCTGCGAGTCATGCGACCAGGATATGGTCCGGACTGCCATAGCGTGAGACTGGTACGTCGCGACGACGGAAGACGATTCTGCGTCGACGACGGTGATATGGCCATTCTCCGTCGAGAGGGCAATTTGACGGCCATCTGGAGACTGACAGGTCAGCTATAGAGCTACAGCAAGCATTACAGGGCATGAACAGCTTACAAAGTTGATGTCCATTGCGAACTTTCCCTTGCCCGTGTCCACCACCTTCCCTTCCCCGCCCAGCGGCCCTGCGCCCACAGAGACACCATTTTGTTCATTTCCTTCATCGTCATCCTCATTTGAGCCACCGTTGAGAGAGTCGGACGAGATGGTCTTAACGATTATTTTGGAGGATCGGCCGCAGTATGCGTAGGCTGAGGAAGAGGGGTGGAGGGCGCATGCGTACGCCGGGATTTCTGTCGGGTCAGCCATTATTCCTCCAAGTCGTCCTCAACAACGATCCGCCCACAGATCCGGTCCCTAAGACACTACGCGTGACTCTCTCAGAGACGCTCGGACCTCGCTAGCCTTCCTTCCCCCCGCTTCTCCCCCTATGCAGAATCCAAACTCACCGCTCCCACCCCCCACCTTCTCCCTCGCACTCTCCACCCGCCCCACCGACCTCCCCTCTTTGACATCCACCATCACCACCATCCCATCCAGACTCGCCCCCAGCGCAAACCGTCCATCACCCGATACGCTCAGACTAGCAATCGCGAGCGGGTTTGTCGAGAGGTTGTAGACTGGTACGGACGGTTGCGAGGCGTCATACACCCGGATATGGCCGTCGGCGCAGCCAGAGACGAGGTTGTTGGTTGATGTCCATTTGAGTGCCCAGATATCGTCTGGGTGGGCTAAGGTTGTCAGTCAGAGCCAGGGAGGGCGAGAGGGAAGGAAGAAGAGGGGGACGGACTGGAGGAGGATTCGGAGTTTAGGTAGGCGAGGGACTGGGGAGTCAGCTATGTGGTCTCAATACTGGCGCATCAAGGTAAGATTCAGCTTACCATGCTGAGCGATGTGCGTTTTGGGTGTTGAAAGAGAGGTAGAAAGGCAGTTGATGAATCTGAACTTTGCGATGTCAATGCTTGGATCGACTTGAGGAATGTGGAGTTGCACGTTGCAGATCCAACTTGCTTCAGCCATTTCACCATCATCTTCCCAGACCCTTTGACTATCGACCGCAGGTATCATCCCGAACCAGGCACAGCGGACCCCATGCCTCATCCCGCTCCTTTAGGGATCCAGCGACCCCTCCTCCCTACAGCCCTTCTCGTCGCTCTCACACTCCGCATCCTTCCGGCCCTCATTCTCCCTCAGACCGCTTTCCAGCCTGACGAGTTCTGGCAGTCTCTGGAGCCCGCTCACGTCCTGGCATTCGGCTATGGGCACCTCACATGGGAATGGAAGGATTTGCCCGTAGCTCTCACGCGAGGTGAAGGTGGAGACGGGTGGTATGAGAGGATGGTTGTCGCTGGACGCATGAGGGGGTGGATATGGCCTGGAGTGTTCGCGTTGATCTATAAGGGGATGACTGCACTCGGGGTGGAGGAGCGGTTTCTGACGGTACGCTAGCCTACTCTCTGACGTAGACATTGGCTGGAGTTGATCGACATAGCTTGCACCCAGACTGGTCGGATCGCTCATCGCTGCGTTCACCGACTATGCGACCTACCTCCTCGGTATCAAGCTCTTAGGTCCTGGAGCAGGCCCAGCGGCTGTAAGTCATCCGCCGTACCACTCTCCATGTTGAAGCCTGCTGACACCCCAAAGATGTTCCTCTCCCTCACATCGCTCTTCCACGCGCACATCCTGCCTCGAGCATTATCCACCTCCCCAGAGACGCTTCTCACCGCTCTGGCGCTTCTGTACTTCCCGCTACCTGGTCCAGAAGTCCCAAGCGCTCTCTCCGTCGGCGAGGAGTCTGTCTCTGCCTCGAAGTCCGAAGCTGGGGGAAACAAGGCAGGGGTGCTGCGTTTGAAGGAGGTGAAGGAGATGGATTATGTGATGATGGATAGGATGTCGCCGCAGCTGGAGATGAGTCACCTGTAAGCTGCTTGATAATCAAGATGCCTTGGAGGACAAGCTGACAATCTGCAGACCACAAGCAAGTCTCGCTATGTCTGCGGCACTCGCAAGCCTTGCGGTCTGTATTCGACCTACCACGATTCCTTTCTGGGCATATCTAGGCCTGGAGCATATCATCAGGACATTCAGGAATCAAGGCGTACAGCAAGCAGTCTTTGATGTTGCTCGGGCCATTCTACCAGCGTGAGTTACCAGTCTTTTTTTCTCAGAACCGAGCTCATGACAGCAGCGGGGCTGTATTCGCCGCTTCTACGGGAATCGATTTCGCCGTCGCCGGTCGTCTCTACTTCCCCATCCTCACCTTCGTCCACTACAACCTCTTCTCGGGTCTTTCGGCGACGTACGGCTCCACATCTCCGCTATACCACCTCACCCAAAGCCTCCCCATCATGCTCTTCCCGATCTGGTACTGGTTCGCTCAAGGCTTCTCCTCTTGCCTCCTCCCCTCTAGGCTCCTCCCGACCTCTCTATCGAATCTGGACCGACCATCTTGCCTACGCACTCTCGCTCGAGCACTCACATTCGCCATCGCCACCCTCTCCCTCTCGCCCCACTCGGAATGGCGTTTCCTGCACCCGTTCCTCCCGTCACTCCTCCTCTTCGCCCTTCCACCCCTCTTCAAGGCTTACGCTCCGGTACAGGGCGTAGCGAACGTCCGATCGATATTCAGGCAGTACCTCCGGATCACTAAACGGCCGTTCTACCTCATCCTCCTGGCGCCGGTAGTACTGTACCTCTACCTGAATATCTTTCACGGAAGGGCGCAAGTCGAAGTGATGAATGCGCTAAGAAGAGGGGAGGTGGGCGAAGTGAAGGGTCTGGTGGTGCTTATGCCGTGTCATTCGACACCGTGGATGAGCCATCTGCACCGGGATGTTCCGGCTTGGTTCCTCACTTGCGAGCCGCCAATAGGGTAAGCTAAGCTTTTTCGACCTGGTCAAAGCAATAGCTGACTTGTTCTAGGCGAGATGCTGGGCAGTATCATACACAGCAGTCCATATTCTACAACGCACCCGTCTCGTATCTCTCCACAGTCTTCCCTTACCCGCCCTCACCGCTCCACAAGATTTTCAGCGCGGACGAGATGGACGGTACGGTCCTGCCTTCGCATGTCGTCCTCTTCGGGTCGCTGTTGGATGTGCGAGAGGGCGATTTAGGCGTGGCGCAGGCTTTGGAGGTGAGAGGGTATAGCCAGGCATGGTCCATGTGGAATGGGTTCGATTGGGCGCAGGATGAGGAGGGGAGGAAGGGGGGAGTGAGGATTTGGACTTTGAGCGGAAGCGGGGGTGCTCTTTAAGCTGACTTTGGCGGACTTATCAGCCAGGTTGTATATGTACCTCATCTACTGTCGCAGTCTCTGCTCAGCGCTCGCCCATGCATAGAGATCGACCATATAGCTAGACAAAACACGACTGAAACCTGCTGAAACATCAGCACGGACCAGTCTTCCCGCCACATCCGCCACTTCCCGGTCGAAATTCCGGCAATCTCCGCCCCGCACCAAAATTCGACTTCACTTCTTCCTGCGTCATTCCTCTTCACTCTAGCCTTCATCTTAATAAACCGGACTCACCTCCACCCCTATCTCCCTCTTTATCTACCCGCCAGCGGAAGAAGGCTAAACCAACCCCCTACAATGTCTGACGCCGGCTCCGAAACCGCTTCCAACGCCCCCGTGGCCGAGGTCGAAATCGCCGATGTGGCCGAGGTCAAGGAGTCCTCCGGACCCATGTCGGTCGAGGACGCGCTCCAGGCCGTCATCAAGACTGCTCTTTACCATGACGGTCTTGCTCGTGGTCTCCGCGAGTGCGCCAAGGCGCTCGACAAGCGGGACGCGCACCTCTGTGTCTTGGTCGAGACTGTCACTGAGGGTGAGTTTTGGTGGTTTAGAAGAAAGAGGGCGTAGCAGGGTGGTTTAGAAGGAAGAGGGCGTAGCAGAGGGGAAGGGGACGATTGGACGGGAACGGATAAGGAGACTCAGGAAGAGATGGGGGGCTGGGATGGGACGGAATATGGGAATTGAGGAAATGCGATACGTTCTCATCGACCACTTGCTGACTCTCCAGCCGAGTACCTCAAGCTCATTGAGGCTCTCTGCGCCGAGCACAACATCCAGCTCATCAAGGTCTCGGACGCCAAGGTCCTTGGCCAGTGGGCCGGTCTTGCCGTGAGCTACTTTTTCCCGCCATTCGTATGGGCCTCAGCTGACAATTGTGCAGAAGATCGACCGTGAGGGTAAGCCCCGGAAGGTCGTCGGCTGCTCGTGTGTCGTCATCACCAACTACGGCCAGGACACCCCAGCCCTCCAGGTGCTCCTCGAGTGTAAGCTTTGTCCTTTTTTCATGTCGTAAAGACACAGTAGCTGACTCTCTCAGACTTCAAGACCCGTTAATCGTTTCGCGGTCTGACCGAAGTCTTACCATTCGCTCTGTAAGTTGTGTTTCCGACTTCCTCCAACTCACACAAACCACATCCCTTCCTCCACTCTGATGATCGGGTCTCCCTCTACCAATTTCACCGTGTCGACAATTCCCTGGAATCGAACCTATCCTCGCAAGAGGACCAATCCGTTGTCTGATCTTTACGAACTCCTTTGTTGCGCTGGTCATTGCCCGTAAGGACAAATGCTGATAATTAGGATGTCGGTCTCTTGACTGTGCTTGGGATGTTTGGGCGGATGAACGTAGATTTGCTTGAGATGTATGCGGTGTCAAATCCATCAACTGCCTTTGTGGCACCCCTCGGGGACCCCCGGCCAGCCTTGGCTCACTTATTGCACTCGTATTTGCTACTTGACCTGCCTCACTTGGACAGGGACTGCCTTGCTAAGAAGACCTATGTAGTAATTTTTACCAGCACAGTTCGCGGACGATCAGTATAAGCGTAAAGAGGAGAGCAGCCCAATTGAGGAATGCGGAGCAAAGACCCTTCCTTGCCATGAGGCCCGAGCCGTACACTCATACACTTCATCTTGACCATATCAACCTTCTGCTTCCCCGCCATATAGACTTCGCCTCACCCTCACATATCTCGCTCGCACTCTGGGTCTACATGCGCGGGTGACACACTTCCCCTCAGAATCCCACACTCACGTCCCGCTTGTCGTGCGCAGCCGAGGTTGATGAAGCTGATCTGTAGACTGGGCAGTCAATCACCGAGACAGCTGTATTTGCTGGATATCCCCTACCCATGCGGCCACAGGACTACGCCACGATAGAGGTGCACGCACTGGACGAGCTGCGCGGGTCACCGTTAGGACGCACCGAGCTGAGACCGGCATATGGTCCAAGTGAGCATCTTACTTCTCTCACGGCCTCAAATTTCAACGTCAGCGGGGATACTTGCTGACCCTTCCAGTACACCTGCCTCCAGCTTAGAAGGAAATCAGACTGGCGGGTTGGGTGGAGTGAGTCAAGGGGATGAAAGTCGTAATCTCCAAGGTGGGCTTATTCGACAGCGCTAGGGTCAGAGACAGGGACATACCACTGGCGTAGACCTCGGAGTGGGCTGAGGCCACTCTTGAGAGGCTGAGCGACAATTAGACCTGGAAGGGAGGAAGAGCTTGAAGGCGAGGCAGCAAGAAGGTGGGAGCCGAGAGGACAATTCCGACAAATTACAATCATGTCTGCAATCTGTCTGAGCATCATGGTAATGTGCTGCTTAATTAAGATTGCTGCTTCTGCGTCTGCGCTCCCAGTGTAGCTGTAGTGTAGGCATGGCTGCACTACCTCCCGCGGGTCTATCAATCTTGAGCGGGGACGCCAGCATCTCTGTTTGGAGGAATGCGGACCGATTTGCAAGTGTGGCCATCCAGGCCTCCAGGGTCACCGGTCACCCGTTCTTTCGAGCATCACACAATACGCCCCTAACGCAGCCCTTACCCGAATCATTGATAGGCTCGACTATCAATCCTCCTTCCCATCATGAAGCCATTCAATAAGCAGTTTCCAGCGGAGATTTACCCGCTCATCCTCATTCATCTTCGCAACCCAATTCCCCTTCCCAACTCCTATCCAGCACGATCAGAGATCTACCAGCCTCACCTCGCCCAGGGAATTAGGGTCAACAAGGAAAGCTCAGCTCTTCAGCTGCTTGAACTCTCGCAGCCAGCCAGACAGGATAGGCGCTGATAAGCACAGGACTTTTACTATATCGTCGAACGCCTGCTCTACACGGATGTTCTCACTGAGGACCTGGCCGGTACGCTCGCGCTACCCTCCAAGCCTGGACGGCGGTTCCATCACACAAAGTTAATGCGGATCGAGTACGGTTCGAAGACGTCCGATGTCACATACGAACAGATCTTCACATCGGTCGCGCCCCCAAAGCATCCGGGCTGGACCATCTGGATCATGGTCGGTCTTACCCAAGAGCAGCATAAAAGTGCGCTCCGGCGGTCATGCGAAGCGGAGGTTGACCGCCTGAGTATGTTCTTCTACCGCCTCACACAGGAGCGGAAGAGCATAGCGGATCTCCTACCGAAACTGGAAACACTGGCGATAAACTCAATCTACGCCTCGGAAGATGACGGCTATACCACCTACGAGCGTGACTTCCCTCCAAAGAACTTGGTCAAAAGCGTCTCAAAAACGCCGTCCTCGGTTTTCACCAGTTTTGCGACCGGGGCAAACTCCGGCACCTTTGCTTACGGGATTCAATTGGACCATTGGGTCTCCGGCCGGTCACCTATGCCTCGTACGAGGGCCCCAACCACAACCGGACCCTGCACTTTTCGGCTGTCCCATTCCGGATGCCAATCCCCATGGGCCGGAACATCAGATGGGCATATGACGGTCCACCCAATCCGGACATGAAGATGTATGTCAAGGAGATTATACAGGAGGTTATGGCAGTCGGCCAGCATCGGGCGGATATTGTTGAGGGGGATCCCAGCATGGCGGGATGGGGCATGCCGGCCAAAACGGACATTGCGGATATCGATATCTACCTATCGTCAGCGGTGGATGATCCCTTCTTCGACCAGATCTCGGGGGCGAGTCCATCGGGCGGCAGAAATGAGATGATGTCGGAGGAGAGGCAAGAGGCGGTCATCGCATCGCTTAGGACCGAGCTGCAGTCCCGCCTGAGATCCCGCACCAAGACTCTGGATACAGTGCGTTGGGACTTGACCGAGCGCGCCCCCATTTGCGAGGCATGCGGGGCCGAGAACGTGGATATGGGCAAGGTGGGATCAGTACGGACGTAAGGAGGGACCTAGCCACCTTGGCTATGAGCGCGTGAGTGGTGGTCTTCCCCGTGCTGCGCCACGAGCTAGGAAGAAGCTGATCTGCAGCGTGCGGGCCCGGACACGTCGGTATGGGGAGGACAAGGTGATGGCGGACTTCAGAAGGGGAGGTATCCAGCCGTTCTACTGAGTGAGTGGTCTATTGGCATCGCTGGTCATGTGCCACCGACTCAATCGAAGCTGACCTGCAGATTCGGTGCATCATGGATCTGTTCACAGCTCGCGAACTATCAGATGGATTGCTGGACGTTCCTCATCTTCTGTCCCTATACGGGTACGCCACAATGGATGTACACGCACTGCACGTCTCACGCAGGCCAGGCTCTATCAGGAGGCGCTACACCAGCTCATGGGCAAATACTGACCTGCTAGACCCCGCTGATTAGACCTGACCAGGCCGAGACGAAACGCCAAGCAGGCTCGAAACAAAACTGAGCGGCAAGGCGGTCGATAGGAGGCGGTCTTTACTATCCAGCATGGCTGCTGATGTGATGGTGATACGGCTGAGAGCGTATCGTCTGCTAATGCTCGCGTATATCTTGCGGGTAGTTCCATGCATACATGCAAAGACACACTGTCAAAGGGATGGATCCACCCCAAAGGGGATCTTCTGATCTCCGCTTTAAGGAATGCGGAGCAGTTGTTACCCAAGCCTCGCGCCACTTTGCCACCCTTTCAACCTTTCAATCATCCGTCCTTTATCTCCCCGCGGACCCCACCGAGTCTCACAGTCGGTCCTTCATCAGTATTCTGGGAGTAACACTCGAATCCCTCGTCATGAAGCCATTCAACAAAGAATTTCCCTCGGAGCTTTGGCCGCTCATCCTCCGTTGGCTTCGCAATCCCACTCCCCTTCCGTCTTCCCGCCCACCACGCTCGGAGCTCGCTCAGCCGCATTTAGCTCAGACCGTCCGGGTCAGCAAGGTAAGCTCGGCCTCTCACTGCAGCCTCCCCTGATAGAAGACCTCGATCTGAGCTGACAGCGCAGTACTTCAACTCCATCGTCGAGCGTCTCCTCTACACACATGTTATAAGCGAGGACTTCCCCGGTCTTTTCGCGGTCCCTGAATCGGCGCCCGGACGTCGCTTCACCTTGACAAAGTCGCTCAAGGTCGAATACTGCTCGAAAACGACGGACGTGACCTACCGGACCATCTTCTCCACCCCGGCGGCCGGATCCCAAACGTCCCCCGAGCACTCGGTATGGCGAAACGTCGGGCTCTCCCGCCAGGAGCATGAGGCGGGCTTGGACCTCGCTTGCGAAGCCGAGATCGCGCGCATTCACATTCTTACTTGCCGCTTCCAAGGCGAGCTCGGCGGCGAGAAGAGATCAATGGCGGATGTCCTGCCGAGACTGGAGACAAGGGCGATCAACTCCATCTACGCCTCGGAGGATGACGCGTACCACCGGTACGAGCGGAATATCATGGACGGATCGAGGGAAAAGGAGAGGATGCAAGTTAGCGTGATCATGTTTGCCGAGTTCCTCAAGTCGGGGAATCTACGTCACTTCTGTATCCTGGACAACCTCGGACCCCTCAGTCTGCCACTCGTCAGCTACGCGTCATTCCAAGGCCCTCCTCACACGCTCTCGGTCCATTTCTCCCGTCTTTCGGGCGCTCGGTTCCCAGTCTCCATGGGTCGGAACATCCGGTGGGCGTACGATGGGCCACCGAATGCGGACATGCGAGAATATTTCGGCGAGATGTCACGAGACCTCATGCTCGTCGCGAAGCACAGGAAGGCTCTCGTCGCAGGTCCCGGCAATAGCGGGACGAATCGGCCGCGACCGGCGAATTCGGACGTCGCAGACGTCGATATCTACATGTCATCAACTATGCTCAGTCCCGGTTTCGAGCCGGCGTATACCAGCTTTTACCCCAACGCGGCGATCGAACTCGACGCACGGGCGCTGTCAATCGACAAGGAGAGGGTAATGGTCAGGTTGCTGGGCGCGGAATGTCAGACCCACATGAGGAAGAGCTCGGGCCTCCTGGATGTTGTACGGTGGCACCCGACCTGGGAGGCGCCAATCTGCGAGGCGTGCGGGGTGGGATGGGTTTAGGCGGTCGCGGAATAAGGAAGTCAGCGGTGCTTGCTGGGGGCTTGTAGTGTGAGTATTTCCTGTTGACTCTTGTTCCTTCTCTTCCGCAATGAAACCTCAACCGAGAAAATCAAAGCTGATAGTGTAGATCGCGCGAGATGAGGAAGTGCAATTAGACTGTAATTAGCGTAAATCGGACCTGCACATAGTATCACTTCTAGTCTCAGAGATAGCATCCATATCTGCTGGACAGCTGTCATGACCTACTACTGGGCGGTATGGTGGATAGTCGAGAGCCCATCAGCTCGTTCCGGCAGAAGGGGAAGATAACAGGTCAGTATTGTGCGAGATCGGTGTTTGCCCCTTGACCCGCACGAGCTGCCCTGACAGGTACAACATCTGAGAATGCATGACTGCTGACCTTCAGTCTAATCACCAGAGGAACACCCTCTGCAGCCTGATCATCAGCTCCCACGTCTTCTACACCCAAAAGACCCAAACATACCGCAATGTGGGCATTCAACGACCGTCCCCTTCTTCAACACCGCCTTGGGTACTCTGCAGATACACGTCGACCCCTGGAAGTTCATATCCCTCGTTTGGATACACCTGACACAGCAGAGCTTCTCGTATCCTTGCCTACTAGCGTCAGCTTGATCCTGCTCAGCGAGAGAGAGGTCGAAATTCACTTCTTCCACTTTGCTATCAGATCCGCGTCTGCGTATTTTTGCTTGATGAGCCAGTCGTACAGCTCCCTCGATATCAATTCCCGCTTGTAGTAGAGGTCGTATATGTATCGTGATCTTGCGTGGGATATACGCATTATTGGCCTGAGGGTGTCAGCTCGGTCCAAGCAGCCTCAGGCGGAGGTGCAGCTGTTGAGACCTGAAGTTCGCTCATGACCGGCCCAGCTGCGTCTGCCAATGCGATTAAGGCACTTACCAGACAGACTCGGCCTTCCGCTTGCCCTCATGCGACTCATTCTCCGCATCCCTCATCTTCTTCTCATAGTCTTCGAGCACATCCCTGCACTCTGTCAACTGTGGTCCCTGTAGCCCAGTACTGGCGGGAAAGAGAAAGCTCACGCTATGTCCTCGTATCCCTCTGGTGGAGGCTTCGTCCGGGATGTCCTGATCTTCGGCATGGCGCTATACAGTGAACGATGGTGGGCGTCGTAGAGAGGTGTTGTTGGCTGAGTTGGCTGGCTGGCTTCAGCTGCTGGCTCGACTTCTGGCGGAGAGCACGCACGGACTGTTATTCTTGTCCGGATAAAAGCAATAAAACCCGATTTGCCACCCGGCGGAATCCGGCTCCGAACCCCTTCTCCGACCGAACGCGTCTCTTCTTTTTGCCCTTTCTATCAGTCTTCATCCAGCCTTCTCTTGTCTATACCAGACATCTGTACGTATTACAGTACAAGCAGAGCGACACATCATAGCCGAACTCGCCATAAACCGTATCTGCATCGACGGATCCAGTCGCCTCCGGCCAAAAATCGCTCGAAGAGCGTAACAAAACAAAAATCTCCACTCCCGCTAACATCAGCCGGTACCGCCAGTATGGGTCGTTGGGCGCAGTCCGAGTTCGACAGGGTGCTTCTGGAGAAGGTCAAGATCCTATTGTGCGTGTTCGCTGTCTTCAGCCTGGAGGATGGGGCTGACGAGCCAGTGAAGCCGCCCGAGATCCCTTGGTAGAGTCTAGTAATTTAGACTTGCGGTTCCGGACGTTCGTGAGGACGCTGGACCCGAGGGATAAGGCTATACAGGCGTGTTTCAGGACTCTAGTCCAGGTGAGCTCACGGCAAGGTACACGTTGTACAGTACAAGCTGAACTCGTAGCAATCACATCTGACCAACGCCCGGGCTCGCGCACACCGCCCCATCTCTGACTATCTCGCCGATCTTGGCCAACCAACGGACACTGCTGAACGATTCGGACCTCCATCACCTCCTCCACGGGTACATACGCGTCTTCGCCGACATGGATTACCCGACTCAGGTGGTCAGCCACCCTTAGCCTCTTGGTTGCTTGCACGGGACATGCCTGCCAGCGCTGCCGCGGCCGCGGCTACCGACGTGGAAGCTACCACACGGCGAGTGCTCCCCCTTCCCGCTCGGCGACCTCAGGACGAGCTTGCCCCGCTCTTGGCACGCACACGGCCGACCGGATCAGCTACCGCGTCGGGTTCGGGATCCGGCACAAGCCGCGCCCACTCTCCCAGCCGGATGCGGCGCCTCGGTCTCGATCCTTCCGCCGCCACATTCGTTCCTCGCAATGGTGCACCCCGGCCACCTAGTCCACCAAGCGCAGCCAGCGCTGCGTGGCTGAGCGAGTATATTCCGACTGGCCCCACCGGCCCGGATCTCTCGTTCAGCGACGACGAGGAAGCAGACTACATGGGCGGCTTCTTCGACAGCGGTATCGTCCCTCCTCCACGTTTTTCGGAATACGTCCCGGGGTCCATACTCGGAGCAGATCGGAGGCGGCGTCAGCGAGAGGAGGAGTTTGGGGTGGACGGCGAGGAGGATGAGGCATACCCGTACGGGGCAGGAGGGAGGCGACAGCGATTGAGACGGAGTCGAGCGCCTACCCGGGGCGCAGGTGGAGCGGCGGACGATGAGGTCGAGGCGATGTTTGGACGGTATACGGGCGGAGGGGATTATGGGGCGGACGACTCGGCGCTGCTGTTTCAGCCGACGACGGACATGCCTCAGCCGGGACCTGGGACCGAATCGGGCGCGGATATCCCATATCCCCATACGGCAGAGACATATGCGGCGCGCCGGCGAAATCGGAATCACAGTTCCAACCGGCCAGCATGGGGCGGGAACAGTCTGACGGATTATATCCTCGGTTTCGCGGACGAATTTGGCGAGGCGGGCCCGTCGGGCGCAGGCGGGGGATCCGGACGGGCTGGGGAGGGAGAGGAGGAGGGGGCGGTAGTGGATGATGGTGGTGTAGCGGCGGTAGATCAGTTTATCGCTCGGACGTTGAGGCGGAGGGAGCGAGCGGACGCGAGTGGGATTGGAGGGAGGGATACGAGAAGGGATGGGATTGTGCTGGATCTGGAGGACGAGGAGCTGGAGGGCGGAGAGAGAGGGGTGTGGTCGAATGAGTGGCATCCGACGGAAGGTGCGATGGAGGGGATGGATCCACGGCTGTTGGCGGCTTATGAGGAGGGGTTGTATGATTTAGAGTAGGCCTGGGCTGGGGTTGTAGTCCTGCTCGTGGGAAGGTGAGGGCATGCCTCATGATCAGGATCTGAGGGTCGATCCGAGTACATGTATTCATTTCCGCCCTGTTGCCGACCGTAGCCTTCCTAGGAGGACTAACTTATCTTACAAATTATGGTTCACAAGCTGTCGTGCTGCGCATACGCGATTTGCTTGTGCCACATTCCTTCATCGTTCATTCCTCGCTCAGACCTTGTCCCAAGCTTGCTCACTTGCGTGTTCGCTGGGATATCGCACTTGTCCCAAGCTTGCCCACTTGCGTGTCTACTCCCACTCGACTGATCATGAGCTCTACCGATCTCTTTCTCAATAAGCCGACGCCAAGTCAGCTTGGAGAGAAAGGGAGAGTCGCAACGCTTGGTCAGTCTTTCTCTGCCCTGTCTCCTATTTTCATCGCTTCCTACCAGAACTGCCAAAGGGACATTAGACCAGGCCACCTAATGGTACTCACCCACTGACATGGACACGCTCTACCACTGACCTGGCGTTCGGTCACATTGTTGCCAGATCCACGCGCGGACTGGTACTGACGAAAGATAGGGATGTTCATCATCGATCATTTCGAAGTGACGGACCCCGATGGTCAAAAGCGTCAGACCGAAGAAGAAGCGGTGCGTCGGCTTCGTGTACATAGTGGAGTACGAGCTGATCCCGTAGATAGGCGGAGGCGGGGTCTACGGTAAATACCCCACTGACCTCTCGCGCGACGCGCAGAATGAGAAGACACCGTACTGATTACTGATACAGCGATGATCGCTGCCCGAATGTTCTTATCTCCGTCGCACGTCGGTCTCGTCGTGGACAAGGGCACCGACTTTCCACCCGCTTTCGAAAATAAGCTAAGTGTGCTGGGTGAGGGCGTGTATTGGCGGGCCAGGGAGGGCGGAACGACTCGGGCTTTGAATGTTTACTCGGGGAGTGAAGTAGGGTGAGTTGATCTTCTGACATCCTGGTACCCATGGACTCCCCTTAAGTACTATTGCCCGAGACAGCACCAGAATCCAGCGGCGAACAAGGGGGATAGAGCTGAGCCTCAGCGAGGGACATCAATCGTTCCGGTACTTGACACCATCGCTCCAGATTCACTTGTCAGATCTGGTCTGTCCGCCTTCACCGTGGGCGCAAGACCGGCCAGAATGGGTACACGTCGTTGTGCGATATCCGAGAGCGCACGCTATTGTCGCTGAGCGGGACGCTATCGCGCGGGGAGAGGTCGAGGGGGTGGTTTCATCTTGGAAGCCGAAGATGATCTGGGAACCACTGGATGTGCAGGTAAGAGCAGCTCAGAGCAGCTCTTCTCCTTGACCGGTTTAGAACACAGATCTGACAATACAGGGTGGAGAGAGAATAGGAGTAGACGAATGGTGTCGCCTCGCCGTCAACTTCGAGGTTATCTCACCTAATCTTCTGGAGCTACAACATATCCTGCACCTCAATCACGACACGCAGCAAGACACGACAGCCCAAACAGAGTCCGCAGCTACCCGTCTTCACTCCCTTCTTGAACCACTAGCCCAATCGTCCGGCCGTACAATACCGACAATCGTCCTCCGTGCAGGCAAGTACGGGTCTTACACTATCAGTCCCACCTGGAAGGGCTGGACGCCCGCGTACTGGCAGGAGGAGGAGCAAGGGAGAGTAGTTGATCCGACGGGGGGCGGGAATGGGTTCTTGGGTGGGTTTGCGGCGGGGATGATACTTTCCGGAGATGATGCGCGATTTGGTAAGCTTTGCCCTTGGGCAGACGGGCGGGGAGGCATGGAAGTGGCTGACAGTCTCAGCTACGATCTGCGGATCAGCGGCTGCGAGCTTCATGATCCAGCAACGGGGGCTGCCTGTGTACGGTCTGTCAGGTCAGGATGGGGTCGGGGGAAGGTGGAATGGCGATGATCCGTGGGCGAGAGCAAGGGACATCGCCGCAAGGATGCAGGAGCCATAGCTATGGTGCCCTACAGTAGAGCGCAGTGCATACTCTCAGGGCGAACAAGTCAAGCTCAAGCAGTAGGAGGGGAAGTTTGCAGACACGATATTCATAAAGGCTACGAGGCCGTCATACAGCGAAAACGAAGTAAAAGAAAGCTCATCCCATCCATATCGCCGCCTCACATTATCGGCTGGTCAACACCTAACAGGAGACCAAAAAAGCACATGGGTCGAGATCGCGCTAGGCCTTGCCGCCGGTCGCCTTGGGCTTGGCGGCAGTTCCGCCCGCGGTCTTGGACACGAGGGACTGCCATGTCAGCGACGATTTCAAGGTGATGAGAAGAGCAGGACGAGACGCGGGTGGGGGAAGGAGGGGTCGAGCGCAGCGTGAGGAAGGGCTAAACAAAGGAGGGCAACAGCGACCTACCTTGTGGATGTGAGGAAGCACACCACCACCGGCGATAGTAGCCCTAATGAGCAAGTCCAGCTCCTCGTCACCGCGGATAGCGAGCTGCAAGTGTCGGGGCGTGATACGCTTGACTCGAAGGTCCTTGGCGGCGTTACCTATGGGTCAGCTGGTCCCGCAGAGCGATGCGCAGAAAGCAGCTTACCTGCGAGCTCCAAGACCTCGGCGGTCAGGTACTCCATGATAGCAGCAACGTAGACGGCGGCCTTGGCTCCGACCCGGATGTTGTTGGAGTTCTTGGAACGGAGGAACCTGTGGGTCAGCTCGTAGTTCCCATCGAGTCAGAGGGGGTAGTGGAGGAGCTGACCTGTGTATACGACCAACAGGGAACTATGATGATCAGCTGAAGCTTCGGAATGGCTTTGGTGTGCACGAGAGAGGGAAAGCAAGACCCACCTGCAGGCCAGCCTTGGACGAACGCGTCGACAAGACCTTGGTCTCGGATGAGGACTTTGCCTTGCCGCCCTTCCCGCCGGTAGTCTTTGAGGACATTGTAGATGGGTACGATGAGTGAGTAGGGTAGAGGTAAGGTATAGGAGACAGTGATAGTATGTAGGGAGGTAGGTGATGGAGTGAGGTGAGGTGAGGTGGCGAGTGGGGGGGGCGCGCGCTGGGCGATGAAGAGGTAAACAAACAAAAGGCCGGGGAACGCCGAACAGGTTTTGATCACGTGCGGCTAGCTGGTGCTTTTACGTCAGCCGTCACCCGACCTTGCACTTTCAGCCTCTCTTAGCTAGAGCGTGTACCATGGCCATAGACTGTTCGCCTTCCATACACCTCTCTCCCTCTCTATAGCGCCTCTCCCGCCCGCCCTTGCCAGCGCAGACCGTGTGACCCCGGAGTATAGGTGTCCCGCAATATTCGTGCCGAAATGCCTCCCGCATCGCCGATGGCAGACTGGGATCACACCCTCTTTGCGGACCTTCAACATCTGCTCGGCCGCGTCGTTGCCCAGCCTACCACCTCGACACTGCGGCGGCTGTTCCAGAAGCTGGACGAGGCAAGACCGTGGCTCGTCTGCTTGACCAACATACCTGGACCGAGCGAGGCGGATAAGCAGCGGATAGAAAAAGGTGAGGAATTTCACGACGTCATCTTAGAGAGCAAGCTGATCACTTCAGGTCCGACCACCACACCCAATGGCGCCTCAATACAGCTCTCAGGCGACCTCCTCACGTCTGCTCAACAAATATCCGAAAAGCTATCCATCTCCCAACTCCTCGCAGCCACCCTCGTTCTCCAGTCCGAGGAAGAACGTCCGCGGTATCCCTCTCGGTCCAACTTTGAGATCGCCACCTTCACATACCATGAATGGACGGGACAGATGCTCGACTTTCTACGGGAGCTCCTGCGGCTGACGGCTCCGTCCGAGGCGGACCTGAGCCCGCCGTTCGACCAATTACGGAATTGGGTGGACGAGCTCCTTACTATCCGGACACCCCTCGCGTCGGGCGGAGAAGGAACGCTCGTGGACCAGATCATCTCACAGCTGGACGTGGCGCAAGGGAGGATATCGAAGCTGCTGCAGGAGAGGTCAGGGTCGATGGCGGAGTACGAGTCGGTCTCGTTCCGAATAGCGGCGGTGCGGAGCGAGCAGTGCAAGATGGCGGGGATACTGGCGGGGATATGCGAGGCGGGGATTGTGGGCAAGGCGCAGGTGTTGAGGATGTTGAAGTGGTTGAAGAAGGTGGAAAAGGCGGATGTAATCATGACGACTGTGCTTGCGTGAGTCTAGCCTGGAGAGACGGGGAGTCGGGCTGATGGCAGTTCGCTCTTTGCTGCTTTACGACCGCTGGAGATGATAGATCCGGCCCATGTGCGGTATGATGTGAGTACAGAATCCGTTTCATGGAATAGAGCTGACGAACAGATGGTCGACGGGTGGATTAGGGATGTCAAGTTCTTGCGACTTGCAGCTAGCCATGTCGTGAGTGCGCCATTTGACCTCGCTGAAGTCCAGCTGCAAGAAGAGTGGAAGATTCCCCAGTTGCGCGACGGGGCACGGCTAGCCTTCTGCATGTTCTACCTCTCCGCCCTTCGACACGACGCGGCGGTCGCAACGACCGGTATCGAAGCGCCTATGGCGGAGCAGTTCATCCTGGACGCGCTCGCAGGGGACGCTCTGCGATTCCTGCGGGAGACTATCCTGGCGATCCGGAGAGAAAGAGGGCTGGAGGAGCAGGACGAGGCACAGGCGGCAGCGGAGGATGCTCTGGTCAAGCTTGCCACTCGGTCGGACCCGGATAACGACGACATCATTATTCGGCAGATCCAGGAACTGGTCGACGGTCTTGCGGTCAAAAAGAACTTTCTCCGAAACCTTCGGAATAAGGAAGAGGACGTTTCTATCCGGCGGTCCCAGGTCGCTCCCCCACCAACGTACTACCAGGACTTCCTCTGGCTCATGGCCACTGTCTACCGGTCATTACCGCCAGACAGTGCCGAGGACTTTTGGGACAGCACGGCCTTTATCGGCGTCCTTCTCGACACGCGGGGCAACTTTCCCGGCCCCGCATTCTGGGCGCTGTTGACTGCGCTGTCGACCGGCCCAGCGTGCGCTGCCAAGTGCTTTGAGCGGATGAAGGATTCTCGGCTCCCCTGGTCGGCCCTCTTCAAATTCTACCAGCACTACTTTGACATCCTCCCCCACCTCTTCGAACCCATGAAATCCAACCGGAGCGCCAGCCTCGACCCCATGTCGCAGGAGGAAGTCGACATCTGTATCGGATGGACCAAACTCCTCTCGACCGTCGTCCGGTACTCGCCCCTCGCTCGGAGCGCGCTTATGCAGCATAAACCACATCCTCTGCAGCAGCTCTTTGACTTTGTCAATTGCGATATCCCCAATGATCTCAGAGCGGCCATTCTGGACGCCATCACGGCCTTCTGTAGCCGGACGGGCGAGGCGGTAGATGACGATATAAGGAACCGGGCGGTAGAGCACTTCGAGCGGATATCGTATGCGGACCCATCGCTCGATAGCCGGTTCATCGACCCCGCTCGGCTGCCTCCGCCGATTGGCTGGATAGCCAAGACGGAGTATGCCGAGGTCGACGCCCAGACCTACCCCGTCACTCGCGCGTATATCCAATTCCTCACTATCCTACTCCCCTCCCCTTCAACCACACCAACTCGACTCGCACCACGCGTTGCCAACGTTCTCCGTCGAGGCATACACTACGTCCTCGATCGGATCCTCCTCGTTCCTGGCGCCAGGCGATACCTTAGAGAAGCGGAGCGATGGGAAATGCTGGATGGGATATTCGCCCTGATGGAGCGGGCGTTATTGGCGTTCGACATGTCTGACTTGGTCACACAGGTGGACCACCGGTCGGTCGGAGCGGTAGCTACGGCTCTGTCCGAGGAACCGGGCTTCACCGTCTTCCTCCGCGTACTCGGGGAACAACAGATCTTCGCCGTGCTCGCCGGTCTCGTCGACAGCGCCATGGCTGGTCCTTCACCCCGTCCCGCCCACATCCTCCGTCCACTCCGCCGCGTTCTTCGAATGTATCACCGCATCCTCGACGTCCAGCTCGTCTTCTCCGACGTCCTCCTCCTCACCCTCTCGGACCCTTCCCGTAATTCCACCCACCCCTTCCGCCGCCCATTAAGCCTGCAGAGTCTCGACCAATACCTCCTCACCCACCTGTCCAACGTCAACGCCATCGCCCTCTTGGTCGGCGATGACGACCTCGCCGTCTCCCTCGTCAGTCTAAAGATATTACAGGCGCTCGCGACGTCGCCGGTGTTTAGCCGGAACGATATCTTCCGGGGCGAATACTCGAGCTCGGTCAATCGGCTGGCGGGGATCATCGATGCATCGGATGACTCGATCCGGATCGCTCAGGGCTTCTGTACCCGCCTTGACGGGACAGGAGACACAATGACATCGGGCGAGATCCATGAGGTGGAGCGTAGGGTATTGGCGGGTACAGGAGGGCATGCGGATAGGGAAGCACTCCCCATCGTCATCCGCTCGGCTATCCTCGACCTCCTCATCGAGGGGACTCACAGCGATATCTCGGGCCCCACCCTCGCTCACTTCCTCCTCGGCTTCGACTTTAAAGCTGGGGACTTTGGACTCCAAGATCCTCGACTCCCGGACTCGAGGCTGTCATGCCTGCACATTGTGCTCCGGCAGCTCAGCGAGGGGTCGAGCGAGGTCTGCCTTGGCGACGTCCACCCTCTCCTCGCGGCCAAGAGCGCACAGTTGATCCATCAACTCTTCTCCCGGTCGGTCACTGGTAAAAGCACCATGAGCTACGCGTCGTCCATCTCGGGATTCTCGGAACGCCAACTCACGGACTTGCCGCGGTACTGCCCCTCTGCACCGCGGGACGATCTCCCCGGCGCCGGGATCGCCCAGTCCGCAGCTGGCGAGGTCGGCACCACCGCCGAGACCCTCGTCGCTTACCTGGACTTCCAGAAGTGGATCATCGCCGCCGTCAGTCTTGACGTCTTTGCCTTCGAGGGCAATGGGACGTCCGCCAGCGAGATCGCCGAGCTGGTATTCCACGGCACGGACGGCGCGGAGGACGGAGACGATTCGGGCGGATCACGGCCGCCTCTCATTGTAGACGTTCTCGCCAATATCGACCTGCAGTGGCGGGAAGAAACCGATCCGGCCGCGCAAAGCCGTGCGCTAGACTTTTTCGGCAGCTTCGATTTCGACCAGTTCAAACGGGCCGACGTGGACTGGTGGGACGTCGAGGCGCTCGAAAAGACTATGCGGTCTTATCGGCGTCATCTCCAAAAGACCGGCAGTCTCTCTACGGACGCGGCGGTCCAAGCTATCGAGGCGGAAATGACATTCGTCCTGCAACGTCTGGGACAGAAGAACCGGGAGACGGATATCAGTCTGGCCAAGGGGTCATTCTTGACTTCTTGGAATGCGGCGCTCAAAGTCTCCCTCGCGATGCTCTTCAAGTACATTGCGGAGGAGCAGCAAGAGGTGGTTCTCTTTGAGCTGCTCGATGCGCTCTTGGATCGCCTAGCGGGGGATCTCGTCTCGGCCACCGGTGTCCTAGAAATTCTATGCGAGTCGGTACTGGTCGTCATGACTGCCCTCGTCAATATGCTCGGCGAGTTCGAGGGTGCCAATCTCCCCGTCGACCGGTTGTCTGCGGCATTGCAGGCTATCGTCGATATCATTACTCGGCCGGGAACGACCGAGAGCGCCCGCGGGAACCTGTACGCCGCTATCGGGCAGTACCTTACCCTTTTGACTCCTTCGGCGTCCTTCGGGGAAGACGGATCCGTCGCTGGATCAGTCATGACGGTCGGCACGGCCCTTCCTGGCCAACCGCTCAACCTGCACCGGACAACCCTGGCGGTCATTGCCGCAAAGAAGGATCGGTTCTTCGCTACCCTCTGCCGAGACGCCGCGGATGATAGGGACGTATGGAAAACGGAATGCTTTGCCCTTCTGGGGGCACTGGTGGGCGTGTGTCAGACTGAGCGGGATCGGCAGGCAATATCACCCTTGAGTCAGGGAGGATACTTGCCGCTCTTCTTGCGGAGTATCAAGGACCGGGAAATTGCTCTGCAGGAATGTTTGTCTCCAAGCCCAGGTCAGTTCTAAGGCCGACTCAAAACGACGCTGCTGATGTGCAGAAAATCTACACGCGTACTGGGTATACGAGTCCAAAATCGCCTTCCTCACTGCCGTCGCGTCCACTCGGAAAGGCGCGGAAGATCTCCTCGACGCGGGCGTTTTCGAGGTGTTTGCAATGTGCGGCTTTATGGCTGTTCAGCCCATCTCGGAGGACGTCCTTGCCGATCCGACGGTAGCGGAGATTGTTATCCGGCAACACCGGGTCCTCATCTACGCGCTGCAGTTGATTGTACGGGTCTTGTCGAGCCTCAACAAGTCGTCACGGAGCGGAGCGGGACATGTAAGTCTCCTTCCGTTGCTGGTCGAGCCTAGCTGATGGAATAGGGAATAAGTTTGCTCAACGCCCATCGAGACTCGCTGCTTGTCTTACTCCGGGAGAACCAGATGGCGGTCACGCTCACGGGGATCGAGGAGACGCGGTTGATTGTCTCGATATTGGCGATGGTGGTCCACAAGGTGCCCGTGGAGGACTTGGTGAGTTTAAGGTTGGGGCTGGAGCTGACTATAGCGATCACCGACTGGATTTGGCGCGTTCCACCTCGGCGTTCTCTCCATTGCTGCGCGATTCTTTGACCATGACGCCTGGACTGGCGCGCTGATCAATCCAAATGAGACACATGAAGGTGGGTTCTCACTTTGCCGCATGAGGACCAAGCTGACTGTATAGCGGAGTCGGACGTCCTCGCCCTGAATCACACCCTCCTCGTCTACCTCTGCGGCACCACCGCGGGTCTCAAATCCGGAACTGCCACCCCCGTACTGGTCACTGGGGCGCATCGCCAATCCGACACTTCCAACAAATACCTCGCCTCGGCGCCTTCGCTTCAGATGGCGGTGGACCTTCTTGCAGATCTGACGGAAGATCTGGGGGACGTCGGCAGTGATTATGAGATTGTATTGGAGAGGATGCAAGATGGCGGAGAGCTAGATGCGGGTGATGTCCAGGTAGGTTTACATGGGCTTGAGATTTGTGACGGTCAAGGAGCTGATGGGACAGCGACTACAGAGCGGGGTGCTCAAGGAGGAGGCGGATACCGAGACTGCTTTGGCTGCGTATACCCAAAGAGGGCAGATGTTGTTCAGTGAGTTAGATCTTCTAGCAGACCGGGCAGGAGCTGACCGCCAGATATGATCGAGTCGGTCCTCCTTCTCGTATGGCGACATCTACTCTTCTACGCCAATGATGCTCGTGGGGCCCAAGAACATGTACGACCAGGAGACCTTGCCGCTTCGCTTGGCGCATTTAGCGGGTCCCAGCTGGACGCGTCACGCTCGAAAGCCGGGACCGTGCGTGTATTGGAGCGGATAGCTGGTGGGCTGAGGGGAACGCTGGAGAGGCTGGACGATGTGGATGTGGTGAGTAGCAGTCAGAAAGACAGGGACAAGGCTGACAAGGTAGCATCCCGATCTGCAACAACGTAACGACAAGGGGGCGGCGTATCATGGGATGTTGATTAGGAGAGTAGGGGAATTGATCTCTGGGCTGGCGGGGGAGGCTGCAGAGCAATGATAGCGCGCCTGTATGTAGAGTAGCTTTGATGCAATGTCAAGGAGCTCGTGAGGAGCGTCGCCAGAGCATTCCGGCGGATCCGAAACGCCGGAAAGAGGAGGATATGTTTAAAAGACGAAGCCGGAAATGTTTTTGTCCGTAAAAGACGAAGATGACCCGGAATAATGTTTAAAAGACGAATGCTTTGGACAGATATCCTCACAAGTCCGCTGTGAGTTGTCCATTGGGCCGGCAAAGAGTATCAGCAGGTAGCTCGACGTCTTGGCTACGCCCATGCCAAATTCCAAGTCCGTACGAGCGATACCGTCTGACTGAGCGTCTGCGGCGCGGAGGGGGTTTTTGGGACTTGTTCGCGTCCCCCGGGACCTCAGAAACCCTGTTTTTGGCTCTGATCTTCGTCTTTTAGACAGGTTTCGGACTCTCTTCGTCTTTTACGGACAAAAACATTTCCGGCTTCGTCTTTTAAACATATCCTCCCGGAAAGAGCGCATGACCCGCGTGCTGCATGATGCATGTCTTGCCCCCAAGCATCGGCCGGCGGTGCCGCGTTGCCGAGAAATACCGTACTCTCTGGCTCTTGCGCCTTCGGCTGCGGAGGGATCGCATTGGTCGGTGTATCGAAATGACGGCAGATGCGCCGAGGCCCCCGGCTTTGGTATGGCCGATTCCCTGCAGGCTTGGCTGCTGCCCTTGCCGCCCGCCCTTGGCTGCCCTGCCTATTATTGCCTCTCTCGCTGTCGTCGCCCCCATTTGCCAGCCATTTGCCCCGTCGGTCGGTAAAACCCCCACCCTCGAAAATCCCGAATACCCCTTTCCTCGCTGAATCAATCCCTGTTTGTTCCCTGTTTGACCCTATCCCTATCTTCTAATCAGCCAGCAGGTGTCCGTGTGGACGAGGAATTTCGCAGATACAGCCATAGAGTGCAGCCAGCTGGTGGTCGAGTAGCTAGCTATAGAGAGTCAGAGCTGGACAGGCAGAGTAGGGTGGCGCGAAACGACGATACACGACACACCGTCCGCTTATCGCTTTCGATCGGTAGAAGAAAAGCGGAACTGGGGGAACTGTGCTCGTTTGAGGAAGAGCGACGGAGCTGAGCTGTATCTGAGGTGAGTTAGCGTCCTTGCTTGTCGGAGTCGTGAACGTGCATTCTCTTGTCGGAGGCTTTGTGGCGGACTAGGAAGAAGGCGGAGGCGGGCGGTATCAGTCATGGATGCTGTGCCTGTCACTAGCTACGGATGCGCATTGGCTTCCGACGCAGAGCCGTCCAGAGTCTGGCAGAGGGAGGAGCGGAGCTGTATGGAAGATGGCCTCTTTCTTGAAACATGGGCACACACACACACCTCGTCCGCCTCCCAAGCATCACTTTTTTCGCCTGCCATATTTTGCACAGCTACAGACAGAGCTGATCATACCTCTCAGTGTCCATCATAAATTTATCTCCACCCTGTCTATATCAGTACCCGCGCCGACCTCCATACCCCACGCTGCACGATTCTCCAGCTTCTCCTACCTTTGATCTTCTGCCTATCCTTCACCCACCTTTTGGCGAAAATTCTACTCGTCTTCCCTCCGTCCGTCTTTCTGCTCCGCCTCGCAAATTCTTCCAGGTCCGTACTCGCCGATCCCTTCGGCGGTCTCGGACGAATTGCAACATCAGCTGCTCTCGGCGTGACAAAATCGGCGAGGACTGAGACACGATTGTTTCGCCATCCTACGCGGAGATAACTAGAAGAGACTGGGCGGGGTCGCGGACTCAAAGTCTTTGTAAGCCATGTCCTCTCTACTCTTTTCCCTTACACCTTCCCTTTTTACAGGGTCATATGTCTCTTATCATTCAGAGATGGACCACGCTGAACACATGTCCCCTCTCCAGCCACCCGCGTTAATTTGGGCGACCATGTCGGGCCAGACTTCCCCTACGCAGCCGAATCATCCTCAACAACCTCCGCCTACCTACGCTCACACTCATACCACGCCCATCACCCCCATTACCGCCACGGCTCATCCTGCTCACATCCTACATACCGCGCATACCACCCCGTCGTCCTCTCTCGGTCTCAGCACGGCGACATCCGGATTTCCCGATGTCCATCTCTTTTCCCACATAGATATCAAGGACGAGGTCGAGGGTCTCCCGCTTCCCGAGCTTCCACCGCAGAGCCAGTCGGCGCAGTCGGGAGGATCGTCGGGCGAGGTGACGCCGCCTCCGCCCACTTCAAAGGGGAAGAACGGGGCGACAGGTCCCGCAGAAGGAAAGGCGAAACCCCATCTGTGCCATATCTGCGGAAGAGGATTTACGACGGGCGGGCATCTGCAGCGGCATCAGAGGATACACACTGGTGTCAAGGCGTTCAGATGTCCGTATCCCGGCTGCGATACCAAGACCAGTCGGCAGGACAATCTTCAGCAGCAGTGAGTGTCTCTCTCGGATCTTAGGGATATCGAGCTGATTCCCAGCTATCGTACGCATCTGTCGCCGGAATTGCGACGAGGAGATGGGTCACAAGCGAGGGCGGCGGTGAATGCAGCGATGGAGGCGGCGGGGATGAAGTCTGTCTCTACACGACAACCGCGGAAATCAAAAGCTTCCAACGCGGGTACACCTTCCTCGGCATCTGCTACGGGGAGTACTAGCCACTTGCCCTCGCCGTACCAGACCCCTACGTCGCAAGGGCCGAGCCCGTACGCTCCGTACATGTTCGATCCGACGCAGCATGGCTACCCCGCATATCCCCTTCCCCCGCCAATCCAAATGCTCCAGCCTCACCCTCAGCAATCGGTCAACTCCTCTCGAGCTCCTTCACCTACGAGCGCTCACCATCCGCAGGCGGCCGGACCCGGACCCGGTACGATCAATCCCAACCAGCACCCTCATCAGCACCAATTCTACCCTCAACCCTTCCCGCCATACGGGTACCCCACGGCCATGCCGCCCCAGGCGTACCGGCACTTTGCGGGCATGACGAATCCGTATGCTCCCCCTCACCCACACCACCCCATGTACTCGCCCGGCGGTCGACCGGTCGAAGAAGCGGGCCCGCCTCCGCAATTTTACGGTCATCACCTGTACAGTCCGATGCAGCCCAACTTTGGTCATTCAAGGGAAGGGTCGTACGGCGGCATGATGACGCCTGGGTATGCTCAAGGACCTATGGCGAATGGAAATGGGTATCCGCCTCGGACTCAGACCAACACGCCGATGAGCCAAAACCACGGACACGGGCAGGGGCACGAGGACGGGAAGAATGGGGATCTGTCACTTTCAGCGTACGCTCGCGGCCATAGGCCAATGACGCCCAGTTCGGCGAGCGTCGGCGTGGGTCATAGCAACGGACACGACGATGGGATCGGGAATGGGGATCATGGGCCGGGGATGGGCGTGCACCGATCTGGCGGATCGAGGAGGACACCGCCAATGTCATCCCAGGGCGTCGATCCGTCCAGTATGAACCGGTCGATCCCTCCCGGGATCATCCACCACCCTTCGTACGGCTACCAGCAACCGCATCCTAGCCAGCATCACCACATGGGCGGTTACGGGTACGGGACACCGCAGTCTGTGCACAGTCTGGCGGGGCGGAACCACGCCTCGGCGTTGAGTCAGCGGGCGAGCATCTCGAGTTTGTCGGACGGGTCGGGCGGGGGAGAGGAGTCGCAAAAAGGTCAGCTCTATGCTTAGCATTAGTGGCAAAGCTGAAATAGTAGCAACCAACTCGGTATAGCAATAAAAAGTCGAGTGGGGTGAAGTGTGGTAGGTAACTGCAAGCTGAGCGCCGTAGCGGCCAGTGTCGGATCTTGCCTAGTCATGTAGTTCATCGAGATGGGTATGATCTAAGCGTCTAGTATTCTACTGATATTCTATGGCCACGCACCCTCGCCCCCTGCCTTCTTCCATGCTGCTGATCCAGCGACTCTGGCGCGGTTATCCATCATCATCGTGTTCATACTGAATCTCGGCGTACGCCGCAGTCCCTCCATGATCGTCCTGACCTTTTGCAAGCCCTCATCATCCGCCTCGGCCAAAGCAAGAACGACCATTCCGAGCGAATCCGGTTCGAGGATGGGACATAATATTAGAGGGATGTTGGCCGGTGGATATTGCCGGAGCAGCGCCCAGCCAGAACGAGGGGGAAGAGCGGTGAGCGCGCGGAGGAGGAGGATGCCGGTCCCGGATGCTGTCGAGTTGGGATCTGTAGGTGGAGTGGGAATGGGAATGGGTGAGGCTGGGCGTGAAGAGGAGGGAGGGGTCGTTTCAGGTACAGCTGCCTTGGTGCTAGTTGTGGAAGGCGGAATCGCCGCCGATGCCACTGGCGGTGATGCTACTGCTTCTGGAGCTCTTGTAGAGGAGCGTGGGCCCGGCTCAGGAGCGGCAGCTGGGGGGATGTACGCCGCCTTCTTACTGGCCCGGGTGGTCTTTAGCGCCGAAAAGGTAGAGGGAGGTTTAGGAGCTGCTTCGACGGCTGGGATCGCGACGTCTTCAAGAGTTGGGGTAGGTGCAGAGGCCGGAGCAGGGGCCGATGTAGGACTGGGGACCGGCGTAGGTATGGGGTTGGGCATTGCTCCATTTGCTTTCGTCGGTGCTTCTATGGGCGCTAGGGACCGCTTTGGCTTCGCTGCCTGGATGATCAGCGATGATTTGCACACAATATGGGGCTACTGACCTTGGCTACTATTGAGCGACCGCGCAACGACTGAATCTCCTTCAGCTCTTCCAAAGCAGCTTCGTTCGCTACTTCAACTATAAGCAGCGCTTCCAGGTCTGCCTAATCAGCTTAATTCGTCGGAGGTTCAAGCTCAAGTCTCACCTGCTATAGCCTCGTCGAACTTCTCCATCCCCTTCCGAGACAGTGCTCTGCGATATAGCGCCTTGATATTCCCCTCCTGCTTTTCCAGCGCAATGGTGCAGTCCCTCTCCGCGTCGGCATACCTGCTCATCAGCCCATAGCTCCCTCTCTACTATGAAAAGGACCCACTTGTCCAGCTTAAGGTACGCTTGTGCGCGGTTCCCATATGCCAGTGGGTCTTCAGGATTGTGCAGGATGGCTTTGGTATAACGTCCTGTCAGTACATCAGCAAAGGTCTGGAGGTTGAGTAGGGTGAGCGGAACGAACCTATACTCTCGCTCCAACGCCCCTTCTTGAACGCTGCATTGCCCTGCCTCCATCAGTCTCTGCGCCGCTTGGCCATGTTACTCACCCACTCACCTCCGCCCTTGCCGCGTCTGAGTCCGCCTTGCTGACTGGGTGACTCATGGTCGTCGAGGCATATGAGCAGTTGACAGTCGGGAATAGCCGAAATGATCGTCATCAACCAACGTACCAACGCTTGCGACTTGCCACCCTCGTCCATTCTACATATCACACCTCATCCACCATGCCGACCACACGCAGCAAAGGCAAGGGCAAGGCCACAGCCCCGTTCGAGCCTGAACCTACAGAGCAGGACCCGCTCTTACCATCCAGCATCAATGCCCAGATCGCCGCCGATCGTCGTCCCTTCTCCTCCCCCCGATCCCGCAAGGTCGGCCATATCCTCATCGCTATCGGTATTGTCCTCCTCTCCCTCCTTATCGGTATCGGGATCCTCATCGCCCTACTCGCCAACTCATTCAGGCCGTCCGAGGCCGAAATTGCCGCGCTGTCCAAGACGGCATTCAAATACGATCCCAATCCCATTTCGGTGTCGTTGTTAAATGTCACGGAGGATGGGGTGCTCATCAACGCGACGATCCTGTGCGGAGTAGACCTGGATCGGGCGATGGGGATTCAGCGCTTCGAGTCGGAGGAAGAGCGGGAGGCGGCGGAACAAAGAGGGGAGAGGGGGACGGGCGCGGTGTGGTGGGAGAAGCTGAGAAGGTGGGCGGCGGCTAAGGGGTTGGGAGGGATGTCGGATCGCAGAGCAATCGTCACTATGCCGAGCGCTATCAACATCTTCGCCAAACACTCCCGCTCCGTACCGCTCTTCGCGGTCCACATCACCGAGCCGATGGACGTCCCGATGGTCTCGGGCGTGCAGGACAAGCAGGACTGGATGCGGCCTATGGCGGTGTTGGTACTGGCGAAGCCGAAGGCGTCTACGGGCGAGCTCATGGAGTTTGGGCAGCGAGGCTGGGCAGAGGGGTCCATGAGCGTCGTGGTGGACGTCAAGAAGGCGGTGGTCAACTTGCCGGGTCTGACGGGATGGCTGTCAAAGTACGGCACCATCGAGAAGAAGGGGATCGTCATGGATGTGGACGTACCCAGTGAGTGCTATAGCCCGCGTCGTCTCATGAGCAGTCCCCAAACCTTTCGTTCTTGACCGACGGGTCTGACACCTTAGTACCGCACTATCCCGGTCTTCCCGAACCTGGTCGCCCTGTCGACTTTGCCAAACTCGTCAATCTCGAAGGGTACCACCTGAACAATAACGGCGATGCCCTCGAGATCCACGCGGGGGCAAGTATGCCAAACTTCGCCAATACCACCACTCTCAATCTCACCATCCCGTACGGTCTCCCATTCTCGGTCGTCATCCCCAGCCCGGACGGAAGCGGGGAGAAATTGCTTTCCGAGGTGATCACGGAGCCGGTCATCCTGGACTACACGGCCAAGGATATCAAACTCCGGATGTCGGGTCGGATCATCAGTGATCCCAGCGAGGGCGACTCTCCGCTCGGTCCCTTTATCCATAACTACCTCACCGGGATCGATAACAACATTACCGTTCGGGGAATGGCCAAGTACCCCTCCTTCACATCCAACACTACGGAGAGACCACCTCACTGGGCTTTGTCTTCCCTGAAATCCATGGAGATCAAGCTCGTCATCCCCGGTCCATCCCCTCCCCCTAAAATCATCAACTCGATGTCGCTCGAGCACATGCGGATATCCCGCTCGGACGGTGAGACCAAGGCGTCGGGGACGGTCAACGTCGAGATCGATCTCCCGGGGGATATAGGGAGCATCGAGGTGGATGTGGAGAAGGTGTTGCCGGAGGTGTACATGTTTGACGGGCCGGTACAAGAGGGAAACGGGGAGGAAGAGTATCCACCAGGCGCATTCGGGCATATCAAACCCTCGGAATACCTCAACTCGACCACGGTCAAGGGTCTGGATCCCGAGTTCCCCAATCGGCTTACGGTCCGCGCTCCCCTGATCGACGTACCGGTCGAAATCCTTCCCGGGCGCAAATCGCTCTTGGCGGACTTTGTGAGGAAGGTGGTCTTTAAGGGTGGGGCGATGGCAGGGGTGAATGGCTCAGCGAGCGCGGTGATGAATATGAAGGGAATCGGAGGGAGGGTGGTGATTGATGGTCTACCGATCAGGGGGGAGACTTGGGTGGGGCGGCAGAGACTACAGGGGAAGAGCAGGCTGGAGGTGGAGGATTAGCATTAGCAGAAGCATTGTATTGTACTAGATTATCTATGTATCTAACGATTGTTCTCTTATCTCCTCTCTTAGCCAGTCTGCAGTATCTCGGCTGATGTTCCATCTCGCATCTAGGGGCTTGAGGTCGAGGTCTGGGTCTGGCGTAAGAGCAAGTGCGGCCAGAGCTAGGTAGGAGTGATAGGGGTCCGGGTAGTCGTCTGGCTCTTTCCCGAAACCGCCTAGTGGGGATTGAGCGGAAAGGAGAAAGGCGGTATTTAATGTTGAGTCGAGCAGATCCGGTTGACCTAGTATCTTTGGGGTCAGTGACTTCCCAGTAAAAGGACGTACTCCTAGAGCGGCACCAATCCAAAATGAATAGCAAACATCTTGTAGCTTTCCGGGACGGCCCTGAAACCCGCCGAGCTGGCGCTGGGTCGACCACCGTATGGTATCTTCCCGATTTGGCGTGTCGGGCTGTAAAAGCGATAGCGACGCGACAGCGCAGTACGTTGTTCCGCCTCAGAATCAGCCGAGTTGATTGTATGCCTTACCTTGTGCCTCAGTCACACCAGCGCGAGACGCATAAGCTCCTTCCCAGGTCTGGTCGTCAGCAAATAGACGCCGGGGGAACGCACGCGACATTGGTTCATGAAAGAGATGCAGGACGACCGGTCAAACGCGGACACGTCTTTGAGGATATCGGCTATGACCACTGCGCAGTAGGTCATCCGTAGGTCACTCTGAAAGTCTGTGGTGTGGGAGCTGGATGTACGAGGGAGTGGCGAGAAGCTGCAGTATTCAGTGCAGTCTGAGATCTGACTCACGATCCGTCCGGAGCTTGACAGCGCCGCAGGAATGCCTTCAGGCCGGGTCTGTTCAGCCGGTCTAATGGCGCTCGGAGGATGGCGAGGCAGAGGAGTGCGGTGTATGTGGAGGGAAGATGACCCGGGGATGTCTCAGGATTCTAGCATCAGCCATGTACCATGACGAGCGCATACTGAGGTGGTCATATATGTCGATCCGCGGAATCCGCCCTCAGCTATATATGTCCTCAGCTCAGCCGGCCTTCCGCGATTCGGCAAAGACGTACGAGCTTGCAGAGACCATATCCACTCCACCCAGCCTTTCCGCTGCTCTTCCGTAGTCTTCTTCTCCAGAGCACCTAGAAGATCCAGTCCCGATAAGCAGAAGTAGGCGATCGTTATCCTACCCATCAACTGTCAGATCACGCGGACGCGGCAGCCGAAAGGGTCGGGCGGACGGACAACTGACCGGTTCGAATCGTGCCCTTCTGCCGACGCCGGCAGTGCTCCCAGACAGCGCAAGAAGTAATTGATATGTGCGTTTCGCTTGAACGTGCGCTGCCCGGAAGTCGCCATGTCAGCCTTTGTAATCAGTAGCGGTAAGTACAACGCAGTGTCCTCGCGGGCATTGAGCAAGTTCACGTTCAAAGAGGTTGATTCGGATCTGCCCGACGTGTTTCAGATTGTAAAATTTCCATCATCATCTTCACTTCATCCATCTACCTCACAAGTAACCCAAGATGCCCGATATCAGACTCAAGAATCAGGTCAGCGGACCCTCTGATGAACAGGGACGAAAGCTGATGGTTGTTAGCCCTTCGATCTGGATTTCCACCCGACGGAATCGGTAGTGTATACCGGTCTCCTCACGGGCGAAGTCAAGGCGTTTCGGTATAACGACGAGACGGGCGAGTCGTCTACTTCATGGAGCGTCAGACCGTCCAAGCGGACCGCACGGGGATTGAGCGTGCAGCAGGATGGAGGAGCGGTATGGACTGGCGGAAAGGCGGGGGGATTATAGTGAGTTTCTCCCTCGGAATGGAGGATTTGATACGAAGCTAGCTGATGTGCAGTGAATTGTCTACCGCCGACGGAGCTATGAAGTCTGAGCGGGTAGCGCACGAGTGAGTATGATGTCGGGTAGGAGCTGACAGTAGTGTACCTATCAATCGGGTGTACTGTGTTAACGAGAACCTGGTCGCTTCGGGGGATGATGATGGGTTGATCAAGGTATGTCTCCTGCTATGGTGGGAGCTGATGCTAGCTCTGGGATCCTAGACAACAAGAAGCGGTCCGATCGTATAACCACCACTTTGACTATATATCAGACTTTACCTATTTTGAGGACAAGCGACAGCTCATATCCACCTCGTAAGCTGAGTCTTGGCAAGTAACGCAGGAAGTCGCTGACGATACAGCGGCGACGGGCACCTCTCAGTCATCGACATCCGGTCAAATAAGACCACACCCCTCGCTGTCTCTGACGACCAAGAGGACGAGTTACTATCTATCGCGCCCATCAAGAATAATACAAAGGTGATCGTCGGGTCCACACTGGGTATATTATCCGTCTGGAACCGCAAGATGGGATGGGGGGATTGTGTGGATCGGATCCCTGGTCATCCCGCTTCTATCGACGCGATCGTCGCCTTGACACCCGACGTGATAGCCACGGGCTCAGAGGACGGGATGATTCGTGTTACCCAGCTGCTACCTACCAAGTTCTGCAAGTCGCGACGCGCTGCTCGTTTCTTACCGCTGGAACACGCTGACAATCCAGTGGGCGTGATCGCGTCGCATGAAGAATACCCTATCGAGCGGCTCAAGCTGGACAGAAATAAGAGGTGGCTGGGGAGCGTCAGTCATGATGAGTGTGTCAAGTTGACGGATGTGGAGGATATCTTTGAAGAGAGCGATGGCGAGGAGGACGAAGATATGGAAGGGGGAGGAGGGGATGGGGACAGCGATGAGGAAGTGGAAGAATCCAAGCCGAGCAAAAAGGAGCCTAGTTTCTTTGATGATTTGTAGATGGAGATGCTGCATACAACTATGGATCAATACCCAGGGAAGCGGCATACGCTTCCGCTTTGCCTACATATACACCATACTCTGTCCCGCTCATAACAGTCGTCAATCTCGCTGATCCGCCATTGAGCCACTCGTCGACGCTCGCGCACGGGGCCTGGTTCCACCATGTCCGCTCGACCATTTCCAGCCTGAGCAGACCCAGTCCGACACTCCCATACGTGTCGTGGAGGGACAGGATCTTGCCGGCTGATTTGGGCTTCTTCGTTGATGAGCTGGCCGGAGGATGGTAGGTGACCTCGCCGAATGTGCCTGGAGTCAAGGCCTCCCCGGGCGACAAATCGGCAGGCAGAGCGCTATCCGATCGAAGAGGGAAGAGGCTTATAGGCAGGATCCGCTTCCTCGTCGCGCCGGTATGATACGTCCGGACCGTCAACTCTTGGCCCACATAACAGCCTTTCCGGAAGTCGACTAATATCAGCTTTGCTACGGACGGGACGTACCTCCTCCGTGCACGTCCATACAGCTCTCCATCGGTAGTGCCGCCTCGGACACCAGCTCCTGTGGGCCTTCTGGTATTCCCAGCCGCATTCGGTTCAAGTGATAGTCGCTCTCGGAGCTGATTGTTCCAAGAGCTAATTATTAGCTCGGTCAGCGTAAAGACTCACGTTCACTCCCAGCTGGGACCAAGATCTGTTGCCCTAGCCCATCAACGCCCGCCCGCAGATCCCAGCACCCCACCTCCTGACTCCGCAAGCCCAGATCGGCGATCCCATCCGGCCAAGACCAGCTCGCCTCCGCCGCGCCCAGACTCCCCGCCTTCCACTTCCTCTCCGGCTTTGACCCCGCTTCTACTCCCCACATCCCCCACGCATCCCACTCAGCCGAAACATCCTTGAAGCGGACTTTCGAGCGGAGCTTGAATGGCTGCAGGTATTTCTGGAGAGGGGCCGGGTGATTCGGCGGTGATTCGTGAGTTATGAGATATCGGTCCGGCTGGACGGGGAATATAAAGACATCATGGAGGACTCGTCCCTACTATTAGCTACGGTGATGCCATGACGACTTACGCTGGCATTGAGAAATCCACTATAGCCGCCTTGGATGGGCTCGACGTCTTTGCAGGTCAGACCTTTGAGGAACTTTTGGGTATCGGGTCCCGAGATCTCTAGGACGGATTTACGGCTCAGTCGGGCTGCTTGGGCAGCTGGAGCCGAGGAAGAGGCTTGTCGGCTCTGCGCGATGAGGCCGCGGCAGCGGTGGCAGGTAGTGAGAGGGCGCATGGTGTGTGAGAGGTAGATGGATGGGTGATGTCAAGATGAAACGAGGAATTCTGATGACGTTTCAATCAATCTGGCTCTGCCAACCTTCTCAGCTCTGCCTTCGTCTCCACCCACTCGCTATGGCTCGATGACGACCACACCCCGCTCGGAAGACCGCCCAATCAAGGCAGATGAGACACTGACGGTATCCTCTACGTCTTCGTCAGCTTCCGCAGCCCTCGCAAGGTCGTTGTTCATCTATGTCGGTGAGCTCCCGACGCCAACAAAGCTGACGACAAGGGTTCATGTTCCGCCGACCGTCCAAGCTCTTCCGGCCAAGTAGAGGTGAGGATCTGCCCTGACCAAGCTCATTGTCAGTGGACACTTTCGGCGGACTTAGGCAGCTCGCTATAGCGGCTGATCAGAGTCTGTCGCCCAGCTTCATCCGGACTCTACTGAGCAGTCGGAGCGGGGTACGTCTGGGTGTTCTCGCAGGTCCGAAGGCTAGATGGTTCTGCGCTGATCTGAGACAGATAATCGCTGTTCTAGTCACCCTCTTTCCACCTCTAGTGGTCAATGCCACCCTGGGCTTTCTTCTCTTCACGTCGCACTCATTTCTCGCGCTCGAGCTCGCCCGGCTGCCGTTCTTCCACCATAAGAAGCTTGACGGCGAAGCGGACCCGGACTCGAACTCGGAAGGAGAGGAGGAGACGTTGTCCCTTCAGACTCTCCTGCAGGGTCCGACGGTCATACCCCAGCATGCGACCTTGTTGTCCAGTATAGCTGGAGCAGGGGCGGGCGTTATCCAAGGTCTGGCATTCACACCAATAGAGAATGTCGTCCGGTACGTTGTCTGATCTGGGCTGCACTTGTTCAGTCACGAGCAAATAAAGCAAGCTGACCCGTCGCAGCCTCCTCCGTGACTCCGCAACGTCCGCAACAGGCCTCCTGATCCGCGTCCTCCGCCTTCCACTCCGCGCCGACTCGCCCCTCCACCTCGCTACTTCGGGCCAGACACCCAGCTCGCCCATCCAGGCCGTCCGGAACTTTCTGTCGAGCGATACTTGGCGGAAGAATGCGGGGTGGTGGTCCGGCTGGAGATGGACTGTCTGCCGAGATGCGTAAGTTCCGCACACTTTCATTGACTTGAGGCCAGCTGTCGCTGAGCTCACCTGCCGTACCCTCTCCTGTACGCAGCTGATAGATCAGCGTGAGCTATGCCTGCTTCTTTGCCGCCTTTGACATGTCCCGCCGACTCGGACTCCGCGTTAAAGCTTTCTTTGGCGGCGGTGGGATCCAGCGGGACTGGAACAACTTCATCTATATCGACATGGGGTGCCCTGGATCCGCGGGCGAGGCCGAGGTTGAGGCTGTCCAGGGGAAGATGCGGACATCGACACCGACAATAGCGAGGGTGGCGCAGGCGGGAACGATCGTGACGGGCGGAGTGATCGCTTCAGTTGCGGCCGAGATGGCAGGAAGGCCATTCAAGGCGTGCCAGATGATCTTGCAGCACGCCCGGACTAGCCCTAGTCCTCAGGCGGCGAAGTACCCGATCCTCCATGTCCTTCGGTCCGAAGGCGTCCGGCCCTTCATTCGCTCCACGCATCCAGTGACTGCGCTGGACCCGTCCTTGGGCGTATGGAGGCGCACGATGAGGAGGGCGGTGATCAGGATGGCGGCTGTAGGACCATGGGGAGCCGGATTTCTGGCTTGGTCCTGGTTTGGCGGGGAGATCTGAGAAGAGACATCGAACACTGTGAACAAGTATACTATCTAGATTACATCACATGTAGACATCTACTCTAGATCTCTCGTTACCACCGCTTATACAACTTGCCTTCCGCAATCTCATACACCATCATCCGCCTGAGGAACGGCATATTCCGAGCCCCAAACACCCATTTCCCAGCCCCGAGCTCCAAGCCCCGCGACCTCATCTCTAGTGTTTGACACGTAAAAACACCGCAGTCGACGCCATTATCTTGCTGTGGTGTGGTCTGCCCATTCAGCTCTGTTGTGACTCGGACTTACGTCGGCCAGGTATTGTAATGTCCAGGGGGCGGCGTCGAATTTGGTACCCAACTTGGCCTCGTGTTCGGCCGCAAAGTATCTCATGATAGTCTATTTATCATCAGCACAGCTCCAGCTCCGGCCTCGAAGATGAGAGACGTACATTGTATGCCTTGTTCGCCTTTTCTTCTGTCCCGCCCATCGAGTCATAGTACTCGACCCGTTTCGCCTTCATATCCATGACGGCTGCGACCCAGTGCATGCCATCGTCGTTGATCGGCATAATCATGAGGTCCAGATCGAAGATATTGACCTAGAAACGCAGCGATCAGCATTGCGCAAACGTAGACGTAAAGCAGACATACCTTCTTTGTCCACCTGCCAAAGCTCTTATCATACTTGCCCTGCATCTTGACAAAGAAGAAGGTATTGCAGTAGAAGATCTTGGGCAGCTTGCCCGTCTTGTCCTCTGCCGACCGCTTGGAGAGCATGCCGCCGTAAAAGTTGATGATTTCGTCATTGAGCCATTTGCCTGGCCGGAGACGCTCGATAGATGTGGCGTGCACTTCGGCGGTAGCGCTAGACCTCTTGAAGAGCCGGTCACGGAAGGCGGCTGAGACCTGGATAAATGAGCTACGTGATGACTGGAGACTTACAATGCGGTCCTCATCTTCTGAGAGTGCGGAGGGGACAGAGGGGCGCACTCGCGCTTCGGCAGCTTTCTCCGCCTCGGCTTTGGCCAATTCGAGCCGTTCGAGGATATCGGCCACATCCTCGTTCGAGTGCTTGGACGCGATGGTTTGGGCTCTACGAGCTGTCGCGGGCGTGGGGGTGTATATTTTCTGATCCATCAGCGACGGACCCAGCTTGGACTTACAGATGATGACGAGTTCCGAAGCGTCGAATCGAGCGTAGATTTGTGGCTCTTCTGCATGATACGATCATACTCGAGCTTTCCAGCCATCCCCTCCGTTTCTGCACATCAGCACGCGCGTACTGTACCTCAAAGCACGAGAACTCACTTCCGGACGCCTTGAACTCTTCCTCCTTCACCGTTCCAATATTGAACAACATTCTGCTCTTGGCGTCCTTGTACTTCAATCTCGCCCGTTGACTGAGCGACAGATCCGCCTGATGCTGATGCTTGTGCGAGTGCTTGTCTCGCCGCTGGGAGATGGCGGCCCGTTTCCGCGTCTCGGCCTTGGACGCGCGTTCGCCCGTGCTGGCGCTCCAGGGGTATTCGCGCTCAATACGCTCTCCGCCCAGATGCGGTCTCCGCCGAGTCGGACGTGGTTGTTCCCCCGTCGGTGTGGGCGGGCGGGAGTCGTCAAAGTCCTGAAACCGCCTCAGGCGGCTAGGACCCGCCTCACCCTGCTGCACAGCTGTGAATGTAGCTGAAGGATCCCCCTGCTCCTCCTCATCGTCGTCAGGGATGTTGACGGGATTGCTTCGACTCCCGCCTTGGTGATGTGGTTCGACAGCGGTCAGGCTGAGGTCGTACTCGGAGGATGTGGATGACGAGGATACCGGTAGTTGTGGGTATATCTTCTCGACAATATGGACAGGACCTATCGTCAGCTCCAATCGCCTCAATGCTCACCTTCTGCTTCTACCTCTGCAGGCGCGGCCGTTGGCGCGAACCATGACTGCAACCAGCGCGACATGAAACCCAGCTTATTGTGGACGGACGAGGACGCTGATGAGGACGATATCGCTCGTTTCTGCCTCTTTTGTTGCGGTTGAAAAAGGCTTATGGATGAAAATGATGATTCCGGTGCTGATCTCTTTGTCATGACAGAGGACTAGGTATCGCTGTTGGGTTGTATAGAGAGGTAGAGGGATGAAAGGTAACATAGTAGGGATATCTGAAACGCGTCGTTGTGAGTTTTGTATTAGCGGGATCAAATTAAGCTATGCGGCATGTATGCTCTTGTGACTGACTAGCTTTAGCTCTGTTTACCTTTCCTATCTTCTACCACACTTCATACCCTTCAAAAGGCTTCTCCCCCCAAGCGACACAGGAGCGCCCGCTCCTGCGGCTTAAGCAGAATGGCCTCAGTCGAGACAGAATCCGCACCAGGACTGGCCGAGCCAACATCGACTTTGTCGTCGTCGCCACTGGATTCCGAGTCGGCTAGTTCAAGCGGGAGTGGGAGTGGGAGCGCCAGTGGCGCTGGTCATGGGAACGAGGATGAGGTCCCGATGGAGTTGGATGAAGGATCTGATATCAAGGAAGAGGACAGGGCGGATGCCGAAGAGGTTGATGCGGAAGGGATACCAGCTGCCAATGATGAAGGGAAGCGAGTCAAGGTGAGCTCTTTTGGAGAAGCAGAGCTGATGGTAGGTGTATGAACTACGAGACCAGTCCTGGTTCGACAGAGGGACGGGCCACTGTAAAGGCGTATATGACGATTCGCAGGATATCGCCCTGATCATTGTGGAGCCAGAGGAGCACGGGGCCGACAAGGCGGAAGAGGACGGTCCGGGAGGGTTCCTGAAGGACGAGATGCTCCTCACTACCAAGGTGGAGAAGGACGACATCTACGCTCGACAGCAGGGTATGTCTCATCCGCCTATGGCGGCTGGGGGAGCTGGGTGCTGGGTAGGACTGGCAGGGCCGGTGCTGATTGACACAGATACCCTGATCGTGTGGACAGAACCTACCACGAATCTCGATATCGCGCTATCGTTCCAGGATGGCGAGGGGTGCGAGGATATCTGGCAGTTCATCTGCGAAGTCCAGAAGCACCTCAACAACCTCCCAAGCGATAACGAGCAACAGATGGTGCCGTCTTCCTCGTCGCCTCTTACGGCGTCACCAATGCTGCCTCAGTCTTCGGGGGCGGTCGGGGGCGAGCGGACGTTGTGGCAGGTTCCTACGCTTGGCAATATACGGTACGTTACCATAAGGCTCGGCTGATGGAAGTGAACACCTTCAGCTGCTTCGGATGCAGTCGAGATCGCCACCGGCGAGGGAACGAGCTGTGGAGCATATCCTGGCAGAGGTGAGTCCGCAGAGTTCAAAGCTTATGCCAGGACTACATCAAGCAGCTCATTGCTGTGTTTGATCAAGCGGAGGATCTAGAGTCGGTCGAGGACTTGCATACTCTCTGTACCCTCATGCAAGCGATCAGTAAGTCCCCTCCTGGCTGAGCTGATGGCAGTCATGTTCAACGACAACGGTATCCTCGAATATATCCTCCAGGACGATGTCTTCCAAGGCGTCATCGGGATGCTCGAATACGATCCCGAATTCCCTTCCCTCAAAGCCTCCTTCCGCCAATTCTTCCGGGAAATCTCGCGCTTCCGCCAAGTCGTCGAGATCCGGGACGCCAACATCCGCACCAAGATCCACCAGACCTATCGGCTTCAATACCTCAAAGAGGTCGTCCTCGCTCGACTTCTGGACGATCCTACCTTTGGCATCCTGAACGGCTTCATCTTTTTCAACCAGGTCGACATTATTGCGTACTTTCAAAACAACCCGACACTCATGTACGAGATCCTGGACGTCTACAAGGGGGCGGCACTGGAGGACGGGGCGAACGAGGAGAGGCAAAAGGATACCGTGGCGTTCCTGCATCAGTTGATGCTTATGGGCAAGACGACGCAGGTGCCCACGCGGCTCGCGCTGTATCGGAACTTGATGGGCAAGGGGCTCGGGTGTGCCCTCGCATGGGCGCTGAGGCGGAAAGAGGCGCAGATCCTTCATGCAGGAGCGGAAATGTTGACCTTGATGTCGGAGCATGATGCGAATGCTGTTCGGGCGGATGTGCTCGAGGATGTGGGCAAGGGGACGAGGTCGTTAGTGACAGAAATGATTGAGGTGATGGGGTCGACGGCGAATCTGGGCTTGTTGAGCCAGATCTCGGATACGTTCAAGACGTTACTCGAGACGCCGGCGGAATCAGAGGTGAGTGTGTTCGTACAGCTGAAGCTGACGGAGCAGTCGTTCACCCAAAAGTCAGATAACAGGGCCAACGAAAAGTTCCTCACGTACATCTATGAGCAGTGCTTTGACTCGCTCTTCAAGCCATTGCTCAGTCTGCCGGACGTGCCAGGTGAGTTTCGCATTGAACCAGGCTGATGGAAGAACCCCTCGATCGCCCAAAAGCCGCACTCCTCGCTCATCTAGTCGAACTCCTCTCTTTCAGCATCAGCATCCACGGGCACCGTGCTAGCTACTTTGTCATGTCCAATCCGATCGCACGGAAAACCGTCGGACTGCTGCATGTCAAGGAGAAACCTTTGCGTCATGGTATGTTATGTATTCCACCGACAGCGACAGCGACAGAGCTGATGATCAGCCTCGCTCCGCTTCATCAAGGCGTGTTTCCGGACCAACAATCACTTTATGAATCGCCATTTCGTCAAGTCGGATCTCCTCGGCCCGATGATTTCCCTCATGGAGGACGAGAGCAAGCGGGACAATATGCTCAGTTCGGCCTGTATGGACATTCTAGAGATTATACGAAAGGTATGTCTCGTCCTGTCCGCCCTGGCCAAGTGAGAACCCAAGCTGATACGTTCCAGGACTCCACCGCCAAACCCGTCGTCACCTACCTCTTTGAAACGCATCGCGCGCGCCTCGAAGCATTATCTGACCGGCCCCTTTTCCGCGCTCCCATACAAGGCCTGCATGCCAAGTATGAGCAATACACCCAGCCGCCACCCGCACCGGTCGAGCCCGAGTCCAGTACGGCTGCTGGACCGAGCACGAAACTTGGACGCGAAAAGGAGGCGCAAGAGGAGGAATACTTTAATGCGTCAGACGAGGAGACGTCCCCTGTGGCAACGACGTCGACGACGACGTCAGGTCCGATCACGTATAAGCGGAAACGGGGGGCGGCGTTCTATCAGACCGCGTCGGGATCGGGGGGATCGGCGGCATCGGGGACGGGTACACCAACCACTCGGAAAGTCGGCGCGGGGAAATCACCGGTAAAATCCACATCTGCATTGGGGTTGGACTATGAGGATAACTCTGATTCGGAGGGATCGACAGGCGCTGCGTCTCCCCGGCTCGAGCCGGCGTCGGCGTCGGCGACGGATGAGTCGGAATTAGCGGATGATCTAGGGGACGTGGCGATGAAGATGCGGCAAAAGCGACAGAGGGAGGAAGACGACGATGAGGGGTTTGCGGGACTGCTAGGGAAGGCGAGCGCGATGGGTGGTGGGGGGCGAGCGACGGCGGTGGTGGACGATGCAGGAGAGGCACCGAAAGAGGGCTGGTTGGCCTCATTGAGGCTGAAAGATAAGGATCGGGATAAGGATAAGGATAAAGCTGGGAGCGGGAAGGAGGAGGGTGGGAAGAAGATCAGGTTGAATCTGGGGATGGGGAAGCGATTAGGGGGGCTGTTATCGCAGAAGAGTACGACGACAACGCCGACGGCGTCCCCTAGTTTAGAAGGAGAGAAGGAGGGCGGTGTGTAGTGTATAGTATGCAACTGTACGAAGCAGACCATCGGCCATAGGGCACCACTAATGCAGGCAGGCACGGCTGCGGCATGCAAGTGGACGTTGAAATGACGTAACGCGGAAGCATCGGCTGTAAGGATATCGCCGATCTCGAGTGCCACACGCGGAAAAGCTGCTTCTGGCTGGAGCGGGGCCTTGTTTTAATTTTGATCCCGCTGCCCCCTCCGCGGTGTCCGCCACTGTGCTGTGGGTGGATGCGCACAAATCTCTAATAGGATTGATCGAGAGGTGTATCCTTCAAGCAACCATCAGCTAGTTCTTTCACAATGGGTGTAGGTCGACAACCAACAGCAGCGGCGACGACCAGAAGAAGAGGAGGGAGCTGACGGTCGTAGCGCGTTATTCTCGCACAGAGAAAGTCCGGGGGGATCTTCAAGTCCCACACCCACCACAACAAGCAGCCGGCCAAGTTGAGGAACCTCGACTTTGCCGAGAAGAACGGTTATATCAGGGGTGTGGTTAGGGAGATCATCCACGACGCTGGACGGTGAGTTGGATTGTGGATAGGGGAACGAGATGGGAGGGAGCAAGGAAGGGGTCTTGAGGGAAGGTGGAAGAAGAGAGGGTTAGGTGGATGGATCGCGCGAAAGGGAGGGAGGACTGAGGGGAGGGAGGACTGAGGATCGAGGGACGTCTGGATGGACTCTAGAACTCCCGCTAATAGTCAGAGGTGCCCCCCTCGCTGTCGTCGTCTTCCGTGACCCGTACCGCTACAAGCTCCGCCGCGAGACCTTCATCGCCGCCGAGGGAATCTCCACCGGCTCCTTCATCTACTGCGGCAAGAAGGCCACCCTCAACGTCGGCAACGTCCTCCCCATCGCTCAGTGCCCCGAAGGTACTATTGTCTGCAACGTCGAGGAGAAGGTTGGGGACCGGGGAGCGCTCGCCCGGACGTCCGGCAACTACGCGACCATTATCGGACACGGCGAGGATGGCAAGACCCGTGTCAGGCTTCCATCGGGAACCAAGGCGGTCATCCCTAGCAAGTGCCGGGCGACCGTCGGGATCGTGGCGGGTGGTGGACGTGTGGACAAGCCCTTCTTGAAGGCCGGCAGAAAGTTCCACGCCATGCGCGCAAAGAGGAACTCGTGGCCCCGTATGTTTTCATTTTCCCTTGTGATTAATTTTGACTGACGGCCAGGTACTCGTGGTGTGGCTATGAACCCCGTCGACCACCCTCACGGAGGTGGAAACCACCAGCACATTGGTCACGCCTCGACCATGGCTCGGGACGCACCGGCCGGTCAAAAAGCTGGTCTCATTGCGTTAGTCTTTACCCGCACTGATTGGAGCTTGGCTGACAATCAGTGCTCGTCGTACTGGTTTGCTCCGTGGTACCGCCGGCAAGACTGTCGACACCAACTAGGCGGATGGGTAGATGCATGTATGAGATTCGGGATGGATTGGATTGGCCTGGCTTGGATTGGCTTGGGATCGCTCGGGACTGCGCTTGGTGCAAAAGGGTTTTGGAGGTGGACCTGCCGCTTTTGCGCTTCTCCATGCTGTCGACCATCTTCCGAGCAATCTACCTGCCAGCAGTTGCACTTGTGTGTTGTACGCTCGGCAACCCATCTTGTAATCTGAAACGTCCCTCTTGTCTTGCCGCTGGAGCCGAAACCAAGAGTTGAACGTTGAACGTTGAATTACCGTGATTCTTCACCCATTACCTCTCACCTTCTTTCCTGCCATGGCATACCCTACCACCCCCTCCACAGCTACCGACCTCCTCACCTCCCTTCCCGACAAGTTTGAGCGTGCCCGCTCAAGCGGAGAGCTCCTCTTCTTCGAAAGCAGCTCGAAAGACGTCCACTCTGGCGGTCGAAGGGTGAATCATCTCGACCCTCCGTCACTCCCAGAGCTGACGATCTAGTTCAACGTCCGATGTTGCCCTGCCCTACAAGACAAGGCGAAAGCCAAGGCGGAAGCGCTCGCCTCTGTCGGCGCAGAGCCTCAGCCCAAGCGCCAAAAACAAGAACAAAAGTCAGAAGGGGCCGAAGGGGAACCGTTCCGCCCGCCCTATATCCCAGAGCTGTACGTCGGGTGTCTAGACGGCCTGGAGAAGGAAGAGGGCATGTCCATACTCGTACGTCTATCCTCTACACCCGGAAGCAAGGCTGACCCCCAAGCTCAATAAATACGCACTACTACCCAACCATATCCTCCTTTGCCCACCTACCTCCCAGCCCCAATCGCTCCCTCCTACGCCACATCAGCTCGCCCTCGCCTATACCGTCCTGGTCGCTTCCGCCCGGCACCCTACGCGCCCGCGCAAACTGCTCGCATTCTATAATGGCGGACCCGGGGCGGGCGCCAGTCAAACATGGCGCCATCTACAATTTATCGAGATTGGGTCAGAGTCGACGCTGCCGCTCGAAGAATGGACAAGGGAGATCACGTTCGAACGGACCGACCGGGCCCTCGTTCATCCCACGCTGCCCTACCTGCACATTACGCACCCGCTGGCGTTCCCAGGCCTCAAGCTGCCGCTGCAGGGGGACGACGAGGAGAAGCTCGTGGATGCGCTCGCGCCGGCGTTGATGCAGTGTCTGGATCTGGGGATCGATGCGGTCAGGAGAGGGAATGGGAGGCAAGATGGGGGCTGGAACTTGCTGATGACTCTGTGAGTTGAGATATGGGCAGCTTGGCCCGAGCTGCTTGTCGACGCGGATGGCGCTGATGGGCAATCAGTGACCACCTGCACCTCGTCCCCCGATCCGCACCGTCGTTCCCGCTCGCAGACTCGTCGCTCGAGCTCAATTCGCTCGGATACGCAGGGATGCTCCTCGTCCGATCCGAAGAGGAAGAAGCGGCCTTGACAGCCGCGACGCAGGAGAAGGGGTTAGTGTCTGCACTCGAAGCATGCGGGGTACCGCGTCAGTGGGGTGAGGACGCAGTGAGAGCGGCAGAGGCGGTCCAGGGACACGCTGAGTGGTCTTGAGCCATCGCCATCGCCTGTAGATGCTATACGATAGATCATAACCAAGGATGTATGATGACCCATACCATCCCCACCGCGCCCACTGGCAGAATCCCCACATACACAATCAGATCCTGCCATAGCCTCCGCCCGGTGCGCCGGCGCTGAAGCTGTCGTTCTTTCCGCGCGAGCAGGACGTCGAGGGAGGGGTCGTTCGTGCTGTTGGTACGAGAGTGGCCGCGATCGATAGGGGCCGGGGGTGGGGGGTGTTTGAAGACGATAGCGAGGGGGGAGCGGACATGGAAGGTGATGATGAAGAATAGAGCTACGGGATAAGTTTTGGGTCGAGCTTGGAGGCGAGAGCTATCGAGGGATTCGGCTCACCTGGTAAGAACCACGAGACAGCCAGCGTAGCCAACACCCCCACATTCCGCGCGATATCACCAACGACCCCGCCCGCACACCCCAACGCGACCACCGACGCCCACACCCCTAGTCCGACATACCGGACGGCCCGCCGCTCCCCCTCCGCACCCATCGCGATCAGCACCGTATCCCTCCCTCTTTGCACCCAGGCACTGCACGTCCCCAGCGCAAGCAGGCACATGAGGACCCGGGCGAGATTGACCCATCCGTCTTCGGCGGGCAAGCGGGCAAAGACGCCAGCGGGGGATTCGGGGCCCGGGCCGTCAGGTAGGAGATAGTAGGGTACGAGCGCGAATGGGAGGGAGAGAGCGAGGAGGGTCGTGGATGTCGCGAGGCAGGGGATGGGGAAGGACGAGCGTTTGTTGCGCTCGAGCTGGGCGTGGATGGGGAGGGTGTTGATGTGGGGGGAGAAGAAGGTGATTAGGGTGGCTGAATGTGTCAGTGGGGCTTATAGATGGGAGGCTGGGAACGTACTGATGCCTACGCCAGGACCAGCTGCAAAGTCTGCGGCTCCCCGCTTGGTGAGAGCCTCCTCCACCTTGGTTATTTCAACGGTACGGCCGATAACCAAGAAGGCGATGATGGGCAGCAGTAAAGCGAGGATGACGGGCACGACATTCCGGTTGATGCGTAGTGGGACGAGGGAGGGAAGTATCTGTCTATCAGCTCTACCGCCGATACTGGCCGAGGCCTGCAGAAGGGAGAACGTACCAAGAGAAAGAAGCCGATGGTCCATATCACCGGAGGGACGTTCAGATGCTGTACCAGCGGTTCGAGGATAGGATACAGAGCTGAAATTAGCATTCAGCGCCCAGCTTCAGTCCGCCTGGGGACCAGACAGCAAGGCTCACTTGCTACCCAGCTAGAAACGAGTCCAAGGACGGATACGAGGACGGCACCTCGGCCTGCCCAGACGCCATATCGGCTCTTTGTGACTGCGCCAAAGACATCCTCGAAGCTCCGTACTTTGAGATACCTGCGTCAGCTCTGTTCATGAGCGAGCTTACCATGCGAGGTAGACAATAACTATGTGTGCGCAGGCAGACAGGGCGGCAAGGACGCAGATGACCGGGATGAAGAGGACTACTCCGCCCGGTAGGAAGGTATATGGCAGTGTCGCCAATAGCGGGAGTAGAGGGAGCGGATGAGCGAGTAGCAGCGGAGGCAGGAGCTATCATCAGTCCAGAACCTGAGGGAGGGGATAGACCTCACCTCTATGAGACTCCGCTCATTCTTATTTTCATTGGTATCCCATCTCCGCCGCTTTCGACGGGAAACGAGCGGCCGGCCCACATCCACATCCACATCCTCCCCTTCTTCCTCTTCATCAAACAGCACGCCGTCCACTTCGACCCCTTCCTCGATCTCTAGGTCCTCGTCAAAGGTAGTCCCGGACTCGTAGCTCGAGGAAGAACCGGGATGCTCCCGATCGTGATCATCCGCTTGGAGCTGGACGGGCGTCCGGTCCACGTCTAGCCTGCTGGGTCCGGGCCGGGTGGGCGTGTCCTCCGAGGCGAGATAGTATCCCGATGGAGGCGTCTCGGGGTCGGTCTCTGATCCGCGCGAGATGTGTCTCGAGGGCGTAGCGGGCGTCATAATGGAGGTAGATGCAGAAATACAACAACAAACGCGAACTACTTCGACGCGTCTATTCAAAAGTGTAAATAACGTTTTGAGGTCTACCCTGCGGCCTACTATGCGCGCCGCTTCCCCATCTCCTGCTCAAACCTCGCCTTCTTCTGCTTGGGTCTCCCCGAACCAGCCCCAGCGCTCCCCTTGCCCCTATCCAGCGCAGAACCTCTCTCTCCCAGACCCTTCACGCCGTCCCAAACCCCCTTGGACCTCCTCTCGCCCAACACGCCCTCCAGCTCCGCCTCCAGCCCATTCTGCCTCCTGCCCCTACTCCTCGCGGGCCCGCCCACCCCGTACCCCAACGCCAATGCCTCCTCATCGTCCCTCCGACGCTTCGCCTCCCTCTTGTTCGTGACCAGCCGCGTCATATTCTCCTCCTCGAACTGGTCCATCCGCTGCAGCTCCGCCGCCCGTTTCGCAGAGACAGAGTTGGTATGCGCGCCCGCTTGGACTGGGCGCGTGGACAATCCGCTCGTCGATTCCATGCTGGGCGCAAAGCCCAGGGTGTCGGCGAATTCGGAAAGGAGGGCGGGGGCACGTCGGTCATTCCGTTTCTTCTCGGCTTCGTAAGGGACCGCAGCGACGCGCGGGGGTTTGTAGATCGCCGAGCTGTCCTCGTCTGCTGTTTTCCGGGGGACCTTGGCTTTGAGGAGCGCGGAGGGGTTGGGACGGAAAGAGAGGAGGTCTGCCATCAGCTGTGTACAAGAACGTGGGCTCACCGTTTTCAGGTTCGGGCGCGATCGTCTGCTTCTCCGCCGCTTCTGCCAAGCTCGACAGCTTCTTGATCTGATACTCCAGCTTGCTCTCTAGACCCCGGACCTTGTCAAAGATCTCCTGGTTGACCGCCAGCTCGCCAGCGACGCTCTGTGCGGCAGAAGTCGCATCGAGCGCTGAATGGGCGTTGGATAGGGACACCTCGTCCAATTCCAGGTTGGCCGGCGCGCCAGACAGCCGCAAAGCCGTCTGGATGATGAGGTTGTGCAGGGACGATAGCAGCAATTGCGGCCGAACGAGGAGGAGCGAGATCCCTTCCGATATGTCGAGCGTCTCGTCAGATGTACGCGCTCTATCTGCTCAGCTCTAATCTTACTCGTTTCCGCTAGACTGGTAGCTCACTGGCTCAATAATGGATTGCATGCTGTATGAGTCGCAGAAATAGCAGTCTGCAGATCCGAGTATATACGTGAGATGTCCTCTGTTGATGTCGCTGTTGTCATCTAAGCAATGTCAGCTTGGGTCTTTGAGCATGACTGTATTGTAGTTGAAAGGGATAAGAAGTCTCAGTAGCGAGTTTTCTAGGCTCGCTCTACCCTGCTAGAGCAGATAAGATGCGTATAATCATATTCGTTATGATCAGTGCCCAGTGCGCTTCATCCTTGACTTGTGGGGTAAGGGGAGGGAGGGGCAGGGGGTCACTTACGGTGTAATATATGAGATTGATGGGTAGATGAAGAAGATGATCAGAGCCAAAGTGAAATTTACTGGTGTCCTTGCAAAATTAAAGGGGAGGGGTGAATAGGCTCATTACGTAACGCGTTTCAGATATCCCCGATCCGGCCGGCCGATCGACGGCGCCGAACCAAACAAAAAGCTCGACCGTCCATAGCATCTGTTATCTAACGTTCACCCCGTGCCAACCGCACTCAGCAGCGTCGATACAGCTGTCTTCAAGATGGCCGAGCGCGCTACTCACGCCTCCTAACTTCATCCGCCAATATGCTTACCGCCAAGATGCCCGGACCAACGGCGACAAGCACAGAGGTCGACTTGTCCCTTATCTGTCGCAATCTCACTTACTGACGGAACAGGCCACTGTTCCACTCCTTCCTCATCCATGGCCCTCCAGCCCACTCGCCTCTCTACCCGTCGAGCTCCTCTCCCATGTCCTCCACCATGTCGACCAACGCACCGCTACGCGCCTCGCTCGCGCTGCTCGCGCGTTCACCTCGGTCTCGGCGGATCGGATTTGGGAAGAGCTGGATCTCTCCCAGGCGGCATTTACGGAAGAGCGGACCATTGATCAGTGGTATAAGGATCATCAGGACGAGGATATCGATATCGAGGATGAGAGGGAGGCCAGGAAGGCGCGCCTGGTCCAGACTCTCGAGAGTGTACTGGCTCAGGGGGATTCCCGGCGGTGGTGCCGAGTCGAGAAGATGACGATATCTTCACATTGCACACAGCCAATCATGGACATACTCCGCTATACGGCTCCGTATCTTCGCTCCCTCATCGTACACGCTGGGTGCCACCTCGACGAGCGGCACGGTCACATGTATTGGCCGGACGACGGGAACCTGTCTCCCAATATGCTGGATGCCCGGTTGTTGGGACCGGGGATCCACTTCCCCACCCTGACAAGCGTCCAGCTCTGTCGGGGATCCATTGGCCACGCAGAAACCCTCGGAGTGCTCTGCCGCCTCGCCCCGAATCTGATCCACATCGACGTGGATCTGAACGACACGGTCTGTCGATTACGCCGGTCATCGGGCGATGGTGATACCGACGACGAATACCCAGACTCGGAGGATAATTCTTCTTCATCGGCGTCGGCTGACGACGCCTCGGGAGCGGATGCGGGCGTCGAGGCGGAGGCAGAGGACATGGGCATGCCGGAAACGACCAAGATCAGGACATTGAGCTTGCGCTTCTCTGTCTCGGATGAGGGCGGCTGGGCAGGGGCGGCGGTAGGCTGGGAGACGGGGTCTTACTACAACTCAGACGACGAGGATGAGGACGCGGTGGAAGCCTGGATGGCTCATCCGGCTATCCAGATACTGGAGCGGAGTCCTCTCGTCGAGCGGTTGACGATCGACTGTGGTTACGAGGCCCTTTTCAAGGTCCTGAACCGGGTGGTAAAGATCGCTAGCCAGTACGCCCATCTTAAGGACTTGTGCTGGCTCGGAAAACCCTACCCGCTCCTTTGTCGCATAGAGCGGGACGGCCCTGGCTTTCTCAATATCGAGCGCCTGACGCTTGATAGTGAAGGCTGTGACAACCTGGTATGATACCAACATTCTCCCTTTGACGCGTGCTGATCAATCAGTTCCCCGTCATTCCTCCTCTCTCCAAGCTGCAATCGGTACACATCGTAGATCGTCTTCATTCACAAGCGGCGTCACCCTCCTCGGACACGGCTCCTGCTGTTGGCATGGTCCCACGCTTCGCCGCCGGTCTGCGAGCAAACCCTCAGTTGCGCGAGTTCTGTACGGGCGAAGCGGTCAACTCTTCAATCGGAGGCTCGATTCGCTCATGGATCCACGGGGGAGAGGAAGTGATCCATGCTCCGCTTGTCATGCGCCATGTTGAGGTTGCCGACACGGTGGCGGGCGGCGGATGGAGAACTTACCGCGGACCGCGGCAGCCACCTCAATGCTGTCGCCTCCGGTATCTGGCACATACAGAGCCGACGAAAATCGGGAGTGACGGCGTCACGAAGTATGAGGGTAGCCCCCATCGCTACCGGGACAAGATCTATCGGCAGTTCCCCCAGTCGGCCATCGCAGACTTGACCGACTACCAGGGCTCCGCGGTGCCGTTGGAAGTGTTGGAGAGAATGAGAGTAGTCGAAGGGATGGAATTGCGAGAATGGGAGCAGAGGGGCGTGCATGTGGGGTCGGAAGCATGGGGTGTGCTGTTGGAGTGGAAGGTGGCTCATGGTGAGTTGTGTTGACGATAGGGAGATCAGGCTGACGGATCAGATAAGAAGGTGGCACCATTGAAGGCGGCGGAAGAAGCACTGCGCGGTCAGTCCCGCTGAAGCACACTTTAGGCAGCTGTAGCTATGAGCTGACTTGGTAGCTCAAATACTGGCCAGAGAGCAAGCTGCTGCGGATCGAGAGCAGGCCGCGGAGCTCCTCGCGCAGGGTCAGTCGAGCGTTAGCCCCGATCGACTGTGCTGACCAGTCAGAGAAGTTCGACAAATGGTTGCTGAGGAATCCAATCCGGGAGGAACCTCGCAGAAGAAACTACCATGGTTTTTACTAGCTGTCTCGGATCTGGTCCAGTAGGTATTCATGTAGTCTTAGGCGATAGCTACCATGCTTCTGGCTCGTCCACCCACTGACCTTCCCTCCTCAACGTTCTCTCCCTCTCCCTCAATTCACGATACCCCTTCCACCTACTCTCCACCCCATACTGATCATTCCTATAGACCCCCAACTCCCGCCTCAAATCCCCTAACCCCTGCTGCCACCTCTTCTCCCAATACACACCTACCAGACTCTTCCCCTCCCTGCCTACTCTCAGCGCCCAGGGTGCCCAATCCTTCAGCCATACGCCCCTTCGGGCATTACTCAACCGGAACGGGCCAAATGCAGACGAAAGGCCCGCGACGGGTAATGACATGTTTGCGAGCTCGACGACCTTGAGCGTGAGCTCGTGTGGGAGCGTAGGCGGGAGCGAGAAGAGAGTGTGGTATAGGTCGTGGGTTTGGCGATAGCGGAGCATGGTATATGCCAGAGTAGGGGAGTCGATATAGCGGACCTGCCATCAGCGACTGAAATGCGGTGGACCTACCTTTTCTCGGGTATCGGGTGTGAGCCCGCCCTCGGTCAACCATTCGACGTATTCCCTGCCGAGGGTCCCGCGGGTGAGTGAGCGGAGATGGTCAAGATTGACAGTACTGCTAGATATGAGGGGACGATCGCGCATGATTTGCCGTCCTTCGGGGTGGGCGATGGTCGCAGCGTGCAGAGAGGGGAGGAAGGAGCTAGCAGTAGATTCAGACAATGTCGCCACGAGATCTACATCAGCTCTGCCTTGTGCTTGACTCACCTCCGCGAGAAGTATCCGCAACACCCATGACCCCACTTCCTACCGCCAGGAGAGCATTTTGAGCTCGGCCCAGCGGTATATGATCCGGATAATTGGCATACCGCCGAATCGACGCCAAGAGGGGAATGACATTTTGCAACCGAGGTCGACGCAGACCGACCGCAACCACCATAGCTTGCTCGTAGAGCAGCGCGCGACGGGGTGGCTCTTGTCCTTGTCCCTGGCGGCTGCCGATGCGGTACATGGTAGAAGGTGGGGGACTGAGCGTATCCGAGGCAGAGCTGCTGCTTCTTCGAGGGGTGTTACCGCTCGCGCGCCGTGCCTTCTCTTGTAGCCGAAGAGCGCGAGGGACATTGGGAACTTTAGGGCTGAGGGGACCGGCGGGGCCGACCGAGAGCGTAAGGCCGGCAAGACGGGACGCGAGCTCTCCTTTTGTACTGACGGAGGCGGCGGGGGGTGCGGAGGTGGAGGATGCGGAAGATGATGAGGGTGCGGGGGATAAGGATGAGGGGAGTAGTGGCTTCTGCTCATGTGTGGAAAGAGCGGTATATGCGCCGAGGATCGCCGCTGTCCCTCCGATCTCCTCCAGCGGTATATTCCGCAAAAACGTCAACGCATGGATAAAGTCATCCTCCATATCGACGCCCCACAGTCCCGCCGACTGCCGAAAGATGTGCTTCTTGCTCGCCAGCAAGACGGCGCAGCACATGTCCGTGAGGGCGTCGCCCAGGTCGGCCGCCGAGAAGAGGACATCCCAGATAGGTAGGATATCGGTGATGTCCGCAGCGAGAAGGCTTGTCATCCACCGGAACGAGTAGAGCGGGGTTGCGGGATCGAGGTCCTGCTGTACAAGGACGGAGTGGAGGTGCTCGTCTGCCCATTTGAGCCGATCGCCGAGGGCCTGAAGGTCAGGCGGCGGACGAGCAACGAGGGCGGATAAGGCCCAGAAGGCCTCTTCCTCGGCGTACGTGTCGCTCGCTTCGTATACGAGGTACAGCGGGACCAGGATGGGGACGACCGAGGGGTCGTAGGAAGAAGATAGACATGCGAGGATTCTGACGAGGACGTCGGCATGGGTATCCCTCTGCTCCGCCGGCAGACTTTTGGAATTGATGGTGATGCTAGGAGCTTGCGATTCGAAGATCCGCCGTCGGGAAGGGAGGGGCGGTGTCTCCTCCTCGTCCGAGTCAGGCTCTGGCCTGGGGTGTAGGCGGGAGGACCGCCGTGGCCGACAGACCCGCTGTAGCATAGGGGAGCTGTGTCGGCTTACGTCCGCCTTGATCCGCCGAAGCACCTCTGCATCTGGGTCCAGCTTGTCGACAAGGGCCTATCGTCAGCGTGGTCTCGATGTGGCTTACATAGTAGTCATGTCGCTGTTTCCTCTTCATGCTCCTCCACTCGCTCTGATCTGTAGGTAGGACGCCTAGGAGCTGACTATACAGCATAGGCCGAAGCTGTTTGGGCTCATCGGGGATACCTTGAATCAGCTCCTGCCAGAGCAGCACGCACCTTCCGTGCATAGCTTTCGCAGTTCATCCAAGTCTGCACCGCCATTGGTGATAGCTTCGAATGCGTGTCGCCTGAGTGAGCTAGGTCAGGACGAGGACATACCTCGAGAGCCATTCCATGTCGAAGGTGAAGGTGAAATGTCGAAACCGGTTAACCAAACCTAAAGTCACAACCGTCCATCTACCTCCAACATCATCATGCGGCCCTTCTTGAGGATGTCTGTGCCCCTCAGAATACCCCGGCCTCCCCTTCACATCCGCTATAATCACACTCAGCCGCAGGCTCATCTCAGGGAGAACGAGTACGCCTCGACGTACGAGATCTCAGAGGACGAGCTCCCTCCTGAGGAGCGACACGGTACGTCCCTGCCCCGCTCCTTGCACCTAGAGCCTTGGGTCCCGGCTGATCATCAGGCCAGATAGAATGGGACAAGACCCGTCTGACCTTCCACTCGGATGGTGTCCTCATCCACCGTAACTCCCAATACGACCCCACCACCTACCAGCGTCTCCGTGACAACTGCCCCTGTCCTCAATGCGTCGACCCCTCCACACGCCAGAAACTACGCACGAGCGGATCGTCCGCTACTGTCAAGCTCACCAAGGCGTTCAAAGGCTTTGACGCGGCTGGCGAGTCGGGAGCGCACATCACTTGGTCAGACTCGCACGCTTCCTTCTATACCGAAGCCCAGCTGCGGGACATGGTGGCGTTCGACAATGGCCGCAAGAATGTCTCGCACCATTTTCGGCGAAAGTTATGGGACCGGCCCACACTCGAGGCGAGTAACCTGCGGATGAAGTATGAGGATGTCAGGGGGAACGCGGGCGGGATGCTGGAGATGCTGCGCCAGGCGCAGGTGTATGGGCTGGTGGTCGTGAGTGGGGTGCCGACGGAGCGGACGAGCGACAAGGACTGTGAGCTCCGGGCGTTCATGGAGGAGATTGGCGAGATACGGAATACGTTCTACGGGCAGACATGGGACGTCAAGAGCGTGGTGAATAGCAAGAATGTGGCGTATACCAGTCAGGACCTGGGATTGCACATGGACCTCTTGTAAGTCGCCTCTCTTTGCCCACTGCTGACGGTAGATACTTCTCCTCTCCGCCCAGATTCCAGGCGCTCCACTGCCTTCGGAATAGGGTCCAAGGCGGCTCGTCCTACTTTGCAGACTCCTTCTACGCCGCCCGCCATATCCAACACAACGATCCCCACACGGCCTCCATACTCTCCCGCTACCCCCTGGACTTTGAATACGATAATGACGGCCACTACCTCCGTTGCCGGCACTTTATCATGAACAATCTAGACTCGCTCCGGAGTCACGTCAACTGGAGCCCGCCGTTCCAGGGCAAAATGAGGCGGGTCGCGCCCCCGAGGGTGCCAGTCAAGCAGGCGTACAAGGCGGAGAAGGAGTTTTATGAGGCGTTGGCCAAGTTTGAAGAGACGCTAGGGAGGCCGGATGTGCAGTATGAGTTTACGATGAAGGAGGGGGATCTGGTGTTTTTCGATAACAGGAGGGTGTTGCATGCGAGGCGAGAGTACGGGGAGGGCGAGAGGTGGTTGAAGGGGTGTTATCTCGATGGTGAGGTCGTGTGGGACAGGCTGGCAACGTTGTAGCTTGTAGCAGAGGTGCAAGGTAGCAACAGTATGATACATGCAAATTAGCTAGCGTGTCCTATTGGCTTCTCCGACGTGATATCAGGCATGAGACCCGCCGGCCGCAGGCTCATATCTCCGCCGCGCATGACGGATTGCAAGAAGTTTATAAAGCGGTGACCATAGGTATCGGGATCGACACATGAGATCGTCGCCTATCTGTCAGCTGGAAACAGTTACGGAACTCACTCCTTCCGTCATGCTCTTCCAGAAGTGTTCCAGCTTCTTGGCCGTATTGTACGGGGTACAAATATCGATGACTCCAAGATAGTAGATAGCGTCCATGGCCTGGTTGGCCTCGTCGGTAGCCTGCATCCCTCCTTCGTCCTGGTAGAACAAAAAGTGGTTCCGATCCACTTCGAGCGGGAGCTTGGTGACGTCAAAGTTCTGCGGATCGGACCTCTTGACGGCTTTCCGCATATCCTTGGTGGACGTGTACATCTCGGGCTAAGGATCAGCAATGAAGCAGTGCTCAGACTCACGTGGAAGACGGATAGCTGATTCTCCCGCAGATTGTCCTTGTTCCCCCTCTCCATGTTGTGGATCCCCACAAGCAACGAGTAGTCCATCACGCCAATCTTCCGCAAGAACTCCATATCCCGCCGAAGCTGCTCCGTCAGAAGCGCCCGCTTCTCTGGCCCAAACGCCAATGTCCGGCCCCGATTGACCCAGTTGATATCCTTCAACACGGCCCGAGGGTTCTTCTGCGCCTTCTCTTCCGGGTACTCGCGACCAAATGCCGAGCCCTTGAGATCGTACGTTTCGTGTATATCGCGATGGGGAGGAAAGAGGTTGTTCATGATGAGGAAATGAATCTTCCGGCCGCGTGGTAATTTTACCCGATGCAGACCGTAGAAGCGCGAAAGGAGGGAATGGGGGTTGTTGATGATGTGTTGGTGATAGTCTTTGAGGATAGACCGGAGGAATTTGTGTTCCGAGTGGGCGATGGTTTTGATGATGAAGCGATAGTCGCGGGAAAAGTAGAAGAAGGAGCCGGATTTGCCGGGCGAGCCGAGCTCCGAAAGGATGTATTTGGCAGTGAGGGAGAGGAGGTAGTCGGCGGGGTCAAGGTGGAAGTGCTCCTCACGCAGATCACGGAAGATCCAGGGAGCGTAGTCTTTGAATTTAAAGTCGTACCGCGCGGACGGAGTGAGTTCGTTCCCGACACTATCATCAGCGCTGACAGGACCAAGAACTCACATGTCAAAGGAGTATTTATGACGAGCGAGATAGTCCTCGTCGGTGAGAGGACGGCGGATCTTGGCTTGCGTACGAGATACCTGATCAGCATAGCCGTCACGGCATAACTCACTGCTATTCTAATCCCAGTCAACATATTGTACATGAGAACGAAATTGACGTGGTCCTCGCCGATGAGATTCCCAACGACGACTTGAGGTTCCTTCTCCACCGACGCCTTCTTTTGACGTCGCTCCAGCCGCTCCTTCCGGATCGCCTCCGCCTGAGCGATAATGTCCGAGTCCAGCGCTTGGCCTTCGAGGCCAGGCACAGGTGTTTGGGCACGAGGAGCGGGGTTGGTAGGTTTGCGAGATAATTTGGGGACGGGTGCTGGGACGGGCGACTCCTTCGGTGGAAGGGGTGGGGCAGGTTCTCGTGCCGGTGCTAGCCGACCGCTCCGGACCACCGCTAAAGAGCCCGTCCGTGTTGACCCGTTCGACAATCGCCTGATGGGCGGTTCCGGTATGACTTCCGGTATGGCTTCCGGTACTGCCTCTGGCTCAGCAGTCAGAGCAGCACCGACCACAATGATATCTTCCCCCTCGCTGATAGGCGGACTGGGTGGCGGCCCCTGCATTGCCCGATGAGGAAGCACCGTCATCCGTACGGTATCCGCCGACACCTTGGTGATCCGCATAGGCGGGTCGTGTTGGCTCGCCCGGACCGTATCGATGAAGCCCGGGTGATCCGTATCCGTCACGAGCGCCTGGAGGTGGGTGGGGAGTTCGGGAAGGTCCCCGGCATCGCCCGACGGGTGCGAGAGGTAGTGAAAGGGGTTTACTTTTGGCGAGGCGGGTTCTACCATCAGCTTTGAGATGGCGGGAGACTTACCATAGCGCATGGCTGTGGCATCATGTAGCCTAGCTTGGGCATCACGAGAGCTCTCTGCGATAGGCTCGGCGTGAAGAGGGGCAGACATGACGATGTAGGGTGTTTGGCCGGTGTTTCAGACCAGCCCAGCAGCAGCTGAGTCCGAGCGCGCAAATTGAGCGCGTCCGGCGAAGTGAGGCAGCCAGGGGTATAGTCGTTTTCGGGCGATACAGATTACTGAGTACCACAAAAGACCGGTACGTGGTGCTGCAGAGTGTGAGAGCTGTGTCTATGAGAGGCTATATAGAAGTGTGAAGTGTGATGCTAAGAAGGGTGATCAAGGGCCAAGCAAGGAGGTTTGTTTTGAAAGCTGCGCACAAAATTACGTCACAGCGATGACCCTCTCACACCCATCTGCTCTCCTTGTGCTTCACCTCATATACTATCTACTAATGAAGACACCTTACATAGCTCATCTCACTGAAGAGGACTATGAGCACGTATATGAACCAGCAGGTGCGCTCTGACGACTTCAAATCTGACCAGCAGAGGACTCATTTATCCTCCTTGACGCGCTCGAGCAAGATGTGGATATCTTTCGTGACCACCCACCCAGTATCTGCGTCGAGATAGGGTAGGTACCTGTCCTATGCATAGCTTACTGAGAGATCTGGGTCTGGGGTAGTATCTACCTTCCTAGCTCAGCTTTTGAGCGAGCCAGCAGTCCACATCGCCACGGACATCAACCGCTATGCCTGTCTAGCTACAGCTAAGACCGGCACCATCAATAATGTGAGCTTGGCCCTTGCTCTCGCTGACTTAGGTCAATCTGGAGGTGATACAGTCCAATCTGGTCGACTCGTTCCGTCTAGATGGGAAGATTGATATCCTGATGTTCAACCCACCCTACGTTCCGACCAGTTCAGAAGAGTAAGTCTGCTGACGTTCCAACTGACCTCAGGCTCGCGTCTACACAAGCATTACGCGGGATAGGCGGTGCATGGGCGGGCGGAGAGACAGGTATGAGCATCACTGACGAGGTGATCAAGTCCCTACAGGTAAGTCATAGCTCGACGGAGCTGATATCAGCGCCTTCTCGCCCCCGGCGGCCGATTCTACCTCGTCGCGGTGGAGCAAAACCGCCCTTTGGACATCGTCGAGCAACTCAAAGACTTAGGACTGGACGCCGAGGTAGTTTTACGCCGACGAGCAGGTCGTGAGCTTCTCTACATAATACGTGGCATACATGCACCTAAGCTAGCCTCTTCTTCTTGGGTCCTCCCGCACTCTCGCTGGACCCATTCGTCTTTCTCTTACTCGTCTCAACTTCTTCCACCTCTACCTCTACCGCGTCTTCTGCCTCTTCTGCCTCCTCTGCGTCTTCCGCCTCCTTCTCCTCCTCCGCCTCCTCCCGCTCGGCCGTAAGTGGGGGCGAGGGGAGCGATCTGACACCCGCGAGCCGCCGTGGTGTGTTGAGCTTGAGATTCCCCATCGGCTGGGAGAAACTCCTGTCGGACGGAATATCACTCTCGAAATTGGTCCCCGAGGCAGTCATGGGCCGACTCCACCTCTCCGCGTCTTCCTCCTCGTCCACCTCCGACCGCTGCTGATTCGGATCAAACGACTCGATGCTCCAGACCGAATCGCCGCCGAGCCGGTTGGGCGAGTGCTCGACCCGAGCCGCCTGGGCGAGCCATGGATGCTCCAGCGCCTGGCGCATGCTGAATCGTTCCTCGGGCGACTTGTTGAGCAGTCCCTTTATAAAGTCGATCCCTACAATATCAGCTTTGTAGATGCTAGAACGTACCATCATCGCTGATTCCCATTTCGCTGAGCAGGCTCGAATCGAATGGCTGATCGAAGCGCGATCTGATCCGTGCCTTCAATCAGATCCATGTCTTGTCGATGACTCACTTCTACTGGCAGCTCAGCCTCCTCATCAAACGGCAATGCCTTGGTCAACATGCTATCATCAGCTCCGCCCTCAGCTATTGCTCACCTAAACACCACGATCCCGACCGACCAAGAATCCACCTTGTTCTCATATCCCGGCTTTGACTTGGACTGCATAACAATCTCCGGCGCAAGATACTGCGGCGTGCCGACCATCGTCTTGAGCACCGTTCCCGCCTCCGCTACCTATCAGCCTAGCTCCTCGAGTTTCGACTCACCCATCTTGGCCAAGCCGAAATCTGCAACCTTGACGATTGGCGGACTATCCGCAGTTCTCAAGGTCAGGAGAATGTTCTGAGATCAGCCATGTTCGAAGGTGAACTCACTTCCGGCTTTATATCACGATGCGTTACTCCCATGGCGTGCTATTATCAGCTCCGCCAGAACATTTACTCACTGTATACGCCATAGCGCTGCAGATCTGGTATGTCAGATTCGCGGCGTACTCCTCCGATAGTCCACCACCGCCCGGGTGCTTCATAATGTGGTCGAGCATGTCCCCTCCGTCCACGTACTCCAGGACGAGGTTGATGTGCTGTGGATCCTCGAACCATTCTATCAAGCGGCAGATGTTTTCCTGTCATCAGGTTGACCATGTCTCATACGCACATGTTGTAGTCGTTGACAGATGTCTATCTCGCGCTGAAATAGTAGCATCGTCTTCTCGTTTCCTCGGAAGCGATGCTTGACGATTTGCTACTATCAGCTCTGCCCACCGTAGTCACATACCTTGATAGCTCGCAAATCCCCAGTCTCCACATCGACGGCTTTACGGACCTCGGCAAAAGACCCCTTGCCCAATCTACATCAGCTCCGTTTGCGCGTAGAGACTCACGGATCCAGTATCTGGTATCGCTCATACACCTCCCCTACTATCAAGCTTCCCCCAGTCCTCGCCCCGCGCCTCCCGACCGATCGGTAGATATACCTCACATCGTGATTGTCCAGCGTCGCCGCATGTCCTAGCGATAGTTCGTCGCCGTGCTGCAGGAGCCGTCTCGGCTTCACCCTCTCGCCATTCACCTAAAATCAGCTCGGCGATCTGTCCGGAGGGACGGAACTCACAAATGACCCATTACTACTCCCCAGATCCTCGATCCAGACATCTGGCTCCCCATCCCCCTCCTTCCACCGCTGAATCACCGACGAAGACGCCCCGTTCTCCCCTTGCATACCAAGCGTGATCCGGCAATGCGCCCCAGAAATCCGCTTTTCGTTCAAGATGATATCGTTCCGAGCTATCCCGTGGGCGCGGCCTATCTGCAGGTGCGAGCGCGTCCATGGGATCTTGAGGATACAATGGTCGGGATTGGTGGGTATCAAGACGGCCCCTGTCTGTCAGCTTGGACCTCTGCGTTATAGGACGGAGGGGAGTACAGTATTTCCGACGCGGTTCGACCTGGCTGTTGGCTGTGCCCTGGGTATTTTGGGTCTGGGTGTAGTGTTGCTGCGACAACTGGGTCGCTTCGTATGTGTAGTCGGCCCTATCTCCTAGGGAGTCGGGGATGAAAGAGGGCGCCATGGTGTTGAGAGAGCGATAGAAAGGTGGATGGATGATGGGGAAAGAGGAGTTCAAATGAAATCAATTCAAAAGTCAACGCGTCCGCTGATTAGCTTTCTACATTGCACCTCCACCATGACTACCCCTCAGCCAGAGATAGATACAGCCACACCGGCAGCTACAGCAGTAGAGCCGCCCGCAGCGGCGCCCAGCACTGGCGTTGTGGACACCTCCACAGCTCCATCGACCGCATCCGTAAAAGCGGACAAAGCAGACGGCACCGGCGAATCCACTCCCACCCCCACGCCCACCTCCGAATCGCTCAATGCCCATCATCTCGGTCTATCGCGGGAGGCGCTGGAGCAGGAAGTAGGCCAAGTCATGGGTACCTTGAGCAGCTGGTGGGGCGGCGTCAAGAAGCAAGTAAGCCTCTATCTGAAGCTCAGCTGATATAGTCCGCCAGCGCATTGTCTAACATCAAGGCCGACCTCGACAAGACCGTCATTCAGGCGCAAGCGGACTTTGAGCAACTACGGACCGCCAAGGTCGAGGTGGTCCGTAAAGACCCCGAACAATACGCGGCCGAACAAGCCGAGCGCTCTGCCGCTGGCTCTGGCGAGTCCCTCCTCGACCGTCTTGCCACCTCTACCACCCAGCTTCAGGCGACACTACAATCTACCATCGCCGCCGCGGCTGCCAATCCGGCCGTCGCCAACGCGGCCGAGAACCTCCGTCTGGCGTCAGCCAAGGAGAACATCCAGCTCTCGGTCAAGCAGGCGGAGAAGCTCGCGGAGGAGTACCTCCATAAAGGCGACAAGCTGCGAAAGGACGCGGAGAAGTGGATAGGAGAGGCGGTCAAGGTCGTCCCGCCCGCACCGGGAAGTGAGACCGCTCCGACCGTTAGCTGGGACGGGAGCGACTGGTACTCTATAGTCTCTCAGGGGGCAGGGCCAGTCGAGACGCAGGGGACCGGACAGGGATCAGGAGGACCGGCTCGTACTCTGGCGGGATCGCGAAAGGACGCTCTCCTCGCGCGATTGAGGGAGGACAAGGATCTCGTCCTCGTTGACCCGCTCTCGCCCGATACACCCCCTGCGCAACGGGAGCGGTTCGAGCGGTGGCTAGCCAAGTCTTGGCCTGCGCCGAAGGAAACCATGGCGGCGGAAGGAGGAATGGCGGGTTCAGTGCGGATGGCAGTCGGTATGTCCATACCCCGAATCACCGCTGATGTAGTACCCGAGCACATGACCGACGACCAATTCTGGCAACGCTACTTGTACATCCGGGACACCATCCTCGAGGAGGACGAGAAGCGGCAGCAACTTCTGAAAGGTGAGTACGGATTTGACGTAGCTGATGTAGCCACCGAGCAATCCGTGCAGCAGCCTGACGACTTCACCTGGGACGATGAGCCCGAATCGACTCCCAAACCTGCGCCGCCTACCAAGCTCTCAACGTCCGCTGCTACGCCGTCTATGAGCCCAAGAGACTCGGAGGAGAGCTACGACGTGGTCAGTGATCAGGCCAAGAAGGAGGTCAAGGTCGTCGAAGCGGTGCCGGAGAAGGGGGAGGACAAGAAGGATGACGACGAGGACTCGGACTGGGAGTAATAATGGGGAGGCATGTCGTACGTTGTACTTTATATACTTAGGTCATAGCTCTAAATTTCCATCTTGGTCTCACTCTGACCCTGTGGATGTCTCCAGGGCAGCCCCAGGCCACCGCTGTGCCTGTGCCTAGCGGAATAAAGTTTTAGATTCCGCTGAGGAATGCGGAGTTCAGAAATTCAGCTCAGCTCGACTCTCTGCCTCACCTGCCTCACCTGGCCGGTTGGCTCGTGCAGTCATCACCTTTGCCCTCGGATGCCTTACTACCATCATGACCAGCTCAAGCGTCAACCCTGAAGCCCTGCTCGCAGGATTCGAAAATGCGGGAGGATGGTACGACAAAGAGCTCTTCTCCCTGGCGGAGATTCCCGAGATGGGCATCGGCGCAGTCGCTCTCAAAGACATACCTGCAAGTCCATATCAACAGCTCGGCGCTGACATTAGGCGGATGATCCACTCTTCAGGATACCACCCTCCGTCATACTGTCACCCATCACCTCAACTCTCAAAGACGAGCTCAAGCCGGAGGAATGGGAAAGTCTGAACAGCTGGGCCCGGCTCATCCTCGTTATGATGTGGGAGACTGCGCGCGGAGCAGAGAGCCCTTGGTCTTGGTACCTAGGCAAGTCTAAGATCTGACAGCACTGACGTCAGATAGCATGCCTACGAGCTTTGACACTCCCATGTTCTGGCCAGAGTCGGATCAACAATATCTAGCTGGAACGGACATTGAGCGTAAGTTTGCCGATCGGCTAAGCTGAAAGCAGACCGGATCGGACGTGCCGAAGCCGAAGAGTTATATAAAGACGTTCTCTCGCCGCTCATCGAGGTTTGTCAGTGTATCGATTTGGCTGACCGCAGGCTCGACCGGACGTGTTTAGTCAGGCGGAAAGCTTTTATACTGTCGACGCGTTCCACGTCCAGGGATCCCGGATTCTCTCCCGCTCGTTCAACCTCCCAGACCCTGACGATGAGGACGAAGAGGAAGAGATTGTCGCTATGATACCCATGGCGGACACACTCAACGCTGCTAGTGGATGTAACAACGCACGACTGTTCGACGAGGACGCGGATCACACGATGATGAGCATCAAGCCTATCCCTGCCGGTGCACAGATCGTACGTGCCATGTTCCCGCCAAGCTGACTCCTAGTACAACACATACTCTGAGCTACCAAACTCTGAGCTGCTCCGCAAGTACGGCTACGTCTCTTTGCACCAGCTCGACTCGGATACCACCGCCACCCTCGCCAAGCACGACCTGCTCCTCGACTGGCTGATGGGCAATCCATCTGACGAGGTCCACATAGACGGTGATCGGATACTTCATTTTGCGGGACTCATGCGGGAAGGACTGGATATGACGGATCGGATAGACTGGTGGCTTGACGAGGGGCAAGATGAGTGAGTCAATTCTATCTTGTCGTGCTAATGACAGCTCCTTCAGTGTGACCACGGAAGGCGTGGAAGAGGCTTACCATGCCTTCGCTCGCTTGCTCCTCAGCGATACACACTGGCAGAAGGCGAAGAAGCGCGGGAAGCTACCGGAAGCTCACTCGGACCCTGAGACGGTGTCGCTCTTGCGGCAAGTCATTGACGATCGGCTGTCTCGATATCCCGCTTCCTTGGCAGTGAGTCCTCACAATGGCATAGCTGACCACAGGATGATGTTACCGCGGTCAAGCAAAGTCCACCGCCGAGCGTCAAAGCTGCTCTGGCTGTGAGGATAGGAGAACAGCGGGCCCTTCTCGCTACCAAAGCGGAATGTCAGGTCGAGGAGGTAGCTCAGGTGGAACCGGTCAAAAAGAAGGTGAAACGTTCATGATGACATTACGATCTACCTGTGGACTGCAGTTCATGACGGCTACTCGCTCTATACTCACAAACAGTCATATAATACGTGGTTCTGAGTCCAGTGCTACCAGGCGACGAGCTCAAGACCAACTCACTGAAAGAGGTCTTCGTCACCCGAACGATGATGTCAAGCTAGGACTCTCAAGGCAAGCATCACATCTAAGCTAAATCTACACTACTCACGGACTCCCTTGACATACCAACATTTCACATAGTCGCCGTCTTGCCCAACTCCTTGATCCGGACACCCCCATCCGCCGCCAGTCCCCCTTCCTTATCATCCCCATACTCCTCCTCTGCGGACTCGGCAGCAGCGGGAACAGTCTCGATCGTGCTTCCTCGGTATTCGCTAGATCCGCCGAGCTTGTACCAGAGCAGACCGACGATACAGCCTGCGGCACCGAGCATGGCGAAGAGGGTCCAGAGACCGGGGAAGCTGGACAGTCAGCATCTTTCACTTCATCGGAGGGTGTGGTCATTCTTGTGAACGGTACTCATCGGTCTGGGCTGTGAGAGAAGATACTTACTATCTTGGTGAGTCCTTAGAGGGGAAGAGGAAAGGAGCAACAGCACCGGCGATGTTTGCAATAGCGATCCTGCTGATCAGTTGATGTCCCGGCATGGGCGATACCAGTAGCACTCCGTACTCACACTCCACCGGTAGCGATAGCAGTACTCGTAGCTCCGGTCACCGTAGCAGTCCGGTACGCGATGAAGGGGATGACCGCAGCGTTCGTGCAAGCGATCATAAAGACGCCGACGTACCGCCCGCCAACACTGTCAACGGAGGCGAGGAGGACGTAGCCGATCATGACAAAGACGAGGCCGCCGAGAATGTGCATGACTCGCTCCTTCCGGCGGTCGGACCACCACGAGTTGCCGATGATCACGAAGAAGGCGAAGGCGTTGGGAGGGACGGTGAGGAGTTGACCCTTGTCTAAGGTGTCAGCCATTATTCCAATCATTATGTCGAGGAAAGGGGACATACAACCAGTGAAGCCAAGCCCGGAGATGATGGTCGGGGCGAAGAAACCAAAGGCGTTGAGCGAGTTACTAGTTCATCAGCCGGGACCCGGCGCAGAGGGCAGACAGTACGCACGTCATGAAGAAGTAGCAGAGGGCGAATGCCCAGAACTCCCAAGCGCAGACAGTCCTGATGAAGTCGGCCTTGTCAAAGTGCTTGTCGGTCCCCTTGGGCGCAAAGTCGCCCATGCGGTCGATGGCAAGCTGGCGTTCGTCCTGCGTGAGGAATTTGGCGGTTTCGGGGAAATCGGGGAGGTAGAACCAGACGAGGACGCCGACAATAATGGTAGGTGCACCTTCGAGGATGAAGCTGGAGTATGAGCATGTGAATCCGCCTAGTGACCGAAGAGTACTCACAGCCATTGCCAGCCGTAAAGACCGCCCTTGCCGGACATGAAGGACACACCGGTAGCGATGAGTCCACCGAAAGCGCTGGCTCTCAGCTGGTGCCCATACAAGCACATGCGGATGACAGAGAGCTTACCCCGAGACCGCGACCGATGCCGAAAAGAGCGCCATCCGCACACCTCGCTCGTTAGGCTTGTACCAGAAGCAGAGGTACATCATGATACCGGGCTACTTGTCAGCTCAAGTCCACATTGGCATTTTCGGGGACAGGACTCACGAAGAACCCCGCCTCCATGATACCGAGGAAGATTCGGCAGATGATGAGACCGGTGTAAGAGCTGACCGCCGCGGTGCACATGGTGACTGGCGGTCAGCGCTGGCTCCAGAGAGCAGAGACGGCCGTAACTCACCAATACCCCATGATACCATGATTCGGGCGATCCATCTCGAGGGTGTGAAGTATTCTGTAAATCAGATAATGACCTGAAGTATCCTGCTGGGTACAGACATACTGAGGGCAATGTTGGACGGGAATTCGAAGAGGACGTATGGCCTAAAGCGTCAGCAGGTGATCACGCGTACGTGGACCTTTGATCGCAGGCACAGATGCGGAGGGTAGAGGAAACGGCGATGGACATCAACGGGGGAGCTGGACTCACACAAAGAAGATGGCAACAATGAAGTTATACCTATCTCCCTGGAGGTCCAACCTCTCCGAAAGAGAGTGACCGGGGATATCGTTGTTCAGCGTACGGGCATTCCCCAGATTTGTCCGGTCGCTACGGCGTCAGCGCCACGTACAGCAGGTAGAAGACTAAGGGCAGACTTACAGGTAGTTCAGTAGGTAGCCTGCCTGTTAGCCACTTCTGCGTCCTACGAGCTAGAGGCGACCCACTCACAGACGATGATCCAAGGCATGATCCGCAGATCCATTTTTCTCACAATCCTCTTCTCCATCTTGATTAGATCCTCCCCTCCCGCATAGTCTTCGACGATGTGCTCCATAGTGTGTGCACTCCTGAGTGGGGATGTTGGAAATGTGGTAAAAAGGCGGTATGAGTGTGTTCAATGGTGAATGGTGAGAGGTCGAGTTTGCGGTCAGTCAAGCTTCGGTCAAGTGGTGTGAGGAAAAGCGGGTGATTTCAAGGACGGATCATCCCGATATATATGCTCCACAAGAACCAGGTATCCCGCCGTCAACTGCCGCCTAATGCCTATCACGTTGGCCTTATCTCTCACCGCGCACCTTATCAGCCTAGAGGAGAACGGGGATATCGGTGAGACTGCGGTGAGTTGGCCAATCTGCGCAGATCTCCCCCGGAGTGGCTGGGCGCCCCGCCGGGTCTGTTCAACACTAGCGCGTGCTCAAGCGGAGTTCATTGGCGCAAGATGAGAGGGTGCAGGTGACCAACGCAGGTCCGCCCAATGAAATGAAGAGTTAGTCGAATGCATTACGGCAGGCGATAAGAAAGAGATCTGAGATCTGCTCCATTGAGATCCCGATAAGGTTTCGGGCGTTGTCGGGCAGCAGTCCGAGTGCAGTCGATGCTGCTGCTGTCACTGATCAATACGCCAGCTCCGGTAAGGTAGGCTCTAGTACAGCAGGCTCATAGAATGGAATGTCTGGAGTACATTATATGACATCTAGCAGACTTCACCCCTCGCCTGCAGCGCCCTCACCGATACTAGAGCTACACAGAGATCCTTCAAGCCCTCGACCATCCGCGGCTGGCAGTCCACAAGTCCCACGAGCGCTCCTACGATACCTGCTTCTTGCTCAAAATCTTCCCATGCGCCAAGAGGAGGTACAGCCGGAAGCACAACCTCGCAAACTCGTTCTCGTACAGCTCCTTCGGGTAGTCGGCGCCGAGCTTGTACGCTGCGGCATGACCTGAAATGATGGCGAGCTCGTGTGCATTGACGAGGGTCCAAGCGCCGGCGTAGGTGGTGTGCTTCGAGTTGCGGTTCAGAAGCCAGATAAGGGGGACGACGAAGGCGTAGTGGGTCCACCTGGATGATCAGTGGCTGATCCGACATCTCATATTGACAGACTCACGAGTGACAAAGCTGGTGCCACCAATCTTCACGAACTGCGTTCATCAGCTCTGCCTCATATTGGTACCGAAGGGCGACGTACTGATCTTGTCCTTCTTGATCTCATCCTTATCCCAGGTGTCTGTGTGCTTGTTGTTTAGGAAGATTGTCTGGAAGACGTGGTCCTCAAGCGGCTTCTCCTTGTCGAGCTGGTACTGGAAGGCAGAGCAGTCAAAGCACATTTCCTGATAATGTCAGCTTATGCGCAACAGCGAGGGGCAGAGCGAGCGGTATGAAGAAGGGAAGAGGAAAGCAGCAACATGGGTAAGGGGAAGAGGGCGGCCAGAACCCTGGCAGGTCTGAAGTGCATGGAGAGGGGAAGATGAGAGCCTAGCGGCCATGGGGAAACATACCAGCTTCTTAGGGTCTTTGGTCTGCTTAATCATGTACATCCTCAGATGTCAGCGTGGGCACTCATGATCTCAATTCAAGTCAGGTACTCACGGCATAAACTCCTTCTCGCCCTTCTTGACCCTCGCCGAGTCATCCCTCCCGCCGATGTTGCTGACAGCGTCCTTTGGGTCGAACTCTACTGTGTAGTACTTTCGGATGTAATCAACGTCCTACTGATTAGCCTCGCCCCGTTATAGATCACTGTCAGGTGGGTGGGACTTACGGTGTGGGTGACGGTGACATCATCAGACCACTTTGTGTTCCCCAATACGAACTTCTCCATCATCCCACCCTGCTTCCCCAGAACTCGCTTTGATGTGTCGGCAAGCACAGCGAGGACAATCTCGTCGAACTCCTCCTCCTGCGGTGGAATATCTTGGTCCCCGAAGTTGGCGTTATGGAGGTCAGCCTCGGGGCGACGGGCCCGGAGCATGACCTTGACGGTGGGTGAGCGAGACTTGATCTCGACGAGCTCGGTGTTGAGGCGCACCTGGCACGTCAGCCGAGATCCTCAAGATGGAGAAGCTTAGTGTGACGTGAAGCTGTTGATGAAGTGAAGATTACTCACTGTAACACCCTTGCTCTCCATGTCCTTGTGCCACTTCTCGTAGAACTTGGAAGATTCGGGGAATACGACCATGGGCGGGAGATTGCTCGACAGACTCTTCTCATCAATCTTGTACCACATCCCGTAGGTCGGAGATGTGTACAGGCGCTCCATCATGACCGAGGGCAGATCGGGAGTGGCATTGCCTGTTCCCAAGAAGAGAGCGAGACTGTCGATCAGCCCGATATCCTGGCGAGATTTCCAGGCCTGCGGGGGAATCGGTATACGGAGACAGTACTCACGAGGGATAGATCATAGTCATGATGAAGTCATCGCTCAGACCCCACATCTTTAGCGAGTACTTGATCGGAATCAACGCCCACAAGACCTCCGTCTTCCGCATCCACTTGATGGCAGTGTTGAACCGCTTGATGTCTTGTTGGTGCTTGGCGACGAGGTTGGTGGGGTAGAGATTGGTCCAGAACTGTCGGTCAGCTGGAGCTCTCGCCAAAGCGGAGCGTTGTCGAAGTATATGATATGACTAGCGGCAGGAACAGCAGTGGAAAAACGTACATTGTCGCCCTTGCCGAACGATACTTGGAGCTCAACTCTGCATGGTCAGCATACATGTCGGGCAGAAGGAATAGCGGAAGCACGTACGGCTTAGCTTCGTAGCCCTGCTTCTCATAGGCTCGGAACGTATGTCTGATCGTCAGCTCGCCAGCTCGCTGTATCTTAATGCCAAATCGAGAGAGATATAGGTGATCCGGATCGGGAGGGTTCGATCTCAGGTAATTTCAAGCACGTCCTCCCCTCCTTCTCTCTGCTGAACTCTCTACTCGTTGCTGCGACCCGACGGGTGGCGGATACTCACTGATAGATGTAACTGCCTCCCTGGACACCCTGGTTCATCCACTTGGAACCGTGTCGCTCCTCATCGATATCGATTGAGAACGCCTGACCGCCAGAGTAACCTTGAGCATCTGCTCAGTCAGTAGTGTCCATTATATAGAGCTCATCATAGACAGAATGGCCCGGCTCAAGGTGAAGTCCGCCACTCACCGATCAATGTGACCTCAAACCTGTCTGGGTGCTTTGCCAGGTTGTCGGCGCAAGCCATACCGGCAGCTCCTGCTCCGACGACGAGCACGCGCTTCTTCTCGTGTAACTTGGGCATTGTCGATGATATTTGGGTAGTATGGGAGAGGCTTCGAGGTGGTCGTGAGCTGTAAGACTCGCAGAGGAGAGTGAGGTAGATGGTCAAAACACAAAATGGTTATCGCGCTGACGAAATCGAGATCGAAAACAAAGATGACGTCGTTGGCGTTTCATCGACCCTACCTTGATCATCGTTCCATACCTTCCCATCGCAGGTATGCTTCGCAATCCCTCGGCCCCGATCAGCCTTGTCAGCTCTTTGTGTGAGGCCCCAGCAGCAGCGGATCCTAAGAAAGTCGGAAATCACGCTGTGCTGACCGACAAGGCCGCCGAGACCGCGGGGCACTCTGGCTTCAGGCCTCGAATTTCACGGGGCGCTGACTCGTGCGACATGGCCCTCATTCGCCTGGAGCTCCTGTGACCACAATATGGGGCAGCATAACTGATCCTATGACTTCTCGCCGATCTCGCACGGTCGCTGACTGGATAAACTTGACTAATGGTCTGCAATGTCCTTCACAATAGGCCCAAGAGTCTGACTTTGCATCGGATCCGGATAGCGAAGCGCGAACCAGACTTCGTTTCGTGCTGAATCATTGCATCTCATCAGGTCTATCGACTCTCCACTCTTCTCGGCTTGATCTGCTCGCCACTCATCACTAACGAGACCTGGTTCACTTCCCCGCAGGATGGGACTGTATATCCCAGATGAGTCGGAGGTCTAGTCGCACTTGCTACCTCCGCAGCAACCGCCTGCAGGCTTGCTGGTGCCACCTGATATGCGTCAGCGTCTGAGAATATCGGCGAGCGGCATAATCGATACTTACAGCTGCCAGACTGCGCGTGGGCGTTCTGATCAGTCGCATTCGCCTGGGGCTCGGCCGGAGTAGTCACCTGCGCACTGCATTCATCAGTTCATGTCTCTCGAGCCGACGAGCAACGAGATGGAGAACACTCACGACGCTGCGGGGACTTGCGGGCTCGCGGGTTGCGCGCCTGGAGTCTGGTCGGCTGGGGTAGACATGGTAGTGCGTGGAAGTGAAGTTGAATGAGTATGAGTGAAAGTCTGAGTATAAAGATACTGAATGAAAGACGAGATACGAAAGAAGAATAGACCCTCCGATTGACCCCCTTATATATCCCTCACAAGCTGACCAAGACCCCCTCGCTCCACCTTCCAGCACCCTCCACTCCAGCGCTCCTTTGTCATTCCACCAAGGGGAACCAGGGGGTAAATGGCGTGATACAGGTGACATCATGACGCGGGAGTAAGCGAGAAGCTTCTTTTGAGTGTACGCTCCACCACAGCCTGACGCTAGAATGTGCTATTGAGGACTAAGGAGCTGGTGGCGGCGCGGCCCATGCTTCAAGGGGGCGCAAGAAGGCGCGAGGATTTCTAGCATGTACCGCGATGATTCCCTTTCATCTTCCCTGTACCGCATTGCTTGAGAAGATTCATCATCCCCTTGACTTGGCTGATGCTCTGGCCCATTCATGTCAGAGGGAAATCACACCCAGGGTTGGCGGAGAGGACGATGGTTCCTATGAATATGGAGTCATTGCAGCAAACACGTCGTCGGTATAAGCACAACCATTGTCCATTTCTCTATCTACCGTTAACCAGACCCAGATCCTACAAGTTGCCATCTATCCAAACGAAATCAATCCACTCTATCTTCGTCTATACACACCACGTCGCGAGATTACAGGATCCGACCCAAGCCGAGGGGGAGAGATACGTCCAGGCCGATGTTGTCGACGAGGCATTCCCCGTTCAGAACTTGTCCGAGACACAGGCTGAGGTCGAGGCAGATACCGAGGGAGAGGTTGTTGGAGAGACTGGACGTCAGCTTGGCTCGCGATCAGAAGAAGGGGCAGGAGAGAAGACTCACCCAGGCAGGCACTTGCACTCTCCATTCTCCTCAAACATGTCCACCCTGCAGCACACAGTATCCTTGAACTCCTGTCCCTCCGGGCAGGTAGGGACGTAAATCGGCTCAGGCTGCGGCTGTGGCTCGGGTTCGGGGGCGGTAGTGGAGGTAGGAGGAGCGACAGTCGATGCGGATGGTTCGGCGCTTGGTGTTGGGGTAGGTGTAGGCGTAGGTTCAATGCTCGAGCTGGGCGCGGCGGCTATTGCGAAAGCGGTAGGTGCGGGCGCGGCGCAGTCGTGCACTGTCTCGGTGGAGGTGATGGTCTGGGTGGCAAGCGCGGGCGCGGTGGAAGTGACGGTGTTGGTAATAGTGACAGTGACCACATCGACCTGATAATCAGCTCTGACCCAGTGCGGAGAAGTGAACGAAGCCGAAGCAGAAGGGGAGACTTACTGGAATGGTGATGACAGTCATCGTGTGTGACCTCTCCGCCGACTGCGTCTCCACCACCGTCTGCCACTCGGTCGCCGTAGCCATCTGTGTCTCGGTCTGAGTAGCAGTCTCCACCACCGTCTCGGTCTCGGTCGCCGTCGGAGCCGGAGCGACCGCTTGCGCCTCTACCTGCTGCTCCTCCGGTGCGGGCGTGGGCTCAGGAGCGGCCTCGGGGTCGTAGGGGTGGAGCTTGGCGGCGCGGTTGACTCCTGAGTAGATACCGAACTCCTCGTCCTCCTCGGGAGCAGGGACCGATTGGGCATCGACGACCTGGTCGCTGGGGGCAGGAGCTTCAACGGTGGGTGAGGGCTCGGGTGCAGGCTCAGACTCGATCACCTCGGGTGCAGGAGTAGGAGTGGGCTCCTCGACGACCGGCTCGGGAGTGGGCTCGGGCGCGGGCTCCTGGACTTCCGGCTCGGGAGTGGGCTCAGGGGTAGGTTCCAGCTCGGGCTCCGGGGTGGGCTCGGGAGCGGGAGCTGGTTCAGGCTCAGGAGTAGGGGTAGGCTCGGGAGCGGGCGTCTCGCTGGTGGAGGTGGGCTCAGCGGGAGCAGCCGGTACGGGGATGGGGATTGGGGTGGGCTCGTCGGCCGGGCCACAGAACTACTGATCAGCTTAGTCCCATGCGGATCATGCTGGGGGACGTCTGAGACGAGTGAGAGCGACTTACCCCATCAGGCCTCTGGTATGCCACCGGACAGTAGTATCCGCCTTGACCGTCGCATTGAGGAAGAGTGTGAGCCGGGTAGAGGTTCTCTTGCCCAGACTGGCGAATCTGGAACATCAGCTTGGTCTTCTTCTGGTAGCAGAGCACAGCTCACTTTGTCGCGCACAAGATCCAGGTTGACGCCAGCGGCCAGGCCCACGCCTCTGCCCAATCCCTCCAATGGCCCACCGCGGCCCTTACCGACCCACATCCCCCTCCCATCGTCCCCAAGACCGAGGCACGCGCAGACGCCCACTTCGACCAGATCGCCAAGAAGTAGCGAGCCGACGTCGGCACAGACGAGCTTGGTGGGGTTTCCGAGATCGAGTACGTCTCCGAGGGAGTCGGTGGCTGGGTCGAGGAGGTCGGTGAGAGGTGAGAGAAGGCCATCTAGAAGGCCCGAGCCGGTTCCGGGGGAGGTAGGGCGGCCGAGGAGTTTCGAGGGGAGACCGCCGAAGAGACCGTCATCGCCTTCGTTGCCGCCGAGAGGGAGGCCGCTGAGGGGAGATCCCTCGTCGCCGCCGACAGGAATGATGCCAAGAGCTCCGCCGTTACCGCCCCCGCCGAGCGGAAGCCCGCCGAGGGGCGCACCACCATCGCCGAGGGGGACGATATGCGCTAACCCGACTGGAGCAGAGTCGAGCGCATCGAGTGGGCCGTTCGAGCTTCCCAGGCCGAGTCCGAGACCGAGGCCGTCTCCGCCAGAGCCGCCGAGAAGGGGCGAGCGGCGGAAAGGGAGCGGAGCGGCATTGAGGAGAGGGAGGAGCGCGATGAGCGCGGTGATGGCGCCTGACGTAGCGCGCATGTTGGCTCAAGGACTGGTTGTGCTGTTTTAAAGAGGTAGGTGGAGCTGTCGAGCGAGGATGTAGCTCGAGCTTTGTCTTTGGTTGCGGATGTCGGTGTAAAAGTAGATGAGCGAAGTCGAAAGTTGCGTTGAGTGAAGTGTGGTGGTTAAGGGATGAAGGAAGGTAATGTGCAAAGCAGAAGTGAAGGGTGTTGAACAAGGGCAAAGTGAAGGGTGAAGATCGCAATCAAGCGGAAGGTGAACAAGGTGCTAGTACCCAATCGAGTACTGCAGGAGAAGGTAGAAAGTACGAGGGTAAGAAGAAGACGAAACGGACAAGGTGAAGAAGGGATAAGAGAAAGAGGAAAGATACTGCAATGGTGTTAGCTGGTAATATACGATGAAGAGTAAACAGACTCACTGTAGTGTGCAACCTGTGTTTGGCAGCCCCTTGGTTGCGACCAGCCCCGTCCGGCCCGCCTCATTCGGATCGACCACCGCGGGACCCATGTCTCGGACGAAGGCGAGGTGACGCGCCTCGACATGCCGAATGGCCGGCGGAGATGTGTTGTTGTTGATGAATGGTTGGTTGTCTCAGACGGAGCTGGAATGTTTCAGAATTTCCGAATCTGTGAGCGTTGGTGGCAAGTGTACTGTGGAGAGTAAAGCCACTGCGTCAACAACAGCAAGTCCGACGAGTGAGGGTCTAAGCGCAAAGCAGCTTGTCAGTATGCGTGAGCGGCAAAACCGGTCAGTTCGAGAACAGAACAGGTATCGCATATCCGACGCAGGGTATATCTTCGATTCCCCAAGTATATTATTCCGACAAGCTGGATACTATATCAGCCCATGATGGCCTTGATTATGATTAGCTACCCCATTCTATCATCCATCCCTATTTCCCTTCCGCCGTATCAATTCAAGAGATTGTCCTTTAGGTAACGGTGATAACGTTTCCGGCGTCATCCTTGAGCACGACGATATCGCAAGGGATGGTTTCGCCATTGTCCATGTATGTGAGGATGGTCTGGTCGATCGGGTCCACCCTGGAATGTCAGCTCGCATCTTATGAGAAATCAGATACTCGATACTCACTTAATGTTCATCTTCTCGACCCAAGATCTACCGAGCACGACATCAAAGTGCTCTTCCTCGCTGATCATAGCCTGGTGCTTCTGTGTCTTGCCGGCGACGGTGATAGCGACGAGTCCAATAGACTTCAAACCGGTGTATCCAGCAGTGCCCATAGCGAACTAAGGGTCAATTACTGCTTCTCTCGAATCCAGGTGAGGACTTACCTGCTTGGGGACGAGATTGTGCTTGATAGCGAAGGGGCGGGAGATGTAAACGCCGCGGTGTCCAGGCTTGAGCAGCATGCGAACTGGATGATCAGTGACTGTCCTCCATTGCAGGCGTCGGTAGACAAGAAAGGGAGAGGCGAATGGATGGAGTATGGGAGCAGTGCAAGGTGATAGCTTACCGTTCTTCGCACCGCCCACCGAGCCAAGTACGGTGCGCACTCCAACATTGTTTTGGAACTGAATGTCAGCTGCGATCTTTGCACTAACTCCCGCTAGTCGTGTCACCCTGCTTTTCGACCGCGCGCCCTGGCCCCCTGCTCCTGCCGCAGTAATTATACACAGATCGATTACAAAAGACAACTCACCTCCAGCCACTCCCTCTTCTTTGTCTCCCACAACGGCTCCGCATCATCATCCCCCCACTTGCTCCTGTGACTCTTGGCGCTCCTCACACTCGGGGCGAAGTGAGCCTTCTTGCCCTCCTCCTTATCGCCCCCGCCCAAGACATTCCCGCTATGGCTTGCCTGAGGGAAGTGGTGCCCCCCGGCACTGGCCTGACGATCTGAACGTCCTGGCCCTCCGATACCAGTGGGCTTCTTGGTCGGTGCGGCAACATTTCCAAGCTCCCTTCCGCTCGTCCCGGCGGGCTTGACATTCCCGCTGGCATAGTCCTTCATCTTGACGCCAGAGTTGTCCTGATCTTTGCCATCGCCGTTCGAGGTCCCGTTGCCGTTGCTCTTGGGCGCATCGCCATTAGAGGCCTTCTTGGCCTTGACGGGCGACTTGGTCTTGTCCTTGAGCGCCGAAGCGGCCGTGGACTTGCTCTTAGCCGGCGAGGCGGGCTCGGAGAAGTGGGCGTGGGCATGCGGAGGGTTGAGGTGGAATGTCGCTGATGAGGTGGAAGAGGGAGGATTGCGGGAGAGGAAGATCTCCAGATCATCATCTATCTGTCAGGACATCCCTTTAGCCTTACGCCAAAATCGTGGACATACCATCCTCGAGACTCCATCTCGACCCTTCGTACTCATACACCAAACCCGAGCCCTCCTTCCCCTCCTGTAGCGATGTAGCCTCCTTGCGGCTCAAGCCAGCTTTAGACGCTATCCGCGAGATGAGGCCCGCATGCTTTTCATCCTCTACAGACAGGTTAGCCCTGACCACAGCGCGCGTCAGCAAGATAAGAGCTCACCCTTGTGCTGGATCGCAAAAGTCTTGGACGGCGTGTGTATGTTGTACAGGAATGGCATGCTGGGCGAGTGCGAGCTGCTGTAGTGCTCGCTGCGGGGATGAGGGATGAGATATGGTACAACAAGGAACGCTCAAAAGCTGCGAGAGGGACGATATGAGAGACGGGAAGGGCAAAGTGGAAAGAGCAACAGCGGGGAGGCCGGATCGGGTGACGTCAGAAAGCCGGCACCCAATCCGGTAGATACCGGAACCGGAAATTCCGGATAACGGACATCACCGCTCGCTTACCTCGCCTACCCGCCTGCAGCTCCCTCAAGCTCAAGCTTAAGGCGAAGCTCAACCTTCTTCTCATCACACCATACCACCTCATGCTTCAACGTCACGACACGGCCGTACAGTAGCTACGCGATGCGAAACGCTCTGTACTGAGAAGAATGTGAGTGCTACTTCCTCCTTTACGAGACCCGAATGAAGAGAGCGACCCCAACGATGTAATCAAGTTTCTGGTAAACCAGTCCACCCACCCCAACCCTCTTCTGCAGCCGCAGAGGAGGAAGTAGTAGCTGTCCCACTCTCAGCTTCGGCTGAGGAGGGGATACAGGGAGGGGATGAGGATAGTAAGGCGAGACTGAGGGGTATGGTGAAGAGGATATGTGGTGAATGACCGTGGCGAGGGAGGAAGGGAAACCACGCGTGCGCGAGCTGACCTCTAAGGTCATATCTTGTTGTCCATATCGATACTCTGGGGGGATACTGGAGTACTACATGTACTGGTGTCTCATAAGGCCTAGAGAGTCGTCCTTTCTCCTTTGTCAAGAAGCTGATGGGGATGCGAAATCAACGGCTCCATTCCCATTTTCCCGAAGTATGGCTACATTATGAATCACTACTAAACACATTAACCCTTACCGTAGCTGTGTCAAGCTCGTCCAGCTTGCTCCCGCTTCAACCACTGCTCGTCGAACTCGATTGATGATCCTGGTAACTCTCCTCGCCAGATCATCCTTGCCGTCCCTACTAAATTCAAACAGAACCTGATGGTCAGCCAACGTGCGGCCAGAAGCGGATAATGAAACGGCTCACACGCAAGCCATGGCGATAACAAAGATGATGTTGAGGATGCCAAAAGCCTTCGAGGGGACAAAGGTCGCGAGTCTGCCAAAAGTCACGACCACGCCGGCTACAATGTCAATTTTGACCGCGTGTCTGGAAGGATGTGTGACTTACTCAGAGGGAACGTCCAAGACCACCAAGTCTGCTGATGAGCTTGACCTATGCGGGAGACTTACGAATTTCCACCTCTCCGACAGCGGTTTCTTGGGTTCTGTCCACAAGCTCAATACAGCCCATCCTACGAAAACGAGCAGCATCCACGCTGAGTGTGAGCTTTGACCTCCAAGCGAGCGGGCCTCCTCGCATTACCGACTTACCTGCCATTCCCTGGATATCAGCATGATATCCCACCTATCACTTCAGAGAAGGCTTACCAGTAACAAGAAGCTCAACAAGACCGAGACAGTCGCAATGACCCTCGCCGACTCGCTGACCGACGTATTCCCTGGTAACCCCGATAAAAAGTCAGTCTCCTCCGCGATGGACTGAATGGTCTGGGCGAGATTGACAAGTACTAGACTGGGGAAACCCGGCACGCCGACCGAGATGAGGTAGGAAGGGATGATATCGCTATTGTCAGCTAATCCTCAAACAGACTCACGGAGATGCTTTTGCGGTCGTCATGTCTTTGTGCATCCACACCGAGAGCTTGAGGAGGCCAACGAAGAAGCCAAGACCTAAGCATCAGCTAATCATCCCAACCACTCCCGGAAGGGACGCACCAGCAAAGCAGTATGCGAAGACCGCAACTGTTAGAGCTCGGGTGACGTGCAGCTCGACCAGCTCAGAGACGAGCGTACTTCCAATGACTCCAATGAACATCAGGGGATACACCTCCAATGCGTCTGGGGGACCTATCTCGGCGAGAGGTCGAGCTATAGTGCGTCTTACAGTTAGCAGCCGCCCAGCGCTGAACTTACAGTGTATTCTGCATGATCAACCCGATACATGCGGCGAGAAAGCAGTAGATCCAAAACCAGATCTCGCACGCCAGTGCAAGCCACGGCTATCGACTTTAGCTCTCGCTCGTTCCGATGCCGATCATGAGACTTACACCTGTATATGGCCCACCGTAGATCAAAGTCCCGATGATGAGCGTAGCCATAGCCACTCCCGTGACCGGGAACCAGACCGCCTCTTTCTGATCATAGAAGCTGTTCTTGAAGATCCGGGGCCAGCGGTGTATTCTTCGAGAGGTCATAGCGATGTTAAAGAGGTAGATGACGATGTTGGCAATGTAAAAGATACATCCTGGTGGATCAGCCCTTGGTCGTCTTGCGTCAGGGGAAGAGTGGAAGACGCGTACCTATGGCGTGTTGGCCTCTAAAAGGATATGGTATCGTGCTGATCACTACCGACATTGCTCCACACGCCAGATTCACGTTGAACCTGTAATTCATCAACTCCGCATCCCTTTCCGGCAGACAGAGGCACAGGTACTCAGGCTTGACCCAAGTCCACTCCCTTCCCGCTTAGTAATAACACGATCGGAGGGAGACCGAGAATGCGCGGGGCTTGGGACGCGCCTGACAGGTACTGTCGCTGAAGGCAGGTCAGACTCACATCTGCCATCCCCAATTCTTTGCCCACTCGATTTTTTTGACCCGCTCGATGTTGCCCATTATGGTCTCTCAGGTAGATGTTCAACAAGCCGATACCTGTCACGACCTGTCCATGCTACAACAGCGATGCGCACGACGTCGTCGTCACTGGCCGAAAAGCTTGGGAGGGCGCGGGAAGGCGTAAACACATGCCGTCATTACCCCGCATCGTGTGCCGCTTGCGGATGCGGGGTACCGTATCTTATCGGAGCCGGATCTGGGCTTCGGATTTGCCACGGACGAGGTCAACGTCGCAGAACAATATTGGTACGGCGCTCGCTGTCATGAGACATCGCAGTGAAGGCTGAGGGAGTCGAAAGCGGTCTGAAACAGTGAATATGCTGCGTCACTTCTGACAGCGTCGGGCTTTGCGGTGCCATGGGGATGCCATCTGGACTTACCATTGCAAATCACGGCTCACGATATTGAGTCACCCGTACAGCACGTCCAGCAGAGACCAGATCTGAGGACCCCATCCATGATGCATGAGGCTCCGTGAAATCTGAGCTGTACATAGGGCGCGCAAGACTGCGAATGCAAGATCGTCAAAGGTCGAGGAACGGGGTAACGTAAAAGGATCGAGGCCCTACGTCATGATCGAGCCTAAGCTAGAGATGGTAGCTGGCCAGATCAAGATTCTAGCCGGTCGATGCCTTCGTTCTCTCGACTACACCTCATTATAACTCCCGCATAGTATAAGTAGCCAAGCCATGTCCAGTCTCACTCGCACTTCGCTCCGGGCTCTCTCACGTGCTGCCCCTCCCACACGAGCAGCATGCCTCGCTCATATCCGCTACTCTTCGCACACCTCCTCCGGCCCCGCCAAGCCGCACTCGGTGCAGACTCCTCTACCGACCAGCGGAACACCATCTCGTCCACCAGCAGACAAGATGGTGCACATCCAGAACATCTCAGCGGAGAGCTCCGAGGTGCAGGAGTTCCGGCGCGTGGTGTGGACTGGGAAGAGCAGCCAGCTGGTCTTGATGAGTGTGCCTCCTGGAGGTGATATCGGGGAAGAAGTGAGCTTTTGTTTGCGCGATGCAAGTACAGGGCTGATGGACAGGTACACCATGTGGATCAACACCTGTTTTTTACGGCCGGAAAGGCAAAGGCGGTGGTAGGAGGGGAAGAGAAGGTGGTTGAGGCTGGGGATCTGGTCATCGTCCCTCAGGGAGTCAAGCACAACTGTGAGTTGCTTTCAAGTGGGTGCGGAAGAGCATGTACTGACTTTGCAGTTGTGAATGCTGGGCCCACACCCTTCACGCTGTATACGGTCTATGCACCAGCGGAGCACGACCCAAGATCGGTACACAAGACCAAGGAGGAAGGGGATAAGCTGGAAGATGAGGGGAAGGACGAAGCCCCCAAGTGGGCCAAGTAGCTGTATGCACCGTATCAGAAGTCTCTATCGCTGCCTGATGTCCTCTTGGTACTACTTCATCGGGGTCATGGCTCTCATCAGTACTGCAGCAGCTCAACAGACCCCTTCATGGTATGGCGCTCTGTCCTAGCCACGTGGGCTCGGCCGAGCCAAGCCCGAGTCCCCCTCCTTTCGCCATCGCCCTCATCTATGAACTGTACCTTATTGCTATTCACCTTCACCTTCACTACCGCCCTCCCCTCCCACACGCACACACAAGCCTAATCTGCTCCGCTGCTTCTGAGGATCAGGTACAGGGCGCAGGAACGGCGCGTCATCGGCGGCTCAGTAGCTTGTTGTACCTATTCATCTCGAGAGCCGGAGGGGATCTTTGCGCAATAACAACCTCAAGGCTTGAGCGTGCTCGGAAGCCGGAGTGCTTGCGTAGGCCATCTCCGCGAGAACAGCTAGCGGAAAGCCATTCCTCTTCGCCCTCTTCTCCTTCACCACAAACGCACCGCTATCATCATGACCAGCCAGGACTCGTGGTCGACATACTCCTCCTCGTCTTTCCTCTCACCCTCAGTCTCGACAGACATCAATCGCCAGCGCAATCCCCCTCAGCCGCTCGCTATCGCTCATCCCACTCCGATGCACCCCAATTCTCAACATCTACCGGTCGCTCCGCCCACGCCCTCCGGCTCGATCTCCGACGTCGGCATTAGCGCAGTAGCCAGCGGGTCGGGCGTGTCTGCCATGCTGCAGCAGTCGAGAGCCCCTTTGACTCCCGCAGCTAGTCCAGGCAGCTCTTCTGCGCAGGTACTGTGGGGTGCGGGAGAAGGGCAGGCTGCTGAGAGTAGTAATGAAGAGGGAAGTGGAGGACTGGGTGCTGAAATGGCGCTTGAAGATGGACTGAGGGGGATGTGGGGTGAAGGGGGAGTCTCAGCTCAAGCCGGAGGACCTCCTATCTTGGGTGGGTCACGCTCTTCCCTGTGGTCCTGGAAGTAGTAGGCGCTGATCATTTCCTCTTCTCTACATCGGCTCCTATAACTCTCACTCTTCTCGCTTCCAACCTCGCTCCTGGCGAGCAGACCCGCAAACGCTGATCAACCACTTCAAAATTCTACCGCCGTCGCTGCGCTTCACATTTCTCAGCCTCCTCGTACCGTCACTCCGGCTGGACGAAGCGTTGATCGTGTCGCGCAGGATCGAGCCAAGGATGAGGCGGGATTTCCTGCGGGAACTGCCGGGGGAGCTCGCGCTGCATTGCCTGAGCTTCGTGAGTTCGATTTCCTGCTTTCGCTCTTCCGCGGACAGGAGTGGAGTACATGAACGAAGCTGGAATTTCTGCGCTTGAGGATGTGTATTACAGCTCTTGCTGACTTTCAGATTACTGACGCGCACACCCTCACCCAAGCCGCTCAGGTTTCACACCATTGGTACTCGCTCCTCCAGGACGAACAGACCTGGAAGGATATGTGCGACTGGCACAGCTTCACGCCCATTGTTACGCCATTATCGTCCTCCCGCCGGCCCAGCTCATCTCGAATCACCGCGCTTGTCCCCACGTCCGCCGCGACCGAATCCAGCAGCACGACCGCCGCGATGGCAGCTTTCGGGATGGGCCCGTCGAGCTGGCAGAATCGTAATCGCACCGTGGTGGGACCATTGCTCCGCGCCGACCCTAATCGCAATGGGTCTAGCTCGGCCGGTGGTCAAACGTACTATGTACCGCAGGGGATGCCGGTAGGGCCTCATCCGGCGTTGAAGGGTGGGGATCGGCGAGAACCAGGATTCAAGGCGCAATTCAAGGACGCATATCAGACCCGTATGTCCGCATGTGCCCGCTGTCGGGGTGAAGCTCATTTGCAGAGCGGAACTGGATGCAGGGCGGGCGAGTCCTCAAACAATTCATCGCTGTCTCTGAAGATGATGGCGTTGTCACCTCCCTCGCTATCAACAACCACTGCATGATCGTCGGGATGGCCAACTCCAGGATACACATCTTTGACGCCCCTACTGCGCGGTACAAGTGTACTCTTGTCGGCCACGAGCGGGGCGTATGGACGCTGGTGCTCGTCTCCCCGTCCACGCCGGAACCGGGTGATGATGACTACCCTACCTCATCCAGTAGCCGATACTCGACGCCTATGCCGGCCACCGGGCACAGCTTCTCCCGGACAGCAGGTGGCGGACGCGCAAGCACGCGGTATCGAGACGACGGGCTGTCTCGGCGGGCGAGCACCGGTGCAGGGATCACGTCCTGGCAGACCCCTCCGACCCAGTCGCCCAACCCGAATCCCCAGGCGGAATCGGTGTATACCTATCAGCCCCCAATTATGGGCTTTGATCCGACCGCACCGCCTCTTCCGTCCGCCGGACCCAGTTCGGCGGGGTATGCGGTCGGCCCAGCTCCGACGATCGGTGGGTTTGGGGTGTACAGATCGGCGTCGTCAGCTGCGACGATGCAGGAGGGGTCGACGTGGGTCGCTGGACCGCCAGGGATGGGCGGAACGGCAGAAATTCCACCGTCTGGCGGATCCGGCGGAAGTGGGAGCAGCGGTGGAAGCGGATCTGGAGGGGAAGGGGGAGGTAGGGAGAAGACGGTACATCCCACGAAGAGGACGAGGAGCTCGGATGTTTGTGGTTCGGCGAGAGGGTGGGCGGAGAAGGGGATGGGGTCGCGGCATTTGGTCGTCAGTGGAGGATGCGATCGGCATGTCAAGGTGTGGGATGTTGCCACTGGGTAAGTCGAGCTTTCTTCTTTCGGCGACTCTGACTTGCCGATACCTCCTTTTGGGTCAAAAGGCTGGCGCAGCTCATCACATCCATCCTCTTCTGCCTCCACCATCATTATTATTTCTCGTCCTGTATCAATGACCTCCGGGCCCTTTCCCTCGTCCCGCAACCTTTACTTCGTTTTAGTAATGCCCCTTGGTCCCTCAGCTAACCCGCAGAAATTGCATCCATTCTCTTGCAGGACACGACTCGACCATCCGCTGCCTCAAGGTCCTCGACCGGCGCCCCATCGCCATCTCCGGCTCGCGGGACAAGTCGCTCCGGGTTTGGGACATCCACAAAGGGGTGCTCCTCAGGCAGTTGGTCGGGCATACGGGCAGTGTGAGGTGTGTGGAGGTTGCGGGGCAAATGGCTGTTTCGGGGAGTTATGATAATACCGCAAGAGTGAGTTAAAGTCAGGCTGTATGGGTATGGACAAGGCTGGGTAGGAGAGGGAGCAGGTAAGAGGAGATGGTGATCGTATTATATTTAGGAGGGATTCAGGCGGGCTGAATGGCGCTGGACTTGTAACATAGCGAGTCGATCGAGCGTGGACTGTGTTGAGCGCCCATCCGAAGCCATGACGGAGGCGGAGACACGACACGAGGTATTTCAGCTGACGAAACAGGTCTGGAACGTCGATACGGGAGACTGCATCCACGTCCTCCACGGTCACTATCACCAGATCTACTCCTGCGCTTTCGACGGAGAACGAATCATCACCGGCTCATTAGATTCGACGGTCCGCGTCTGGAGCGCGGCTACAGGGTACGTCCTGTCTCAGTCCCTCCGCTTGCCATCCAGCTGACCTTCAGCGACTGCCTCGCCCTTCTTCAAGGCCATACCTCCCTCGTCGGTCAGATCCAGCTCATAGGCGACCGTCTCTTGACTGGCGGGTCTGACGGGCGTGTCATCGTCTTTGACCTCTCGACATACGAATGCCTCCATCGACTCTGCGCGCATGACAACTCAGTCACCTGCCTGCAGTTCGACGACCGGTTCGTCATTTCGGGCGGGATGGACGGGCGGGTCAAGCTCTGGGATATTAGGACAGGGATGTTCATCCGGGAGTTGACAAAGCCGTGTACGAGCGTTTGGCGGATAGGGTGTAGGGATGACCGGGTCGTCATTCTCGCGCAGAGGGGGACGAGGACGGTATTGGAGGTGTTGACATTTAGACCAGGGGAGGTCATGGGGAAGACGCTGGAGGTGTAGATGCGAAGTACAAGTTGGTAGAGGGGTGCTACGACCGGGTGCGGGTGGTGTAGTGGAGGGGAAGGGCGGGGAACTATCGTGCTTTAACATAAACTTGCTTGTTCAATTAGTAATCATATTTCAACTTAGAATAGACCTCAGGTCCATGTATCTCACTCACGCTTAGCCCGAAATCTGCAAGAGCAGTACTGACCATGCGAGCGAGACACAGGAAGGGAAAAGACGCGCTAGTCCGGGCAGCTGACAATGTCACAGCCGTACTATGCGCTCCACCTGGAGAAACGAGCGGAATAGAGTTCGCGCGGTATCGTACATATCGAGATTGAGCACATCCCAAGGACTAGGCTTTGACTTCCTTACAGGTATCAGGTATACAGCAGCCGGCTGGGTAGGGGAGCACCATCCCTCGCTTGGTACAGTATGCTGGTCCAAAGGGTCGCTCATACCTAGAGAGGGGCCACAGTATGGAGGTCGTGAGTGGGCCGATAGGCTGCAGCAGCTGCTGGTCGACACGAGCTCGCTGGATCCAGGTGGTGACGTAAGCTGTTTCAGATTTGGACCACGTGGTCACCGGCTTTGAGGAATGCGGTGGAGGTCGGCCTCCTTGATGCGTCCGTGCTCGGATCTCTTTCTGACTTTGCCTCTCTACCTTCTCCTCAATCTTCCTTCCCCTTCACTCTCTCGCCACCCGGCACATTGTCATATAGCGTTATCACTCATCCTTCATCACCTCCCACTAGGCCCAGGGGTCGCCAGAGCAGGATCAGAGACCCCAAACAAGGTGAGTGATGTGCTTTCATGCAGCCTGATCTGCGTGAGAAGAGGAAGGCAAGGATGAGGTTGTAGTGCGGCGGGGTGGCGAACATGAGGTGGTATGTTCAGGGATGTCCTCGCCTCGCCGCTAGTCCGCCTTGGTTCTTCACTCCCCCTTTCACCCACTCCAAAGAGTGATGGAGCTGCCGGAAAGAGCAGGCGCAGTGGTAGCCTCCGTTCTCGTCAGCTTTCTCGGCCTCCTATCTTTCAGCACTTCTCACATCCTCCTTCCTTCCTTTCCTCTTCCCCGGCTCTGGGTAGCCTTGGCTCGCACTCATCCCCCCACTCGTTGTTCGACTCGCGCGTCGTCACGGCCAGGCGCACTCGCTCCTACCTCAAACAAGGGTGGACTTCTGTACTACTGATCTCTATGCCTTATCACCACCCTCATGCCAGAATAAGCTGACAGACCAGTATACGCTCCCAGGGGAGTACCTCTAGTGTGGTCCCAGCTTTCGCGAGATCGCTCAAGACAAGCGTCAGTGTCTCTTCTCCCCCTCTTTAACCGTTCTGTCTTCCTTCCTCCCCATCACCTCAGTGGAGAGTCGCTGATGAGTAGTCTTCACATACCAGCGATAAGCCTGTATACCTTCACGGTCGATGGAGAGGAGAGGAGCCCAGCAGGTCGGTCAACATCATGCGGGTTGGTGCGGGTTAGCTCCCTTGGTCGTGAGCTGATATCGGACAGATCTTCCAGCCTTCCCTCTTCGATACCCATTCAGCATACTGACGCCTATCATGTCATCTCCCATGCCTACCGGGCACTTTCGTTTAAGCATGAAGACTCGAGTTACTAGTCCGGAGGAGGAGGCCGAGGCCGAGGTGGATGATCGCGATTTCCAGTTCACGCCTTATGAGCTAGGTGCTGGAGGTACGTCTTTCATCCCGGGCTGCTAGATCACGCTCTGATTGCTTCTGATCTCACGTGCAAACTGCAGCTAAAAATTCAGGTCGTGCCCAACCCATCTACAAGCGCCCCACTGCCCCTTCCTATCCGCCCGGGAAGCCAAGTCAGCCAATGGCACCGCCTGCCTCAAAGCCTGTCCCTCCCTACAATCCACAACGTTCCTCCAACGCCCCGTCTATCGCAATGTTCCCCAGGACGAACCAAGCCCGAAATGGTCATGCCCCCTACCTCCATCCTGGTCCCTTTGGTCCATCCCACCAAGACGCCCCCGACGCCCGCCCGGAACGGAACTTCCGCCCCAATCCAGCTTCATCGCATCATCAGAATCCCCTACCACCAGCGAGGCAGACAGCAAATCGGACGCGGTCACACTCAGTAGCCACCTCAGGAGAGCATATTGCAGAGGATCCGGTCGACATCGCTGCCGCGTCTCGCTCACGAGCGAAGACGCCCACTCCGAGCAAGGTGCAGTCTACTCCAAACCGCAGTCGGTCAAACACGTCGAACGGTCACTATCCTTCTCATCCAATGGCCGAATCTCGGAACGATAATACGATGATGACTCCAGCTCGACGCGAAGCGCCTCCGGACCAGCTCACTCCACTTCCCACGTCAAACTTCTTCGACAACATCGAAAACAGAGAGTTCAACGATTCTCCTTCTGAGCCACTTCCCATCATACGTCCGACCTACCAAAGGCGCCCGTCCGTCTACAGCAATCAGGCTCAACACCCCACCACAGCCTTGCCTACTCCGCGGCGGCCCGATTCTCCTCCTGCCGACTACAGGGCGAGTGTCGCCTCCTTTCGACCTCCATCTCCGATTCAACGCCCTCGGTCGTCTTTCGCCGAGACCGCGGCGGCGATGGAGCGAAAGTTGTTTGAGGGCGAGGAGAAATGGAAAAGAAGCGTGAGTGAGGCCGTGCTTAATGGGAGGTACGGACACAAAGCTGATAAGGCAGGAGAAGGAGAATGAGGAGATCACTAGGAAGTGGGCGGAGGAGCAGACGAAGAGCGCACAGCTTATGCAGGAGGTCGAGGAGGCTCGCGAGCAGATCAAAGAGAAAGAGAGGCGGGAGAGTGAAATCCGAGAAAGTAAGCGCCTGTCGCTGGCGAATGCAACCAGGGCCATTGAGGCCATCAAAGCCAAGTGAGTACCTTCTGCCTCCATATCAATGAGAGATCTCAGCTGATGAGCAGAGCGGAGCAGGTCGACCGAGACCATCAGGCGCTCCTGGCCATACCCAAGCCTGCTGCACTGCAGGAGTTCGATGAGCTCAAAACACGCTATACGGAGGTGACCTCGGCTATGCAGGCGGTCATGCCCCCTACTCCCTCTGGATCGCAAGACGAGAACCAGGAGAACCAGCAACATTCACTCTGTACGTCGATCGCCTCGATCTGGATATGGAATGTAGCTGACCGGACAGCCTATAGATCCCTGCTCGCTGCCCACGAAGATGCCACTCGCCGAGCCAAGGACGCTGCCTCACTGGCCAGACAGGCGGCGGAAGAGCTCGTAAAGGCTGAGCATGAGAACAAGACGCGCGAGTTACCGTCTTCGCTGAAGAGATCGAAAGGAGCTTACGACAGTGCGGGCCGATGCCATCACTCTCAAGTCTGATCTCCACCTCGAGCGCGTCAAGAACGAGGCAGAAGTGGACAGAGTGTAAGCTCCTCTATTTAGTATGGCCGAGGAGTATACGTGGCTAACGATACAGTCGGAAGATTCAGGAGGACTACGTGTCATCTCGCAAGAAGTGGAGTGACGACCTCCAGGACACTGAGCGGAGGATCAAGGAGTGAGCTGCTTGTTTGCGCCGTGGTTGTCCATGCTGATGAGTCAGGATGCGAGCGGACTACCACCAGAAGTTGCCGGAGCTCGAGACTTTGATTGCTGCAAAGACTCTTAGCAAACATGAGCTCGACACCAAAACCAAGGAGTAAGTGCCTTCCCGGCCGTTAATGCATTCCCAAACTGACAGCCAGATGCGAGGCATTCCAAATCAATCTCGAGAGTCTTCAAGCGCACGCCGATCACCTACAAGATAACCTCGACAAAGCCATCGAGTACCTGCAGCGCGCTGGGGTCGCCGATGAGGATGGGGCGGTCAACGAAGAAGCGATCGAGAATTATCAGACGCTCAAGGAGGAGTACGAGAAGGAAGCAGAGGATCTGCGGCAAGCTCTGCACAAGCTTGCCCAGGAGCACAGCACGTGAGTCGACTTTGTGTCCAGGCGAATCGTCAAGCTGATGGGCAGTGCGGCGGAGAAGATCGCCGGACTGGAGGACAACGTTGCCAGGCAGGAGAAGGACCTGGAGGGCGCTGCTCTTCGGGAGCAAAGCTCGCAGGAAGCCGCAGATGAGGTGTTCCTGCTCCGGACTAGGGTGGTGGAGGTCGAAGCGGAGCTCAAGGCCGAGAAAAGCAAGGTAGAGGCGCTTGAGCGTGGCGATCAGACAATGGGCAGAGAGGTGCAGGTTAGCATACTTATATCTCCGCCTCTCCTCCAAAGGTACGGTCAGCTGACTGAGCAGAGTATGCAGAACCAACTCAATCTTGCGAATGCCACCGAGACTAAGATGCGAGCTACCATCGATACCCACATTGTCAGTCCGAACCCTCAGTCCTGGCAGATGTATCAAGCTGACTCATTAGGCGGGCGCTAGGAAGTCCGAAGTCGAGATCAAGAGCCTCAAGGACAAGCTTGCATCGCTGGAGCAGCAGATTAAGCAGCAGGTGAGCAACTCCCAACTTCTCTTACTGAGCGACTCGACTGACTCTCGCAGAAAGCCACCTCGCCTGTCTCGGCCGGCGTCGAGCGGGAGCTCCGGGCTCAGGTATGTCGTCCTCTCACTTGATGCGTACGGCGCTGATCATCAGCTTGCTAAGTCCCGTGAAGAGATTGTGACGTTGAATGCGGGCATCGCTAGTCTCGAGTCGGACGTCATGGGCGCAGAAGAAGGCGAGACTATGCGCAAGATGGAGATTGAGGGGCTAATTGCTACTGTGAGTGCTGTCGTCAAGTGCTGGTGCAAGGTAGCTGATTCTTGCAGAAGCAGAGACTGGAGTCGGAGCTGCAGGAGGCCAAGGACCAGCTCGAGATCGCCGGCGTAAGTGCATGGCACTCTTCCGGTCCTTCGAATCCAGAGCTGATCATCAGAGCACACAGGCTGTCCAAGCTTCCACTACCGAATTGGAAGACAGGATTGCCGGTCTCGAGGAAGAGAATACCAAGCTGCGCAAGGCGGCAGCGGAGAACGATGATGATGTCGAGGAGAGGTATCATATGGACCAACTCGTGAGCGAGTCCGCCCAGGAAAGACGTTGGGTTGAAGCGGAGCTGACTACACAGACTGCGAACGAGGCCAGTGAGTGCCCGCCATACTCGTTGGGATTGTAGCTGACTCGTTGCAGAAGCTATTCAGATCGCCCTGAAGATGTCGGAAGGTGAGTGATCAGCTGACCATTCTACTGGTAACGTCCAGAAGGCTGCGAGACTGAAGCTGACCGGTATAGCGGTGTATGCTGAACGCACCAGAGACAAGGGTAAGCGCTTTTGGTATATCGAAGACTGATAGCTGATGGTGCAGATGATGAGCTATCCAAGGTATTGCCTCACCTGATTCGAGAGGGACCCTTTCTGACGGACTTAGCTGAGGAAGACCGTCGAGGGAATCAAGAAGGACCTCAAAGCCACCCAGAAGGTCAACCGGGATCTGCAGAAGCAGAAGGAGGCGGGCGCGGGCTCGCCTCTGACCTCCCCTCCGCCATCCCATCAGGTATGTTGTGCACCCAGCGCCAATCTGATCCGCTAATGTTCAGAGCTGACACCGCAGGCGAGTCCCGACAAGACCTCCGCCGCTGGTCCTTCGAAGCCATCCACCTCGAGCAGCAAGACGAGCGACTCGACTGCCGCCTCCGGACGAGTCACCAAGAAGATCCGCTTCGACGTACCTACTCAAGATAACGAGCCGAAGGGATCGAGCAAGATGACGACTGCCTCATCCTCGTCGCGGCCGAAACAGACGCTCGCTCAAGATATTGCGCAGCACAGCGACCCCATCCAAACCCTCAGCAGTCCCAGCCAGCCCATCGCCGGCTCGTCCAACTCCGCTTCGGTCGCTGCTGCAGACACTGCGGGACGCTCTACTGGGGGAAAGAACAAGCTGAACGCCAATGGAAAGGTATGTTTCTTGCCAGGAGCAGAGCTGATGCCCAGCGCCGATGTGTTGATTCGGAGGACGATGATGTATACGCCCCTCCCAAAGCCAGCACCAAGAAGACCCCGGGCAACAAGAAGACCGCCAAAGCGTCCGGATCGAAAGCCGCCGCCACCAAGAACAATGCCAAACCTGCGGCCGCGTCAACCGACCGCCAGACTCGGGCCACCTCTCGGACGCCCTCCTTCTCGCAGCTACCGCCGGCATCGTATCCGCTCCCGCCCGTCACCCAAAACCCGTCAAAGACTCGGCCCGATCGCGGACGCAAGCCGGCGAAAGTCCAGGAGGAGGACGAGCTGGAGGAGGATTGAGCATTGGGGCGCAGAGTAATGAAGGTTGTACGGCAAGTGTACATAGAGGGAGTGCGAGTAGTCATTTCATGTGCTGGGCGTTATCATGTGCTGGAAGAAATGTGTAGGAGGGAGGAGCTAGCTATCATGTCTCTGTATATATCATGCATCAGTTGTACATACGAACGTCCGACTCCACATTGCACTTGGCAGCGCAGACGAATACACTCATGCTGGGTCCAGGACGACGATGGAAGATACACTGCATGAGATCCCGGAACCTTTTAAGCCCCGTTTGATCTACCTCTATGCTTCCCGCCTGCCGCTCACACCGCGGGTTGTCTTCTCCAAGAAACGCGCACAATCGACAATCAGCTGCTCCCGATCCCACTCCCCTCTTGCTTTCCATATCCGCCCAAACAGTCCCGCCCGGAGGTGCTCCAGCTCCTCGATTGTGAAGCTCTTGGTGTCACGAGTGAGGGCTTCCCTGAGCATGCGGAACTTGTCTGCCGGGAGGACAAAATCAGGATAGACCGGAGCGGGTGGAACGGGTTGGGATGAAGGGCCGGCCATGGGAGCTGGGACGGAGGGGCCCGATTCGGACGCTGAGCCGGAAGTGGGAACGGATAGGCTCGATTCCTGTGGCTCGACAGCGATGGCTGGAGTTTCCGCCGATGATGTCTGCGTCGAGGTCTCTCCTTCTCCCTCCACCCGAACCCGCTTCTCGGTATGCCCATCCTGTACGCCATCCGTCATTTCCACGTCCTCGCCATCCTCCCTTGCCCTCTTCTTGCCCTTATCAACCACTTCTACCTCCTTCTCCCCCTGATCTCCCTCCTTCTCCTTACTCCGCAGCTTCTCCCTATCTTCCCGCCGCTTCTGCATGCGTTCCGCATACGCGTCAAACTCGGGCATCCACCTCGGATCAAACTCCGCCACATGGAGATACGCATGGCTGACCAACTCTGCCACTTTGGTCTGCCGGTCGACATCTCCTAGCTTGTCCGCATTCGCCTTGATCTTGTCCACGTCCGCGAGGAAGTCGGACGGACGGCAGTACTTGTGCTTGGCGAGCCGACGGGCGAGGGTGTCGGTGTCGACGTCATGTGGCGTCCAGTCTGGACCGGAGGGGGTAGTAGTGGCAGTGATGGTGGTAGTGGGGAGTGTGGAGGGAAGGTCGGTGATTGCCGAGGAAGTTTGGGTAGGAAATAGCGCCTGACCGGACGATGTCTGTTGGCTTCCCGCTTCCGTGGAAGAAGTGAGGGGTTGCGAGCTCGACATGGCGATGTCAAATGCGGGGGGCTCCAGCTCGGCGAGAGGAAGTGATCGGGTCCGGGTCATAGCGAAAGGTGTGCTGCCCTGAGTGGCCGGGGTGATCTCAAGCATGGGCACGTCGACGGTGGGGTCCGTCTCGGCCGGCGCTGCTGCAGCCTCTGCAGCCATTTCCGCTGCGCGCTGCACGAGCGCTGCGTGTACAACAAAAGCATCCTCCTGAAGGCATCAGCAACGTTCCAGAGTCTTCCTCGATGACTACTCGTCTCCCGGCGCTGCCTGGTGAAAGACACCCAGTAACGAGTCCCAGCGATAACAGATGGAAGCTTACCTTGACACTCAGCACGATTCGCTTATACTTTCTCCCAAACTCAGCCACCAGCGACGTGAAGCTCAACACCATCATATTCCTCGCATTCAAATCTCGCTCGCGCTCCTTTGCTACTTCTGCCTCGGTGGGCAGGCGCGCCGGAAGTGGGGGAGCGAGGGGTAATTGCTCGAGTACGCGTGGCCGGCGAGGGAGGGCGTCGGGCCACGATGATGGAGGTAGAGCGATCTGGGCGAGGAGGGGAGCAAAGTAGGCAGTACGCTCGGCCTGAGGGGTCAGCTACACTCCGACACTACAACATTGCCGGATTGGGCAAGGAGGGATGGGAAGAAACGAGTCCGCCATCCTCGGATCGAATTATAGAGGCAGGGAAGTGTTGGCTCACTTCAGTCGGCAACTCCAGCATCACCTCACTTTCCATCTCCCAGCCAAACCAACTCCGGACCTCTCCGTCCAGGTTCTCAGTCTCCGCCACTCCCAGCAGCAGCACCGGCTCGCTAGGCGCGATACCATCCAACAAGGACTTGAAGGTCGACTTGGCGCTGTCCGATAAAGTGGCGGACCACGAAACAAGGGAGGGGATGTAGAGGATGGACGGCTGGTGTCGCTTCGCTTCGATGAAGAGCTGTACGAGGGCTGCTTCGACGGTCTACAGTGGTCAATTGAAGTTCACAAAAGTAGTCGTCCGAGCAAGAAGCTCGGTCGAGACTGGCAGAGAGAGAAGAAGACAGTAGACCAGTAGAGGCGGATCGAAGACAGCGGACTTACTCGGCTAGAATCTCCCAGCAAGACTCCAAGATCAAAGTTCTGTACGTGGAACCCCTCAAGATGATGCAAGATCGCCGGACCGAGGTAGGCCTGCCCCATCCCGCTTTGGCCAGTGACGAGTAGACGAGGGCGGTAGGTGCGCATCTTGTCGAGGTCTGAAGTGTGAGCTGATCCTCTTCGTCAAAATTAGTTCGTTGGCCGCCGACTCCGCTATCGCCGTAAAGTGCTCTCAACCTGCCCACTACTTGCTCCGCCTCCACCTCGAGCTCCTGAAGAGCATATCCCACCTCCCTGCCCCCGCATCGCTCAATGATCTGGATTTTCCAGCCGATCGCAGAACTCACTCTGCAGTATCTCAGCCCCCTCGAACCCCGCGCCATCCTCCTCCCACATCGCCTCCTCCAACGCCGTGGTGCTCTTATGCCTCGGCAAGACTTCATCTACCGCCTTCTTGAGCCGATCAAGCGGGGCCGAGAGAAGCGGAACGAGGTGCGGGGCGAGAGGGACAGCAGTGGATGTTGTGCTTCGAGCTGAGGATGGGACTATTTCTGAAAGGATCAGCGAGGTCCTACTTTTACTGAGCCGCGCAGAGGCGTTGAGGAACGGTCGGTTCGGGCATGAACATGTAGAGCTTGACTCACTCTTGACAGACATCAGAAAGTCCTTGGCCTGGACGCGTATACTGCCCGTATCGAGCAAATACCGATCGCTAGACTTGTAAATCTGGGGGTATCGTCTCTGAATAGCGTTCAAGGCGGCTTCGGTGCAGAGTGCCTGTGGGATCAGCTCTGATTTCTGCGGCGCTTCCTGATCATCCACCCTGTTCCCTCCGACCACCGCCCTTCTCATTCCAGTCCAGCCAGCAGGAGCCGTAGCTTGTCTCCTCGAGCGTCCCCAGAAGCGGATCATCACCGCCCGGAAGACACTAGATCCAGCAATGACGGTCCTCCACAGTCATTACTTCGGCCTCGTCCCGCTCTCCACGCCATCGATCTTTTTCTCTTCCTTCACACCCTCCTTGCTCATCGACTCCGACCAGAACCAAGCCTTAGTACTCACCCGCATATCCGCTCCTCCATACCCCTTCGTAGCCCCCGCCAACATCTCTACCACCCCTTCCTCCAAGGGCGGATCCCAGACCCTCGTATTGATCTTGATAATCTTCTTTCGGGCCTCCTTGTTGGGTAAGGGAAAGTAGAATTCACGGTCGAATCGTCCTGGACGGCGCAGGGCGGGGTCGACCGAGTCGGGGCGATTGGTAGCTCCGATGACAATGACTTGGCCTGCGGGGTCAGCGTCGGCCCCCGAAATTTCCTTAGGAGTAGAGACAAGGAACCGTGGAATATAACATGCTGAATGCGGGGCAGCCTGGGAAGCAAAGTACCGCTCGCAGACCAGGGGCGGCTGCGTGCCGGGCCATGACTCGAGGGCGCCAGTAAACCGGAGAACTGGCATAGGCGAAACCCGACGACTTACCTCTTCCGTCCATACCATCCATCAAAGCCAATAAGGTCGATACCAGACTGGCATGGATCTGATCCTGCTTCGAGCTTCGCACGGGCGCCAAACCTATTTGTCAGCTCCAGCTACTGCTTCCTCTTCTTTCCCCCAAATCTCGTTCTCCTTGACTATCCGCTTTACCATCTCCTCCGCCCTCTTTGTCCAGTACTCCGCTGGTCTGCTCCTCCCCGTTTTTGGCTCTGATCCCGACGTCTGAACCCAAATAACCGTCCCGCAGTCCCTGCTTCTGCGCCAGGTCGCCGGCCTTACTCATGCCAACTTTTCCACGTCGCCCTCTCCCCGTTCCTTGTCTCCGCACACAGTGAAAATATGGCGCCACTCACCGTCAATCTCGTCGAAAAAGATGATACTAGGCTGCGCCGCCCTCGCTTCCTCAAACAACATCCGGAGCTGCCTCTCCGCCTCGCCCACCCATTTCGAAAGCACATCGGCACCTTTGCGCATGAAGAAGGCTGCGGGGTCAGCGGGCTTTTGCAGTATTGAAGAAGTTTTGAGTGGGGTGGAGGAGGGATGGATTCGAGTTGCTGGACGATGTTGGCGTCGAGGATGGGAGGAGGTTGAGGGCAAGAAGGTGCAGGAACCGAGGCGAAAGCACTTCCGCGGTCTACCGAACATGCAGAGGGAAGAGCTCATAGGAAGTGTGGTGACTTACAGATCTTGGTATTGCCATTACTGCACGAAGCCGCCAACGCCCTCGCCAGGAGTGTTTTACCTGTATATCAGCAATGGTACAGGAGCAGAGAAGGTCCGGAGGCATAGCAGAAGCCGAGTATTGGCGCAAGAGGGCGTAGCAGGATGGAGGTGGATGCTCGGAATACAAGCAAGCGCAAAGCTCAGCCCGCGGCCGGTCGCGCACACGCAGCCGGGTAGAGGAGCGGCGGAGCAAAATCACCGCTCGACCAGCAAAGTAGGAGAAGGAGACATACCTGTTCCTGGTGGACCGTGAAATAGAACGCCCCTAGGCGGGGTGATCCCGAACTGCTGGAACACCTCAGGATAGAGTAGAGGGAGAGCCACCATTTCTTTGAGCTGGTCGATGTCTGCAAGTCAGCGGTGCTCTCATCATTCGGCAGCAATGATCAGACTGAGCGTATCGGAGGGAGAGGAAAGTGGACGAAAAGGAGTGAAATGATGAGCCCAGGTGAATGGGCTGCCACCCGCCTGAAGAAAGAAGTCCATCAAAGCCTCGGAAAGGCAAGAGTAGACTCACGTCCGTCCAAACCACCGACATTGTCAAAAGTGACATTCATGTCCACTCCGAGCGGGTCCGCATCTGCTGTAGCTGCCCGAGTCAGCTCAAGTCATGTTTTCACCTTTCAAGAGTCCGCTAGGCCGCTGGTGGGGAATCCAGATGTTCGTCTCCTTCTCCTATCGGGAGTTCACTTCAATCCCCTAGCGGTCCCAACAGCTCTCCTCCCCTCCTCCCGATCACGGCCAGACATCTCCTGACTCCAGCCTGCATCTTCCCAATCTCACAGAGCCATGTCGTCTCCGACCCCGATGAAGGGAGAAGCTCAACTCACAGCTCTTGGGGTTGATCCTTCCAAAGTCCTTCACATCGGTCGGTGCCGAGACTTTTGGTCCACCGACTAGTCCTACTCCGCCTGAGGGGCCGCCCGTACCGGAAAGGGCGGAGGTGCTGGCTTTGAGGGGCGGGAGAAGGTCGTCCTGATTGTCAGTGGGGGATTCTTACGAGAAGGATGCGAGTCAAGTGGTTCGGTCTGCACTAGCGAATCGGTAAAGCCCCGGTGGGACGACACAGAGAGAGGGGGTGAAGGGGATGGGAAAGGACAAGAAAGGTCGGCAAGAGAATACAAGCAGAAGCGGAGGAAAAGCTCACAGAGTCACTACTGTCCGCACCCCCAGCCATGCCGGCCAATCCCCCACCCAATCCCCCCGCCCACCCTCCAGACCCCTTCGGCCCAAACCTCACCCCTCTCCCTCCTCCCCCTCTCGCTCCGCCCAGACCCATACCCATCCCTCCTCCGGCTCTGGCAGCTCCATTCGGCCGACTCGCCGCCTGAATAGAGTCCACCAATTCCGCCTGCCGAATCTCGGTCGAAATATCCGCTGGGGGTAGTTGATAATTGACAGGCGCACGAGTCCGGAGGTTTCGTTTAGGCCGACCACCGTACGCCTCTTCATCATCGTCAGAATCGTGTCGGGCCGGTTGGGTTCTGGTGGATCTGCGCAGGCCGCCTCCGCCTCCGTTCGTAGCGGCCGATCGGACATTGACGACCACTCTTCTCCCCCCTCCCCCGCCTCCTCCGCCGCCGCCGCCATTCCTCCTTGCCGCGGGCGCCCGACTCGACCTCGTCCTCCTTCCATACGCCATCCCGTCGTCTTCTTCATCATCATCATCGTCCTCCACATAGTCCCTCGCGAGCGGATCGTCTGACCCGTCGTGCCCACCCTCAATGTCCGACGCCCCAGATCCACCAGACTGATCAGGCTGGAAAGACTCGGCATCGGCGGAGGAGTTGCGGGATTTCGAGGGTGTAGCCGGAGCTTGAACATGAGCTTTCGATCGGGTCGCTCGACCATTCCCGAGTCCGTTTGCATAGACCGATGCGATAGGTAATTCCGGGATAGGAGCCGAAGCCATAGAGTTCCGAGATTGTCGAGGAGGGAACGATTTCCGGGGTGGGTTCGACGGGATGCCTCTTCCTGCTGCATAATCGCCTCCTTCGTCCCCGTCTCCGTCCCCATCGCCGTCCGAATCGGGATCGGCTACCCTCCTTCTCGTCGTCCGTCCACCCCTGCCTGTCCTTGCGCCAAGAACCGGACTGACCTCCTCCACCTCGGCATACCGCTGAGCGGGCTTTCGGTCCCTACTACTCCTCCGGCGCCCTTCATCCTCTAGAAGCGGAAGATGCCCGTTCGCCGCGCCGTGGACGCCAATGTCGAGATGTCCCTCGTCTTCCCCTCCATCAATCTCATCTTCCCCTTCCTCCTCATCGTCATCATCTTCGTCCTCATCCTCCGCCTGAATATGGAGTTGCTGGGCCGCTCGCTGCCCCGCTCCGCGCTGAGGCCGACCTGAGCCGCTCGCGGCGCTCCCAACTGATCCACTGTCCCCATACAGAGCTTCACGCTTGACCGTCAAGCTGATGCTGCGCCCACCTGTTCGCCCTCCATCGGGAATTCCACCTCCTCCACCGCTCGCACCGGCATTGCGGGATGAATGCCGCGTTGCCATTTCTCCTGCGCTTCCTGGAGGCGGCCCGGCTGTAGTTGGTATCTGAGCTGGAGGGACGTGCTTCCCGATCCTCAGTACGACCTTTTGCGTTTTTGCAGCGCCCGCTTGTACTGGCGGAGGAGGAACGGGCGATATGGATCCGGATCCGAGGGAGGATGAAGGTGGAGGAGGCTGGAGCGACAGATTGGCAGGATTGATCCCTATCGATCCCGAGTACTGCTGCTGTGGTTGAGAGTACTGATCCCCGTTCGAAGCGGGGAAGTATGGGTGATTCGCCGAGGGCGCAGGACTGACCGAGTACGCTTGTTGGGGATGGGGAGGAGGGTACTGCGGGACAGGCGAGACGATTGGCTGTTGCGGAGGACGCTGAGGCGACAATTGAGGTGGAGGGAGATTGTACCCACCCGATGGAGAGACAGAAGCGTAGTAATTCTGGGAAGGGACGTAAGGGCCCTGGTGTCCCTGATTAGGGTCGTGATAGGGATAAGAGGGATCGCTGGGACCGGCCTGGGCGTTATAAGCCGGATAGTAAGGCTGAGCGGGTTGCTGAGGCGGGTAGTCTTGGATAGGAGCGTAGTACGGAGACTGCCCGTGTCCACCCTGCTGCCCTCCTGGGTGGCCGTAAGGATAGTCTGATTGATTCCAGCCTTGTTCCGCCGGGCCTCGGGACATGAGGCACCCCGGGGTGCTTGTCGACCGTTAGTCGACTGCTTGCTAGCTGCACGTGGAGCTGTGCGCTATTTAAGTGAGGGATGGAGCGAGTGCTCTGTAAGATGAGTGGATGGGCAGGCAGAACGCGAATTCCGCGCAATTGTCAGCTTGAGACGCGTCGCGCACACAAGGGGAAGTGACGCGCCTAATTACCGCTAGTCGACGCGCCTAATTTTGCAGGGGCGCTGTCGCCTATCTCGCCTTAGGCCAATATTATTAGGCGCAAAGGCGACTTGCCTCTGTGGACGGCTGCGGGGACGTCGCTGAGATTATACTCTTTCAGCCTGTTCCGGAGCCCGTGGTAGATACATGTTATAGCCTGATAGGTACTCATAAGACGTTCTGTACCTCGTACGTATCCAAGCGTGATAATGACTCGAAATATTTGACCGCTGCAACTTAACTGAGAATGCGATAGCTGACGATTCAGCTTCCCTCAACTCCTCTTAGCTCGGATCACAGAACCTCAGAGTTGCGAGGTCTGCGCCGGGCCATACACCTCACTCGCAATCGCTACCAAAGATACCGTACGATGGATCCATCACAGCCATCTGGCACCGGAGAAGCGTCAAATCCTGTTCCAGCGGCGGCACAGGAATTCGATGTGGAAGATGTCGATCCGTTAGAGCAGCTGGAGGAGCTTAGGACGTATGAGGGGATCATGGCGGGTCATGTCTGGCCAATCGATCGGTCAGAGGCGGAAGCGGCTCTGTCACGGGCGGAGATGGGAGGTCAGGCTTCTACGGAGGGAGGCACAAACGGGGAAGAAGGGCCGATCCGTCGCAGAGGAAGGGGATTCGCGCACTCCCCTCCGTCCGGGTCTTTCGTTTTCATCCGCCCAGCGAGCGGTAGCACCAACCCGGTCGAAGGCTCCAGTGCCAATGGCATCGCACCGCTCCAGCCTCCCGCAGCCTCCTCATCGTCCCAACCTATTCCCGGTAATAATCCAACGTTAACGACCCTCGCAGCAGATCAGGAAAGCAGGCCTGCCAGATCGGGATCTGCTGGAAGCGCCTTTGCTCGCTTGTCCCCGTATGCTGGTCCATCGGGCTCCTCGGGTAGCGGGTCCGGAGCGGGCGTCGGGACAGGCTCGGGATCTCGAGCTCTGGTCGGCAGGTCTCACCTACTGAGCGGCAATCCGTTCACGCAAACGTCCGTCACTTGGCCCGATGGCCAACGCGGCCCATCCAGTGGGTCCAGTCGCATGCGCGCTCATCTCGGAGCTGACCGGGATCAAGATGCCCGAGGTCATCTCACCCGCGCAGAGATAACCGCAGACGCTCACGCTTTTGCGGACGCCGCCGCCAGCGCATTGAGCCGGGACGTCAGGGCAGCGCGGCGCGCTGTCACCGAGACGGCGAGGACGGCTCTGAGTGCATGGGAGGCGGTCGCAGTACAAGACGAAGCGGCAAACAGAGGTGGGGACGACGGCTTTGCTGCTGGGTATGGGACGTATGGAGCTGAGGCGCGCCCGGGAACGAGGCGGCGCAGGCGGCTACTCCAGTATGCAAGGGACGAGCTCGATCATGCGCTCAGAGACGACCTCGGAGACGATGATCATTCCGACGACGGGATGGATCTCGACGCGCCCTGGCGGAGCATGTATACGCACGATAATGGTCCTCTTCCGAATCTCGGGGACTACGGCGGAGACCATCCTTTAGGCCCGGGATACGACCTCGAGTCCGAGTCGGAGGACGAGGACGAGTATGACAACATCCCCGGGATCGGCGGTTATCGGGATGGGGCGTACGTCAGGGACCCCGAGTGGATGGCGGAAGTGGCCGAGGATGAGGGGAGGAGGCACGGGGCGATTGATCGTGGGCCATTGACTGCGAGGCAAGTGATAATGACGGAGGAAATGAGGCGGGAGGCGGAAGACCGGGCATCCCAAGACCCGCTCGACGTGATCGGTACGGCTCGGCCATCTTTCCCTCGGCGTCGGGCGGACCGTCCCCCGGGTTTCCCCTTTCAAAATTCGCCAGCTGCGGCTTCGGGTTCAGGCGCGGCCTCGGGCTCAGGGACCGGCTCGGCGGCACCGGCGGCACCGGTACCTCGAGCGCGAGTCCCACGAATGTCTCTCGGAACAGAAGAGCTCGAAGCGGAGCTAGATGCCCAGGCGCTGGAAGATGAGGAAGCGGACGAATTCGATGACGCAATCCGCAGATTGCGAGACCAAGAGCGAGCTCAGGCTGCGCGGGGAACGACGCGCGATCAAGTCAGGCAGAGATTCTCGAATATCCTCCAGGATCAGTATCCCGATCCCGAATCGAGGCCTAGCTGGATGCGGGGTATAGGAGAAGGAGCGGCAGGAGTGAGCAGGGGAGGTAACAATATGCGGAGGAGGAATATTCTTCAAGACCTTATTGCGAGGGGCCGGGCGGGCGATGCGGCTGCGTCTGCAGGGACGGGAGGTGGGGCGACGGGAGCGGCAGTCATGCGGCGAACTACGGGATCAGCGCGGACAGGACTACCGGCTACCAACCTCGACTCTGTTAATCTTATACCGCTTGTCCGGTCGACACTTCCTCTGCCCGCCAGTCAGCTCAGCACACTGGCCCGAGGTCGAGCTCGGTCAGTCGGCGCTGGCGAGGGTGAAGAAGCGGACGGACCGGCCAGCAAGCGCCGCCGGCTCGATGTGAACTCAGCTACCTCTACCACTCCGAACATCCCGTCTCGGCCGACCTACCTCTCCCACTCTACGCTGGACCCCTCCATACCCCTTCCTACGGCCTTTATCGCGCCCAAACCAGGCTCCCGACTCGTCCTTACCCTCCATACCCCAACATCACTCCCCTCTACGGTCTCCTCCTCGGCACCATCATCCGCTCCCCCCGCCACCGCCCTCGCCACCGCTTCTGCTTCTGCTGCCGCGCCCTCGCCCTCGTGGCCCCTCATTACCTTCACCTCCCATCCTCCCGCTACCAACACCGACGACGACGCCGCCCTCCTCCGTACGTCCATCTCCATCCCCCAGGGCGCCGGGGTATACTACTACGAGTGCAAGATCATCGCCTCGGGTCCGGAGGGGTACATGTCCCTCGGATGGGTATTGGCGGGCGTACATACGGGCCGGCTGGTCGGGTGGGATATAGGTAGTTGGGGCTGGCATGCGGATGATGGGCGATGCTTTGAGGGGAGTGGGATGGGGCGCGCGTTTGGAGAGGGGTGGGGAGGTGAGTTCTGTTTTCCGTCTCTTGTTGGGCGAGGGGTACCATCAGATCATGTGGAAGCCTGGAGGTCAGGGGTCTTCCATCTTTGCGGATCGTGAGACTGAATGGGTCGGGGAGCGGTGCTTCAGGCTTTGTGGTTCACACACTGTGGATATCAGCTAATCATACAGTGGGTGACACGGTCGGCGCTGGAGTCGACTTTACCACTCGCAGATCATTCTTTACCAAAAATGGCAAGCTTATCGGTGAGTTCAGCATCCGGTCATGTTACCCTTCCCCACGCCTACTACCCCAGTCTTCTCAGTCCCTGGCCGAAACCTTTCCAAGATGCCCCTAGTCATCTCACACCATCTGTCTTTCCTGCGAAATAGCTGATATCCCCAGGCCACGCATTCAAGGAGCTCCCCCTCTCTGGCCTCTACCCCGCCATCGGTCTCCGCAACCCAGGCGAAAGCATCGCCGTCAACCTCGTCGGGCCCTTCATGTACGACATCGACGCGTACACTCTGCGTATCCGGACGGGCGTCCTGGAGGAGATGCGCTCGCGTGCTGTCCGGGCCGTACCGATGATCCCCAGAGTCCGCTTCTGGGCGCCCAAGAAGCCGGAAGAGCAATTCGGGATGGGGATCAAGTTGGAGGAGACACTCCCTGGTCAAGCTCCCGAGGCTCCACCAGTCACGGTCCCGCCTGGCCAGCGTGGTCCGGCTCTGTCGATAGCCATCCCGGGATCGTTGGCGGCGGCGCAAACGAGTCAACAGGGAATGATGGCGGGCGCGGCCCAAGATGCGCAGGCAACCACACACGGCCGGACCCTGGCTCAACTTGCCGAGGTGGCCCAGCGGAACCGGGCTGCTCAGCGGGCTGCCAGCGCCTCCCCGGCGACGGCCTCAGCTGCTACACCTGCGGCGGCCCCGGCATCGGCACCTCCTGCTTCTGGCGCGCCCGCTCCCGCCGCTGAAGCGGATCTGCCCCATCCAAGCTATCGGGCTCAACTCGCTTTCGTTCTCAACCACCTCGGTCATGCGGGACACGATAAGGTCCGAGCCCTCATACTCCGGGATATCGCTAAACGCGTACACGCATCAACCGCTCGAGCCGGCGCAGCTGCCACGAAGGCATCCTCTGACGATGTTCCAGGCGAGGCGCCTCCCGCCGACAGCCCAAGCGAAGCGCCCTCTGCCGATCCTCCCAAGCCCGGCCCGACCATCGCAACCGGCGCACCGGTTCTCGGCGCAGCAACGGCCTTTACACCAGGTAATGAAGCGGCTGCACAGCGGAAACGGATCGACAACATCGCCTCGGTGCTGTTCCGCGGCGGAATGCTGCGTGGTCCACCTGGGTGGCTGCAGGGTATGGGTGCGGGAGGACTGGAAAGGCGGGTCAAGATCTCGAATTTGGTATCTCTCGCTCAGAAGGCGGGGGACGCTGCTTCATCTGTCGAGAAGGAGGGTCAACCGAGCGAGTCACATACACCGCCAGGATCCGGAGAGGAGGATGGGATGGAGGTGAATGAGGAGGCTATCAAGCTGGGAAGGGAGCTGCTCGTCACTGCCAGAGAAGAAAAGTGGGACGCGGAAGAAGTCGCGATGCTGAACCAGGCGTTTGCGCTGGTTTGCGGGATAGACAGCGCGGCTGGTGGAGCAGCAGGTGGGCAGGAAGGAGATGTATGGGCCAAGAGGCGGGCAGAGTGGAGTGAAGAGTTGAGGCTTGTACTGCGCCGTGAGTCTTCTTCCTCGTCTGGTTGTAGACTAGAGATCTGGCCGAAGTGGGCTGAATGAATGCTGATCAAGATAGGCAAATGGGGCATGTCAGACCACTCTTTCCTTCACAACTTGATCCGATACTCGCATGCCCTCACCGATGCCGTGTCGGCTGTGGATGGTAAAGGGGCGTTTGTCCGAGTGGGGGAGTTCCTCGAGGGGTATGGGATGAAGGAGGGAGATAAGAAGGGGAAGGGGCAAGATAAGGGGAAGAGGAGGGAGGTGGATGATGGGGATGTCGAGGTGGGGGATAAGGAGATGGTGGAGGTGGCGTAGAGCTGGGTTCGGATACGACTCCTGCTGGTTCTTTGAAAGAGCTAGGGCCGGAGGGGATAGAATTGGGATTCCATGTATATGTTGTCAAGTTGGGTGAGCTAACGTACATCGATCCACTGACCCGCTCCCTTCTGCCGAGCTTCGGTTGACAAGCTGATGATGTACTTCCCCAAAGGGCCGGATGAGGCACACCGTGCGCTCATAGCCTCTCAAGAAATGCTTATCTCTGACCGGATCAAGATCAAATCCGCTGAAGATGAATAGAGGGTATGGAGTATGCATTGACAGAGTAATCCACATCTCAATTGGACATCAGACATCAACCCAACTCAGCCTAGTAACCCCGCATTCCTCTTCAGGACCGACTTCAGAGTCCGCAGCTTCGAAGTCAGGCTGTTCTGCGTCGTCGGCTTCTTGGTCGACCTCGCCGACGCCTCTTCCGACTGCCTCCCCGACATGTAGTACAGCCCAGCGCCACCTGCAACAGCAGTCGCCGCCAAGCCCGCCATCGCCATCCACGGGTGCTCGCTCACCGCATCGGCCGCGCACGCCCCATAGGTCATTGACGCATCGAATCCTTTGTGCATCGCCTCCCCTGTCCAGTCGGCGGTGGCACTGTATGCGCTCGAGGCGAGGTCACTTGCCGCATCAAACCCAGTCTTGGCCATGCTCGATGCGCCGGAGTAGTAGGCGCTCGCTGTCTCGCCTGCGCCAGTCCACAAAGCCGAAGGAGATGGGAGTTCTGGGAGGTAGGACTGCAACCTCGCAAAGACGGCCTTGGCTGCCGCCGTCTGGGCCTGCTTCATCACGACGCCGAACGCTGCGGTACCTATATGAGGTGCGAGGCCTGGGATTCCGGTCTGGTTTGCCAGAGTCGGCATGCTGGTGGGAGTCTTGGGCGTGGTATCAGAGGTGTTGTCGGCTGGCGGATATGAGAACAACGCTGACGAAGTGGGATTGCTGTGCCAGTTGGTCGTGCAATTGTCGGTCTCGGGCACCAAGCTCAGCGGTGCGTGGGGAAACGCCACTGACATGATGAGGTGAGTATGAAGCGCGCGGGGGAGGGTGGTGAGTTCGGGTGTGCGATGTTGGTGTGATGAGCCTTGGCGATGAATGATGGAGGATGTGGTGTCGCGCGATGATGGGGGTTGAAAACGTAAAGTGAGTGGCAAGAAGAGGAAGGGGAATCGGTACTAACCCTCTTGGGGTATGGGGCTCGATGTGCTAGAAAGCTGTGCGGAATCCTTTCAAGCTCAGAGATCCTTTCGAGTGGCGAAACCCAGTCCAGTATGCTGCAGGCCTAGTCAGACTGACAGTCAATCGAGCGTCACGGGAAAGTCAAGCCTAGGCGGTGACTGACTAGGCCGACCGTTCAATTGACAGCTCTGACTACCAGGCCGTGTCCACGCAAAACGAGACAGGAATGCAACTACAAAGCAATGTGATGCATATTCAAGTCCCCAGCGTCCTCGGACCGCCTCACCGTACTCCAAGCTTCAGCACCGACCTGTGAACAGCTCTGGCCCTCGTCAAATCACCACAAAGGATACCCTCTTCTGCACGTCGTCAGTCCCCGCGTCGATAGTCCCCACGTCGACCGTCCCATCCTCCTCTTCCGAAACCGGCTTGTCAAGCTCGGCGCCAGTGATGGGGTCACGGCTCTCGTCCACCGTGCCTTCCGAGCCCTTCTCGCCCCAGAGGTAAACTCCCGCTCCGACAACGCCCCCAAAGACGGTGAGAGTGGCGGCAGCGGCAGTGGAATTCTCCAGGACAAGGCCACCGGCTTGGGAGGCAACAGAGAGGGCCGTGTCAATGACAGTATCAAACATTGTGCTCGCTGGTGTATGTGGGTAGTTGTATGATAAAGATGAAGTAAAGGAGGGGTCTGGTTTGCAGGTGGTATGGGAAAAGAGGAATCAGCGGGGAGGGGAAACCCTTATCTATCCCACGGTTCGACTCGACTCGACAGGCTATCCAGCACGCCATCAGCGGTCCTTTAATGAGCCCGAACGCGTATGAGCCGTGCTCCTTTCGCTCACCCCTTACAATCTAGCGAGTAAGACAGATCTGGTGTCTTCGAGGCGGTGCATGCTATGGCGTGCTTGGGGATGGGGTGTGCTAGATCAGAGCTAGGAGGAACTCCTTTCTGGTATCTATGAGTAGGTACGATCCTCGGTTGTTCTCCCCCGCCGGGTGACCTTTTGGGCAGCACGGTGGCGGTGGCGATCCGCAGTAGACCGCATGTTTCTTGTTCGTCGATGATGACTTTCGCAGTGAGCAGTATACCAGATGACTTGAAAAGCTTACAGGGACACAAAGGCTCATGCCCACCGACTGCGAAGTGGCGGACGATGACTAGTCATGGTGGTCTTCAGCCTGAAAGTACGGAAACACGGGCTCGCGAGCAGCCTACGGTGAACTTACTTGTGGTGCTAGTCCCTCTCCACGTTGACTCACTCCTCCGCTTCTTATTCAGAGCGGGCTGCTGACCACACTTCGATAAGCTGTCAGTGTAACCGGTTCTGGATCTGGCCTGCTCAGTACCACTCGCTCTCGCTCGCATTCCTTTCCATATGTACGACCAACATACATGAATGCTAGCATATGCGACTCGAGTCTGTGCAGGGTTCCGACATCCTCAAGAAGGCCCAATCCTCGGGACAGAGCCTCCGTCCGATTCAGATCCTCCCCCAAACCCAGAGATTCCGCTAAGCATCGTACCACCTACCCAGCTAGCCACTGACCACGTGCTGTCCCACACCATATCACTGACATTCGCGATAGGGCAGGGGTTGGTCGGCGTGATTGTATCTAGACTCGTAGGGAAGTACGAGTTGAATCGATCGAGACCGGCCCGTGCACCTCCATACGCGAAAAGTAAGCCCACAGCACCCAAAGAGGCGGCTGTGGTGAAGGAGGGGCAATAGCTCGTCTCGCCCGAAGGCTTGTTGCCGCCTCCGGACTGGTTGGTTGGGTTTATGGAAGTCATCTCGATCCGCTGAGTGTATCAGTAGGTCTTCTGAGTGATGTTGCGAGTGGAGGGGGATGAACTTGGGATATGGGAGTAGTAGTGATCGGGGGGCGGCGTTGTGAAGCGTGGTATGTCGAACGTTGTTGATGGGTGAAAGACACAGATATCTGAGTGCGCAGATAGCCACAATGCGCAAACCTATACTGACGCCCGGAGACAAGCGGGGCGTGGCGCAAAGGACATCGTAGAGTCTCAAGGAGCTGCGTCGCAGTCACTGGTGTCTCCTGGTGCCGTGTGGTGTGTCGTAGTGGGATCCTCTCATCTTGCGCTCCACGGGTGGCCCTCTTGCGCGTCTGAACTCGTCAGGAGTCCGAGACGTATCGTGGACCGTCAGGGCACCCCTACACCGCAATGTCACTCCTTTGCCATGCAGGGGCGATGGTCTGACGCTTTGGGACTGCAAAATACGCCCTGGCCGTAAGCCAGCTGATCCTGACTACTTTGGGACAGGTCCGGTATCCCGGACTGCTATCAGGAGCAGCTAGAAGAAGTAAGTTGCAATGGAGAACGCCCTCCTGACCAGGTCTGATGGAGCTGCCACGCTATAACGCACTTGTCAGCAGCTGACATACTCTCGCAGGATCACAAGGTCCGGCCAACTCAGAAAGGCTCAGTATTCTGCCCCTTTGACCGAGGATATATCGCCTTGCATCTCGACTAGTTGGCGCAAGGGAAGTCACGTCCAGTAATATCGCATGTGAATGCAAAGATCAAAAGGCTGCATGGATCTCTCCCAAAGACGTCCGACGTTAGGTTCTGCAGCTGTCACCAGTCCCGCCCCCCTGCATGAGCGCGCTTTGCGTTTGGCATAATGAAATCTACTATCGTTGTACACGCAGTCAAGCCGGCTTTTGCAGTCGTTAGACCCACAGAGGCCGCCGTACCGACCGTCCACTCTGCCGCCTTATACCCCAGTACACTCGTCGTCGCTATCGCGTCCTGCACAGTCGGCTCCTTTGCGTAGTCAGGCTCGTAACGGTCGTTGAGAAAGAAACCCGCGCCGAGCATGGCCAGGCCAGCAGCGGTGTATACCGTGGTCAAGGAGGGGAGGCACATGTATCTTGACCAGCCTGTATCGGAGTCGGCATGCGGTGAGGCGGACTCGAACGGCTCTTCGGGCGTGCTGGTATCGGGAAGTTTCTGGGCAGGATTCGTGAGCGAGTCTACCTCGGTATGTGCGGGGAAGGGGATGGAGAACAGGGGATTAGCATCTCTGTCGGCGGGTAGTGAGGCGGACTTGAACTGCTCTTCGGTTGTAGTGGTATCGGGAAGTTCCGGAACAGGGTTCGTGGCCGCCACTGTTTGATTCGGATCGGTGGAAGGGATGGAGAGCTGGGGACGATCCTGTAGTGGATGCTCGATGCTGGGGAAGGTCGATGAAGGGGTGTCTACCCCGGGGTTTACCGATAGCTCTCCCTGGGTCTGATCGATGGACGGGATGAGGCGCGGGGAACGATTTCTCGGTGGCTGGTAGATGCTGTCGAAGTCCAACACAAGCGATGAAGGGGTGACGCTGTCCGAGTCGGGACTCTTGCTTTTCCTGGCAGCTGAGCCGAACGAGCAGATGATAGGGCCAACCAGACTGCGGAGGGAAGCTGGATATCCGTGAACATTGTCCAAGCTTGCGGAAAAGTCCAAGATACCCATTGTGAGTGGTGTGTGTAAGTGGATCGATCTGGGGGGCAGAATATGAGTGGGATGTGAGTATGTGGTGTTGAAGCGACGACAAGAAGGATTTACAAAAGGGTGAGAGACAGATGCGTCTCGGAGCTCAACCACATCGTGAACAACCATAGCATAAAGGAACTCGTTGGGGGAAGTCAGTCAAGGGGTCTCGGTGGAACAGTCCAGTGCGTCTCACTCGAGCATACCTTTGAGTTGCGGCTCCACGATCGTCGGCGAATGTTCATGCTGTGCACTAGCATCTGCCAAGCCGTTCGCCGTTTTGAGGACGACGAGTGAGGGGTGGGCACGTCAGCGCTACTCGCTTCACGCACAGCTAGCGGGCGGTCAAGGTGAATGAGAAGCAGTGAGATAATCGAGTCTTCAGCGATGTGAGAACATCATACAGGGTACAATGATACATTAACCGTCATCGAATCAAGTCTCAGCACCGCCCATGTACCATGCTGCCCCGTTCGCGACTGACCTCGTCAACCAGTCTGAGCCACCCTGTAACCTCTCAACCAGCTCTGGACAGTTTTGAGACATCCCTGCCTCAGCTGCAGAGTATGCCGAGCCGATCGCCGGATCCAGCACACTCCCGACGTACTGTCCCGCCCGGCGCCCGAGCATCCACAGGGGTATGGTAAAGCTTGATAGTCCATTCAGGACCGGGTCGGGGTCATTCTCGGGCCACTTGCCGTTGTCGTCTGCCTTCCAGCCACATGACTCCAAGCCTGCACCGATCAGCATGGCGCCTGCCCCGATGACCATGATGGAAGTCAGTGTATCGGTGATGGTCTCTTGCGAGGGGAGGGAGGTCTTGGCGTAGTCGATCCAGGATGTCACGGGGGTCTGTGTACCACTGCGTTCCTCAGGTTCCAATGAAGGATCTGAACCCTTCGGCGGTATCGATTGGGAAGACATGTTGCGGGTGACGTGGTATAAGGATAAGTTGGCGCGTGAGTTTGGGAATGAAAGCTGTAGAGTGAAGTGTGGTGACAGTAGTCAATGTACAAAAGCAACAGCTTGGCAGCATAGACGATACCAGGAGGTTCGCCGCTCCGCTTGCAACAGAAAGGACTAAGCAGAGGGGCGTCATTAGGTGCGCACGCCACACGCGTGTCAGCACGGAGAAGTCCTCCTTTCTTTAGCTGCTCGGCCTCTACTCACACGCGTCTCAAGTCCAGACCAGTCCATGTCTATCCAGATCAACAACCGTTCAGCATCTGCGGGAGATCGCAGCGGTCATATGCAGCACCGAAGCTTATCCTTTCGAGCATCTTCCCTGCTTGGACGTAAGCACACACTCCGATAGTAAGCTCGGGCGCCCGGCCCGTTCCCTCGTCCCCTCTTTGCCCCGCTGGTCCGCTCCTCCGCCACCCTGATCGCCCTGATCGCGACCTCACGAGTGCCACATCGATCAGTAGGCGGTCGGGACTCACGTGTATACTTTATAGCTCTGCAGTGAGGCGATGATCAAGGCTGTTCGATCGATGCGTCGATGGCTAAAGCGCTAAGCGCTAAGGGGCGGTGTCAGCAAAACTTTCTAGCGCTCAGGAATTCCTCCGGGCCGGGGGCTCCTGTTCCCGGCCGTGCCTGACTGTTTGGGTGATAACGTAAAGTCAGCGAACTGAAACCTTATCTTTTGGATCTGGAACCCTGAGAATCGGAAGATTTCAAGCTCAGTCTCGAGGCGGTGTCATCCCATGGTACAGCTCACATCTATTCTCAGCCGCTTGGAAAGAGTCAGCCAACAGTCAGCAGCGAAAGGTATATAAGATCAATCAACAGCTCATCCTCTTCTCTTCATCTTACTTCTTATAATCAAGTCAGCTTCACCCCTTCGCTCCCCCTCTCCTCCCCCCATCTCTCACATACATCGCCACCATGGTCCGATCCATCACATACCCAGTTCTCTTCTCGGTCCTTGCTACTCTCGCATCGGCTCAGTACACAGCTACCTACAAATGGGGCCAGCTTCCAGCAAAGACTGAGGGGGATGGTCAATCAGGTACCAACGCTTGTGGGACACAGTCTAGGTGAGTGATGCCTGAAAGGTAGGCGATCGAGGATAAGCTGACAGTATAGCCAATCGTCAATGTGCCAGAATGTAGTGGTCAACTCGGCCAATGACTTCTGTATCTGGGGTCCTCCGGACGACTCGAAGCGCCCCATCGGGACCATCGAGGAGGTTGTTGTTGCGTGAGTCTCTTTCCCGTTGATCGAGGGGAAGTCGGAGCGTAAGGAGATGTCGAGGTTGCTCGATCTCCCCGTCTTTCACCTAGCGCACTCCGTTGTTCCAGTACCTCATCCCGCACTTGACAACGAATTGATCGAGCTGCCGCCCCCTCATACATTCAGCTGACATGGCAGATACTGCCTGAACGAAGGCTACGGTACCCGTCTTCTGCCCTCCGGCACGATCACCGACGCACACTTTGTCCGAGTCATGAGCGACAAGGTCTCATACGTTCAGGTGACCGGCAACGGTGACTTCACCAAGATCGGCCGTGAGTCATGTCCTCAGAGAATCGTCGTGGTAGAAGCTGACCAAGTAGTACCTGCCGGTGATGATGGTGGAGAGCTTGACGTGAGTGAAGGGTCGCCTGATGTATTCGCATGGGAGATGTAGCTGACGACCTCAGCCCCACTCTTGGACCGGTCTCGGAAACCCACAAGGAGGATTGGTATTCACCAACGCCTTCACCGGACAGTACGAGCAAGTGAGTCCACCACGTTCCCCTCGTGACAAGTAAGGACGAGAGCTGATGGAGTAGACGCACGAGTGGACCAGCTTCCAAAGTGCATGTGAGTCCCTCATACCTGCTTCACCGCAGGCGGTCAGCTGATTACTATAGCCAACTTCTGCATCCGAGCATGCAGGGACGGACCGAACGCCTCAAAGTGGTGCGAGCACATCTACGACGTCCGTAAGTCACATCTTTGCTTGCTTTAATCTTTAATCTGGATATAGCTGATCTTCCAGTCGGCTGCGGCTTCACCATCCCCGGCTCCTTCGACGCCGGCTTCGACGACTGCAACGGTGACCCCGCCGAGCAGCCCGGTGTCTACTCTGGTTCCACCTTCCACCAGGACGACCCTACCACCCCGGCTCCCCACCCTGCCGGCCCCACATCTCAATGCCGGTCTTTCAACTCCGTCGGTGGCGGTAACGCTGCCGCTGCCGCCACCCTCCTTCCATCCATCACCGGCTCCGCATCATCAGCATCAGCCTCGTCATCCCGCTCCGCTTCGGGCAGTATGAGCAACTCCACCTCGGTCTCGTCCACATCGGTGTCGAACTCGTCGTCCGTTTCTATGACGTCGACGTCTATGTCGGCTAGCATGACCTCCTCGGGCATGACCACTTCCCGGACTGGCGTCTCATCAACAGCTTCGGTTGTAGGCGCCGCAGTGAGCGCGTCGGCGTCGGCTTCTCAAGCGGCTGGGAGCAAGGTGGTCGCTGGCGGAGTGGGAATCATGGGGGCTTTGGGTGCGTTCGTTGCTGCCTTACTGTAGGTCATTGTTGGCTTGGAGGTATGGATAGAAGGTGCATGGACAATAGAGGTATACAGGACAATTAGAGTGATACAGCTTGTAATCCTTCTCAACCTGTAGATAACTAGGACACTACTTCGTTCGTCTTAGCTTTATGTTTATAGTGCTATGAAACCATCACTTGCATATTCTGTGGACCATTCGACCGCGAATTGCCATCATTGCCGCTTCACATTCCGCACAGCCCTGATGATGTACGTGGAGGTTTGTGGACGGGACACTACTCGGCAGATCCGGGAATTCTAATGGCACAGGGTATATCATGGGTATGGAAGGTACGAGCTGCAGATCTGCATGGCCTCATTGACACCCCTTCAGAAGGCTGCGCCTCCCGTACCAATCAGGGTGTCTCCAAACTTCTGCACCCACTTTGGCACCGGCCCACCAACGACATCGCCGCACGTGCTCCTCACCCATGACGCAGCACTGTTCATCGTGTCCTTGGTCGCGGCATTCGTCGCTTTCCCATCCGCGACCAATTTCCCTTCGGCAGCCGAGACGATCTCCAACATGCTGCGATTGCTGTCACCGCCACCGCTCAGGTACTCTGTACCGATGTAGCTGGCGTGCCGCGCGGCCATACCCAAGGCAGCGAGTGCGGCGATGGACGTCTTGGGGTGGGTTCCGATCCAATGCATAGCGTCCTTCCCGGTCTTCTGAAACCCGGACCATCTGCTGCTGGGGAGTAAGCGAGATCTGTTGAGTCAGCCTTCGACCGCGTCGCAAAATCGTCACTGGTAGAGAGTCGCTGAGCGCGCGCGGGGAAGGGTATCATGCAGGCCAGGGAGGGCATCAACCGGGCAGTCAGAGACAGCTGCCCTGTACTCACCCAAAGGCGTCTATCTGTGCTTCCCGCTCCAGTCTCCGCGCAGTCACCGCTTCCAGCTTTTCCTCTGTCGGTGACACAGTCGACCCCCATGGGTCCTCGTCAGCAGCCTCTGCGCCCGCAGCAAGCTTTGCAGCCTCGACGGTCTCTTCCTCAGCGTCCTCGTCAACCCACACTCCACCGCTCGAGTCGGCGTCGTCGCACACGCTGGGTTCAGAATCATCGTCGCTGGATGGGTATCAGACCAGGTTCTTGAGAGGAGCTTCGGAGGAGTTCCCTGACCCATCGAGATCGACTCGGCACTCTTCGGCGCTCGACTGAGACCCCAGCTGAGGCGGCAATTGAGTCCGGAAGGTATGATCGGGATCGGGGTTGAAGCTCATGTCAATATTGGGGGGCTGTGCACTAGTGGTAGTCGGGGTATGGAAGGAGAGATGTGTTTAGAGCGCTTGTATCGACTGAGGAAGGGAAGGAAGGGGGACAGTCGTAAGTATGAACGAGGGAAAGAGGGTGCGAGTCCCGCCTTTATATACTGCAGATGAAGAGGGCTGCCAGTTTCCAGGATGCACCAGACGGACATATCAAAGGGGATATAAGGGACCGGAATGAAAGGTTAGGCAGACCATACGCGTACCAGCAGTGCGAGAGGGCATCATCGGAGTTTGAGGAGGGGCTGTGCAAGTCTGGTTCGAGCACGTAGCAGCCTACAGGAGACGGGGGAGGACGATGAATAGAAGGACAAGGGGTCAAGGTAAGGCTGTGCAGGGGATGGAGCGTGTCTCATGTCCTGATGTGGAGGAGTGCCAGTCACGGAATCTGAAACGCCACTTTTGACCCCTCGTGTTTCAGATATCTTGCCGAAAGTGGCAGTTGTTTCGAGCGCCATCCTCTCCTGTACGTCGCAGTCGCAGAGACGATGGATCTGAGGCTCGACTAGCTCGTGTATCTTGTCCGGTCGATACAACACATGGAATGCGTTCTTGAGCCGTGCAGCTAATTCTACGGTGCGAGCAGATATCATCGACCGGGTTGGAAAAACGTACTCAGGGCGCTCTAGCAAGTTCGACGCCCTCCAGCTTGATCCTCTGCATACCACACCCTTTGTCTATTACACTGTCAGCATGTCTTCCTTTTGAGAGCTTCCCCATCTCTCCTGACTTTGTGCACGTCTCACGCCCCTAGCCTGTTGCGTACTCCCATTGAAATGTCAAGTACACGTACGCTGTCTGCACCCATGTGTGACATCTTCCCTCCTCCGCCACAATCCTCTCCACATATCACGCACAAATTGAACCCAAGGTCCTCCTCCATCTATCCCCGATTTGATTCACACACCCTGCGGAGTCCCGCATAGCCCTCAAAATGGTGATGCGTGGATGTCCGGAAACGCTCGACGACTTTGAGGCTTACGACCGGTCTAGGCTTGGATCCCAACTGCAAGAGGATCTATTCGACGCAGCGTACAATACGGCACGAAATGCACTGGGGACACCATTTAGAGGTGTCTCCGGCTTCGATGTGACACAGAAATGGCGCGATGAATATGGTGACCACGATCAAGCTGTGACCGACCGCCGACTGTCGGAGTACCGCAATAGACGCTACGAGCTACCTCCTGAAACTGTCGGCGAGATGTTCCCAACCGCCACATCCAGCCCCCAGTCAATAGCCACCGTCGAGTCAGACAGCTCCGAGACCCATGACTGGCCCGTCTCTTCGAATCATCCCACCCACGACTACTCCGAAGTGCCCGAACGCCCGTCGGAAGGGTCAGCATCGGTTGACGATGGGTCAGAGTCTGACGACGGAGATCGCCCCCCATATCCACACGATCGCGACTCTTACTGGGACGACGACTATATACCTACTCCCCATCCTATCCTCTCGAGGCGAGCACCATCCCGTCGTGCCCGTCGACGTCAAACCATGTATCGACATGAAGACGACTATGATCCGCCATTCCAGCGATCGTCCAGGCGGGGTCCAAGAAGATCGCGCCATGAGTCACGACCCAGCACGCGCAGATCTCGCTCGGGCAGATACTCTCGGCGGTAGCAGGAGAGGCGGAAAGTCCGTCAGAATATCGCGGGCGGTCTACGCGGCCGAGACAGCACGAGCGCACCATAGTACCCAGCGTGCAGAGGGGATTTACAGCCTGAGATTATAGTAGTAGCGTCATAAGGTAGAATCACGCAGTACATATATGGCTATAGCGCACACCTTCATAATTCGGCAGAGCTGCATCTAGTACTCCGGCTCATACGAGCTAGGGGTTGCTCAATCACCATCGTACAGGGCGCCACCATGTGTAAGGCCAGCAACGGCGACAAGCTGACACACGCGGTGAACCCGACACAGGGGCTATCGAGACCTCCTTGGCTCTGGAAAGTTCGAGGCGGTACCCCTCGCCAGCTATCCTTTCAAGCTCCTGATGACACGCCCTCCAGATTTCACACCTTTCATGCCCCTCACTCCCTCGTCAGAAGACAAGTAGGAGGAGGGTACTAGCGTGTTCCCCCAAAGTCCCCCCCCCAATCCCCCAACTCGTCCAGCATTTGCCACCCTCTTCCATCACAACACTATATATCCACCTCGAGTCCCAACTTCCACTTCACAAACCATACACCATCCTCCCATCGCCAGCCACACATACCCATCCCCTGACATCATTTCACACTGAGAAAGCACACAAGTATAGAGCCAGTACTTGAACTCTGCCTCTCCAAGGTACGTGTTAGCATCTGTCGTATGGTACTCCCTCTCGTGGAGTCGTCGAGACCTGAGTGAAGCTCAGAAGCCTCTGCCCAGGGACGGGGAGATACTCACTCTTCGATCAGTAACGCTGATCAAGCAGAAGTCCCAAAGTCTTGCACAACATCTCCAAGATCCTTCCTCACTCTTGACGACGTCCTACGACACGCCCCAGTCCTTGGTAGACTCCTCGCCGCTCTCGCTCGATAGTCTGCAATGGAACCAGCCTTTGAGACACAGACAGCGCCATTATCGTTTTTCAGAGAAATACAAGACGTCCATCGGTCCGCCTTTACTCAACACGCTTCAAGCGGGGGGTCATTTGACAATGGCTCCGCCTATACTGACTCACGCGACGAAGTATCCAATCCAAGCCAAACCACAGATCTCAGGGGATCCAACCAAAGCCGATACCCAGATTCGTCCCTACGGGCCTCAGCCCAAAGCTGGATCCCTTCCAGACCCACAAGGCATTCGAGGGGACCGCCAAAAAGAACTGCAAAGTCGTCTAGACGAGACACGACGAGCCGACCTGAAGATCCGTCTAGGCAGACCACGCCAAGCCGATCCGCAGATTCGCTTACGTCGTGCCAATCTACTGGCCGGAGTAGGATGCCATCCAGCCGCAGAAAACATCCGTGGAGACCAAATGCGAGTCATCTGTACAGGCGCAAGGGGCTGAAGAGGAGCTGCAAGTCGACGGCCAGGAGTACAGGAAGGAATGGGGATTCATCTTGTGCAGAACCCACTTCGCGCGCGCGAAGGCCGATGCGGAGGGGGAGACCCCGCGTTTCATTCGCACCTCCTCGCTCCGAGCAGACCATCCCCAGTGACTCTGAGTCGGAGCTGTCCGATCTTGAGGCGCCAGAACAAGAAAACACCACCCCGACCGGCACCGGCTGGACTTACGGTGATGTGGCCAAGGTTGCGATCCCTGCCGCCGCCCTTGCCTACGGCGCCTGGAGAGTGTACGACAACCCATCGTGCATCACTGATCTCAAAGACAACGTCACGGTACTCAAAGACAACGTCCTCAACCACTCTGCTGTCGGCGGCATGTCCAGCGCTGTGAATCAGACCTACACAGGTGTCTCGTCGTACGCCGCAGGAGCCCGCGATTGGGCGACTTGCGCTGCCGGGTCCACTGCAGGTGGGATCGCATCGACGGCAGGGAGTCTTTGGGACAACATGGGGACTGCGAAGGACGCGGGGTGGTCAGCACTGTACTCTGCGGGGGCTAAGGGCGCGTCAATGTGGTCGGGTTTCGGGGGTAACGCGAGCAGCGTGGCGACCGGGGTGATGGGCAAGATGAGCGGATGGACGGGCGCAGCGGCCAATTCGACCTATGCAGAGACCGCGCAGCTGGGTGCGTCGAGCTTCGCCACGGCCGCCGGGAGCACCCTGGGAGGTATGGGCAGCTATATCGCCAGTACCGCAGGGAACTTCCGAGATCATCTCGACCATCATCCTTTCGAGAGGGAACTTACCAAGCTCGCTGTCGTGCATGGGGGAACGGGTGTGGCGCAGTCCCTATATAATCGCCTTCTCGGAAGGTCTACTGGGGCCAAGGCGGCCACGGGGACCACGGCGGGGACGCGAAAGCACAAAGGACGACCAAGCGAGGAGGACGATCCAGACCATTGGGACATAGCATACGCCAACCCACTTGGTAAAAGTGCTGGCCACCCCGTCAGATAGACGTGTGATGTGGTCAGGAGTGAGAGTTCTTATGTATGAGTAGGCGATTGTCAGGCCGTCGAATTGTATCAGCAGAGCGGACGAAGTGCGGGTCCGCATTGTCAGCGCAACGTTATGACGCATGCTCGGCCAATATCTTTGTAGATCAGCTTCTTCCTCCCCTCATCGCCCATCATTTGCCCCCGCTACCTCATTCGCCGCACCATTGACTTCAATATCCGACAGTGATCAAGCTCCGAACCCGCCCGTCGAGCCAAAGCCGCCCGAGCCACGCGCAGTAGCCTCCAGATCCTACTTGATCAGCTCTAAGCAACTCTTGTCTTTCCGTGGGAGCACTCACGTCAACTTCGAGAATGGGCGCAAGGACGATCCGTTCCAGGATGAGCTGAGCAATTCGATCACCTTGCTTGACTGTACACCCATCAGCTACTATCCACATTCATGCCCGAGGAAGGATAAGCAAACTCACCGGTGAAGTCCTCATCTGAAAAGTTGAACAGCAGAACCATGACTGGTCCTCTGTAGTCCGCGTCGATGACCCCTGCGCCGGTATCGATCGAGTGCTTTGAGGCTATGATGATCAGCTCATCCCATCACTGCTATCTCCGGGCCATTCTCCGACCCCTATCTCTGTCCTTCGCTGAGTCCCTCCTGCCTGTCCATCTTGCAAGATTTGTGAAGAAGACTCACCCAGCCCGCTCCTCGGCGCAACTCGTCCATAACATCCATCAGGAACAGCCACGCTCAGCTGCAGATCCACCAGCACCTTGCCCCGCTTAGGGACGACCTTGTCTTCTGCAGAGTAGAGGTCGTAACCTGCTGAAAGGGCTGATCCGCGGGTAGGGGTGGTAGCGCGGTCCGAAAGCTTCTTGACGAGGAGGTGGGTCTTGGGCTGTATGATCAGCTGGAAGGTCTCGCTCCTCTACGAATGGATACATCGTGGAAGAGTAGGAAAGTAAAAGTAGACTCACCACAGCAACATCGCTAGCCTTCGGCGGGGGAACTTCCTTGACCTCCGGCTTCGCCTCCTTCTTCTCCTCCTTAGCCGCCGGCGCCTCCTTCTTATCAACAGCCTTCAACGCCGCCATATCCTCCTTCATCTTGACATCCTCTCCCTCGCTCTCGCTGTCCGGCTGCTCAATCTCCTTTCCATCCTGCTCTGGCGCCTTGTTGGGCGTCGGGGCGCCCGAGTTGGGGAAGGGCGGGGAGGCAGTCACAGCGGAAACGTGAGCCGCAGCGGCCGTCTCGGCTTGGATCTTGGGGTCCTTCCCCTCAGTCTTGGCGGGCGTGGGTGTTGAGTCGGACCGAGTTGGGGTGTAGGCAGAAGCGGCTGAGGGTGTACCCATCGACTTCGTCTTGCTCGGCTGTGCAGCCGGGGCAGAGGGGACCGGTGCGGACGAGGAAGAGATCGCCTGGGTTTCGAGGTCGATCATCTTGGGCTGGGCGTTCTTGCCTGAAAGCCAGGAAGAAGAACTGAGAGCGGCCTCGGCAGAGTTGGCGGGTGGGAAAATGCTGCTTTGTCAGCTGAACCCTTCGAGTCGCTCTTGGATACTGCACGGGACAGCAGATAGTTTCCAGACTCACTCTGACTGGAAGCTCTCCGACTTTCGGGGGACCATGAAGCTCAATGGGGAGATGGTCGTTCCGGCCAGCTTGTACGCTCGAGCAATTTCGTTTTGCCCGACGTCGAGAGATCGGCGAGGGAGGAGTGTCATGCCGCGTTCTATCATGTTAGCTCCTCTGCGTGGGCACATGACGTCGGCGAGTGTGGAGGAGAGGAGGGAGAGGACAGGCCCAAAAAGCGGGCATAGGGGTGGAGAAAAGACAGAAGCGGACAACGAGTAGACTCAAGCGGGAGGGAGGGTCAGAAGAGAGGGAATATAGGGACATACGAGGCTCAGACGATTTGTACTCGGTCAAGAAGTGTAGCGAGTCGTTTTCATACTCGTAATACCTGATATTTCCATCACTGATGTGTCAGCTCTCTTCCTTGGCTCTGAACGCGGGAATGACGCACCCCTTTCCAGCAAGGAAGAGCACATCGTTGCCTTCAGCAAAGAACGGCATGAGCACCCCACTACTTCGTCAGCTATCTTCCTGTAATTGCGCGGGAGCCAAAGCTGGACTTACGCGCTCGAATCTAAAGAGGTCATTTCGATGTTGGTCAGTCCGCTGGTATCCCAAAGTCCGACTTGGCGATCCGACATCCTGCTGAACTGCGATGATCAGCTATGTCTCCTGACGTTGCGCCCCGGACAGCCCGAGTCTCCCATATCTCTTGTCTGATCCTCTTCCGCTTGCTGACTCCCGACACATCCACATGTCGTCTTCTGCCTTCGACCCGTCACACTACTCGCGTGCTTGCACTCCGGATGTACAGATAATGTACTCACGCCGGTAGTCACGATCCTGTCCCGGTCACCCAACCAAACGACCCTTGAGCCCTTGACGCCTGAATGTCCATCTGTGACACGGACAGGATCCGATCCAGCTCGGGGGTCGAAGAGCCGGAGTTTCTTGTCTCGGCAGGTCTGGGATCAGCTCCATCCTCATGCTCGACCTTCTCAGGAGCCACTCCAGGCGCAAGCGGCCGCCACTTTTCCGACAGGTCTCCTCCCTGCAGATCGTGGACATAGTAGAGGCAAACGTACGGTAGCAAGCGTAGTTCCAACAGCATTCCAAGCCAGTCCTTGGATTCCATCGCCGTGACCATTGAGCTGCAAGCTTGCGCTATCACCTCCCTTCTCGATATCCCAGAGACGGATGATATGGTCCCCTGAGGCGGAAGTAAGAAGGTTCGAGGCCGTGGGGTGGAATATGACTTGGCCGACTTTACTGCGGAGATCAGCCTTCTCCCTTTCCGGCCTCCTAGGTGAACGGTGGGAGATGTGGACGCGGGATCGTATAGGCATCAAGGAAGAGATCCGTAAGGGTCGGAGACCAGAAGGGGAAAAGAAGGTGGGTATAGAGAGGAGCTCACCGTCCTCCAGCGTTCAGGCGAGCGGTAGGGCTCAGGTCGGAGGGAGACCAGTGATCCTCGCCCCAACCCTCAAAGAGCGAATCCTCGATCTTCCAGATAGCGACTGTGGCATCAGCACGCAGTCTTGAACAGAAGAGTTCAGTTTACACGCGCGAAATGAGATGCTACGCACTCTTACCATCCTCGCCAGCCGAGACGACGAGGTTGTCGTCGAACGGGGACCACGCAGTATCGAGCACCGGTGCGGTATGGCCCCTTGCCAAAGGGAGGATGTCGGGAAGCTTGGTAGGGAAGCCTGTAGGGGAAGGAGCGGAGAAAGCGGAGAAATTTGGCAGTACCGCGAAGGCCTAGATGTCAGCCCGATGAACTGAAGAACCCCTCGACGGCTGGCACCTCTTCTGCCCTCATTGTCGCATCGTCCTCCGGGACTCTTGGCCTCCTTTCGGATAATCCGTTGAGCATTCCAGATACCCCGTTCCCACTCCCTTCACTGTGTATTTCCGCTATGATGCCGGACTAGTCGACTTACCCCTCCGCCCGACACCTGCCAGTTGACAGCAATATACTTCCCTCCGGCCGTGACGAGGTCGGTGTCCCACGCCGAGCCTGAGATCTTGGCGTTCTCGTATGAGACCTTGGCCTTCTCGCCATAGACATGACGGTACTTGGACTATGAGGTGTCAGCCGGACATCCTGTCCTCCTTCGAGCGGTGATTAGAGCTCACAGGGCGGACAAAGCGCGACATCTTGCTCAATATGGGTCGGTTTGAGCTATTTTTTTCGGGGGTTTCGGTAACTTTGGTACGTTCAGAGTGATTTCTCAGACCGTGTACCGTCTATATGCCTCTAGCGTGACGCTATGAGCTGGATAAGATGGGTATGATAAGGAGGAATGAGGAGTGACGCGCACCCTTGCCCCGCCTTTCCCCGGCTCGTCACTTTCCCACGGTAACCTCACCGCGCTCTCCGCCAACATCGCCGCCAACTTCTATCCCAGCGAGTTCTACTACATCCATGACTATGCCTACTAGCTCAATCACCATATCATGAGCTCCCAGGTCTGCAAAGACTTCCTACAAGGGTACGCTACCTCCGTCTCTGTTCTTCAAGTAGAGCTGACGGTCAGGAATTGCCGATATGGCGCGAGCTGCAAGTTCTTCCATCCTCCAAGAACAGCAGCTGGGGCAGCTGGCGCGAGGGCTCTTGGATCCAATGCCAACACCATTCCACTGGGCAGTGCAGGAGCGGCAAGTAGCTCAGCACGATCGGTCTCGGGGAACCAGGGCCCCGTTGTAGTCCCTCTCAAGTACCAATTCAAGTGAGTTGGCTGATGAGATGAGGCGCGTGTCGCTAGCTAAAGGGAACAGTGAGGATACCATCAAGCTCGAACTTGCCAAAGAGAGACCGGAGTACATACTGTCGTCTTTTGCGGCGGCAAAGCACGAGCCAAATCTCATCTTCGGGCATGATCTCTGCCCAGATGAGCTGCGGTGGAAGTACTATCAGGCCAAGGAGCAGGGCAAGGTCCAGGACTACGTGAGCTATCTCTTAGCTGCCTATCGGATATCCAGCTGACGGAACAGATGCAAGAAGAAAAGACTCTCTTCCGGGCCGCCCAGGAGGTCCTCGCGTCCGCCCTATCGGACGTAAAGAAAACCACCCAGCTGGCTGAAGCGCTCCATGACGCTCGGTACCCTACGCCTGAATCCCTCAATCAGGACCGGCCAAAAGACTTCAGCGAAGCTGCTGTCCTCGCTCGGTTCTCTGGTGCTCGGCCAGGCGGATCTGGGGCATCCGCTCGCTCCTTCTCGGGCTCGAGCGGCGTCAGCGGCGGACGAGGCGGAGCAGGGTTCGGCCAATCCGCCTTCGGAACAGGAGCCAACTCCATCCCTGCCACTCGCGCTTTCGGCCAAGCAGCACCAGCAGCTGCGTCGGCTTTCGGCGCCAGACCTGCTGCGTCAGCATTCGGCTCCTCCGGATTCGGCGGCGCCTCGACAACAGCGACGCCGGCCACAGGCTCAGCATTCGGCGCATCCGCCTTTGGCTCCAACTCCGCATCCAACGGCCGTGCAGGCCCAGTGTCGGGAACGAACTCGGTTCCACTCGCTGGTCCCAGCCGCTTCGGCGCATCGGCATTCGGTCAATCCGCTACCACCACACCTGCGGCGGGCTCTGCATTTGGCTCGTCTGGTTTCGGTGCGGCAGCCAGACCAGCGGGAACGGCTGGCGGATTCGGGGCAGCTGCGTCGACTACAGGGGCGGCTTTCGGTGCTGCCGCCGGCGCGACGGGCGAAGGTTTCGGAGGCTCAGCTTTCGGCGCGTCCACAACCACTCCAGCCGCTGGATCAGCTTTCGGTCAATCCGGTTTCGGCCAATCCTCCACCCCAGCTCCGACGAGCGGATTCGGCTCCACTCCGCCAACGGGTCCATCCGGATTCGGCCAATCTGCTTTCGGCCAGCCATCAGCACCTACAGGCCCATCAGCCGGGCGGAGCGCTTTCGGATCGGCGTCGGCGTTCGGATCCGGCTTGAATTCCACTTCTGTTGGAGGCGGGACCGGCGGAGGGTTTGGGCAGTCCGCCTTTAGTGCTGGCGGGAGCACAACGGGATCGAGCGGGAGTTCCGCGACGGTCCGACCAGGTGGATTCGGCGCGTCCGCCTTTGGGTCTAGCGCAGCACCCTCCGGCGGATTCGGGGCAGCAGCTCGCTCGACCTCCGGATCAGGCGCTGGGGCATTTGGCGGCGGCGGCGGCGGCGGAAGCGGAGGCGGGTTCGGCGCCTTCTCTCCCGCGAGAGCGCCGGGGAGCTGCAGCAATTCTGTACCCCTGGGCAATGCGCGGACATTTGGGCAGCCCGCTCAACCTGCTCAGGCGGGGTCTGGCTTCGGATCGTCTGCATTCGGGTCCAACTCCGGCTTTGGAGCAGCCGCGAACGCGCCCAGCCCATCCGGCGGTGGAGCTCTTCCTCCTTTTACTCCGGTCGCTCCTGCCGGATCAGCCTTCGGAGGGACAGGCTTCGGAGGTGGAGGGGGCGGATTTGGCGGCGGAGTGGGAGGCGGAGGGGGAGGAGCGTTTGGTGCCGGATCCGGCTTTGGGGGCGGCGGTACCGGCTTCAATCCCAACAATCGATATACGACCGCCAACTCTACCACCTTTGGCGAAGCCCACCCTCAATCCCAACAATCCCAACAGTCCCACTACCCACAGTCGCAACAACAACAACAGCAATACACCGGCTCGACACCCCCACCCGCCTTCACCTCTTCGCCCGTCCACTATCCCCTCCCCTTATTCGCAGAAGGCGTCGTCATTCCAGATGGATGGAACTACGAGGATCCGTGGTCTGCTTATCTTCCGTCCGTGGGTGTCAACCCGCCCGCATATGAGAAGGGCGGATGGGGCAAGAGTGTGGAGGAAGGTGGATGGGGGCCGGGGGCGATGGGCGGGGCGGAGAGTCCGAGCGATGGTTCGAGGGCTTTGCCCGAAGATGGAGGAGGTGGGAACAAGGACAAGGAGAAAGAAGGGAGGTTGGAGGAGAAGGATGTGGTTAGGTTTAGAGGGGCGAGTTGGGGGTTGGGGGAGATACCGCCTTGGCCGGCTTGCGCCGAGTTGCGGACGTAAAGCGGAGGAGGCGACAGGAGGATGCGGACAGGGTCAGAAGAGATGACGGCCACGGGGACAGGCTATGGGCGAGATGGAGACGAGATCGGGGAGTATCATAACATCGTGAATGTTGTTGTAATATCGCAAACATCGACACCAACGTATCATGCACCGCGAGATGCCCATACAAGTACGTCTGCAGCTGGCGCAGAGCGGCCGAGGGAAGCGGGAACTGATCATATATTACTACTGATCAGCCATGTGAGTGCTCGGTTCACCAGCATGCCATCATGTCAGCCTTTACTGACACGGGTGCCAGCCACTCGACGAAGACAAAATCTTGCTATGTGTATCATGCACCTCTACCCTCCAGGGTGTTTTTCGTTACTAAGTCCGTGTCCCGCAGGCCCGCTCTCAGCTCTTTAACCGTCCCACCTCCCGCCAGATCTCCATACTCCCCACTGCGGTCCACAGCGACCCACGAGCAGCCCCACGCCCTCTTCCATCCCATCCCGCCAAACGTCTTCTGGCTCGCGATATTCCGCTCAAATATCACCGCAGACGCCCACTGTCCCTCCGACCCGCCGCCCATCAGTCCCCGCCCGGACTTGATATGTTCCCTGACCACCCACTGCGCCAGACCCTTACGTCTGTGGCCCATGGTAGTACTGAGGGCACCGATGCATCCATCCGCATCCGTCAGGACGCGGCAGGCGGGGGGTCTGACTTTGCTCTGAGCAGCGTCTTCGGCGGCGAGATCGGGCGCAGCCCTGTCGATAGAGGCGGTCCATATCTCTTGGAACGGGTCGACCTTGTCGCTGGTCGAAGATGAGAAGGAGCGGATGACCGTGGCCCATGGGAGACGATACGAGTAGTATACCGAGTCGCGCGCTACATCTGATCCGCCAGAGAACTACTAGGCTTAGCCTTCATACCAAGAGATATCGGGCTGTCTTATCATGACTCACATCTTCAACGTCGCACTCTCGACCGATATCAGCCTCGTAGCCTTCGACTACATCCCCTTCTCGCTCTCCTACGTCTAGATTAATCCTCTGTTCCTTGCCTGAACCCAGGACAGGCGGCATCCACACGGCGCAGACAGGGCGGTGCTCTCCGCCCGCAATCTCCTTCTCCGCCGCTTCCACCCATAGCTCGTGCAAGCCTCCTATCATCGCTAGGGTCCTGTCCTTCTCCATGACGTATGTCCTCAGCGCGCCAATGACTCTTCTCCTTGCCGCCTCTAGCTCAGCCCCGTCCGTCCCGCCTGGCGACTGAGTGGATTCGGATGTATCGAAGATCCGCATCTGAGATCCCGGCAGGGGCGGCAGAGTAGCGATGATGGTCCCTTGAGAGTCTATGGGTACTGGGGAGCCGTCTGCGGTGGGTGGTATGGTGCTCCATATTGGGACATGAAGCTCGTAGGCTGGCGAGACAGGGGAGAGGATTGTCCCGAGGACGAGGAGTGAAGCGGGGAGGTGGTGCCTTAGGAGGGGAAGTATCGATTCGCGACTGTGCTCGTACAGCTTCTCCAGAGGCGACATCGCAAGTGCGACAAATTGCGCAGAGTAGGAACGATAGCTATATCAGAGGCGTACAAAACAAGGACACAAGGCAAAGGCAAAGGCAAAGGCAAAGGTGAGGGTAAGCGTGTCACCCGCCCCCGTTCGGATTAGAGCAAGCGTCCCTCAGATGCAGGGCTGATCTGAGTGGAGGCGGGTGCCACGCTTAGGTGAGGGTCGAGTGGACGCGTTGCATCAAACAGAAGTGTCGGGTTTGACCGACGGTTCCGGGGGCAGTTCAGACAGGCGCTAGCCAAGCTGGGCATGGTATACGCAGAGACCCCGACAGTGGGATCAGCGCATCAGCCAGTAATGACTCTAACGAGATGGCATGCTTATACGCATCCTTCTAAGAACCCCATCAAGCCCGCCAGAATCACCCTTTTATTTCTCGCTTCTGGGTCGTCTTCGCCCTCCTCCTCCATTTCCTCCTCCCCATCGCCCCCTACTCCTATATTCCGCCTGAACTCTTGGAGGCTGGCGAGGATATCTGATAGGGACTGCGATTTGCGCGACAGGAGAGTTTGAGCATGTGCTCTTGCCTATGCACGTCAGCTTCTTGCTCAGCCACTGAAGACGCGAGCCCCGGCGGTCCAGCTCGAGCATGCAAAAGATCATTACTCACTCCGTCATCCTCCATACACACCCAAGCCAGGACGTAGTCCGCCGTCTGTAGCGCCGCCAGTCCAGCTTCGATGCGACGGAGATACCAGTCGTCCTCTTCTTCTTCCGTCACTTCTTCCTGATTTTCCAACATGATCTGTATTGTCAGCTCGTCTCTTGGATGACGCAAATCTTTACCGTTAATGGTGAATACGCACATTTCGCTCCTCCCTAATTTCCTTCTCCACTACCACCAATGCTCCCTTGGCTCGCTCTCTGAGCTCCAATAATCGCTCCACCTTTTCATACTCATTTTCCACGAATTTCATGATCACCCTGATCCGGCTCGGCGATTCGGACGGCAGGTTCGTGAAAAGCGAAGAGAGGATGGAGAGCAGGTGTTCTTCGTCTTCGCGCTGAGGTGTCGCATGGGTTGACTTCTTCTTAGGCTCGTTCTGTCCATCAGCACACGATCCATATGTCAGGTTGGAGAGCGGTCGGACTGATCCAAGCGAGAAGAGATAGCAGACCTTGCCCATATACAGCGAAAAGAATGATTTCAGTCCCTGACTCTCAACAAACTTCTCACATGCGGCAGTTCCAGCTTCCGTCTGCATCGCGTAGTCGAGCACCTTCATCGCTCTTGTCCGCGCCAACAGCTTCTCCCTGCAGAAGTCAGCCAGGGTGCTCAACTCAGCCACACGCGATATAGGTAAGACTTACTTCATCATGATGATCATCAATTCTGTTCCCTCTGCCTCGATGAAGGCAGTCTTCACTTCTGGCTCGCCGAGCAGGGAGCACAGACAGTTGAACATGTTCTCCATGAACTCGACTTCTTCGCTATCTCCGGGATCCTTCTTGCGGTATTGCTGCTGCATCAGCTCTGGAACCTAGCTCAGCGACCAGAACATTTGCCGCAGAGATTGTTCCTCCCTGGCGACGATATTGCTCAAACAGGCGAGAGGGGATGTCACTCACAGACAGCACTTTCAGCAATACCTCCACCCCATCTTGCTCCCACACCTTAACAACAACCTCCCTGCCACCTTGCAGCAAGATACTCAGCACTTCGCTCGCGTACTGCTTGTTGCTATCATACTCCTTCTTTTGCACTCGCTTGAGCAACCACGGGAGCAGTGTCGTGTCGCCGACTATCTGGGTAGCTAGGGGCGGCAGGAAAGAGAGGAGATTTTCGAATACGCCCAGGATGGAGAATACACCTTGGGAGTCGGTAGGTTCGGATTCATCGAGTCGGGAGAGATTGGCTGTGAGGAGATCGAGTAGGGAGTTGTTGAGCTGAGGGTCAGCTCTGACTCAGGCCGTATTTTGGCACACTGCTCCCCCAGGGTAACCATGTCCTCGCATACCGCCTCGCGAGAGATGACTCACCAGCTCGTCGATCAGATCCCCCATCACCCGCCGCACCTCTCCCATCCCACCACCCCCTTTTTCCTCCTCTTCTAGATCATCCACCTCCGCACCCACATCTTCGTCCGTCAGCTCCTGTACGACCTCCACGACGTCCATGGCTATATCCGTATTCTCGTGCGATAGAAGATTCGTCAAGAGGGCGACGGTGCCTGAGCGGATGAGTTCAGGGTAGGAGAGAGGGGCGTTTTGAGTGAGAGGGAGGAAGGATTTAAGGGAAGTGTCGAGGTCGGCTTCGGAGTCGATGAATCTGGGCTGTCAGCTGCAGCATGGACAAATAGCCTGGAGTAAACGACGCAGTGTATGTAAGGCTCACTTTGACGGGTCGTCCGGGAACTTGCCCCGCTGTTCGGCGTTCTTCGCTACCGTCCTCTCAAACTTGGCGAACTGCCGTCTCAAGGCAGGAAGAGTTGTGGTGCCCGCCTATCAATGTCAGTCAAGATCTGCTGAGGCCGACTGCAGGCCCACAGCACAGCAGGCCCGTCAAGGGGTACTCACGTCTCCGTCATCGTCTCCTGCCTTATCGAAGATATCCAATATTTGCTACCTTGGTCAGCTTGTTCTCCTCGGACAGTTCCGCTCATAGTATAAGAGCGGACCATATGAGGACGTCAGCTCACCTGCTGCTCGTTGTTTAGTCCTCCGCCAAAGAACCGTCCGTCCTCATCGTCATCCCCTTGACCCATATCGTCTGGTATATCAGCTCGCAGCCCTGAGGGCGTTGAACACCAATGGTTCAGAGCTCACCATCCATATCCTCCGGCGCAGGCGCGTCCTCGTTGACGTCCTCGACCGTTGCAGCGCGTCCCTTTCCCTTCCCATTTGCCGAGGTATCCTCCGAATCATCAGATTTGAACCGCTTCAGCATGTCTTGCCGTCAGCTACACTCCATGATAACTGTGCGGCGCATTTGACGATAGTGGTCGCTCGTAGAGATCGCACCCACCTTGCGTGGGCAGAGAGGTCATCTTGCGCTTCAGACTCCCCGTCGGTAGCGCGGGGAGCTTGAACATTTTGTCAATGTCCATCGTGGAGTGGACCGCCTGGTCTACACAGCAGGTCGAGCGGTACTGATGGGCGCTGAAGTAGCCGAGTTGTCTCTCAGGCCGTTGGCGAGAGCTCTAGGGGTAGAGTAGCTATTGAAGGTCTATGGAGATAGTAGATGTATGGTTGCTGAAGGAAATTCCTGTCGAGTTGACCTCCACCTTTCCGCCGACTACCTTCATCTGTCAACACCGCTCTTTCATTGTCGACCGAGCGATCTATCCAAGGCTCATCGACCGGTGTGCCTACGGATGGTCTCGCTCGATGAGAAGCCAGACTGATCTGCTGCGAGTTGATATCGACCATAGCCCTTGCCCGTTCAACATTTCCCCAGGCACCATCCCACACCAAGGCCCCCCTCGACCGTCGTCGCCGGTCTATGGGTACCACAGCTCACTACGTCCCATGCATTCTAGCTCGATCTCAGGTGTATCTGTTCCTTCATTGGATCCATCCCGCCCTGATGCCTGATGGCCTGCGCTGCCCGCAGGAGGTGAGTTGTTCAAGGGCGTCACACGCGTTCCAGACCCCCCTTGACTGCCTTCAAGCCCCGCGAGGACAAAGGATTGGCTAAATGAGCTAGATACTCTGATTACCTCGAAGCTTGGCGGGCCCACACTTCAAGTCGAGTATGTTGGAGCAACAGCTCAACGTCTTAGCTCTCTACTTTCCATCTCTGACTCAGTCGCAGACCTAGCAGATCTTCCGCAATCCTACTCGACTCCAGCACCGCCAACGCCACCGTTACTTACTTCCACCCGCCACATCCACTCAGACAGACAGGCATACTCACGCACACCCCCATATCTGACCATGCCTACTCCGCCCGACTTACGATCTTCCCGGACGACCTGGAGGTCTATCTCCTTCCGGTCACTCGAAGCGATGCTCAGATTCGCTCGCAGATATACGTTGCGACAAGACAGCAATCGATCTGGTTTGACTGTGCTTCGATCGAGTGACCCGTGTCCCGGTGAGCCGTACTGGTCTCTCCCTTCCGGACCAAACGGGAAGGTAAGCTAGTCCGTCCAGGCCGAGACTCTCGGTAGATGATGACAGCTGACACCGCAGGCGTTGTCACGTCAGGGTTCCGACTTGCCGAAATCCCCAGGCCTGTCAGGCTCGACACTCATAAATGATGACAGCGCAGCGGACAACTTCTCGAAGCCTGATGTACCCAAGTCCGCCTCAGAAGTCGTGATTCACGCCGCGGATCTCCCTCCGCATTCGATCGACCCTGTTACCGACTACCAAAAGATCGCCGCCAGCCTATCTGAGATGTACGATCACCAGAAGATGCATCGTCCGCGTGACTTCAAGATATGGAACGACAAAGCAGCCGTGGATCGCTGGAAGCTTTACGGCCATCTGGACGACCAACAACTCCTCGCGCTCGCCGTTTACGAGACGTCGCTCCACGCTGATTTCTATATCTGCGAAGACTCTGCGGCGCATGACGCCGGGGGGATGGTGGGCGCAACGTCTTTTGCCACAGCGTCAAACGCCCAACTCTCGGCCGCGTTGCTCGAGCTGTATCGTTGTCAGGTCAATCTCCGGCGCCAGCAAGAAGAAGAATGGAATCCGACATACCTGAGGAGCACCACGGACATCATGCCTCATATACTGGGAGATCATGACGACGAGACTCTCAAGAGACATACTGAGCAACTGATGAGCGTTCACCGCAGTGTCCACTCCTCCAAGACGGCCAAACTCCACGAGGCGATGTGGACCGCAGCGACCCTGAGATGCGCGAGCGCCTCAGAGGTGATACCGGTACTTGATTCGCTCGCAGCGGCTGTTGACGGGCTCGATGAAGAACTCAAAAGCAAGCTACACGACCAGTTCACCGAGCTGAATTGTAGACTGGAAGGGATAGAGACGGCGAGACGCACTATACCGATATGGTCGGATCCTGGTTGTAAGGATACGCCCGACAATGTCGCAGCGATGCTGCAGGCCGGAGGACCGCGCGGGGATACGGATTATCAGTATGTGTAGATCTATGCAAGGAGTCGCTAAGGCTATGGTCACAAAGATGACCGGGGAGGTGCATGACTGGCCGGCGCTGCGACAAGATCCTTCACGTCCTGCACCTCTGTCTCTCAGTTCAGCTCCATTCGTCCGCGTGGAAGACATGCCTATCGAGACGTTCGGTCTCAGTGTTCGGCGCGGATCTCTAAGATGCCTGGCTCCGCTCGCTGCTCCTTATGGGGCCCGCGCGCCTCAGCGCACCGGACTGTCACATCACACCGGCGCCACCCGCCACGACCGCCAGCCAAACCATGCCGTAAAGCCACTACCGACCTCCAAAGCCTCCACCTCGACACCCCTCTTGTGCTCTCTCCTTCATCTCCGTGCATCCATCCCAATCCCACTACCTGGCATAGCCGCGATGTTCACGGTCCCAGCCCATCTGCCTAGAGCACCAGCAACTCCGTCAGGGGTGACAGGGCAGCCGGATCAGAGCAAGCCGGACCGGACACTCGACTTGCTCGCGCCGTTCTTGGACTCCTCTCCCGCTTCGGCGGGACCTTCCAGGTGGACCGCTGGCCAAGCTACGGGTGTAAGAGAAAAGCTGGAGCAGGCAGTCAAGGAGAATAAGGTGGGTCATCCTGCGGTTTTGCTTGGAAGACAAGACCCGCAGCTGACAGAATAGGCGAGAAGCCATCAACTTCTGCTGGACAATTTTAGCACCATCTCGTCGCATATCCAGTTGGCGGATGCGCTTCGAGAACAGCACGGTCGAATCGCGAGTCGGCTGGCGTCACTAGAAGGCCAGATTGACCCCTCAAATCTCCAAGTAAGCTATATCTCTATTGGCTGCCAGCAAACTCGTCAAGGGCTAATCGACCAGACCTCATTCCTCCCGCCGGTTATATCCCAGCTAAATCGGCACTTCACAGCTACAAATCGTCGGTCCCGCGCCGCCGCGCATGTCAAAGCGCTGAAGGCGCTGCAGAAGCAGGCGGAGAGGGTGGAGGAGCTGGAAAAAGCTATTTGGGGCGGGAAAGGCGCGGAGGGCTGGGTGGTGGCCGCTCTCAGTCAGGCGGAAGGCGGTCCGCGGGCAGAGGATGAGGGGATTGCAGGGACAAAAGTGTCCTCGGCTATACAGGTGAGTCGCTATAATCGAGAAGCCAAGCCGTGTCCGAGCATATCACTGCGCGCCGAGGGGCAGAATAGAGACGGAGCTGACTCGGCAGACGAGAATACAGCTCTTCCGCTCTATGCTCCTCGAACAGCTCTCTGATGCCTTCTCTAGTGCGGTATCACTCACTGCGCCTAAGAGTGGGAAGGGGGAAACAACATTGCGCGTGTCGACCGAGACGAAGCTCCAACAACCTCGAAGTGAGCTGCGTGTTTCGTCAGCTGCGGAGAATCAGCTGATATCGTAGTACCTCGCCCAGAAGACCGCAGTCATCCATCGCAATCGTCCGAACCATCCCCCGACTACCCGCTCGCCCACATTTACACCACACTGTCCCAGCTCGGCACCCTCCCACCCCTGCTCGAGGCCCTGTCGAGCAGGATCTTAAGAGATCTGGTCCGACCACTTCTCGAGCATGGATCGAAATACCGCTTGACCTCCGTCTCCCCGTCCGCGAGCTCAGCTGAGCTTCGCCTCTCGTCATCACCCACCATCACCACCCCCGCGGACAAGATTAGCGGCAGCTCCTTCCTTCTCGAATTCCTCTCGACCTCGCTCTTCCCCTCTTCCCCTTCCTCGGAACTACCCGAGCGTCACCCGTTCATCTCCCGCCTAACACACCAAATCCTCAATGATTTGCTGCAAACAGTGATTATACCGGCTATGCCTGCCACAATCGCCGGTATAACGGAATGGCTCAACCTGCTGACACAAGCGGCACAGCTCGAATCGACACTCGCGGTCATGCCGGACAAGGTTATTCAGCCATTCGTCGAGGAGCGGGCGGGGCAGGAATGGGTGCACAGCCGAAGTAGAGCGGCTCTAGAGGAGGTAAAGCAGCTCGTGCTGGGTGGATGGGGTGGATGGGACGGGATGGAGGCGAAGCGAGAGAGGGAGGTGTCCGTGCTGGTCGAAGTGGAGGAGGATGAGACAACTGCCGCTGTCATTGGCACGGGGAAGGAAAAGACGGAAGCGGTGGAGGTGGATGGAGACGAGGACGGATGGGGACTCGACTCGCCCATCGCCAGTACGCACCCGGATATACCGGCCCTTCCTCGGAAAGAGGAGGGTACGGCGGCAGACCCAGTCGTCGTCGATGCGGAGGAAGACGCGTGGGGCTTTGACGATGACGACAAGCCCGAGGATGCGCCTGTCAAAGCGAAGTCAGCGATGTCGGTATCGGTAGCAAAGGCGGATGCGGACGAGCCAGACGGATGGGAGTTTGATCTGGACGCTTCGAAGCCCGCCGCTGCAGCTTCCGCTTCGGTCAAACCGGCAAAACCAGTCAGGGAGGCGAAGAAGTTGGGCAAGAAGGTCGCGCGGGCGAAGCAGGCAGAAGCGGATGCTATGGCCGACAGCGGATTCGGCAATGAGGATGAGCAGATGTCGAGTGGGATGAGCGGGATGTCGACCCCTGCTTCTTCGAGCGAAGCACGTTCGGGGCAGGAAGGAGATGGCTGGGGATGGGACGAGCCAGCCCAGCCGCCACCAGTCGCCCCACAAGGCTTGCATCACGAGAAGAGCGCAGAGCTGGTGGTGGAGAAGCAGGCGGCGGCGAAGCGTATGGTGACCCGCCAAGAGAGGCGGGTAGTGGAGGAGTCCTACCTCGTTTCCAAGGCTTGTGAGAAGCTGTTGGGGCTGGTCGGGCGATGTTTGGCGGAAAGTCGGGAATTGGAATCATCATCGTGAGCCTCCTCGTCTCCAGCTATTCTGGACCGTGCTTTGTTTTAGGCTCGAGAGGGAAGGCTAAATGTGTAGTCTACCTGCATCGTTCACCGCCCCCGCTCCGCAACTCGCCCGCGCTACCTCTACCCTGCTCGACACCTTCCGCGCCCTCATCCCCCTCACATCCACCCAAATTGCCGATGTCCCCACACTGTCGATGCAGCTCGTCAACGACTTCAGCTATATCGCCTCCCGCTTGCCATCTCTTGACCAATCCAACCCCTCCTCGCCTGGATCGACTACCTATACCGCCAGCGGACAAGGATACGACTGGGGCATGGCGGACCAGCAACGCCGGCTGTCCGCTTTTGCCGAAAGTACCTACGAGTCTCAACTTCGCCGTCAGGTCGATGGGCTCATGGAGCTGCTTGATGAGGCGCAGGGGTGGGACGGGACTGGGTTGGCGGCTGGGAGTAGGAGGTGCGAGGGCGCGATCAGGGGGGTCAAGGAGAGAATTGATAGCCTGGGAAGGGTGTTGAAGGTATGTGCCATTTTCTCTTCGTCGACTCCGTGCGGAAACCCGTCACTGTCCACCACACTCTTCTTCGTGCTCTGGATTGGTCGTTCCCTTTTTAGCTTGCGCTGACTCATAGCTCGTCATGCCCGCGAGCGCATACTACCCCACACTCGGCTACCTGATCGACACCACGGTCAAGCGTATAAGTGCCGAAGTGCTGGCCCTACCAGACATCACCGAGGTGGAGTCTGAGAAGCTGGATGAGCTCTTGAAGGTGCTGCAGCCTCTCGAGGATATATTCGAGGGGGCCGAGCCGGTATGTCTCCTCGTTTTCACTCGTCCATTGTGCCTTCCCATCAGCTTGACCTCTATCCGTTGATTTTGCTATTTGTCCTGCCGATAAGCTGACTTCTCAGCCAACAAGTATTGTCTCCCACGCCCCTCACTGGTTGAAATACAACTACATCTCGGAACTCCTCCACGCCAACCTCGTCGATATTACCTATCTGTTCGATACGGGCGCTCTGGTTGATTTCACAACGGAGGAATTGGTCGGCGTCATAAAGGCACTCTTTGCGGACTCGGAGAAGCGTGATGGGGCCATCGAGCGGATTGAGCGCGGGCGGGGAACCCAAGGGGAAGGGGCGGGTAATCTTGGGAGATGAGCTGGTCCAGGGTCGTCGATGGGGTACACGATGGTGTGCTTGCTTGCCATGAAGACGCACGTTTATGATAGCTCTGTAAACCGACAAGCCGGCCAGAGCAGAATCAAGATCATATCTATTGCATGGTAAAGTACGGTACAATGAGGACACACAATCAAGAGCTAGGGGAACAACGCAAGGGATGGTTTAGGATAAACAAGTTAAAAAAAGCAAAGCTCCAAGAATCAAGGACAACGAAAGCTATGATGGATGTTATTGACAAGATGGTATGGGTGATGATTGGAAAAAATTCGAGCCCAGATGTTGATCACCTCCCCTCCTCTCCCGGCTAGAGCTGAGGTTAGGCTCACTTCCCCTCCGCCTCCCTCGCCAACTTCTGCTTCCCATCCCTCTCCGCCCCCCTCTTCCCAGGCGTCAACTCCTCTCCATCATCATCCGACCCATCCTCCGGCTCCGTCTCCGGCTCGACCGGATCCGATGTTCCCCTCAACATCATTTGCACCAGTTTGCTCTTCCCATTCCTGGGTCTCCGCCCCGCCCCCATTTCCTCCGAGAAGCCGCCGGCCGGCCCCGCGGGAAGAACAGTATCTTCCTCCTCGTATGCGCTCGACCCGGTCGTGCTTTCCGTCGCGGTACTGCGACTACTTCGCGCACTCGAGCCCGATCCGGGTATGCGTTTTGATGGAGAGTTTTTGGCGGATGAGGATGAAGGGGTAGTCGCGGTCGACGCCGAGCGGGACGGAGGGGGAATGTTTTCTTGATCCTCCAGCCGGTCCAGTCTGGAACTGGAGGAAGAAGAGGAGGAAGGGAAGAAGTCGTCTACAGGAGCAGACAGAGACCGGCTGGGTGCGCGCTTTGAGTCGGGCGTGCCGATTCCCACACCGAGGGTGGCGTGGTCGGGGTGAATCGGGAATCCGGGGTCATGGATACTCCGCGTGACCCCGTTGACGTCTGGTTCGGCCACGGGTAGAGCCAGAGATGTGGATGATGAAGCGGCCGAGCGACTGTAGGGGGAGAGAGGGGGCGAAGGGGCGAGGAGGGGGAATTGGGGTTGGGATGAAGGGGGAGCGGCGGGTGGGGTAAAAGTCATTCCTGATATGCCAGATCTGATCGTCAGCTATATTCTGTCGAGCTGGCGCCCTGCCTGCCCTACGAGGATTGGTCGCCTTGATTCAGATTCGCATCCGCCACCCAGCATGTCCCGTTGACTCCCTCACTCAACCCCTACAGTATCACCGATAACTCACCTAGGACTCGCTTCGACTTCGCCCACAAACAGTCTCCTCGCTGGACTCCGCCCAACTCCCAGATCGTCCCTCTCCAGCCTCTCCCTCACTTTCGGCGTGATCTCCGCACTCCCTCTCCTTCCCGATCTCACACTCGTATCCTTATCCAGCCCAGTGCGCGACACCTTCCGACTTCCACTCGCTGATCCGCTCCCTTCTCCCCTACTTGATCCCGGCGACGACGGCGCGGACCGCTTGTGACCCAATGAGAGTGGCGATGGGGGTGCGAGGAAGGCTGATGTAGATGCCGCACCGATGGTGAAGTTGGCCAAAGGGAGAGGGGCAAGTGGGGCGCGATCTCGCGTTCGGGTGACCATTCCGTGTCCGTTTGACATGGTGGGAATTGCTTTGGTCGGTGATATGGTCTGCTGGCACTGTTATAGCTCTGTTGCAGCTGCTGTGTGGGCTGTATATGGGTGTATGCTAGTGTATGTGATGGTGATAGAGGGGTAGATGAACAATAGAGTAGAGCTGCTGATGCATGCTTGATCGTCAACACGCGTCAGGGCGAATTTATGCTTTTTTTGATCCCGTCGCCACCCAAGGTGCCACACTCCAAGAGGAATGTGGCAGTGTGGCATTAGAGGGAGCCTGGAGCGGTCGGAGCTCGGTGTATCGGTGGTGACCTCCGTTGCGAACGCCCGGACGGCAAGCACACGTCGCAAACATGAGATGAGATGACGGCCTTCTCTTCGCCAGGATCTTCGACTCCTTAACAAAGCGGGATCCCCGTTTTGTGGGGTCCCTTACGCTTGCGGTTGGCAGTGACGACCCAGTTGACCATCGCATCCTCCCTACGATTCGATGCTAAGCCGCCGATGATGGCAGGAAGTCACACGTGTAGCCAATCGACAGTAACGGACGTGTGGCGCATTATGAGCTGCGTCACGTCACCTCCAGTAGCTCGCCGCCGTGTCCCATGCGCTCCTCGCTACTCCCTGTGCAGTCCCTGCTGCGCTTCTCATCGCAGCTGTAGTCCCGCCTTCCCCGGTCAACACAGCACCCGAAGGTAGATACCCCGCAAGCTGACTTTGCCACCCTGATGCAAATCCGGAGGGACAGTAAGAACTGTAAGCGGTGGCGGCGACGGTAGCGGCGGTGGCAATGGCTAGGCCGGTGACTGCGGTGTAGGGGTGCTGGGAGATCCAGGTGTAGCCGCTCTGGAGATAGGAGCAGAAGTTGCCGAGCACGGACTTGGGGTCGGAAGAGGGGTTGGTGGTTCGATCCTGACCTGGTGCAGCTTGAGTCGGAGGCGGGTTGTCATCTGCCCAGGACTGCTTGGCGTCGTGCAAGTCATCATTGCCACCGCCTTGAGACGTGTACGAGTGACCTACGGCGGAGCTCTGGTGCTCGCTGGCATCCTCGTATGTCTGGGTATCCGCTGTTCCGTCCGTCCGCCCCGAGTCGCTCCCCGTCCGCTGCAAGTCTGCTGAGAGAAGACCAGCACTTGCCTCCCCCAGAGAAGAGGGGGTCGTCGTGCAGTAGTAACCCAACGAAGAATCGTCATCGCTTTCGCGGTAGCGTCCAATCTTCGCCAAATCCATTTGGAGTTGCGCTTTCATCTCCTCCGCCCGCTGATCTGCCTGCGTGTCGACCTCGCGAAATCGGTCCAGTATTGCGTCAAAGGTAGCGGAGGGGTTCGAGGAAGAGGCGATGGCAGAGGGAGCATGGCTAGGTCTGTAGAACCATGCATAAGGGTCCCGACTGAGTTGAGATAAGGGGACGAAATTGGCGAAGGGAGCCAGATAACCTGACTTGACCACAGTCGCAGGATGGTGATTGGCGATGATCATCTCAATGGTAAGTCGTCGGGGTTGTGGATGTCGAATGATAAGATGCGATGGTAGACTCCAATGACTGACATGTGCGAATTGATGCGCCGGTACTCAGTGTGGATGTTCTGGAACATGTCAGGAGACTCGCCTTCATTCCCTGATGTTCGATCCCTCATTAGGAGCATCATAAAGGATGATGAGTTTGTTGCGTGTAACGTATCAGTGCACCCTAGAGACTGCTGTAGGGCGCGGAGGCTCGATGTTTCGCGCTCCCGTCAGTAGTTAGGGTACAAGCTTCCAAGCGGTAGCTGCTTATCTAGCTGTCTGCTGTCAGACGATCATCTCACGGACGCCAACAGTGACTGAAGATTTCCTAGCCAAGCTCACTTACCCCATCGGCCGACGTGCATCCCTGCTCGACACTTCAAGCTGATCCGCCCCTCCTTGCCCCCGATTCCTGATTACAGCTAAGCCTCTCCCTCTCGGCCCGCCATCCATGCCAGCAGCACCGCCCACCCTGTCTCTCCCACTTCTACACCTCTTTTTCGCCACTCCGTGTCCTTCCTGCCCTCCGCCACCCTCATCTCCTCCAGCACCTCCAGCGGTACTACTCCGCCGTTGACATCCGTCCAGTCCTGCCACACCGCTTCCGGTCCCGCCACGAACGACCTGATCCGCCACCCATCCTCGGCATCCTGATAATGGAACGACCCAGCGGGCGGCGCGACTGCCTCACCGGCGCCATTTGTAGGAGCCGTGCTCGGCGTATCGGTGTGTTGGATGAAATTTGTGTTGAGCCGCATGTGCAGTATCTCCGCGCCGCCGTGATGATACGAATAGACGAATCCGGTAGACTGGCCGTTTTCGTCGAGCTCGCGCAGCCGATCAAAGTCGTCGAAGGACTGTCCGCCGACGAGGGAAGGACCGAAGGAGAGATGTCGGAGGTGGGGACTGCCGCGCAGATTGGAGGCGAGTGCAGGAGTCATTGACTGGACGGGGAGAGGGGAGCAGACAGTCTGCGCGCCGAAATGTGAGGGTGGAGCGGATATTGGGATGCGGTTGAAGTGGAGAGTTTCGAGCTTGGGCCACGTAGGTATGTATTGGAACTGTAGTGTCAGCTCTCTCCCCAGGGGGGTCTGAGAAAAGCGTACGAGGTCAAGCATCAAATCTGTGGTATCAAGGATCAACATACGCGTTTCCGCAAAGCGGAAGAGATAGTGGACATGGTCCTGATACCTTCGCTCGCCCTGTCGTCTCTTGACTTCTTCCATGAAGAGTTTAGCCCGCCCCTGGAAATGAACGTGCTCCAGCTCTTCCCACTCCCCTGCGTAATCAACAATGTTGCCGATCGCTGTGGTGACCGATGGGCACAGCTCGTCGAAGCGGAATGCGAGCTGGCGCGTAAAAAGACAGTCGCAAAGAAGGGCATAGATGGCTTTATGTCCGTCCTCCCCGTCTGTAATATGATCGCCGAATGCGAACCGGAGGTCGACAAAGGAGGCTGGCCAAGGTAGCCTCGTGTACATGGTGGGTAGCCCAGCGTCCTCCCAAGCAGGAAGTAATTCGTGCTGTAGGTCGGCTTCGAAGATTTGAAGCCTATGCGCGGCATCGACCAGCTTGAGGACTGTCTCTGCGTAGGTTATTGATCCCCGCATGAGATACAGACGAGTGAGCGATGTGAACTCGATACCCGACTCGAGGATTTAGATGTCGAGCGTTTCCCGCTCCCAGGGATCTCCCGCCGACTCTAGAATCAGCTCCTCAAGACTGAAGGAGATTAGATCTAGAAGGGCGACCGCGCCGCAAATCAAGCCCGGCCAGGGGGTGAGGCGGAGCTGCTTGACCATGTCGAACCGCCTTCCGTCACCTTTGCGCAAGATCTCCCTGACCTTCGAGCGGAGAGCAGTCCGGCACCTCTCCTCGGCGGGCCAGCTCTGCCTGTAATCCTCTACATCCGATACGCCATGCGCGGAGATCTCGAGAGCCCTCCAGATGGGCTCCTCTGTGAAGGGGATGAACCGCTTGGCCGTCCGCGCGAGGGCGAGGGCGCCATTCCGATCCAGGTTGTCTGCGATGCGGGTGAGGATCTCGGCGGGTAGGTGTAAGAGAGCGCCTGAGGGGATGGATGAGACAGGAGGAGCTTGTGCGTGGAAGGGTTGGTGGGCGGGGGGAATGGAAGGGGATAAAGGCGGAGTCTGCGAGTCAGCTTGAGGTCCGTCTTGCTAATATTTGTGCGTATCAGCAATCTGGACTTGCCGAAACCAGCGAGGTGGTTCCCATCTCCCTTCCCCCATCTTCTCTACTGATTGATCTTTGCTGACCTCCGGCGCTCATGATCTATATGCAGGTACATGGTGAAGAGAGAGAGAGTGATTTGAACGAGCGAAGGTCTGCGGGTGCCGGAGCCATCGGTTCCGTCGGAAGGCTTGGAGATCTGCCCTTCAGAGTTTCAGCCATCTGCAGGGGTATACGGACAGCTCTAGGCTACAGTACAGTCGGACAGACGATACCGGGAACAGTATATAGACCTCGCAGATCCCACAAGCAATACATGTCATAAACCCTACCCAGCAGCTAGTGACCATCTTTACAGCGCTCGTATCAAATTCCCCCCTCTAACAGCACGCTCGCAGCCAGAAGCGCAATTAGCCCACCCGGCAGCGCATGGAAGACCCCAGCTCCTACCCTCCCTGGCCCCGATCTGGCTATGTACAGCCCGTCCATCCCAGCCACCACCACCCCAATAACCGCCAATACCGTAGCAGCAGCCGACCACTTGCCCTGCGATATGAACGCGAGGAGGGTGAGGCCTGTCCCGAGTTGACGAGCGCCGACGAGGGAGATATAGGCCGCTGTGGTGGAGTGTGACGCGGAGCTGGCGGATTGTGACTTGGAAGGACTGGGCAGGGGGATGGGTATGCCGAATTGCTTGGAGAAGCCCGAGGGGTCGATGATGGCTTGTAGCCCGGTGAGGGTGCAGAGGACAGTGAATGTTGAAGCGACGAGCTTGAATACAATGAAGAGTGTGGTCATGATGTGTTGTGAGGGTGATCGTTGGGTGTTCTTGAGGATGAAGCTCGATTGTGAGAAGCAGACAAAGGGGTCAAGCCTCGCGGCTGTGCTTGAGGAATGTGGATCTTTGCGCCCGCGGAGGTCCGCGGGCCGCGTGAACAAACCAGCCCATTGAAGCGCTGTGATACATCCCCACACAGCTCCTTTCCACCCATCACATCGCGCCCAGTGGAGACGGCCCTTCTCCGCAACAGCTCCCCCCTTCATCTTGGTTCGTCCGCCAATCCAGCAAGACTTTCCAGCCAGCCTCCCCCACTTCCACACCCCTACGCCGCCACGCCTCCTCATCTCTGATCGATCTGCTCTCGACTCTAGCGCCATCTTTCGTCGTACTGGAGCCCATCGCGATGGGTTCGTGGAGTGGAGAGGCAAAGATAGCAGAGGCGAAGCGTTTTGAGTGAAGTGCAGGAGACTTCCGTCGGAAGCAGGCCCATCGTGCAGGACTGCTACGGCGGTGATGCAGCATCGACCTGATGAGATCAAGCATGCATAGAGCATAGCTGCAGCCCACAGCGCCATAGGCGACGACTAGGAGATGCATCTGTCTGGCGCCCTGAAGCAAAATGGCACACGGAAGTCTGATACTCAGGCGCTTGTCATGCCTTGAACCGAGGTCCCTAGGGAGCCTTACACCAGTACCTCCTGCAGATGATCGAACTGCGAGATAGCCGCCAGCTCTTGCCTGAACAGCAGCACCAGTACCCAGTCATGCTTCTGCGCAGGCGCAATGCAGTGCAGCTTGAATATATACAGTAGAGCAGAGGCAAAGTGAGGTAAATAGCCGACGGAGACCGCAGGAAGAAGTGGCTCGGCCGCCGAAGACCGGTGCTGATCGAGATCAGCACCGCTCCCTTGCTGATTGATACCCCATCTCTGCTTCTGCCTCTTCTACTTATACTGATCAGCTGCGACCCACTCGCTGCATAGTCCACTCCTGACGGTCATCCAGGCAACCGCCTGCCAAAAAGTCACCAGCCAGCTCGTCCCCCAGCGGTCAGAGATAACGGACCTCCTTCTAAATCTCACATTCCTCCCCACCTCCAACCCGAAATGAGTTTCCAACCCCCACCCCGGCGGACCGACTCCCCCTCCCCCTCCAAGCCCGCCGAAGCCGAGCCGGCAGCGACAGGATGGAAGGCCAAGATGAAGGCAAAAGGAGCGGTATGGGGCAAAGTCGCGATGGATAAGGGGATGGCGATATCGGATAACGTCGGCGGGAAGGTGAACAATATCGCGGAGAAGAAGTTTGGGACGGAGCATTTCTGGCCGGTCACGGGCGACTTTGGGAGGGAGATGGACAAGTGCGCGAGAATATTGAGGACATTCACCGGTGAGTCTGGGCTCGGACGCGAGAGGTCAGAGCAGGATGGTCTGTTCGGCCTCGCTGAGCGGGAGCTGGACTTCGACTTGATGTAGAAATAAAACAACCTCTCAGCTCTATCCTCTCCCAGTCCTTCTCCGAGATCATTGCGTCTTTGCGATTGCTGACACTCCTTTCTGACCGGAGCCACCAGAGCCGAAGCTGATCCTGCAGTCGAAGGCGTAATCAACGAGGAACCCGCCGCTCCAGCCTCCGGAACAGCAACCCCAGCAGTAGACGACAAGGGCGAGGCCAAGCCCGCCAAAAACAAGTACAAGAAGGTACTACGCAAGATACCTCCCAAGGTCATCGCGAATGCAAAGGGGCTTGTCATCTTTACCTCGATGCGGACCGGGTTTGCGCCGTTTGGCGGAGCGGGAGGAGCGGGAGTCGTGGTAGCCAAGTTGCCGGATGGGAGTAAGTCTCGCTCTGATTGAGGATGAGGTGGATGATAGCTGATAGCTCAGCCTGGTCTGCTCCCGCGTCCATCTCTCCAAACAACCTCTCTGCCGGTGTAAGCCCCCACAAGAACCCCTAAACATCTACGCGGGCCCGGGCTGATCCGTAGTTCCTCATCGGCATCGACGTCTATGACGCCGTCCTCGTCGTCAACTCCCAAAAGGCTTTGGACTCCTTCAAGACCCACAAGGCCACCATCGGCGCGGAGCTCGGTCTCGCTGCTGGCCCATACGGCGCCGGCGCGTCCGTCGAGGCAGGTCTCGACAAGGCACCGATATGGAGCTATATCAAGAGCAAAGGGATGTATGCGGGTGTGGAGGTCGTAGGGCAGGTGTTTGTGGAGCGGTTTGACGAGAATGCGGCCATGTACCACTGGCCCGGGGTCAAGGCGGGAGATATCGTGAGTACTGCAGAGATAGGGAGAAGGGGAAACACAGCTGACAGTATAGCTCGCTGGGAAGGTCAAAGTCCCACGTGAGGCTGCGGCCCTACACGAAGCTCTCAAGGACGCCGAGACGGGCCGAGCTCAGGCTGCCAACCCTCTCAAGCCTGATGGCGCCGAGGTGATCCAGAATCAGGCGGGGGAGATGATCATTCCCGATGCGGGCGGGGTGGTGTTGGAGGATGGAGAGATACTGCAGCTGCCGCCAACGCCGAGTATGATGGAAAGCGGAGAGGCTGGCGAGAGCGGTAGCGGTGGCGAGAAGAGCGGAGCCGGTGGTCTGGCACCAGTACCTGGACCAGCGCCCACACCACCTCGCCTACCTTCTCGTCCCGTACTGCCCAAACGAGAATCCTCCGCCTCGAATTACGGTACACCGCCAGAAGTGACACCGGTCGCCCACCCTTCCTCGGACCCCTTCACCGATGCTCGGGCCGCGCCAAGCTCGAACGCCACCCTACCTCTCTCTCATAGCCTCCCACCTCCAGCCCACTCTGGCGATCTACCGCCTTCCTACTCGGACGAGACTCCCGCCTATGCCGCTCCATATGCTGCAGCGGCTGGTGCGAGCGGGTACCCCGACGAAAAGGCAGAATTGAAACGGCGAGATCAACTCGAAGCTGAGCAGGCCGCTCTAGCAAGCCAGGGGAGCGGGGCCGATCATGCTGGTCAAGGGGCATCGGGGGCCGGAGAGGAAATGAGCGAGAGCGAGAAGCGGGAATGGGCAGAGGCAGAAGAGATGATCAGGTTAGAGAAGGAGGAGATGGAGCGGCTGCAGAGGTCAAGTTTAGCGGGGACGCCTGGATCAGCTGGAGGCGATCATGGTGTGCAAGCAGGGGGTATCTCGGAGGGAGTCAAGGGTATGAGTCTAGGCTCGCACCCTTCGGGCGTGTAAGATCTGTGGAGGAGATTGTACAGTGCAACCGATAATAGATGTCAAGAAGCTAAAAGTATACCATATTGCACCCTACCAATACCAAAAACTGACTACCTGACTAGATTAATCTATTTTTCCCGCCTAATCCCTTATTCTGCACCCTCTACATGTCCTCATCGCCCCTCGCCTTCTTGTCCAGAATCGCCTGGGGCTGATCGTTACCCGCCATACGGTCTTTGTCGGCAAACTCGGTCATGGGGATGTTGAGGTGCTTGAAGTAGGTGGGGAAGAGGATGGAGCAGAGGAAGGTGGCACAGGCGAGGGCAATCCAGGGGTAGATGAGGTACGGGTCCTGGATGGCCTTGGAGCACGCGAGGGAGATGGCAGCAGCGACGGCCGAGTTGAAGAGGGCCAAGGCGTAGACAAGGGCCTTCATGCGTGCGGGCGACCGGGTGTAGGCCAGCTCGTACGAGGTGACGTTGACGAAAAGCTCTCCGACCGCGGGGACCATGATGATGGGGATTTGAAGCCAGATGGAGACGGGGGTAACGGTGGCGCAGGTGGACGCGTAGTAGCCGCACGCCGAGAGGGCGTAGATCCGCCATTGAACGATGGCGGCAATAATGTCCGAGAAGCACGCGAGGAGGAAACCGATGGCCATGCGGGTCATGGGCTTGATGGGACGGCCGTAGTGCGCAAAGAGGGGGTAGAGACCAAAGTTCAGGATGGGGGCAAAGATGATGATGGCAAGGGGGTTGAACTTGTCGATCAGGTCGTTGGGGACACCGTTGAGGGTCATGGCGCCCGACATGGAGTTGGCCGAGTTCCCGATACCGCCGTTACCGAGGGTGAAGATGGGGATGAGGGCAAAGACCGCGCAGGCGTTGAGGGTCTGGCGGATCTCGTCGACAAACTTGTCGTCCCAGAACACCTTGGTCACGTCCAGACCACCCTCCTGCTCGGCAATAACCGAGGGACGAGCACGGTCCCAGAAGGCGTCACCTCCCTTCCACATACGCTTCCACCCGCCATCGGCCAGAAGACGACCGAAGACCTTGCCGACCTCGACGACGACCGAGCCCTGAGGAGGCGCCTTGTAGAGCTTCTTGGAGACCATGACGAGGACGACGGGCATCATGAGGTAGATGATACCGGGGAGGAGGAAGGCGAGCCAGAACCCGACGAGACGGGCCGAGTAGGTGGTGGCGACGGCAAAGAAGGATCCGACGTTGATGCACCAGTAGAAGACGAGGAGGTACCGCTGGACAGTGGTGGTGGGGTCGACGATGACGCGCTCGCCGGAAGGCAGAACCTTGAGCGTGGGGTGACGGACGGGGGACTGGTCGCAGAGGAGGGGCCCGAGACAGGGCTTAATGAAGCCAGCGGCACCAGCGAGAACGAGGATGGAAATGATGAAGGCCGCAAGGGAGCCGTCAGGGTTGGAGATGATGGAGGGGATGGCAGGGATAACGAGGATGATGTGGGCAAGACCGCCGACGGCGGTACCGATGACGATGGTCTTGAACCGACCCCACTTGGTGTCCGAGACGATACCGCCGATGATGGGCATGACGTACGCGAGGAAGTTGAACATCTGGACGAGGGCGGTGGCAGTGACGGAACCACGACCGAGGGCACCAGCGGACTGGTTGAGACCGGCAGCACCAGGTGCGACGGCACCGGCACCGTTACCACCAACGGGGAGGGGACGGTTGATGAAGTTGTTGAAGGGACCACGGCAGCCGTAGTAGGAGGCGCGCTCGGCAAACTCGATCAAGCACATGGCAACACCAGCCCACCTGAAAGTCAGCAAAGTTCAGGAAGAGCAGCCGGTAGAGCAGTGATCACAAGGCGATGAAGAGATACTCACGGCAAGGGAGCAGCGACCTTCCTCAGCGTCAACAAATCCTCCTCCGTAGGGACCAACTCCATATCCATCTCATCCCGTCCACGGCTGACCGACGAGGTCACCGGTACGGTGATATCCTCGCTGTTGAACTTCTTGTCGTCGTCATATTCTGTGTGGGCGAGCTCCGATGTGGGCTGGCCACGAGGGTTGACAGGCGCCGACTGGAAGTCGAGGACAGTGTTGGCGGTGTTGGACATCTTGCCGGGATAGGTCGTGTGAGATGGGGAGCAGCCGGATACGAGCTAGAGAGGTATATATCCTTCCATTCCTGCTCCAACCTCCACTCCGCACTCGCAGATAAGCGACAGCGCGTATCTCGCCCAGACATTGGTACCATGTGGTGTAGATGGTGCTATCTGAGCCAAGGGGAAGTGATATCGCGTGAACTTGCGAGCTTTGCGGGAATGACAGGGCAGGGTGGGGCAGTTACGGCATGTTTCATCTGCCCAGACTTTTGGGATCACCGACCGCCAAGAGATCTCAAGACAATCGGTTATCGCTAAACTCTACCGTTTGTGCGCTCCGTATCGTTCCGGCCCTATCAACGAGCGTCCAGATCGGAGTGCTCAGCAAATGCCGCGTTGACCCATGCGGATCAGTCGCTAGATTTTGTTATCTCGAGAGGAATGCGGCGGTCTGTGGCGGTCTAATCGGCGGCGCTCAGCATAAGCGACCGTGCGGGCGCCTTCTCCGGCCGCGGGACTCCCCAAAGTATGCTGGACGAAGCTGCGTGCCATCGAAGGGAGAAGCAAGGCGGTCTGTTGTAGAGAGCGACTCCAAGCGGATCAGCGAGTAAAAGCCGTCGAGGTTTAGTACCAGTTACAAGCTCACTCTTGCTGTCATCTTTCGCTCCACATGCCTCCAGCCTTGGCATCCCCATTCTGTATCAGCTGATAAGAGAAAGAATAAATGATTAGCACAATCTCAGACTGGTGCCGCCGGATCTCCAGCCCGCAGCGGCTCTGCTGGAATCTTGGCAAGTGGTAGCATGCGGTCAGGTATGAGGAGTCCGGACCGGGTCGGATTGCGGTACTAGCGTTATCTATGCCAAGGATTCCAGCGTTTCTCGCGATGAGCTCTCGGCCGCAGCGCCGAGACTCGCCGAGGTCTCCGAGATTCGATAGCGCGTCAAGACGAATGTAAGCAAGCTGAACCACGGCATCGCCCGCATAGTGCATCCGCAGGTTATGTAGTAGAAGTCGCACTGGCGCGGGGACTAGCTGGTGTGGTGGTGTACGCTCAGTCAGCGATGTCAAGTCGGCCCAGGCGATGCTGTCGCAGAGGCGTAAGACAGCAGCAAGAGAGCCGCGAGCTCGAAGTCGATGGCGGCCCGGCGCTAGGACTCAAAGCGTGAAATAACAGCTGTTTCATTGACCATTCTCAGAGTCATATGGAGTCAGTAGATGTGAGAGGAGTTGTTAGTTCCAGTATGGATGTCGATCTCTTGCAATGGGTCCACCTTGACATCCTCTGATGATTTGCATATCTTGACCAATGTTGAGGGTAGGGGTGTTCGCTTGATGGATGCTGCGCGGGTCAGCGCATCCGCGTGATTAGGTATAGCATCCGATTCACAGTCACTCACAGAACTTCTTGCGCCTTCGCCGACTGATCCCCGCTGATCCGCCCCTCCTGTAGGGCTCGTATGCAGCTTCATTCCTGACTCTCGTCTCCTGGCCCCCGGCGTACCCCAGCACTCTACCTCGCATACGGACGGAAGATAGCGTGACCGATAGCGAGGATGAGGGTGCGTCCTGTAAGAGGGGATGGCGGAGCGGGACAGATCACTGTCTGGTCAGCCGCATATTCAAGGGCGCCATCAGTAGCCTATCTCACCTTGACAACCTCATAAACCATTCCTTACTGCCTCCCGCCAAGCATCCAATACCGCCCACGCCTCATCGCCAACAGCGACTCCCCTTCCCTCCCACTCGTCGGTTTCCTTGCCCTCAACTGTCCACATCTTCTCAATCACCTCCATCGGTACTTTCCATCCCCTCCAGTAAGTGAAAGCCTGCCACTTTGGCTTGGACACCCATTCCACGCAATCGTCCTCGCCCAAAGCGCGCTGTTCCCCCGCGGTATACATGATACGCTTGTGTGAGGCGCTCAGATGGACGCAACTCCTCGCGAGTTGGCCAAGATCTCCGACTACCACATCCTGCAACAACAGCCGGACGTGTAGGAGCTCCTCCTCCCCGTGCTTGACCGAGCGGACGATCCCGGTGATATCTCCTGACGCCTCCATCTCGTCCAAGTGGGGACCGATGTCAACCTCGCCGAGGCTGTTGATATCGCCCGATGTACGAATGTGACGCAGATTGGGCGACTGGAGAAGCCACTGAGCGAGTGCGGGGTCTAGGGAGAGTTCAGATGCGGGAGGGGGGAAGCCGTGTTGAAGAAGCGAGTTTATTGCGCTGCCCAGTGAAAAGTCCAGGTAGACCACCTCAACAATGGGCATAGGCATGAGTTCGTCAAACCAAACATATCAGGGGCTGCGATTGAAGCAATTGCGAGAACACTGCTCACGATGTGGTCGTATTCGCTCGGACGAAAAACTGCTCGCCGAACCCCAGACAACGCGGGCTTGCACACGGGCAGCGGGGCGAGCTGCCCGAGCCAGCTAAGCTCGGCGAGAATGGGTAGGTTGCCGATTGAATCCGCCAGACAGTCGGAGCCGAAATCTTCCGCGTCGTCGTGGAAATTGATGTAGAGCTCGCGGATATGAGGGCTGTTATCAACGAGATCCGCGAGGGGCTGGTGCCGCTCCGAATCATATTCGCCCTCAAAGTGGATGACCAGGCGTTGGATATTGGTGATGCCCTGATGGTCTGGGAAGGGAGGGATGGGAAGGGGGCCGAGGTATTCGGCGAGATTGATATCGAAGGAAGTGACGTTTGGTGCGCTGTTGAGGAAGAGTGGGATGGCCTCAGGGTATTGTATGTCCGCTCAGCGCCAGGGAGGTAAGAGCCGAAAAGTGGATGGGGTGACGCAGTAGTAAAGTGTTGAGCGACTCCGGCGTGCTAGAATAACGCCATGGTAGATCATCCCCATGGGCCCACAGCTCACGGACGTTGGGCGATACGAGGTCGAGCAGGTTGGTAAGGCCAACGATGGTCCCGGCTACGGGCGCCATACTGACCGAGTGGACGAGGCTGAGCTTCCTCGAATCGGCATTCATCATGAAGGACCGGAGTCGCTTCCGCAGGGACGCGGCAGTGCTACCGCTACGAGCGGGCGGACCGATAGAAGGGTCACGGAGATTGAAGCGCAATTCTCGCCAGATCGACACCTCGGCGATTTTGGTCAGGGAGGGGTGGGTCCGGGCGAGGGCTGCGGCCGAGGAAGAGCTTAGATAGCCGACAATATCGGTGAGCAGCTCGAGTGGCAGGGAGGTGAGCGATGTATGTTCAGGAGGGGTACCCTGACTGGTGAGCTCCTCGCTGGCGCCTGTTCCTGCACCGAAGTCGCTCAACTCACGTTGGAAGCGGACATCTTGATGCCTTCGATTGTCCGTGCAGCCTGCTCGTGAGTGTTATCCTTCATAGACGACATTGTTTGCCGAAACATGATAATCTGACGAGGAGATGTAGAGTAGCAGAGGGAGGAGACCGAAATTTAGGTTTCGACCTGGGCTGCGCTCATTCTTGCGCGTCCGATCCCCACGTTCCCCACTTTTGGGCCACTCTTCCCAATATCAGTATCTAACGGGCCTCTAGAGCAGGCGAGATCGTGGAGTACACGTGTGCTGACACAGAGTGGCCCTCTCCTGGATATCATGTATATGTCCATCAATGTAGTAGCTTGGCTCGCCGCACATCCCCCTCCCTGTCGCCTTCATCCGTCCCGGCATCCCCTTGACCCCGCCCGCTCGGTAGATCTAGGCTATCGAATCAGTCACGGCCCATCCGATGAATGATATTGAGGGACTCACCTTATCAAGTTGTTTCCCCACTCATCGTCCTGCTTCAGCCGTACCCTCCGCCGTTCTCCGGACCTGACGGCCCATGACGCCTGACTCCGCCCGAGTGTCATATCAGCACTGTATATTTAGCTTACACTCTTCGGGATCACCGATAGACCACTTACTCAGGGCGCCCCTTCAGGGCTGCATAGCAGTGTTCAGCCCTCCTACTTCTTTCTCGCCATACTCATCACAGTACGCAGTCAAGATTTTCCAAGCTGCATCGCCTACAGCCACCCCTCGGCCCTGCCACTCCTCCCTCGTCTTGCCTTCGACTTTCCTCATCTCCTCAACTATCTCTAGGTGAAAGATTTTGCCCTGGAAGTCGCTGGCTTCCCTCCAGCATGCCTGCGGCAGGCGGTAAGACACCTGCTCCATCTCGACCCCGGCATCCTTGTATTCCGAGATGCTGAAACCTATTGGGAGGGAGAGCAGCTTGTCGGATTTCGGACGATCCTCGATGTGCGAATCCTGCACCAGCAGGCGGACGGCGAATAGGTCCTCTTCGCCGTGGGTATAACTACTGATGTAGCCGTGAATGAGACCAGCCTCTTCAATTCCCCAAAGACTCTCGAAAATGGCGAATACGAATATGTCGCACGGGAATTGCCTACTAGTGTGTAGGATTCGTAGGTGGGGCGTCGCGCGAAGATCTGCCAGGTGCCCCTTGGTCAAACTATAGGTATGGGGTAGGCGACCATAGGTTGATGCCGCCTGGACGGGCGGGTGTGGCGACGTGTCAAAAAAGAGCTTCTCCAGCATGGGTAGTCTAGGGAAGGGCATAACCTGTTAGAAGTCAGCTTCGCAACGTTACGGGCAACCCCTGCGAATCCCCATTGGCTTACCACTGTGTTCCAATCTTGACTCTTAGCAGAGAGTGTCCGTAGACACGTGAATCCCGGTCCCTCTCGGTCAATGACATCGATCACAACGGCAAGCGGGACGTCCCAGTGGAGATCGACGAGGGACTGCCGCTGATGTAAATTAGCGGCGACGAGTTCCGTCAAAGCTGACGTATAGTGGGTGCCGCTGCTGATGGCCAAGCGCTCTACTCCTGGTGCGGGGCGGAGGAGAGTGATGAGGGGATGCATGGAGCCTGGCGCTATCCGACCGGACGCTCGGCAGAAGATGCGCAAGTCGCGAAGCTGCGGCATTGGTGAATGAGCTTGAGCATTGCTGGCCCACGTATGATGTGGCTGGTCGAGATGAAGATGGAGGGAGTGTAGATGGGGTGAGAGGCTGGCAAGGAAGGGGATGACGGAACCGACCCGGATTGCGCCTTCGCCGATGCGAATGTGCTTTAGCGCAGGGAAGGAAAGACCGCTGTCTAAGATCTTTGCGTCGAGTGTGGTGTTGTCCTCCGCCTTCCAGTGAGAGTCGAAGACGTGCTTGACAGGTGCCTCGATTTCCAGCCGCCGCAAACTCCCCGATACCAGATCCAGCAGCTGGAGCATCCCGTTCACCGCTCCCACCCTCGGCACCATCTTGACGCTCTCCACCATTCCGCACCGCCTAGCATCCGCCCTGAGAATGATCACCCTGATCTTCTCCTTGAGCGCGACCCGATGGCGCTCCTCCGCCTCCTTCGCCCTTGCGATAGACCAATCATGATCTGGCCGAGTCGCCGTCCGAACGTGAGGGCGGATGAGGGGATATTCGCCATGATGGGAATTGAGCGAGAGATCTAGCTCTCTCCATATGCGCTCGTCGGAAATGGAAGTGAGGGTGGAGTGGACGCGAGAGAGGACGACGGCGGATGGGCGATCGCAGAGAGACAAGAAGTGGGAAAGGATTTCTTGGGGGAGGGTAATGAGGGATGCGGGCGGTGTACTCTGCGCTTTGATAGACTGCCGGGGTCAGCTGAGAGCACACCACCTGATGCCAAGTAGGAGGTCAGAATCTTCATCGCCCTTCGTAGAGCGAGTCGCTAGATTGAGCCTGATGATGGACTCACTGAACGTGCGGATTTGCGACTCCCCGACTTCGCCTCCGGCTTCTGACTGGTCGCTCCAGTCTGAAGGCGGGTACGCTTCGAGCTTGAGCTATTCGTAGGTGGATCCGCCATTGTTGTGCTAGACGCGGCAGAGCAGCGGTGAATGCTTAGCGCGATATAATACAAAGGTGATTGCAAGCGCGAAGTCGGAATGTCTTTGAGGGTTCCACATTCCTCGGTAAAGTGGCGGAATATGAACTTTCTGAGCAGTGGCGCAAATCGTCAAGCGTCACATAGCACCGTCCCTCTGAGCGGCGAGGGGCTGGGCATGAGCGTAGTGTCCGGCTGCTTTTCTCGTAGCATAAGCTGATAGGTACAGTGAAGATCGGTTCCCGCGTGGAAGAGCCATAGTGTGATACCTCAGCCAGACGTACGTCCATGCAACAAATTAGGTCTCCACTACTGTAGCTAGCGGCGACTGGATTCGGAGTGACGTGTGCGCAAGCATTGTATACCAGCATACATGACCTGGGAGCGCCGGCAAGACCAGCAAAAAGGAAGGGACCTGATGCGTGTCGCAAGTCTTCAAAGGAGATCTCAGGAGTACCGGCTTGTCTCGCAAGTAGCCAAGATTACACCAAGATTATTCATGCGGGCTGTCACTTCCCTCTTCATACTTCCATCCCGAAAGCCAACTTGGACATCTGTACTGTTGCCGCTGATCCGCCTCTTACCGGTGCCTACATCTTACTCCAGCACACAGAGAGAAATTCACCGCACCCCGCCCCTGATCAGCCCTCCTGCTCACATCTCCAGCTCGATATCGCACATTCTCTGAGAGCTTTAGGAAGACCTGGTACTCAGCTCCGATATCGATTCGAGCGAACCATCCCTCTCCAATGACAGAGCAAGATCCAGAGTCGCTTACATCAAGTCCAGGTTGTCCTTTCTGGACACGCGCTGGCACCTGCTTTGGTATCGCCATGGCTGCCTTGGAGGCGGCTGACCTTTACTTTAGCACGTCACAGGCGAGCATCGAAGAGAAGGTCGCCTCCACGCTCTTGGTTGGGCTGACGTTTGGCGGTCTTGGGGGGACGATTGGCTATCTGATGGACCAGCGTCTTTGGCGTCTTCAGGAGCGAGAATGCGATCTGGCGGATGACCAGTACAGTGAACGTACACTTTCCGGCCGATCGATGAGCATTAGCGCGATGGAGAAGAAGAAGGGACTTCTAACCAGCCCCGTCGGCTTGATGGGGCTCGGTGGGCTGGAGAAGTCAGGGACGACGGAAATGGTCGTGTAGCATCACGGACTATGCAACATTGTTGCTATGGATTCAGGACGAAGCGATCTCTCTATCAAGCTGTCGACGAGCACGACGCCCGCTTTGAGGGAACATGGTGTGCACCGAGTGAGGAGCCCAAACGGGATACTACAGGAGCTTAGCGCAATGTGGATTGGCTGTGAAACAGTAGTCAGCCGGTCGACCTGCAGCTTGCAGTTCATCGGCAAGATTGAAGCTGTCAGACTCATAAGGTGGTGAGACTGTATCACGGCTTCGGTCAGTCTGTCGGTCTGCGTGATTGCGTCAAAAATAGCAAATAGGAGCGGTCAAGATGATCAGTATGACCCACAATCGGGAGCAAGAGAAGGTCTGCTCAGTGACTTCAAAGCCTCCACGTTGCTACTATCGACAGACAGACATACGTAGGGGGGTCCGCAAACATGGTGAACGAAGCTATTTCCGCTGAGAAGGGACTGCCGAGTCTCAGAAGTGGGAGGGACGAGCCATCCTGCGACATCAGCTTTGCGCTCCCACATTGCTGATCCGGTAGATGAGGGTACACTCACATTTGCTGCCCTGTCTTCGACCTGAGGCGCCCTCGTACCACTCCCTCAAAATCTTCCATCCCTTCTCGCCGACTGCCACTCCCCTCTTCTCCCATTCCTCCTGTCCAAGCCCCTCTGCTTCCCTCATCTCCTCAATAATCTCCATCGGAACCATCTTCCCCTTATAGTCTGTGTAGTCCACCCAGACCGGCTGATCGAGATGCTGGTAGTACTTGACCCGGTCGTTTCCGTGTTTCGTGGTGTACACCGTTCGGAATCGTTCCTTGCCGTCCGCACCCGTACAGCAATCCTCCTCGCCCGACCAATAATCCATCCAATCCCACTTGCTGTCTTCCACCTCCTCCATAAACATCAGGATGCGCGCGTGAAGGACGTCAGCGCCTTTGTGGGTGTACGAATAGATCAGCCCGTTGGGCCGATTCGAGCGCTCGATATTGTCCAGCTTGTCGAAGGTCGGGCGAGCATCTTCATCGAACGTGTCAAGAAGGGTGTGGATGGTGTGCAGTTTGGGAGAGGCACGAAGCTGTTTGGCGTATTCGCGTATCATGCCTTGGACGGAAGGCTTGTGTGGTAATGACGGTATGGCGGTGACGGCCGATCCCGGGAGGGGGCGTAGGTATATCGATTCGAGGCTGGGCAGCTCCGGGATATCGGTGATCTAAGGGCTCAGTCTATCGCTCGATCGTGCGAATAGGATAGCCAGCATACCACGTCATTCCAACCTGCAGGCCCCAGAACCAAACGACGAATCCACTTGAAGCCCGGACCAAGGGGTCCCATGGCAGACCCCTCCTCCGCTTCATCCCCATTCTCATCCTCATCCTCATCATCCCATCCCCTGATACACATGAATTGACAGAAGTCATGTGGAGAGACTCGCCAATCGAGATCCTCCAGCTCTGGCGAATACCCGACGGCGTTCCGAAGCGGTTCCAGCTGGTCGTCCAGATCGAACTTCCGATCCCCGCCCTCGACGGCCGCGTAGCTGGCCATGGGAAACGCCATTGAGAGCCGCCGTATGGAGGATACGAGATGAATGATCTCGACGAGCACCGGGACTGAATCGTACATTCCATATATGTCGTAGGGCGATTCGGTCGGCACCGTCAGAGTAAGACACTCGACGAAACAGAATTCCTCCTCGTCCTCCTCGTCATCATCCACCTCGTGATACTCCTTGAGATCTGGAGAGTCGGGGATGTCCAAGTCTTTGCTTTTGGCAAAGCTCGCTACGTCGATGCTGACGTCGAGGTGCTCCAGGAAGGGAGCCCGTACGAGCAGGAAGGGAACGAGGTCGAAGAACCGCGTCGCGTGGGGTCCGAGCCGAAGGTGCGTCAGGGCCGGAAACCAGATATCGCTGTGAATGAGGTGATAGTCGATAGTGTCCGGGATTTCCGCCCGCCGTATATTCTGCGGGGGATGGTATGCCGGCGCCTGGATCTCTAGGTGCTCCAGATGCTCCGATACCGCTTCCAGCAGTTCGACCATCTTCGGCGCCGTTCCCGGCCGAGGGACGAGCCGCACCGACTTGACGACTCCGCTGGGGAGAGATTCGACCACCTTGATGAGCTTGGTCGCCCTGGCTTTGATAGCTTTCCGGTGGGCTTTTTCGGCGCGATCCGCCGCTTTGACAGCCGCGGGTTGCGCCTGCGGCTTGTCTGGGGCGTATCTGGGGATTTGGGGTCGGACCCCATAGTACGGACTGAGCGATACGTCGATGTCCCGCCAGATCGCGTAATCGGCGACCGAGGTAAGCGACGGGGCGACCAAGGCGAAGGCGAGACCGGATGTCTTGTCCAAATGCAGGACAATCTCCTGGAGCAATTCTTGCGGGAGGTCGGTAAGGGTTGTGGGACGTGGCATCTGGATGGTCAGCTTGTGTCGATGTCATTATTGGGGCAAAGATAGTGAGGCAAGAAAGGGGAAGGTTGGATGATCCCACTCACCAATTGTGAATTCGCCTTCGAGGCTTCTCCAAGATTCTTTGCTCTCGCGCGGGTCTTCGGCGGGGACATAGTGCGCCTGGCCGTCCTGTAGGTGGAGGGCAGAGACTTCTACTGGGAAGGTAGATGTAAAATCTCAAGAAGGATAATGGTGGACGGTGGGGTGGAGGGCTCGAGCGTGCAGGCCAAAACCAGTCCGTGCGTTCACTCCAGGAATACTGGCAGAAGGGTGCATGGACCTCGCCGATAGAACATGCTCGTACATAGCCTGTGACTCCCCATAATCACTACATACTTCAGATATACTCTGCAGGTCTGGAAAGATTCGTCAAACGGTATGTAAAAGTCAGAGACTATACGGCGGCTGAAAGGTTATCTCCAAGAAGTAGAGCGGGGCAAAGTTGGGGTTCCAAGGACCCTGCAATATCAGCTCAGTCAAGACGGTGGCATGTCACTCCAAAGCGGATCACTCACAGAAATCCATACGCCTGCCTACAATCACCCCCTCACACCCCATTCAAATAGTCCTCCAGAATCCGCCACGCCTCATCTCCCACCTCCACCCCTCTCTTCATCCACTCTTCCTTACTCGCGCCTTGAACAACTCTCATCCGCTCCAACAATTCCACCGGTACCTCCTTTCCCTCATACTCCGTCATGTCCTGGCTCTTTGGCACCCTTATCGTGTCCAGAAATCCGCCATGATCCTCCTCCGCCTGGGACCGCGCCTCCTGCTCGCTTCGCGTATATGGTATCCGACGCCAGACTTGTTGAGCAGGATCGGCAAGGGGCGTCCAGTCCTTGGCGCGGACGTCCTGTAGAAGCATGCGAAGCTGAAGCAGCTCCGAGTTGCCGTGTTTGTACGAGCGGACGCGCGAAGTGACATGCCCGGCTGACTCGGTGGCGATGACGGCCGGGATGTCTTCCAGACTGGTACCGTATCCTCCCATCCGGAAGAGGTTGAGCGTGTGGAGGCGGGGATTATCGTGGAGCAGGTCGACAAGGTCGGGAGGGATGACCTGAGCAGGGGAAGGGGTGGGAGGCCGGGTTTGCGAAAGATCGCTAGAAGAGTTATGGAAGCTGTAGATCTGGGACGAGTTGGTCGATTGTCGAGCCCAGCAATCAAGGTGGACCACCTCGAGATTTGGCAGGGTGGGAACAACGGAGAACTGGAAGTGAGCTCATGTTATAGAAGGCGGTCAGGCAACTCACGGGATCAATCCAATCCCTGTTCTCCAGTACCAGCCTCTTCAGCTTGGAGAAGATCTGCGTATCCAGCCTTGGCAGCATCGTAAAGATCTCCGTTGGTCCCCGCCAGTACAAACTCTCCAGCTTCGCCAGCCGCCCGATGACTGACACAAGGTGTCCCGCTCCGGCACTAACGGGCCAGCCATATCCCATGTACAGCTCGCGTAGCTCTGGACTGTGCTCCAGTAGCGCCTTGAGGACCGGAAAGGAGCTGGCGCTCGATCCAACGCCCCCGTCGCTGTACCGTACCAGCGCCCGCTGTAGCTTGGTGTCCCGGCTGATGGATGGCGTGGTGACACCGAGATCTACCGGGAGATCCACAGTATCCATGATGCTGATTTCGAGCGAGGTGAGGTTTGGCGCCGCGTCGACGAATAAGGGGACGACGGCGGTGAAGCGGATCGAGGCGATCCCAAGGGATAGGTGCGTGAGTGATGGGAAGGAGAGCCCCTGACGGACGAGAAGGAAGTCAAGGGTATACCGGTGCGGTATGATGTTCCCGTTCCATCGCTGTCGGCGATACCCCGAGGTCTGTATCTCCAGCTCCAGCAGGTTCCGAGAGACCTCGCCGAGCAGTTTCGCCATCTCCGGGACAAGGCCCAGATGAGGAACGAGCGAGAGCGACCGGACGTGACTCAGCCGCTGGGCGTCTGCACTGCTTTCGAACCGCTCCCATCTTCTGCGGATCCCGTATCGGTGCCGTTCGAGCACCTCCCGCACCTCCGGCTCGTCCCAAAGGCCAGCACGGATGTACATCGCCACCTCGGACGCGTCAGAGGGGCCGCGGGGGAGGTACGGATTGAGAGAGAGATCCAGCCTGCGCCAAAGACCGTGCTCGGCTGAGCCTGTCAGGACGGGGGATGTCAACGCCAGGTTGAGGGCGGAGGGATGGTCCAGCTGGGACGCAATGTAAGCGAGGAGCTCTGGCGGGAGAGCGGTGAGGGATGCGGAACACCGAGCTGGTTGCATCTTCACTATGTCGATGGATTTGCCTGTACGTGATGTATTGTTGCGAACAGACATAGAGGAGATAGATCAAGAAGAGAGAGCTTAGATGGGCGAAGAACAACGTTGTGGTGGCTGGCCTAAGCGGAAGATCTATTCTCCGGACTACCCAATCGGGAAATACAGCGCAAGATCCGAGGAATGTGGCAGTGTGGCAGGTACCTCTGGTATGTGACAGAGGAGGACATGTCCCGCATGGCCGAGCGAGGGAATGCTATTGGGTAGGCAGCATGTACAGGATGTCCCTCATGTAGGTTGATAGATTTCTGCGCTCAGCAGACCTTGCCGCTCAGAGATGCTTGACAATCCCCTCCGGTTGTGTGGGGTGGCAAATCTCTCAACCTCTTCGAAGAGTGACGCGCAAGGAGGTACAGAGGACGAGGACTGCCCATCGCTCTCGAGATCCAATCCGTGTCATCTCTGGTAATGCCAGTAGCTGGAAGCGCAAATATTGATGACGAGCCCGATATGTCTTTCAGGTGGGCGATACAGCTCGTTATCAGGGTACTTACTTCTATCGCATTATCTGCGAGGACGGCGCCTCCGATTTGCGGTCAAAGATGGGCACATTTGCGACAACATCGGAAGTATGAGTCACGCTACTGACTCGAAAGCCACTTGGACAACGGCGGGGCCCAGGGATGCCGAGGCGGTGACGCCTACACATGCCTGTTCTGCGCAAGGACGTCGGAGGCGGAATTCGGACATTGATCCCAGCACAGATTGTGTGCGAGAAGATGAGCTGGGCGGCATGCATCATTGTGTTCTTACTCCTTCATTTAAGCTGATGGTCCTTCCCCTGATGACACCACACCCCTCCGTTAGGATCCGGAGAGATAGGCACCTTCGACATATGTAGCGTCAACAAGCAGCTTCGTGAGGTCCAACCGCCACCAGACTTGTTGTATCCTATCTTTCAGCCTTCCTTATGCCTTTTATCTGAGCTGAGTGATCGCTCATCATAGCCGACAGCGGGTCTACGCCCTTTCCCATTGTGCAGCTCTTGAGGAGCACGACCCCACACCGCTCGGCTACATAGTACCATGCGCCACACCTTCGCCACCCGCACACCCTCACGCCACTTCGCACGGACCTGATCTGATCTCACCTATGAATTTGGCTCACGTCTCCAACTTCCTCTTCTTCTATCTATTTGTCGACACATCCTCGATCATGAGCGCTACGCCTAGCTCACCTCCTCCTAGCGAGAGCAAGCCTACTCGCGACCTGCCGCACATACCGCTCGAGGTGCTCTTGCAGATCGCAGCGCATCTGGATGTCCCCTCGGCGTTGAATTTGAGTAGGACGTGTAAGGGGTTGAGGGATGCAGGGGAGTGTAAGGTCTGGGAGATGGTAGATGTCACGAGTGGATGGGATCGTGAGTATCTGCTCAATTATCTGGATATGAAGATCAAGGAAACGACCGCTAATCATCCAGCTGAGGGGGATAGCGGAGCGGAGTTCGATATACCCTCCGTCAACTCCTACCATACTCGCGGTGACACGGTGTACCGCAAGCTGGAAAATGTCCTCGGCGCGCTGAAGGCGTACACGTTTCGCATAGAATGTGTTCGGGCTCTACGAATCGAGCCGGTCGATGGTACACCTTCATCTAAGCGCGGCAGCATGTTCGTCATACTTCTTCAGCTACTCGCGGCCCAGGTCAAGCGGCTCGACATTGTCCCCCTTCCATGGCCGGGAGAGTATCTTCTCCAATCCCATCCCGACATCAATCATAAAGCTTTTGTCGACACCTTCAACTGGGCGTCATTCCCATTTCCCAAACTCGCTCACCTCAGGTACGGGTACGAGCTGGACGGGGCGGAGCCAGTAGACGAGTGGATGATGCGGATGTCAGGTCTGGAGGAGTTGGAGTACAGCTGTGCCCAGGATGGCTACGGGCAGTATCCGTCCAAGTCCAAGGGAAGGCCACCGTTGATGCGGCTCAAACGGCTCACCTTCAACAACCTCCGTGCTGAGGACGGCGACATGGATATCACACTCGCTATCCTCGCCACCCTCCTCGAGAACTCCCCGAACCTCGAGTACCTACGTCTCAAAGGCACTTGGCACCCTCGGGCGCGGGACAAGGCGCTCAAAGCGATGGCCAAGCTGGAGCACCTCAAAACGGTGGTGGTAGTACAAGGGGAGGATAGCATCCCGAGTGTGGATGTAGGGATGGACTATGAGGGCGGGATCGAGTTCCAGCACTTTGGAAAACAGACGATGCGGTTCGAGGAGGCGGTCGTGGAGAATCTGGGATGGGACGAGATGCACGAATTGCGGTTCGAGGTGAGTCTGAAGCTTTTCATTGCGGGTACAGAGCTGAACGTACAGAGCCTTCGCATTCCTCGTGTCAAGAATCTCAGGCGCCTGACGATCCTCACCACTCCCCGTCTTCCCCTCGAAGACTACATCTCCCTCTCTATCGGCCCATCACCACTCAAGACCGGACACCTCTCACCCTTCTTCTTCCAGTACATCCAGCGCAACCCTCAACTATCCATCATCCTGTTCCTGTTCCTCGAAGAGCCCTTCCCCTCGGCTTACAATGCGCACTCGGTGGAGCCGGAATACTTTGTCGATCCCCCTCGGTGGGAGATGGAGGGCCATCGGGGCGCTACCATCCGCCAATACACCGTCGGGCGGATCGAGCAGTTCTGGCACATCCGGACGCTGTCCAGATCGCTCGATCATAAATCCGGGATGGCATATGTCGGGGCTAGGAGGGTATGGCAGGACTTCACCCACTTCCGAGGGAGGACGGTGCCCCGTCATGTCCTGGAAGAGGTGTATAAAGCGGCAGACCTTTCCCTCGAATCCATCGAAGGGGGACGCGAGCTGGAGATGCCGGACGCGGCATGGGCGATACTCCGCGATTGGCGGGAAACGGCCGGGGATGAGAGCGAGGTGGAGGATGACTTTACGGATGAGGATCTCGATGGGGATGAGATGGATACTGAGGACGACGATGAAGAAGATGAGGATGGAGCGAGCGATGGAGGGTGGGGATTAGGACAGGCGATGGCGGACAATGTGGATGATGTGGATGGCGACGGGTGGGTGGATACGGACGATGATGGGGAGTATGACGATTATGACGGCGAGAGCGATGATCCGCTGGGGATGTGATGAGTGGGAGTGGTGGCGGGCGCAGATGTCAAGGGGCAGGGCGGGGTGTGGGCACACGACCATCTATGTGAAACCATCACTGACGGATGACGCACGGACTAGACTATTGTGCTGTTCTGACCTCTGATCGCCTTACTTACGGTGGTAAAAGCATTAACCCAGCATGACCATCACGAGCCGCCTAGTACTTTCCTCGCGCGTTGACCATTCGATCAAGACATGTGACGCAAGCGCATACCAGGTACTTGATGCAGCTTTGCATCTGCGATATGACCGAAGCTTCCGCCGGAAGCCAACAAAACTTCCCGAAGCGGCGGACGGCGGGATTTCGGCTCGGATACGGATGCGGATCGTAAGCGGCCGGAGTGCTGGAACTTCTGCGGAGCGTACATTGCGGCACTTGCACTGGCCTCTCTTTGCCTCTCTATGTCATCTACCTTGCTCTCGAATAACAGCTATAAAGGCCGTTGTCTCCTCCACATATCCGAGGTTCTCATCTCTCGCTGGTACTCGTCAAAGCGTTGATCGGATTGGTGAGTTTGCGTGGGCCCATGCTTGCTTGGTAACTTGAACCAGACTGATTCATCTAGCCGCTCGATGCCCTCATCCTCTTTGGTCAGCGGCGCGCGGACGACCGCGTCTCGACCTCCCCGTCAAATCCAATACTCCCTCCAATCCCTACCCCTCGAGATCCTCGACCTCGTTATCTATCATCTGGACCGTCCCGCAGCGATCGCGCTCGCTCGGGTCAGTCCCGCATTTACCGCGCCGGCGCAAGCTAGGATATGGCGTCAAGTCAACCTGTCGGTCAATCCACACTATGGGAAGGAGCCCAGAGTCTGTCCTCATGAGGAGGAAAGTCGGGGTCACAGAGATTGGATGGCCAATATGCTGTACAGGGCGTCGTGTCAGCACGACGAGGCGATGGCGGCAAGAGTGAAGACGGTGATGCTGAGGGCGGACGAGAGACGTCTCGGGACGATCGAACATATCAAGCTCGTCTCGCGACCCACCTCGGTCCATGCGGTACTCCAGTTCCTGAATTACGCCTCGCCCAATCTTCGGTCACTCGAGATCGGATCATACTATCCGGTCGTAGGCGACTGGGACGATGAGACGCTCGACCTCAATTGGCTTATCCGCGAGCTATCCTTCCCCCTCTTGACCCACCTCCGCATCGGAAACGACTCACTGCGTTTCGCCCAGACCCTCGCGGAAATCACTCGCACGGCACCGCAGCTCGTATCACTCGATGTGGACTTGCAGCACTGGCTCAAATCGCCCTGGTTGTTTGCCGAGCCCGGCCCGCTGCGACACTTTCCCCGGCAGGAGCGGACCCGGATCCGCAAGCTTCGTTTGAAGTTTGGAGACGCGCCGGGCGCCGCGTCGAACAATACGGAGAAAAATATTGAACCCGCTCTGGCGCTCCTGGAGCATTGTCCGGACCTAGAGCGTCTGACCATACAATACGACGGGTCGCTCAGGTCGGCCGTCGATCGGGTTACCGACGTTATCGACAAGCACAAGACGCTCCAGCGTCTGTTTTGGCCTTTCAGCCTCAGATCGATGGAGGCGTATGTGGGAAGTAGGGAGTCCGCGTCTGGGCTCACTGTCATTGTGATATATACCTGCGACTGGAGCGACATGGTAAGTGTCTCTTATTATCTCGGAGACGTAGCTGTGCTGACGTCCAGCTTGAGCGCATCCCTTCACCGGCCCATCTTGAATCGATGGTCCTCCTTGAACCCTACACCAAGCGACCACCTATCTCCTCCATCCAGCCTACTATCGCTCAAGCGATGCTTCCCTCCCTATCCAATGCCATGCGCCGGTCTCGCCAACTCAGGACCATTCAGACCGTCCATACCCTAGAAAATGACGTCGATAAAGGCGAGATCGACGTTTTTGACCGGCTCGAAGCAATGGACACCTCCCACACCTATACCGCTTACTTTACATCCCTCCGCCATCCCTCCAGCTCGCATGAGCTCTTCTACGCTCGTATCCTTCTATCTCATACGGAGATCTCGGACACACCCGTCCCGCACCAGACGATCCTCACCGCGGCGATTCCGCCCAATCCTCTGGCGATCCGGTACAAGGCGAACGACGGGACGTTGAGGGAGAAGGTGTATAGGAAGGAGGATGAGGCGAGGTGGCAGATCTTTACGGACTTCCAGGGAGAGAAGGTGCCGCTGGAGGTGCTTGAGGAAATGCGGGGGGTGGAGGAGACGGAAGGGGAGTGGGAAGGGAGGGGCATCGAAGTTGGGGATGAGGCTTGGAAGGTCTTATTGAGATACCGAAGCGCACAAGCGATCAGTGAGTGCGCCAGATGGACTCGCTGATCACTCAGTCTAAGCATCTTCAGCCCCTCGTCCCATCGATCTAGACATAATCTATATATAGGCGCATACGAGGTCTGTACCGCCTACACTGGTCGTTGGCTTTGACTGCTAGCAGGCTCATTGCCCCCGTTCACTGACTCTGCCTTCTCTTCAGGCGTCCACGGCTTGGCATCTCCTAGCCGTTCCGCCGTCGACCCAGCATTTCCAGGGTTTCGCAGCCCCGCTTCAATCTATTCATCAGCTTCAAACCTACTCAGTTGAACGAAGACTCACCTGTCTGACATAGCTGATCTGCCTCAAGCGCTCCGACTCGGCAGGTGTCAACTTGAGGTACACTTCCACCCCGATAATATGCAGCAGCCACCCTAGCCACGCTCCTACAGGGAAGCAAGCCTGCATGGCCGCCGAGAGTTGCTCCACGTTTCCGCCCTTGAAGTTGGCGCGAACAGAAGTCTGAAGTGCGTGTCCGAGGAGGTTTGTACCATCGATTACTGGGGCGCAGGCAGGATACCGAGAGAGTAAATCCGCGTCCGGAAGCATAAAGTGGAGGACGTCGCAGCTGTATGAGAGGTAGATGGCGGAAGAGGCGGGGTAGAGGCTGATAATCTGCGCGGCGATGATGAAGCTAATCATCAGCGCAGCCTATTGGTTGTGAGATGAACACGTACATGATGCGTAAGGTGATGATACTCCCAGCCCAGATCCACGCCCTTAGCATCCAAGCGCGATGCTGCTCGATCTGCTTCATCCGGATATTGTATATCGCCATGCCTAGCGCACCGAGGAAAGCGATCGACAAGGCACCGAAGAAAACTTGGATGGTAACTGATCCGCCGAAGGAGCGATCGGCTATCATGAAGACTCCGACGGTACTGATGATGCCGAGCAGGACAGCGAGGTAGCCAGCAATTCGGTGGTATAGGCGGAAACGGTGGCGAATGAAGGGGGTAAATTGAAAGACCGCAAGGAGGGAGGCGGGGAGGATGGTGCCGAGATGAAGAAGGATACCGGTTTTGTAGCGAGACATGAGGAACCTGACTATCAGTTGAAGCGCATCAGTCGCAGAGGATGGCATACATACCAGTAGCACTCGCCTGGCGCGGCTCCGCCTCTTGAGCCATCTGCCGGGCAGAATGTACTAAAGTTGAGGTATTGGAAGCGGGCAAGTACGAAGCCGAACATAGCTCCTGCTAAGATAAACCCTGCTAATCAGCTCTCATCTTCCTCCGCCCCGAAACCTACAGAGGACGAGATTGTAGAGCTTCTTGAAGCCGACAGCGTGCATCACTGGAGTGAATCCGCTTGGGACTCGTTCAGTGTTGGATTTGGCGGTTGAGGAGGACATGGCTGTGCGAGGAAGATACGAGCTGATGAGTGAAACGCCGCCATCGCGTGACCGCCAGCTCTTATATATACGTACAATCTAGGCGGAGCGGAAAGAAAGGCCAGCGGAGAGGTATGGCCGCATGGCTCGGCCTCGGCCATAGAGCGTAGAGTGCGGCTTCGGGGATAAGGGGGTTACGTCACCGATAAGATAAGATAACGAAGCTAGAGTACTGCGAACACTGCATGCTCATCCCGGCAAACAGGGGAGGATGATTGGATAAGCGCTGAGGCTTCCACGTACGACCTGATCATCAAATGCACGGTCACCCCACTTGGAATGCGCTGTCAGCTCGGTCGAGGTTTTGGATCTCGCGCAAGGGTCGCGCCTCAGCTAAAGCCTTACTCGCCTGAACCCATCAGCGCGCTCGACCGTCTTATCACAAGTCTTCCGGGGGGCACCAAGGTCGGCGGCTAGGCGAGGAGCTGCCAAAGATGGCAAGGAAAACTCCTTCGGCTTTTGTAAGTCTGGGCGAGAAGCGGTCGACTAAATGAGCTCAGCTGATCTAGGCAGCAAAGCACAGTAAGTCTCCTTCTTTGCCTTTTGACAGAATACCGCTGAATGTGTAGTCGCACACAAGACCCACCTCCGTCCCTGCGTCGAATCAAAGTTCCGCCTTCTCATCTAGGACCGCAGGATATGCAATTAGATTGTCATTCGTACTGCTTCCGCCTGTTTAGTATTCGATCTCTGATCTGATCCTGCTAGGTGAAGGGAGTGTCAGCTGTCCCGATCCTGGCCAACATTGTGTTTGCAAGGTATCAGCTTAGTCGTGCTGGAGGTTTTGCAGAACGACGAGGTCAGAGATGGTATTTGGTCTACAGTAGATTGCAAGGTGCTGCTGAACATCTCAGTCATGTATCATCTTCATATCTCTCGTGTATTGAGGGACCGCGTCCCCAAACCTAAGCCTAGAAGGGAAATCTATAAACAAGCCCCGTTCCCCGTTCCCCGTTCACCACACCTCCAACCTGGGACCGCCACCCTGCTCTTGTTTCCTTCTTTTCCTGCGTCCCCCATCTCCCCGCTCTCTCCGCGTCCTCCCAAAGTCCCCTCACTCCCTACCAGCATTCGCCATCGCAGCAGCCGCCGCCCCGCCCGCCGATGTCAATCCCGGGCTGCTCATGCTCCCCACGCTCAATCGGCCACTGCTCGGTCGGCGCTGGATGGAGGCTTTCGATGATGTCCGCGAAAGACTGTGCGACTTTTTACGGCCGGGAATGGAGGGGCCGGAGGGAGGATGGCCGGAGAGGCGGGTCACTGGGTGTCAGCCGATGTCCGTTATATGAAGCAAGATGGAGCGGATAAGGAAACTTGAGCTTACATTCATTGACGAAGGACACTCCCCATGCTTCGGCAGTGTACTTGGAGACGTACTGTTTGGTCAGCTCCAGAATCACAGCGACGAAAGGCTCAGCCGTAGAATCTCCAACTCACAGCAAACAGCTTCTCCCAGTTGGACTTTTTGGCCTCCTCGGTCATCGTCAACGCCGTGTGAATAGCATCGGCGGTAGACTGCAAGTCCCCTGAGAGTATCAGCTCGTGGCCGTTGGCAAAAGTCGAGCAGCGCAAAGCTGAACTGAAGAGAAATAAAGAGTCGGTTGACTTACAGGGGTTGACAATCAGACTTCCGTTAAGACTTTGAGCGGCACCGGCAAATTCGGAGAGGATCATCACACCATGACCGTCGACCTGAGACGAGATGTATTCGTATGAGACCTGACAGTCAGCTTTTATCGTCGTGCTAGTCTGCTTGTCCTGCTTGTCCTCGTCGTGCTCTTCTGCGGCTGACAATGCCCTTCTGCAAAAGTGCCGCAAAACCGCCTCCGCTGACTCCGCTCAGACTTATCTCCTCACCCCATTCCCATCCCCAGGCGCCACTCGGACGAAATGAAGTCAGACGAGTTGAGCTTACCAAGTTCATACCGTCTCTCGTGGAAGTGACCAAACAAGCGTCCGCCAGCGCATACATCGCCGTGAGCTCATCAATCGGCACGCTCTTGTGGAGATAGTGGATCGGCATAAACTCGACCGTCCCGAACCGGCCATTGATCCGGCCGACGAGCTCATTGACGCACGCGCGGAGGTTCTGGTATTCCTCCACGTCTTGTCGGGAGGGGATGGCGAGCTGGACAAGGACGACCTGGGGGTCAGCTCCATAGCCCACGCTGTACTTGTGCCGGACGGAGAGGACCTACCTTGCCAACCCACTCGGGGTGCTGCGAGAGGAAGATCTCGAGACTCTGGAGCTTCTGCGGAACACCCTTGATGTAGTCGAGTCGGTCAACACCGATGATGACCTGTTCGTCAGCCGAATGTCATGTGCCAGATCCGTAACCCCGCGCTGCTCCAGCAGGATTTTACCGCATCCTACCCTCCCGATATCATGTCCTTTCCGACTGCTTCCATCCACACCCCCGACCAAAGTCTGATTAAATCGAAAAGCATGCTCACCTTGCACCCCTTGAACCTCGCTTTCAGCGCCTGCAACCTCTTGACGATCCCTTCCTCCCTTATCCCATCCACAAACTGCATGGGGTCAATCCCAATAGGGAACGTCCCGACCTGGGTGTATCGCCCTTCGTGCTCGATGCCGTTCGGCATAGTCTCCAGTCCGAGGATGCGGGTGCACGAGGAGAGGAAGTGTCGGGCATAGTCGTAGGTGTGGAAGCTGAGGATCAGCTCAGTGCGTCGGAATGGGGAGCTAGACACGAGAAGCCCAGATAGGATGAAAGTGATGTGGAAATGGATGGGTGGCTCGAAGGAGAAAGCTAAACTTACCCGATAAGATCGCACTGGAGGACACCGAGAAGAATCTCCCTCCTTACGGGGAGGATACTGCGGATCAGCTCAGGCCCAGACTCATGCTTCCAAGTCCCCATATAAGGTTGGCGGCGTTCCATCATCGCCAGCTCCAGCATCCTGACACAACCTCTCTGTCCATCGAACTCGTCCCTGGGCGCATATCGCGAAGGAGAGCCGTAGAGTAACACAGATCAAACCAAGACTCAAGACTCACCGATAGATCTCGCTACTCGGGAACGGGGTATGCAAAAAGAACCCGATCCGCACCCCATCCTTGCCCTTCTCCTTAGCAACAGCCTCCTGCTTCTGGAACTGACTCATCCCCCTTCCAAACGCGGGTCGTTTCACCTTCTTCGGCACCGCGCTGGCCTCAGTCTGCGCCGCCTTGTTAGCCGCGGACGGAGCAGGTGCCGATGTCGTCCCTTCCTCGGCGACCTCATCGAGGATCTCGACGCCTTCATCTTCCCCCTCCTCACCGACGCCTAGAGCAGTAGCGACCCCTTCCTCCTTCATCCCCATCATCCCGCCCACAACCTCCTTATCTACGCCCTTCTTGACTCGGCCCAGCTCGCGCCGGACCATCTCGCCCTGCGAGCCTTCGCCGGAGATGACCGACCGGAGAAGCATGGGGAGGAGCATGAGGTGGTAGTCCTGCACCCAGACCATGTCGCCCGCTTGGACCATACCGGCCACGACGTCGGCGAATCGCATGTTGGCCTCCCTGTAGGCGAGCCAGTTGGCGGCGTCAAAGTTCATCTCTCCGGGGTGGTAGTGAAAAAGAGGCCAGAGGATGGAGTTGGAGAAGCCTGAATGTCAGCGAGAGCTGAGTGGGAAAGAGGGGGAAATACACATACCGTTGTAGTGCCTGTCCGCGAGATCGTCCGCGAGATACACCGGGTAACAGTCGTACTCATCCATCAATCGCCTGTTGACGAGTTCACGGTCCTCCTCGGGGATCTGCATGATCAGTCTCCGCTTCTGCCAATCTGACTCCCCCTTCACATCCGTGACCTTCTTCCCCCTTATCCCCGGCGAAGACACGCTCCTGCACCTGCCTCGCATGTCATAGATGAGAGGAAGCGCTAGACTTACTTCTTTCCCAGGCCACCCGATCCAGGTAAACTTCATGGTCTTCTTGCACCCACTGAGGGCGGAGACGAGACCACCGGAAGACATCTGGGCGTCAGCAAATGTCTGTAAAAGTGGTTCGTATTGGCGAACTGCCTGTCTTCATGGCTACCGCTACCTGGCTTGAAGAGTCATTGAAGGTCCACTCTCTTCTCCACCGCCTTGCTCCCACATGTGCCCAATTCGCCCAGCCAGCCACATTCCTCATTCCCATAACTCAACCCGAACAGCAAACTCACCTTGAAGTGGTACACCCCTTGAGCATCTTTACTGATCGTCACAGGTAGCCTGTTGGACACCACAATCAATCTCTGCTCTTTCCCTGCCGCCGGCGCAGCACCGTTGCTGTTGGACGAAGTGAAGGACATGAGGGCGGACGCGGCGGACGCGGAGGCTGAAGGCGACATTTCGGGGGCGGTAGCGGGGGACATTCCACCTTTTCTTCTAGGGAGCTTTCGGTAGAGCGCTGGGTCGTGTGAGGTTGATGCAGAGGCAGAGAAAGGAGGAGGTAAAGTCAGGTGGATATGTGGTCGAGCAAAGGAGGGGGGAGATGGGGAAATTTGGGGGTAGGCGCGGACGAATGACGGGTCGGAGGGAATTGATCCGGGCGCCGAGAAATCCGAGCTGTGCTGTGTGTGATGCTTCTGCTTCTATTTAGCAGAGGACACTTCAGCTATGTGGCTGAGGTCTGGTCTATGCAGTAGCTAGGTGTAGAGGTGAAAGAGGGGGATGCATGAGGGGTTTCCGGCACGTTCCCAAGCTGTACTATACTGTATTCCGGCAAATCTCGGCGCGCTGCGGAGGAACGTGGAATTGAAAAACAGGGCAGTCACTCGCTCAGGCACGGAGCAATGACATCATGACGCTTTGCCTTGCAGCTTGCTTTCCTACTTGTATGCATGCAGCTCAGTATCAGGGGCAGGCCGGAGCGCATATATGGTTGGAAGCCTCTCCTTGCGTGCTTGCGCTGAGACGATTTTAAGGAGAAGTACAAGAGGAATGGTTTAAAAAGATGAGGTATTCCGGGAATCCGGTTTGCGGGAATTTTCGGATGTTCAGGCACGCTTCGACTCTCCGCTTGCTGACCTTCTCAGCTGGGCAGCCAGGGAAGGAGTGAGGCGTAGCAGTAGCGCCCCATTCTCTGCTACCCAGGCAGGAGTCGACCATGATGAATCTTCGCCTGACCGTGCTAGCGTTGGTGCCTATTCTTTACATTCTCATCCAGACCATTGATATACGCCGCGATATCGCCCAAAACCCATCTCTTCTTCCCCGGGCCTCACGCCTCTAATCTCTCGTCTACAACATCACTGACCCACTTCTCTACCCCGACATACCCCTCCTCTCACATCTCAGACAACACTCGCCGGGCTCCCCTGTCGACTAAACGCCCACCCATTCTCCCCACTCCCATTCCCATTCCCATTCGTCCCATTAACTCCAGGCCCAATCGTACCCGCAAACCCACCCGCATTCCCCCCACTCGCAAACCCCGCCCCAGGTCCCGCCGGCGCACCCACTACACCCCCCACCCCCAATGCCCGTCCAGCACCTTCGATACTGAACCCCTGACTCCGGAAGAATGTCCGTTTCTTCCTTGTCCCCTCGTCCTTACCCCCTCGGCCACTACAGGGATCGTCGGCTGTCATGTCCCTTCCGGCGCCTCGGCCGACGGGACGGGTCTTCTTGCCGCCTGTTTTGTTGACGTACCGGCGCCGACGGGCGTCGTTGAGCTCTTCGGCGTCAGAGTCAGTGTCCTCCGAAGCGTAAGAGGGGTTATTGCGGCGTTTGATGATGTCTGAAAGTCAGCTCAGTCCTGGAAAGCGAGATATCAAGCTGTAGCTGCTTCTCCGCAGATTTCGACCCTCGAGCATCACCTACCGCCCCTCCCACTCTCCACAATCCACCACCCCATTGCTCGCCCCTCAAAGCGACACAGCTGTGACAATCTTTACCTCGCTTCGGACGCCTCTAAACCTCCGTCTCCCGATCCATACAAATACCTCCTCGCTCTGCCCACTCTCACTTTCCCTCTCCTCTCCCATGCCCAGACCGCGACCCGGGGCCCAAAACCACAATCCAAGAATCCAGACTCAAACTCACCTCGCACCCTGACATCCACCTCATCCTCATCATCCACCCCCACCCCAATCCGCATCGCCGTCTTCATCCCCAGCGCCTCGCCCACCGTCTGCGTCGGTACAAAGTGCATCTGCACCGAAGGAACATGCACAAGGTCTCGGAGGTTCTCCATGACTTGGCGTCTGGGGCGTTAGCTCTGCGCGGCAGCAACAAGCAGGGCGAAGGGGAAGATGTGGAGTGATCCTGAGTGGGTGGCGCAAATGGACGAAGGAGACGATGGGCGTGGGGAGTGGACGGTAGTGGTTACGGCGTCGCTGAGCGGAGAGAGAAGCGGCAGGGGTTGGGTGTGTTTATTGGGAAGAGGGTATAACGAGGTGGACGGGAAAAGAAGGAGAGGATACTGGGACACGAAGCGAAGCTTTAAAGGTGAAGCTGGACTTACTTGATGGCGTCGAGGTATTCGAACGGATTATGGTTGTCTTGATTATTCGCCAACACTTCAAGCTTGTATCGAGGACCATAGTACTCCATACTGCGTGATCAGCTTGACTTCCAAACCACGCAACTCAAACATGCTGCACGGCCGCAGATACGCGAATCTGCGTGCGGACAAGACACGACGGGGGATGTAGCTCGAAGCTCGGAGGGGAGGATAGAGGCGCACAGGGCGGAGCGAGCGGTGCAAGCGTTGAGAACAACATAGCGAGAGAAGGTTGAACGTACTATTGGTTATATGGCAGATCCTCCGCGAGCTCCCTGCCTAGCATGACAGCCGTCTCGTTCGTCCACGCTCTGGCCACATTCTTGCTGTGACCGATCAGCTTCGCTCTCTTCTTTCCTCTTCATGCCCTATCCGTACTCTGTGGCTGGAGCGGATCCACCTTGCCTTGTTCCCTCGCTAGACCGCCTTGCTCCCCGCCGTGCCCCAGTATCACCGCTTTTCTCCATCGCGCCAGCACAGTATCCCTCCACTAACATTGACCACCAGTCCCGAACCCCAACTCCGCTCAGACCCATACCCAAAATAACAGCTACTTTGACTTACGTGGTATATCCGCCTCCACCGAGCATCATCACCGGCACATCAAACGTCTTGATATACCGTGCACATTCTCCATGACCTGCGGTATCAGCGCTGAATCCTTATCCGTGAACCCCAGTCTCCCAGTCTCCCAGTCGGAGCGAGTCCCCGATTCCTATTCCGCCAAATCTGCAGGACAGCCCGTGATGCCCCCATTCTCGACACCCCCCTACCTCTCCGTACTGCTCAAGCATCGAGCAAAGTCCTCCCGTCATGGCCCATCCCAACCCAACCAGGACCACAATCACACCCAAAACCCAAACCCGAACCGAAGCTAACAACTCACCCTGGAGCGTCAAGTTGAACCCTCCGAGCTTATCTCCCGATAAGCTATCCGCACCCATCTGGAGAACAATCGCTCCTGGTCTAAACACCTCCATGATCTTCCCAATCACCTAGCAAGTTAGCCATCAACTCTCGTTAGATCTGTCATCACGCCCCAAGCCAGCCCGACTTCCCGCTCGACCACCTCCGATCCCGCCCAATCCGAATTGTTTTCGCCCATTAACATCTGTCCACCGTCCGCCTGCAGCACTGACGGCCTCCTTGCGCGCCTGAGTTGTGCTACTCTCCCTTTCCTCGTGTACCCCGCGTTCCCGCCTGCCATGATCACCCAAAACCTCTGCCGCGCTTCTCACTTCCTCCCTTCGAACAATAACTGAGCGGACGGACACAAACGTACGGGTTTAAAGATCGAATGGAATGCCTCGTCCGTTATCCCATCCCGCAGCGGAACATTCACCGCGTATCCCTTCCCGCGCTTCATACCCAAATCCTAAGACATCAGCTATCGCCCACTATGCAATCTCCCATCTCCCATCTCCCATCTCTAGTCTCTTCTCCCTTGTCTCCTACTCCTGCTCCGCGCACGCTTGGCTTGAATGACCTTCTCCATCCCCATGTCATATCTCCGCCCTGATCCCATTGTTTGACCCGTCCGGCCTCGTCCCGCTAGCCAATCTTCTCTCATGCCCCACCTCCAAGAGCCCCAACAAATCACCCCGAACCTCCAACCCAGGCCCATATCCAATACCAAAGTTAAAACCATTAAAACTCACCCTGACGTCTCCGGTGCCCGGGAAGAACTCCCCAAAACGGTGAAAGCTCGCCGTCATGACCCTATCCGTCGTATAGAATGCCTCTTCCACGCCATCTCCGTGATGCACGTCCACGTCGATATAGAGGACGCGGGAGTGGACGCGGAGGAGCTCGAGGATGCCCAGGACGCTGGAGGGTCAGTTTGGAAACGTAGGTCAGAGACTTCGGAGAGATCAGGAAGATGGAGGAAGGGTAATATGAGTATAGGGGGACCGGCGGGAGGAAAATGGGGTAGACCGGACCCAGTGGGGTCCTCCCCCAGCAAGACTCTGAGGACAGGATGGAGAACACGGATAGCTCGGGATCAGGCAAGAGGGATGGAGAAGACGTACATGTCATTGACGTAGCAAAACCCCGACGCCTCGGTCTTCTTGGCGTGATGCAGCCCACCTGCCCAGTTGATGGCGATATCTGCTGCGCCAGAGTTGAGGCGTTCGGCCGCAGCTGGAGATGGTCAGCTGTGGCCTTGTCCGGTCAAGGCGAGCAGGTGAGAAGCTGAGGCACAGGACTATAGACTCAGAGGAAGGGAGCAGGGGATGCGAAGGGCAGGGAGGAAGGCAAAGCAAAGTAGAAGGTATCTCTGGATGGCGCAGGTCGCTTCCGGGAGCGAACTTTACTGGAGGATGGAGTTGGCAAGCGGAGAGCAGAGGCGAGAGAAGAAACATACCGATGGATCCTCCGGCGGAGATGGAGCAGAATTCAAACAATCCCTCAAAGGCTGGACAGTCCTCGCCTATCAGACCTGGAGCGTCAGCTTTGAGACTGTTGTGTCGCCCAGCCTGACAAGCGACCCTGGACGGTGAATGGGGATGTCGCCTGCCCCGTCCTGACCCTTCTATGCCTCGGCCAGCGTCTCCTGCGCTCCCTTCTTCAAGGCATCTCCTGCTCCTTGCGTAATCACTCCTCTCACTACTGCCTCGCTACCCGCTTATCCGCCACCTTCGCTCCCCGCTCCCCTCAGTACACTAGCCTGATATCCAGAGAAGCCCTGGTACTCACATCTGACCCCTCCCCCCGTCATCGCATCCATCGTCTCCGGCGTGACCCTCTCCAGAAAGTCCACATACTCATCCGAATGAAACCTCGTCATTTCCCCCTTCCCCGCTCTTCTCGGTCTAAACACCTGCATCCCCTTCCCCCTCGCCCCTCTTATTGTCTCTTGCCTAATACTTCTCCCCTCCCCCACCCCGTTCCCATTCGACCCATCACCATTCCCATTCCCATTCCCCTCCCTATCACTCTCTCTTGGCCTGATAATCGCCCCGCCGTTCCCTATCCTCCCTCCTCCCGCGTCGAACGTCCTGTCGGCAGCTAGCCCAGCCCAGCTCGGTCCTGATGCCCCTCCCCTCCCTCCGCCCCCGCCGCCGCCGTACCCGTCGTCCGAGTCCGGATCGTCGCACAGCCCATAGTTGACAATCAGGTTATGCGCCATCCGGATCCGGTGTGGCTTCATGGGGTGCGACAGGTAGTACACGTAGTTTCCGACATCGGGGTCGTAGTAGTATGCGACGCGCTTGTTGGGCGGGGCGGCGGTCATGGGGGTGAAGGAGGGGTCGAGAGGTGGAGGCGTGGGGAAGCGGGGGCGGGGCATCGAATAGCAGGGCCCAAGGGGTCGGGCCGGCAGGACAGAGAAAGTGGCCCGTGAGGTGATGATAGGGCCTATGAAGGCGGAGAGATAGGTGTGAGAGGGGCGTGTGGGCGGGACTAGGCGAAGGTCGAGTGGGTTTAGAGGTATGGGTAGAGGTATGGGTGAATTCGCCTGGATGAAGAGCTCGCACGAGCTTCTGTGGATCGTTCCGCTGGATGATCCGGTGCTACTACTGCAGATAGTGCTGGCCTTGTCTACCTGGGCTGTACTAGGTGTATGTGCAGCTAGAACGTGCTGGTAAGGTAGAAGAGCAAGCAAGGCATGGAAGGCGAGAGGCTGGCGGACACAACAGCCGAGCGGACCATGACGTGGCATTTTGGGTCCAGCGACTAGCTCCGAGGATCAGGCGGCTCTTACCGCTTCCCGCTGTAGGAGCTCCTCCAAGTAGTACTTATTGCGAGGGGTCCTAGGTTTACATCTATGCATATGGGACATGACTTGGCGATGGTGGATAAACAATCACTATAGCGAGGTGCCATGCACATGATTGGACTCTTAAGCGATGCAAGAGGCAGAAACGGCTGGTGCTCACCGCAGCTGGGGCTCCCCCACATTCCCCAAATCACCAAGTGGGGAACCCCTTTACGTCACACGGTAGATCGTCCCGACTCCGCTTCATGTCAAAGATGCAGCGAGTACGACGCTCAGCGCCCTCCTTCTCCCAGCATGGCAAGGTGCTTTGGAGCCGCTGTACTGCTCATTAGACAAGCAAAGATCTTTGACTTAGCGACTCAAGCATATATTTCGGAGAGCCCAATTGCTTACCACCTCTTCCGCAATCAGGGTCCGGTCCAATTTCTCGTCACTCAACCTTGCCGCTACGGATCCCTGATTTTGAGCTCGACTTGTTATTCACATCCGTCCCGACTTGGAGTCGTGTTCATCTTTTTCTCGCTTTGCCGTCGCGGTCGCTCTGGGATCCACAACGAGGAGCTGTCCGACAGATACCGCCGCATTCCCGGTTGAAAAGGTAAGTTCAGGCACTTCCGCGCTTCTCCGCGCCCGTCCGTCGGTTCCTTTTTCGCTTGGGGCTGGCTTCGGTCAGACTCGCTTCGCTTCTGTTGTTTTTCCGTTTCCCTCCACCTCACATCTCTGCCGCTGTGGCCAGCCTGGCATCTCAGTCTGCCCTTCTACCTTACCAGTCCTGTCCTCCTACCTGTCGTCTGTGGCCCTTCACTTGGCTCTTTACCGATCCTCGCCGTTGTCATCTCACCTCTTCTTCCCATTCCTCCATCTCAACCCTCTAGGCAGCATACCTCGTCCCTCCTCCCCATCGACCCATCTAGCAAAGTTATCCCCATATCGGTAACGGCACATACTGACACACCAGTAGTTACCCATCTCACCCTCACCCTGTCCGGTTCTCACCATGTCCGCCCCCGCCCCCTCTTCCGGCAAAGGCAACGCCATCATCACCCTCCTCACCTCCCCCTCCTACCTCCCCGGCACCCTCGTCCTCTTACACGCACTACACAACCTCCATCCCGCCCCACGCGACTTCAAGATCGTCTGCCTCGTCACGCCCGAAACGGTCGATGCCAAGACGATAGGGGAGGTGAGGAAGGCGGGGTATGATCTGGTTATCGGGGTGGAGGGCATCGGAAGTGGGTTGGAGGGCGAGCAGGGGTTGGGGTTGATGGGTGAGTGGCTATCTCCTACAAGGTTTCGCGCGGCTTGATGTCAGGACAGGAGCCGTCGCCTCAGGCTCACCTCCTGCCTCTCTTCTCTTTCTTATCTGATGCCATCCTGCTCCACATTCCTCAGACGCCTCTTACCCATCGATATTCTCCGATCTCCCCTCAAACCCCACAAACCTCTCTCACACCCCAGCTTCCCCTTTCCGCCTCCACCCCATCCCAACTTCCTCATTTCATACCCACCTTTTTCCCCCGACTCCGCCTGCCTCTTCACCACCCGACCGACCCGCTGACCCTCTTAGGCCGCCCCGACCTCTCTCTAGCTCTAACAAAGCTACACCTCTTCCGCCTCTCCCCCCTCTTCTCCACAATCCTCTACCTCGACGCCGACGTCCTCCCCCTCCGCCCCCTCTCGCACCTTTTCGAATCGACAAACCCGCACGTCCTCTCCGCATGCGCAGACACGGGCTGGCCCGACTGTTTCAACTCGGGCGTTATGGTCATCCGGCCCCGAGAGAGCGATTTCGAGGGCATGCGAGGATTGATGCAGGCTGCGATTGAGGGTGATGGAGCCGGGGGATTGGGAGGGAATGGAAGTTTCGACGGGGCGGATCAGGGGCTGTTGAATGAGTGGTTTAGCGAAGAAGGGGGTGGAGGGGATTGGAATCGATTATCCTTCACGTGAGTTTGTCTTCCGCTTTTCGATGTCTCGGTCTGGGTTTCGTCCTGCAACTGGAGGCAATATCTTATCTTATCTTGGTCTTACCATTCGCGCGTGTTCCTCCAAGTTCCTACCCGATCCTTTTGCATCCCGCCTATGGCTCCCCCACCCGCCGTTCCCGCCGGAGGAGATATGATGAGAATCCGGATCAGAAGCCCGAAACAAAGCTGACCCTCAGATACAATGTCACTCCGTCCGCAGCATACCAGTACGCACCCGCGTACAAGCGGTACGGCCACAAAATCTCGGCGGTGCACTTCATCGGGCAGAACAAGCCGTGGAGTAACATTCAGTATCGGCCGGCAGGGATTAGCAATGTACAGGGTAAAGAGGCGTCGTTTGATTGTAAGTCATCCCCCACCTTTCCGTCTGGGACCCCTTCGCTATTAAGCCTGCGCCGCGCGGTCTGCTTGATTCTGTCATATTTTGACTGGACCCAAACCTTCTCCCTTCTTTCCATTCATACTGGGTACTCTCGCTGACCCTGCAGACTCCTCTCTCCTGGACCGCTGGTATGCAATTTACGACGCACACGTCCGCCCCACCTCGGCCCACGCCCCCGCGGTCTCTTCCCGCTTCGTCGTCCCCGAAACCCTGGCGATCTGGAACCAGTCCCTCCCCCTCTCTGCGCCCCAGCAGCCCGCGGACCGCATGGACCTTTCCGCCCTCAAAGCAGCGACCGAGTTTGGTCTCGGCGGAAACACCTCCGGCGCATACATCTCCCTCCCCCTCGACGGGCGCGTGGACCTCATCATGCCCCGCCCTCAACCCCGGACGAAGAAGGTCTCATTCGCCGACCAGTCCCAAGCGCCCGAAGCTACCGCGGCTTCACCGACGATCCATCATTCCCCAGCGTCCGCCCCCTCCCCTCCCCCGCAACACCAGTCGGCGAGCTGGGACGCGACGCACGACTCTCCACCTCAGTCAGGGATGCCCGAGATGGCCAATGCGCAGATCGGGCATTATACCAACGCGTGGGACGCCCCGCCGACGCAGCAAGGGGAATACTTCTCCAAGAAGGACAACGCGGAGAAGCGGGAGCCGCAGTACCCTACCTTACCGGCGAGCGTGGTGAATGATAGTTGGTATAAGCAGTTTACGGAGGGACCGAAGCCTAATGCCGGAGCGGTTGGGGCTGTGTTTCCCTGGGAGGGGAAGAAGGGCGGGCAGAAGAAGGCGGAAAGGGTATTTCCTAGAGGATCGACCCCACCTCCGACACAGCCTGCTCCGACTTCGGCGAGTGGGCAGGGACAGGGGCAGGGACAGGGACACAAGTCCAGGCCGAGCTTCACGGTCCAACTCCCTACTCCTCCCGGTACTTCATCCCACCCCCAATCCCTCTCGGAGGCGATGGCATCCTACCGTAACGCATGGGACTCGGATCCGTCCATCGCGGCCTACATCTCCCGAATCACCCACACCTCGTCCAGCGCGGGCGGGATCGTTTCGGGCTCCGGCACACCGCGCGAGTCGGAAGCTATCGCCAGGGGACTGCAGAGCGTCCCGCCTACGCCCAAGGGCCGGTTCGCCGCTCCCGAAGAACGGGTTGAGACGCGCTCCAATGGAAGTGGGGACGGGGACGATGAAGGCGAGGACGAGAGCGGGGACGAGGGCCTCCCGAAAAAGAAGCGAAACGCCAACCCGAGGTATAGGGATAGACAGGCGCAGACGGATAAGCAAGAGACGGCGGATGTGGGGCATCAGTGGGCTGGCGCGGGCGGAGCAGGGACTAGTCCGGAGACCAGGACGTCCCCGCTCCCGAATCGGAACGATCTTGGTGTTCCCGGAGGACAAGCACGCAAGAACTCCAACACGTCCACATCGAGCGGGTCGGAATCGACCGTTACTCCCCTCCCTGCTGCCAAACCCCGCCGGATCCCCTTTCCTGTTTCTCAATCGTCGACCGACCGGATCCCGCAGCGCACCACAAAAGCCAGCCCGATCACGTTCACGTCGACACTCCCGACTGGGCTCAGCCCTACCGGGGCGGCGTTCAGCGTGGGCGGATATGCGGGCGGTGCGGATGCTGCAGGATCTGGTTCGGGCGGTATTGGTGGGGGAGTAGGCGGAGGTGGGGGAGGAAACGGAGTGAGGACGGCGTATCGCCCAAGTCATGCCAAGAGAGAGTCGGAGCTCGACTCGGACTTTGGCCGAGGTGGGAATGGGAGCGGGAGTGGCGGTGCCGGAGCAGGACACAAACAGCAAGCGAGCCGGACGTTCGATCCTTCTACGGACGTCGATACGAGGCGGAGAGAGACGCAAGAGGTGTTGACGAGGTTTATGAGGGCTGCGCCGGCTGCGGGTGGGTCGGGAGGCGGAGG